CCTTCACCGCCGGCTCGGCATCGTCATCCTCATCAGCCGAAGAGCAGTAGCGGCGTGGTCTTTTCGATGCTTTCGAGCCCTGCGAATGCTGCTGCAGTCCCGAATTCGATGACTCAATGGAGCTAGTAGGCTTCGTGTCCGAAATGTCAAGACTGGTCAGACTCGAGGTGGTGGAGACCCCCGCCGGAACTGAATTGCTAATGGCCGTGTGTTCTTTCCGCTTTTTCGTTTGCTTGGTCAAGGACGTAGACGCACTGCGATCAAGTTTCAGGCTGGCTAGGCTTCCTGTTCCGCCCGACGGGCCGGATGAACCAGCAGCAGCGGCTCCCAAGGCCAAAACCTCATGCACCAGAGCTGCATTGGACGCGTTGCTGACCGAGCCTGCGTTTCCACCGCTTCCCAGATGCGACGGCGAGTTGGGCACAAACGAGGACAATGCGTCAATGTTATCGATCGAGGCTAGCGTCTGATTGACGCCAGCCAGCATCTCGGGTTCGCAGTGATTCCGCAGCACGTTAAGGGCGTCGTCCAGTCGCTCCTCCATGCGAACGCCCTGGAACACCGAGGCCATAGTGTGCAAACTCGACACAGGAACCATATCGCTGGTGTAGCTTGAGCTGGGTCCACCATTTAGCACCGAATGTCCCCAACCAGCGCCGCCAGACACGGACGGCTCTCCGCCGCCAACCACCGACTGAGTCAGCGGTGGCGGAGAGTTGACGGGCGTGGAGGGGTTCGAGCCGAAACTACTAATACTTTGATCCGCCGGCATGTACATCTGTTGCCGCAGGGCCGCTGCCGAGGAATTACCAGCTCCGGCCACCTTCACACTGGCCCCGGCACCACTGAACGCATCCGAACTCTGCACGGCAGGACTGTTCTGCTGACTGTGGTGGGGGTGTGGATGGGGGTGGCCATGGGGCAGGGCATGCGGTAGCGGGAGAGTGTGGGAATGTGCGTGCGGCGTGTGATTGAGCGAGTGATGGCCAAGCGGTCCAGCCGTGGACAGTGCACTATGCTGTGCTTGTACTGTATGGTTATGGTTGTGGGCCTGCGGCGAGTTGAACACGGCTGGGGGATTCACATTAACGTTCACTGGTGCCTGCTGCCCGGCACCAGGTCCTCCGATGCCGCCCGAGCTTGCGCGAAAAGAGCTCATTGGCGGCAGGGCCGTGGACACTGGGCAGTGCATCCCATCGGCACCGACGCCGCCACTGCCTGCACCACCCATGCCAAGTCCATCCGTCTGGTGCACCTGCTGTTGCTGCTGGTCCATCGAGTGTCCCAGAGAGCGGTCCACTGTTCTGATACGCCGCCTGGCCCATGTAGCTATTGGCGCTTCCCATCTGCGACTGACACCATGCCCCTCCGCTGCCGGCGGCGGCTGAATCAAAATACTGATCGACGGTCGAGGCGTTGGCATATCGGTTATTGCCTCCATTGGCGGCATCGTGCATAGAGTTGAAGTCACTGGGGTACATGCCATTCTCGACGCCCAGGCTGCCGTACGGTGAGTGATAGCCACCGCCACCGCCACGATCTGCACCGACCGTCCCCGTCGGCTGCTTGTTGGCTATCTTGTTGAAGCAGTTCTGGAACACCTCATACAAGTGCATCGGCTCGTCGTCACTGGTCGCCATTTCAGCAATAGATCTGAAAAAGAACAACAGATTATAAGTTTTAAGCTGCCTTTTATTTTAATTATATATTGCAAAGAAATCGGTAAATTCTAAAAACACTTTTAATAATTAAGGTCCCTTTTACCATTGTATTTAGCTCTTTTTAACATAGTTATGTGAATCCCTAGTCGAAATAAACAGTATTACATACATACATATATGTATGTGATCACGATCAGCAGAGGATATATAAATATTTGGATCTTGATTAAGAACTTACTCAAACCTTTTATTTTATCTGTAAGCCATAATATTAGGAAAAAATCGACGTAATGCTGATTTGGCGAGATTCCCCTAGCCTATATACTACCAACAAGTGAAGGCATGTTGTTGTGAAAACTTCAACGATTGTGGAATTGTTGTTGTCCCTGATACAGAAAATATGTATAGTTTAACTTCCTTAATTGGATCAATATTCTGCACCAAATAAAAAAGACTTCTGAGTCTAATGCATCGCAAAATGTTGAATAAAATTATAATACCCTCTGCAAAAGTAAAAATACAAGGGGGTACCCTTAGTCCTCCCAAATCTAAACAGTAAAAAAATAATAAATTGTTGAGAACTATTATATAATTATAGTAATCACAATATCAAAAGGATCAATTTAAAGGGTTAAACCATTATTATAAGGAACGATTTCAAATGTAAATCATGCAACAGGTCAAATCTATGAGAAAGTAGTTTGTAACACTGATATCCAAAAAAAAAAACATTAACCGATAACAAGGTAAATGCAATCTTTTACTCAATACAACAATCATACAAAAAAAACTTAGCTCCATATTTACAGATAATGATTCTAAATTGCTGACTTATACCTTAAAGTCAAGTTATCGTTGAGGTAGATATGAAGTGTAACCCCGTTTAATAGAGCAACGTAGAGGTCCTGAATAAGTAAGTCGGAAATAGTTGCTTGACAACTTTTAATACCAACAAAAACTAATACAAAATTTTAATAAATCCAAACTATAGAAAAGCCATTATTGCCTTTAAGGTAGTTGGGTTGACCTATTTTATAATGTTATTACGTTTTAGAATGTATTTTACGTTTTGTTAAATATTTTTGCACAAACTAGTTCATTCTTATCAAAAAGTTCATTAAAAAATGTACTAACAAAACATAAGTGGGCGTGGCAAAAGTGATGCAACTAGCCTTATATGCAAAAGGTTTGGATAAGGTAATACAATTAAGTAATTGAAAGTTTTGTTCATATCAATCCAAGTTCATATATATATTTTTATATAGTTAATTAAAACCAGCTGAAACCATTTTGTTTTAAAAATGTTAAAAACCTTATTTTTAGCATTACCCGTTTTGGGCTAGAATTCCTAAATACTTTTCTCTTTTACAATACAGTTTTTCAGTTTGTTATTGAAAGCCGTGTTGGTATAAATATATATATCTTAATGAGTAAATATTTTTAAATATATATTATTATTTAAAAACAATAATATACTTCTAAAAAGTACACCATTTTTATATTTATTTTAGAAATCATATATTAAAACTGGCAAATAACAATGCTAACACAAAATCAATTAAATTTACAATAAAAAATTTTAAAAACATACACATTAACAAATTCTTAAAATTTTTCTACACCTGATTCACAACATCTTTCCATGAACACATGTATATGATACTTACATGAAATATACACGTATATGGTATATAAAAACGGTGAATTGGTTGCACGAAAATAAAATAAAAAATTACTTAACAAACGAATAAACTCACACTTGCAAGCGTTAATGTTAATTCATACGTTTTTACACCCATTTACTCATTTATACATAAGTAGTTACTTTGTTTACGAGCATTCGTACATATACATACATACATGTGTATGTATGCAGAATCATGAAAATGGTATCCACATACAATTAAGTGGAATTAATTCGTACATAATGCTGTATATTCAGTGGTATATACACACATTCAACAAATAAACGGATGCAGATCCACTTGCACCATAAAAAGTGCAAGCAGAAGGCTTTAAAACATACCCTGGACCACATTAAAAAACATTTTGTGAAAAGTACTCACCCTAATATCCACTGTTAATTCTATGTATGCAATTCCTTTTGTTGCAGCAAGTGTTGACGTTGAGCCACAAGCCTATGTATTACATATACATATCTTTTTTTTTATTAATACCGAGAATCACTACGTATACTATAGCGTTTTGGTAAATTTATCCAATTTTTTTTATAATGACGTCCAGTCAACTTCAACTAGTAAGATTATGTGTTTTTGGGAATATATCAAAATACACAGATGAAATAAACCGTTTCGTGATAAACTCTTCTTTTACACATTGTAAATATGCATGACACTTTTATTAATTATTTTATTTCACTGTGCTTATGCGAATTTCAACTATTAGTAAAAAATTCTTTATTTATCATTCAGCTCGTTTTAATTTTCGTGTGCTCGGGATCGCCATCTTTGTTCTCTTCGTGCGTCATCTGTAGCGTTGCGATTCGATAAGAATCGATAAGCACTTCGATATATTGGTTTTCACAAAAATGTATACAATTTTAATATACCGTTTACACTGTACACCATTTTTGGTCCGATGTGACTGTGTGAATTAATTTTTTTTATTATGGCGCCTTGCAACTATTTTTCGTACAGCTCATGCCTTAGAATTATTCAGATATTTATTTTTTAAATATAAAAACGTTAAAACAATTGTTTTAAAAAGACGAAGTTTCACTTTATTGGTTACACCAGTGAAGTATTTAAATAAAGCTACCAAAATATCAAGAATATTTTATATTAATTTTAAAACATTTAATTCCTATACCGCAATGTGTTCAAATTGTGAATAATCATTTTTTTGGCTTTAAATGAATTCACTCATAATCGGAACTTTTTCCCGTTTTATTGTGCCACCAGATAGTCATTGGAAATGAGGAAATAGCTTAAGTGTAATCATGTTATTATTTAAAAATTTACTTATATGAGGTACCGAACCTTGTATAAATGCAGACTATATTTTTGATTTTCTAGAGTGAATATTGTGTTAATATGAATTTAGTTGAGAGCGGACTTTCTTATTTAAAAATTAAACACTCAGTAATAAGATTAATCTAATAGAGAAAAGGGGTCCCGTTCCATTTGATCGCTCCCTTGACATACGTATTCAGGACTGAGCCATATCTAACTGAAACTTGAATTGATTTAAGAAGACAGTTCATTGTAAATTTAGTTCCATCGATAATGTGCTTAAACGCGGTTGGTTTCACACTGCCTGTGCAAATCGTCCTTTCGTTTGACGATTCTTCCCTGTAAGTATTTAGGACTCTGCCACATCTAACAGAATCATGAAAACTTTATTGGTTTAAAAAAGCAGTTCATTGTAAATTTAGCTCCAGCGATAATGTGCGTAGGCACGGTTACTTTCACACTGCCTGTGCAAATCGTCCTTTCGCTTAACGACCCTTCCCTGTCCATGGGCAGCGTCCAGAATCTCCCAGGCGAGTTTCTCCGGAAGAGACACTTTGCGTTCCTTTTCACGAGCTGCATCCAAAAGCCACTTCATTGCCAGAAAATAGGATCGCTTTGTCGTAATAGGGACAGGAACTTGGTAGGTAACTCCACCACGTTTAATGGCAGTCACTTGTAACAATGGTCTACAATTTTCGACCGCTTGTTTCAGAAGAGTTTCGGCATTGGTATTGATGGTGTTTTCTCCTTTCGCCAGATTCATGTGCTCCGTCTGCGTGCGTTTAATTAATTCTAACGTCTTCGACAAAAGGGTTCTAGCAAGTGCACTATTCCCTTTTTTCGTTATATAATTTATAAGTTTTTCCTTTGTATCGTCATGGAAAACTGTATCAGAAGATTTGTTGACAGCCGCCTTAATAGGTATATGATAGAGCTTTGACAATTCACTCTTTTGTTCAACTTGTTTGTGTTTTTGTACAATTGGTTCAATGTAGTGTGTAGGGTACACGGACATCAATCGAAGGCAACTGAAATAAAGAAATGTCGGATTTATCATTTCTGCTTATAGACATGTAAGACGGTTGAATGCTAAGACTTACCTAAACTTCGAAGTTTTTTCTGCAACTCTACTTAAAAACGACATGTTGACATTTTCTGTTATGTCGGTAAAATTATTAATGTTTATTAATATATGCTATGCACATTTGTAACATGCTCATATGTAAAGATATCGGCAGGAGTCTAAGTATATTTGAAACAAGTAAAACGGAACGGGAAGATTGATTTTTTTATTCGGATTTGGTACTCAAAACGACTGGTTCTATAGAGATATATTTCTCCTTATAATATATTTTATTTATAGAAATTTGTGTTTTTTAAGTATGTAACCATTTTTGGACTTGAATTTATTGTATAATTATAACAACTGTATAAATATAATGGATACTATGTAACACTATTTATTTTGATTCCATTTGACCATATAAACATTAATTTTTAGTTGTAAAAAGTTGTTTAAAAAAACTAAAGATTTTGGAGCGATATTATATGTTAAATTGATAACTAAATAAATTGAAATCCTAACATTAATTTTTTTCTCACGTTCCAAATAAAACACAATCAAACTGAGCTCAGCGTCGCTTGAATTTCACTTCGAAAAGTCTGGCAATACGGAAGCATAGACGTCAAAAACGCGCTAATTTTTAAGTCGCTAGCTTGCAAATAGTTTAACGAATTATGGAGGATTTCGAAAAAATTGAAAAGATTGGCGAGGGCACATATGGAGTGGTTTATAAGGGGCGCAATCGACTAACGGGCCAAATAGTGGCAATGAAGAAAATTCGCCTGGAGTCGGACGATGAAGGCGTTCCATCGACAGCGATCAGGTAAATTCCTTCGGCTTAGATGCCCAAGCGTCGCAAGGCGTTACACTGTTTTTAAATTATTCTAAGTGGTTCATAAGAAGAAACCTGTTGCTTAATATACACTTGGTAACTTTAGTTATTCAGTAATATTTACATAAGTAAATTGTGCATTGCTACCATCATAATCATAAGTATGTATATATATACATACATATGTGAGGTTTTAGATGCGTGCGTATGTAAATACATGTATACATCGTACTTTCAATGTTCAATTTCTTTTTCTATTGTGCCCATAATATTAAATACCTTTTTAAAGTTGTAAAAATGTAATTAATATAAAAACCATTTATTTTAGGGAAATTTCGTTGCTCAAGGAGCTGAAACATGAGAACATTGTTTGCTTGGAAGATGTGTTGATGGAGGAGAATCGCATATACTTGATCTTTGAATTCCTCTCGATGGACCTAAAAAAATACATGGATTCATTGCCCGCTGATAAGCATATGGAGAGTGAATTGGTTCGAAGTTATTTGTACCAAATAACCAGTGCCATTTTATTTTGCCATCGTCGTCGAGTTCTTCATCGTGATCTTAAGCCTCAGAACTTATTAATTGACAAGAATGGCCTTATAAAAGTCGCTGATTTTGGTCTTGGCCGATCGTTCGGTATCCCTGTGCGCATTTATACCCACGAGATCGTTACTTTGTGGTACCGAGCACCGGAGGTGCTTCTGGGCTCACCTAGGTATTCCTGTCCTGTCGACATCTGGTCTATTGGGTGTATATTCGCTGAAATGGCGACGAGAAAGCCGTTGTTTCAAGGAGACTCGGAAATTGACCAGTTATTCAGAATGTTCAGGTAACTCTTAGTGTTATAATTAATATTTTATTTCATATTAACACTTTGTTTGATTTCAGAATTCTTAAAACACCAACCGAAGATATTTGGCCAGGGGTTACTTCGCTTCCTGACTACAAGAACACGTTTCCTTGCTGGTCGACCAACCAATTGACCAACCAGTTAAAGAATCTTGATGCCAACGGCGTTAATCTCATTCAAAGTATGTTAATTTATGATCCAGTGCATCGCATTTCCGCCAAGGATATTTTGGAGCACCCATATTTCCATGGTTTTCAGTCGGGCTTAGTTCAAAATTAACGTTCAGCATTGTCATTTGACTTTAATTACAATTAATAACAAAAAAAAAATTGAAATTTAAACTAAATGGAAATAGCCATAAAATAAAATAAGGGTTAAAACAAACTGATCTTGGTACTTTTTTATTTTAGTCACATTGCAAACTATTTGATTTTTGAACTGTTTAAATTAGATAAAATTACTAACCATAATTTGATATATATATATATTAGACAGATTTAATGAAAAATTTATATATATGTAAACAAAATTAAGTTTGCCTTTTTTGTCCTCAAAAAAAAATTTTTTTTTAATCAAAACATTGAAAAACCATAGTTTAATATGGTTTTCCTGTTTATTTTATTTTTAAAGTGTAAGCAAAAATATATATTTTTTAGGAAATGTATTTACAGTTGTAAAGCACCGATATTTTTTAACATGATTTAAAGTGATGTAACTAAAGCATCATTTAATTAATTATAATTTTAGTATTAGTAGATAACGGGATTTAAATATGAAAATCTTCATTGAAACTAGTCCTATTATAGAGAGCACTGCTAGCCCCGCTGTCATGGCGTCTGAAGACACCAAAGCAGCCTCGTCTTTTCATAACATAGGCGCCTATAATCGTTGGTATAGCGATTAGCAAAATAACCAGAAGTCCAACCCAAATAATGCTGCCACTTGAACCGATCAAATTTTCGTTTGCTACTCTTAGTACTTCAACGTCTTTCAACTCATTTGGCGTGGAACACTGGACATTTTTGGCCAAAATGGATGTTGTTTTGTTGACTTGCTCTATTAAGACGTTGATCAGGTAATCGTTGGAATCGTCGCAATTCCAAGGATTGAATCTAAGATCCAATGCTTTGAGTTTATCCCAACGCACTAATAGTTCTTTTGGCAGCGTCGAAATATTGCAGTTATTCAAGTAAACCTGCAAAATAATATTGAATTAATTTTATAGTTTTTGATTAAATTTTTTAAAATACTTTTTCCAATGGTGGGTAATCCAAGTACTGGCCTCCAGTGACATTTTTGGATAAAGCCTCTCCATCGATTTCATTTAGCAATTTACTATCAGACAATATCAGTTCGGTTAGACCTAATGAAAAGAGAAATTAATATAACATATTATGGCTTTCTTGGCCATATTATCACTTACTTTGCAATTCACTAAATGCTCCTGGTCCTATTTTATACAACTTACTCATGAAGGTCATACTCAGGTGGGTTAATTTAGTCAACGAAGGAAATACACTGAATAAAGATAGTTCATTTTAGTTTGATTAGTATTGAAATTCAAACTTTCTCTTACTTGTCTTCAACCAGATTTTCAATGGGGTTTTGATTTAAAACAAGGCTGGTCAAGTTTGTTGCTCGTTCTAGAGCTTTAGGTAGTTTGTGAAATAGATTTCCAGCTGCTATAAGAGTTTCCAGATCTCGTGGTCCATGAAGAATTGTGTCTGGTAAGTCATCGATTTCCATATAAGAAACATCCAAAATCTTAGAGATAAATAAAAAGTTGTTTTCAGTTTGTTAATCAATTAGACCTCATTGGTTTCATACCTTCAAGGATAATAATCCGGAAATGGCCGTTTCTGAAAGTCTATCAATTACGTGGAACGTGTTAGAGCACAGAATGAGTTCCTCTATATTGGGAATATGCTCAAACAAATCTGCATCCAAGCTATGCAGATCATTGTATCCCAAATTAAGTGTTTTCAATTTTTCCAACGCTGCGAAATCATTGACTGTGTAAGGTCCTTTGAAAACATCTGGTACTAGAACTTTCGATGTCAATCGGTTATGCGACAAATCAAGAGTGCTTAACTCAGTTAAATTCTGGAATGCACCCTCAGCAATTGAGTCTATTTGGTTGTTTGCCAAGTACAAGTTTTCCACATCATATTTTGGCAGAATAGGAACACTAGTTAAGTTGTTGTGCTCCAGGTTGATCGTTTTGAACACAAAATCTCCGTTGGTTAAAATTTGCCATTCCTCAGAAGATAGCCAGTCCTGAAGTTTCTCGGCGCAGTCCAGTAAATTGTTATCAAAATCACAAGTGCATTTGGAACACAGTTTACTGTCCTTTACCTTGGTTTTCTCCTGTGAAGAAAATAAGGTCGATCTTTCTATTTGCATTTATTATTATTTAAAACCATTTAAACCATTTATTTGATTGAAATACTTAGAATTTAAAATCTTAACCTAAAAATTATATATATCACATGATTATTTTAAGGACAAGAAATGACAATGGATAATAGATACTTTTTTTAAAACATTGTTAGACAAAATTCAGGCAGTGGAAAAATTGTAAAGGTTACAAATTTTGAAGCACTAAACAATTTTTTGAGTATTTAATTTACAAGCTTTATTTTTAGCATATTTTTTTTTGCCCTGAATTACTAAACTTTATGGTGAATTTTTAGAATTGTATTTTAGTCATCATCATACCAGTTTCTTATCGACTGTTGATAGTGTTCTTTACACCCTCGTAGTAGGCACACAATGTTGGTCAATAATGTAACTATAAACTTTATACTTGTAAATATATGTTTCAATTTAGTTTTTTAGAAAATCATTTAAATTTTATGAAATACATGAAATCACTTATTAATTTTAAGTATTAAGGGTATAAAAAACTCCGGCTAGGTTTGTCTTTAAACTTTCTCACTTCTGCCGGTAATCTTATCGGCTCGATTATAGTGCTATTATTGGTCAACTTTACACTTGCATCCACGATATGTATGCCTCATCAAAATGACGAATTTTTAAATTAATGACACTCCTTTTTTTTTTAAAAAAAATAATTTTTTTATGTACCTTTGGCGTTTCTGGGTTTGTTGTTGTAGTTTCGTCTTTCGACTGGCAATTAACGTGGCTTAATACGATGATAAAAATCGTTACAGCTAAAACAGCTGATTTTGTAAGATTCATATTTAAGAACACTTTTCCGACTACACTTTAAAGTTTAGGCTTGTTCGCCGATCGATTAAATGTACATGACTAACAAGTGCACAAAACCTCACAATATAATTCACCTAACTTTTTCCGATTTGTTATCTTATCTCTTCGAAAGCAAAGATAACACTATTCAACACAGTCGTCTCTTTTTTGGGTTAATTCTATTTTCGTATCCAACGACAAAATTACTTTTCACAAATTAAAACGTTCGTGAAAAATATATTATGAAATGCATGACGAACTTTTTAAAATTGTACACTCATTACATGACGTAATCCACGGTTATATTTAATAGTAAATAGTAGTAGTAATATTTATGTTTTGAATATTTTAAAAAATGAATCCTGCTTAGTAACTCAAAGCTTAATTCCACTTATTTTTGTGCATAGTGTAGGCATATTGATTAAATTCATGATAAGATATCAAAGAAGACTTATATATTTTATGTGACTAAGCTATGGCAGCATTCATATATACTTATGAGTCCATTTTATTTAACTGCTTAAAAAAAAAATAGGACAAATGTCTATTATAAAACCATTTGGTTACATTTTTGGCATTTATTTTTACAGCGTAGATTTAGAATCTAACTTATCTTACAGGTAAAATGCTGAAAGTTTCCCCACAAGAAAAATAACAAAAAGTGGCCGCAACTTATAACAGAAACCACCAAAGGCCAGAGATCAGGAAACCGCGAGGGTGCTGGTATTGTTAGGGAAGCTACGACAATAATAATCATCAGAATGTTTGATATACTTGCAAGATACTTTAAAGGATATTCATTGCTCTGTTTTGAATTTGAGCTAAAACATTTAAATATCACATGGAAAACAAAAGTAGATACTAAAGCAGGTACTAACAATTCATCTCTGATTAAAAGAGGCAACATACTGAACACGGAAACTTCCAGAAATATAATCATTTCATTAGGCCACCATTTAAGTAAGAAAAAAGATGGCAAAGCAACCAGTAAAATCGTTCTTTTCATGGACCTAAAAATATTAAATTTGCTATTAAAAATTTTTTTTTTTAATTTAGAGTTCTTACTTGGAATGAAAACAAAAAGAACGCCAGTGCTGTGTTAAAAAGGGCCAGCAAAAATCCAACATTAGTTCGTCTTCGGAAGAGAAGTATATTTGTGGGCAAGGCCGCAACTAAAGTGCATCCAATGCAGACCAGGGCCATTTGTTCGTTGAGTAAATGCTTCCTGTAATTTAAACCTTTTATAATTACGAGGAAGTATTTTTATTTAGCGTCTCTTACTTCAGTTTCCAAACGACGTTTACGGCACACCAAACGTTCGCCACCTTGTCTTCAAAAACTCCTCGGGCGACAGGAAAAAGGCGGTGCAAAACTTGAAGCGACGCTTGAAGAGATCCCAACCAGGGTAACCACAAAATAGCGAATGTTGATAGTACAACGGATGCTATCCGTGAAATTTGAGTGACAAAAGAAGAGAAGCTGTATCTCACAGAAAGTAAAATGTATTATTTATAAGCAAGTGTATTTTAGTAATTACTACTGCAATACCAACCTTTTCTGACCCACACATTCCCCAAAAAGAAATACAAAGAACGGCAGGCTGTGGTACAACTCCATTTGCTTGTAGTTTAAAGCTAGTGTGAAGAAAAAAGAGGCCAAGTAGAATCTTCGCCCCAAGATTGCCCCGATTGCCACGGCGGCAAAGCCTAGTGATATGTTATTATACTGAAAGTGTCCATTGTCAATGAGTATTTGACCGGGATAAGTCGCAATTATTGTGAATAGAAACAGTTTGTCATCGCCTTGAAAGGTTTTATCTATGCAATACACCAGGTACAAAATTGCCGGCAAATAGATGAGCACGTCAGCAGTCACAACTGTTGCGCGCATGAAGCGTTTGTGCTCTTTTGATTGGAATCCTCTGCTTTCATGCAACTCGACGAAACGAGAATCTAAAGATTTGCCTATGAGCCCCACCAAATAACTGTGGTAAGCAGTCAAAGGTGGGTAATCCAGCCCCCAATATAATAAATCGTTGTTGGAGCTGTTTGTGTACCATTCTCCGACATCCAGATTTACAGTGACCTCCTGCCAGTGGCGTTGGGCTTCGTAGTCGCCATGCAGCGGCGGGGAATCGTAACCCGAATAGGAATATAGCGATATTATTGACCTGACCGCTAAACCCAAGAAGGTGGTTGCCAAAATTTCGGATTTCATCTTTTTTATTTTGCTAACATTTCAAGTGATGGCATACCTTAGATGTAGAATTATACAGGATATCGATAACATTTTGTCGAATAAATGAAAGAGTAAAGATAACATCACATTAAATTGTAGAAAACAGGAAAAGGCTTTTGAATTACTTTCGTTACATTTTCAAAAAGCCTATATGCATACATTATATTTGGTAAATAAATATAATTTTTCTTTAGAAAAGACATTGTTTTTTCCAGTTCAGATGTGATTAAAGCTGTACTTGATATTTTTTTTTTTCTTGATTGCTTTAAATAGCTCAATTGAAAAAAAAATTCCAACATCCATTACCTCAAATATTTTACATTAAACTTACTAGACCACAGTTTCATAAAATTTGTTTATTTAAAACGTTTTAATGTTTGCAACAAAATTTAAAAGTTGTTTTGCAATCCGTATTTTAAGGTAAACAAAACGAAACTGGCACTTTCAGCCTATTTGGATTCAAGACAGCGCCTTTGTAAACGCTCACGAAAGTAATATTTATTTACAGTTGTACATACAGTTTATGAATTAGCGTACTCCTAAAGGTGCTTACATAAATCAATCTATATACTAAATATCGAACACTGAGCAGAATAACATTTTAAAGGTGACGATCAAATTTTCGAGTTATTAGGTAACAAATCTTTATGGCTTTGTCATTATTTTACGCTAATTCCATTGTTTGTAACATTAAAATGTCAGTACCAGTCAATAAATATGAACATCTAGGCATACATTTTAGCGTACCACTTTTAATCATTCAATATTTTATGACCTATGTCATAAGTATTCATCTTATAAGTTTGTGGTAACAAGTTCATGAATTAATTATCTTATTTCTCAATTCAATACATTGCATGTAATGGAAGTCTATTTACAATTTTATCTTAAGAGTACGTAAATGTCTTACAATGCTAACACATTTTCAATATGGTATGTCAATGATCTATTTACATCTTCTATTTTAAAACAAATATCATTTTGTTATTTTCGAATGATTGAAGTTGCTCCATTCTAAACACTGTCAATTATAAGTTTCAGCTATGCAATAGGGCTACTAAAAATGCTAAGAATACGTTGTGAGTTACTGCTAATGAGAGTCGATCTAATACTACCGCGGTTATAAGCAGGAACATGCCAGAGAAGTAGAAAAGGCTTCCGGTCAGAGTGGCGCTAGAGGTTCCATTCAGTCCACCCAAAGTGATCAACCCAAAAGTCCCATTGCCGTTGTTCTCAGTATCCAAAATACTACGATTAGCATGTTGCATGGCCGCCGTTTTCTCACCTGTTAAAAAAACGGAATATATTACATATCTTTAATAAAATTAAAAGTACACTTACCCCTTAGTACATGCACAGTAATGCTGGCAGGACGGGCATTTGATGGTGCACATGTATAGTTGCCAGCATGCCGAAAATTGACTTGCTTCACGGTAAGCACACTAACTGAGGGGTTAAGAAGGTAAGCGGACTGATGTTGTTGCAAATAGGGTGTTGAGGATGGCATATTAGGGGCTTTGACGTTATCGGAGCTTCCAAGGATGTTGCTATGGACGCCATTGGCGGACTCCATTGGCATGGTTACGCGCGATTTGTTCCCTGGCGAAGACCTATAAACCTGACCACCGTGTAAGTTACTTTGCCCAATTGAAGTCACAACGAATCCGCCTTGTGAATCGTAATTGATCATTTTACTATCGTGATACCTGGAAAAAGTTTTTGGATTATGTTTTTATTACATTTTTAACTTACAAAATAATATGTGTTTATATACATGTAATATAATATATATGAACGAAATTAATTTTTAATCCTCTAAAAAAAACTGTTTAAATAATAGAATTTGCTTAGGTTTCCTGTACGTTTCACAAAGAGATTTTAGAAACAACTTTTTTATACATAGTTAGATCTAAATATATTTTCTTTAAGTCTTTCTTACCAAAATACAAACGCAGGATTCTCCGTAGCCCGTTTTAGTTTGCACTCAAGACGTAAAGTGGAAGTCTCATCAATATGGAGTTCAGGGGCACTTGAAATTTCAGCTACCGCTTCTAAAATATTATTCTCATAACATATAAATTTTTTATATATGGTGTTTTTACTTACCAACAATTTTTAATTCTATAACTATTGACTGAGTTGGATAAATTGATAATTGACATTCGTAAAATCCTCGATCTTCCTCTCTAACAGATTTTATTCTAAGGGACCAGTGTCCCATGTGACGTGTATGTTCCACCAAAAATCGTTTGTCACTACTGTGGGTTGATAGACCCACTGTCAGGAGTTGGAAATCCTTTCTACGTATCCAAGAAACCTGAAATGATTTAAACTAATTTTATATGTATCCTTAAAACGATCTATCTTCTAGATAGTATTTACCGTAGCTGGAGAGTTAACTTTGACCACACAGGGTAAAATAGCAAGTCCTCCTTTTTGTGCAATAACACGAGTATTGTTTTTGGTATTAAATTGACTTTGTATAGTGTTTCCAAAGTGATTTTGAGAAGACGTGATTTTTCCGACATCTAAAATATTGTTATTTTGTATAACAAAAAATATATATATATTATATCTTCGTATAATTATCATCAATTATGAAAGGGTTTTTTATATTTTGTTATAATAATGATGTTTTTATTTTTTGACTTCTTAGCAACAGCACTGTTATCTTTATTATTATTTACTTTAAATTTAATTAAATTTAAATTTACTTTAAAGATAAACAAAAAAAACACCCCAGTTTTACGGAAACAACGATATTTAAAGACAAACTTAATCCGTTTTACTTTTTATAGCATACAACATTGGGCAAGATCGATTGTTATTGCTTACCGATTTATAAAGAAAGTTTTTCACTCTTACTTACCAGAAAACGTTGAACTAAGGAGTAGCAAAAAACATGATAAATGCAAATGCCATCTTTTCGGTTCCATTATTTCCAAATTCGATATTCCACAAATCGTATACTTGGCAGTCAAACTTTATACCCGAAACATTTTCCTTCTGCAACGAACTTCATATTATAAGCATGTGTGTACATATCCGTATATATGTATATTTCTAAAAATATGCATGCACCTATATCCGTATCCGTAGTGAATATACTTGTATTTGTATCTTTCAGTTATAATATATTTATATGTATGGGTCACGCAAATAACATTAATCTTTTATCACTAAACGTCATATTTATGAAAATCCTTGAGTTATGTTAAGTAATTCGTATTGCATTTTAAACCACATGCACTAATATTTAATGTCCGCGAATTAAGTAAAATACACATGTCGCTAATATAGCGACATTAATATGTATTTACCTGAGTTTCCGAAGGAAATGCATACACAGATAATGAAAGAGGAAAACTCACTTTTTTTTTTTGCACTGGCAATTCGGCAAATCCTTACGCGTATATACACATTTCGATTCTAATTGTTTATGCAATCATAAAGCATACATATGAATATTTTCATTGCTACATATTTTCAAAAGTACGGATACACAGGTAAAATATATATAAACTGTATGTATTGGCCATCAAAAGTGCAGATTTCTCACTGCATTTTCATTTTATTGGCACATACGCGATTGTATGTGTGCGAGTGTGTGCGTGTGTGTTTAGAGAAAATGGCACAATTCTGATTCGAATTTACTTGGTTCACCAAGAATGCGCAGTTCACACCCCGGCGAATACAACTTCTTTTTCGAAGTGCCAATCGTAGACTAAATTGAAGTCGGCAAAAAGCACCGTCCGTATAACTCACGCAATCGCATTATGTGGGTCTCTCAAATGTATTGCATATGCGTGTTTAAGGCAACTCAACACGAAAAACGAAGGGATGATGACAGAAATTATTTAATATTATTCATATCTACAGTAGGGCGGTATTATGAATAACGAATCAAATTAGTTGCGTAAAAACTGGGATAACGCGGGCTGTATCGAATACATAATAGTTTTCAATAGTTGGAGGAGATAAATTCCAAAATATGGTTTCAAAAGACTTTAGTTTTGGGCTGGCAATCGATGGCAAGGGTGAAAAAATCAGCTGATTGTTATTAATAAAGGGTTATGATAGGTTAGTTCGTTACTATTTGAAGGAACACATGAATGGTGTCTTTCATATTTTTAAATTTAAAAGTTAAATTTATTAATAAAATTAAATATTTTCAGTAAATGCAAAGTGTATTAGAATGATCTCTTGAGTTACACTCTAAATTAAATTTATCAATACCATTCAATATATGTAAATGTATATTTATATATTAAAATGTAATTTAAAATAAAATATAATTATTTGGTTTATGTTTTGTTAGAATTTAATATATTAGAAATTTTAATTTATAATTATTTTTTTTTGCGTTTGTTAATTTACAATTAACTCAAAACCAATTTTTTTTAAAAGATACATACCGCAGTTGCACTAAAAAATATTTTTAGATCTTTTTGAATACCACTATCAATTCTGTTTTAAAGTTAGTGTTTTACCTCAAGAGTCCCACGGTCACTCTAAGTCGCTTTGCCGGTTGAAAAGTACTAAAAATTCCTTACCGCATTGAGTTTTTTTTTAATGTACGTGTCCAAATTCGAGGCGAGCATGGGTACAAATTTTGTTATTTATCTTACATTAAGCGCTGTGCTATGCTTATACAAAGCAAATGCAGAGATAGTTAACACAAATGTGGAAAGAACTCTTGACTTAACTTCGCAGTTGGTAAAAACCACAACGAAGATCTCGGCGGAAGACTCAACCGGCAAACCAATTGCCGAATACGTGTTTTTCACATCGGAGCCTAGCCTCTCGTACATATCGGTGAAGGATAATGCCGACAAAAACGTTCAGATCAAGAGGAATGAGCCAGTGAAGGGTGACGAGAGCTTTACCCTCACCTTCCCAAAGGCATCTGCAAAGCAAACATTCCTGGTAGAGACTGTGGCCTCCAAGGGTATCCTCCCACATCCCGAGGAAATTCGGCAAAACGATAAGCAGTTTGTAAAATATGTGGGCAACTTGCACCTCTTCTCGAAGTACAAGACTAATAGCCAAAAAACCAATGTCAAGCTCAGCTCCTCGAACATTTTGTCGCACACCCAGGTCAAGCCCTTTTCAGTTTCTTCCAACAAGATCACCTTGGGACCCTACGAAAACACAGAAGGTATGTAGTTAGAAATAATTTTCAAGCTTTGAGTACTATAACAATATAATTTTTTTAATTATTAGCCTTCAGCCAAGAGGCTTTGGTTATCCACTATGAGAACTCATCTCCTTTCGTTACCGTCAACACATTGGAACGTACCCTAGAAATCTCTCATTGGGGCAACATTGCTGTCCAAGAGGCCATTCAGATGACCCACACCGGAGCCAAGTTGAAGGGATCGTTCTCCCGCTACGATTTCCAAAAGGAAGGTCGTTCTGGACTGGCAGCCCTTAAGTCTTACAAGACTTACTTGCCGGCATCTGCATCTGGCGTCTATTATCGTGACACCAATGGCAACATTTCGACTTCCAACATGAATTCCGTGCGGGACTTTATTGAACTGGAGCTGCGCCCGCGTTTTCCTCTGTTCGGCGGTTGGAAAACGCAGTACACACTGGGATACAATGTTCCCTCATACGAGTATATGTTCAACGATGGCAACAAGTACCAGTTGAAAATGCACCTAATCGATCACATTTACGATAATATGGCCATCGATGAAGCCACCATTAAGATTATTTTGCCCGAGGGATCCAGCGACATTAGGCTTTCGACGCCCTACTCGATAAGCAGGCTGCCCAACGAACTGGTCCACACCTATCTGGACACCACGGGTCGTCCGGTGGTTTCTTTCTCCAAGTCCAATTTGGTCGAAAGCCATATTTCAGACTTCACCCTTTACTATAGCTTCTCAAAGATTTCCATGCTGCAGGAACCTCTGCTGGTTAGCGGCTTTATTTATATCATTTTTGTTTGCACTATTGTCTTCTTACGTCTGGATTTTTCAATTACATCCCACGCACATAAAGAATAAGTAAATCATAATGTTTGCATTGAATAATAGTTATTCTCATCATTTAATAAAGGATAAACAGAAAGAAATAATATTTTGCAATAACAAAAGAATCAAATAAAAGCTTGCACTTATATGGCAAAAAAAAGTTACCGAAATAAAGGATTTTTATTCAAACCAACGACATACATAAACATAAGAATTTTTCTTTTATTGAAAAAAAATTTTAATCCCTATTTATATTAATTTTTCTTCAAAATATCTTTATCAAAATTGTTATTTTTGTATGTTTTAAAGTAAAAAATGTACCTTGCTTAGCATAAATGCCGGAAATCAGCAGTTGGACACATTATGCCATCTCAAACAGTGAATTTAGCGCATGCGCAAGGAAACAGGAAAAATTATTCCGAGTGGTTTGCAGTTTTTCGACAAGTGTGCTGTGTACATATGCATTAGTGGTTATAAAATTGTTAGAAAAAATGGATTAATCAATTTAAGAACTTTGTTGCTTAAGAAATAAAGGAATACAATAAAATAACATAAAGGACAGTAAGCTAAAATCAAAAACTTGCCGACAATGTACTTTTGTACTTTTTGTTATGGAGGAGGTGTATGTGGAAAATCGATAAAGCAAATTTCGTTCTGTAAACAGGATTAAACAAAAATAAAGATGAAGTGAAAAAACAGGATATTGCATTTAAAAATTTAAGTTCATCGAACCTTCCAAAGTGAGTTTGATATTTGTGGTTCAATGTATGCTATTATTATGTATTTTGAATGTTATATATTTTCCCAACAATATTATGTATACCTATTTTTAATGCCTCATATTGATACTTAGACAGTAAACAATTTCTGTAATCTTATAAAACGTTATCTTAATACCGATATCGTCTAAAGTATACATTATACAAGAACATTTAAGATGCCAGTACTAGTGGTTCTGATTACTCATGTGCGCCCTTGGCCCTTTTTTATTGTTTGTATCTGACATGGAGATGTGTCGGACCCCTCCGATTAATAACTAGAACAGGCGTTTTTTCTCAAAATTAGAACACATTTTCTTTGTACTAAAATTAAAAAAACATATATGTATAAAAGTTTATAAACAATAGTATTGTTTATCTTAAGTTTTTTTTTTTTTTAATAAACCGAATACACTTTCCTCAATAATGTAGGACACCACAAATCATAAACAAATACAGTTACCCACTTTAAGGAAAATACTTAGATTTCAAAAATAATCAGTTATAGGAGTTTTCATTAACCAAAAACTAAATGCTTATCTTCTTAGATCGGAAAGTAATAATTCTTCGATTATGACTTCGAATGGAAGTGACCTGGGGCACAATAATAGGCGAAATGAGAAGTCGAATCCTGACAACGTTCACGCCTCGATGCGTGGAAATGGAAGTTCCACGCGAAGAAAGTCCATAAACTTCCAAAATCAGCTCCAACTGGCTTTAGAGTCGAATGAGTGCGATGTGATGTACTGCAGTCTGTCTTCTGGACGCTATCGCGCTCCGAATGGCGAGAATTTCCCGCCGCACAGTGGCAAGCTGAAGCTATCTCCGCTGGAAAAGTACGATGAAGCGAGTAGGGGTGTACCGCCGCCTTCGCCGGCTCCGAATAGCGATTGTTTTGCCACCTGTGTGGCCAATCAGCTTCCGACTCAGTCGTGCAATGTTGGGTCCGTCAAGCCGGATACTTCAGTGCTACAGAAGCATGGAATCGGTGGGACCGGAATGGGAGGCGGTGGAATGGGTGGGAACAGTAGCTACCATCAGCGTGGTGTTTCGCCGAACTCTAGATATCGTTTGGAGCGCTATCGCGAGTCGCAGTCAACTCCCCAGACAAAGATGATGGAGAACATGGGCGGAATGCCGCCAGCAGTGTCCTCGGTCTCCTCCACCCGTCTCCTACTGCCATCCAATGTACCCTTGCCACTTTCACAGTGCGAAAACTACAATGCCTACTTGGGATCCACGGTGCATACGCCGGTCAAGAGGTATGTGCCCACCCCACCTCCTGCCATGGAACTCTACTCAGACCTGAGCATTTCCTCTTCACCGGCGGGAAATCTTCCCACACCCGCCGCAGCCGCCGCAGCATCAACATCAACATCTGGAGTACAGTCGCAGTATGTCAATATGCCGTACAACTACCGCTCCAAGTGCTGCCACAATGAAACCTCGCACGGAAGTCTCAGTCGCACTTCTCAGACTTACGCAAGCTGTTCGCCGGCCTGCACTTCACCATCGCCGGCTCCTTCCACTAGTATGTCGATGGTTTTCTCGGCAGCCAGCTCCTGCTCGCCAATAATGACGGCCACCAGCTCCTCGAGATCGGGAAACCACAGGGGCGATGACAACGAATCCGTCATTGTGGTGGCTCCCGGCGGAGGTTCCGTAGCTCAGTTAGAAGTGGACAATCCTTCTGGAACTTGCCTTCACTGTAATACAGTGCGTCGTACCACTGGAGTTCATCAGACCACCCAGACCACAGGTCCTATTAGCCCAGTTCCCATATCCCTGCCCGTGCCCATGCCTATGCCAGTGATCCCTAGTCTAACTGAACAGATTCCCAGCCAGAACATGGAATCCAGTATGGTGTCAGTGCAGGCAAAGCGTCTCGATGGCGGTGGCAACATGGTCGTGCCTCCAGGATCAAACCAACACCAGATATATCGCAACCAGATGGCTAGCAACCCGCGCCTGCAGCAGATCCATCATCAGACGCAACAGCACCAGTCACTTCAGGTGCTACCGCAACCGCAGAATCATCACTTGTCCTGCAAGAAGCGCATTGGCATCTACATGAGGCGTACCACCTCCCAGTTCTTTGGCGTGGAACCGAGTACAGAGGTTGCGGATTGTGCACTGTGGCAAGGACGTCATCGACGCCTGGCGATCCGCTGTTTTGGGATGTTTGACACAGAGCTAGAATACCACATGCAGCAGTCCATCGGTATCGGCGGCGGCAACGAGGACGTGGTGCAAGGCAATGGAGCCAATAACAATTATGCACCAGATCGACCAGACATTCTGCCTGTTCAGGATGCTATTGGCATGGATATAACACTTTCTGGCGATAGCAGACGGCAAAAGTGCTATACCAATCGAGATTTTTTGGCCGGGGAGTTCGTGGAGCGTAAGGCATCGGTGGGTTACATGTTTGTTGCTATGGTCAGTTATCTGGTGCATATGTTCAACAAGCGTAGACCCATCCAGATGCACAGGGTGCGATGCCCTTGGCAATGGTCCCGCAGCTTTGCCCCCCTTCATGTCACAACCCACAACAATCAGCAGGCAGACGCGGACTGCTTGACAGATGGTCTGGAGGCTATCATCGATGATGAGGTATTTTTCGATAGTCCCTGCGAGGTTACCACCTCGTCGGTGAACGACGAAAGCTCCGAGATTGGCAGACAAACAGCAAAGCCTCGTCCTTGTGCCGATCCTTCAAGCGTAGGGGTTAGTGTCTACATGGCAGAGAGGCAGCAGAACGGTTGGCGAACCTCCGCTTTGAATAGTGGTGGTAACGCCAGCAGTGATATCAATCTAACCGCGGATCAGTCTTCCCATCCAGCTGGCGCATCTCACATACCCCTTTGCAGCTCGGTGTCTAGCCAAATGCAGCCAGCCATGCGAAGCTCACACTCCACTTCTTCCACCTGCAATCGGGGCAATCGGATAACTGCCCAGTTGCTCGATGGAGTCCTGGAGAACTCTAGACGTCCGCCGCTACGTTGCATCAAGTACTTTTCAGTGAACGACTTGGACGATAGAACTGATCATCGGCCCTTCTTCACATACTGGATCAACACGGTGCAGGTGGTGGTGCTAATGCTGTCTATCATTTGTTATGGCATTGCTCCCATTGGCATTGGATCGGAACAAAAGACGGGACAGGTGCTGGTGACTAGCCTCAGTTTGCAGACGGTTCAGCATGTCGAGCAAAGGAACCTTTGGATCGGTCCCAGAAACATTGACCTGGTTCACATGGGTGCTAAGTTCGCCGCATGCATGCGACGGGACATTAAGATCACCGAGGTGGTCACGAAGACAAGGCGACACGAGAGGGAAACGGCATGCTGCATTCGCAACGATGACTCCGGCTGCGTTCAAAGCTCCCAGGCGGAGTGCTCCATCCGAGGACTTTACCCTACGGTGAGAGATTTTTCGTTTTAAGCCATTTTAATATGTCAAAAGAAAAATATTTTTTTTATATCATAAACTAGAAATCAATATCCACGTGGAAGAAATGGTCTCCCAGCGAGTCTGGACCAGGAGGAAGAATCTCAGGGTCCGTTTGCGGACTGGATCCCAAGTTTTGCGATGCCCCAGCTTCGATAGCTCCATACGAGTGGCCCGATGACATTACGAAGTGGCCAATCTGCCGGAAAACGAATTCCTTTACCCAAAGATATCGGTACAAGGATCATACGTCTGAGCACATGGTATGCGAGGTGATTGGACATCCGTGCTGTACGGGCTTATATGGAGAGTGCCGCATAACGACACGCGAGTACTGTGACTTTATTAAAGGATATTTTCATGAGGAAGCATCGCTGTGTTCACAGGTATACGCCTAATAAAATACATTTCTACCTTGTTTTATGCCCTTCATATATTTAATTAGATATCGTGCCTAAACAATGTGTGCGGCATGTTCCCATTCATTTCCGTGGAGACTCCAGATCAGTTGTACAGACTGTTGACATCGCTGTGCATGCACGCCGGAATTTTGCATCTGGCCATTACCCTAATATTTCAGCACTTGTTTTTGGCCGATCTAGAGAGATTGATTGGAACCGTTCGTACTGCAATCGTCTACATTATGTCGGGATTTGCTGGAAACCTCACGAGCGCCATATTAGTGCCTCATCGGCCAGAGGTACATATATTCACCTTACTCACTTACTTAACTTTACTTAAACTGTTGCATTGACAGGTTGGACCATCGGCATCGCTTAGTGGCGTAGTGGCCTCGCTCATTGCCCTGTTGGTTTGGATGCACTGGAAGTATCTGCACAAGCCACACATCGCGCTCTTCAAATTGCTGCTCCTGTGCAGCGTTTTGGTCGGTATCGGAACACTGCCTTATCAGCTGAACTTCCTGGGATTGCTGGCTGGAGTGATCTGCGGCTGCCTTTTAACCATGTCCCTAGTGCCATTTACAACATTTTCGAAATACGGTCGTAAGAAAAAGGTAAATCCCTTAACATGACCAACTTTGCATTTAAAAACTAAATCTATATTTTATGCTTTTAGATAAATCTCATTTGGACTTGCGTGCTGTTTCACGTCATCGTGTACACTGCAATGATAGTAACGTTTTATATTCACCCCAGTGAATTTCACTCCATAAGCTTTGTAGATATGTTTAGTAATAACAACGGATATGAAAATTTCACCAACACCGATCATCATGGCGTTGATGTTGTAAGCAGTAATACTCGATACTCACAGACGCAGAACTCCCAATATTATTATCATCATCACTCAGATGACATTATAAGGAAGAGCGTTACCTTCACAGAAAAAGCTCTCGTTTCGGTGGGTTCTTAAGATAATATATAGATTGTGTACGTTGTGTTGTTAATAACATAAATTTTCTTTAAAAATTTACAGCACATTTTATATCCCGCTGCGCCGCGGAAAACGAGCGCTCAACAATGGCAGGAAGTAGAGTATAGTCGTTCGTTTAATCACCTTTCAAACTATAGTGATCGAATTAAAAAAAGTATTGGAAATATATCAAAGCTTAAGCAAGTGTTCACTTCACCCATTAGATTCTCAAACAAGAACAACCACTCTAATCTTATGACTGAATTAACATCGGTGCACTCCGAAAATAAACAGAAATATTTAGGTTACATCAATAATACTGAATTTAACGTCCTTTAATATTTTACATATTAATTGAATCAATTCATGACAACAAAAATTTGACAAGTTTGAGTGCACAAATAGATAACAATTATATGAATAACGCATTAAATGTCTATTTATGTATGTATAATCCGAACTTCAAATGAATAAAGAATAATTAGTATTTAAAAGTTTTGGCGCTTTATTTGCTTACATTTTATAAACAAGATGGCTGAAGAAATTAAGGAAACAAAATGCTTTCCCTTTAACATAAAAGATAATCAGAAGTTCTAATTGCAAAGATGCAAGGCCTGATTTCCAGAATAAAAATCGTGTTGAAGGTGTATTTAGAAATGATGTAATTTGCAGAATATACCAATGACTATGTACATATTATACAGTATAAATATTTAGATTAATCAACTCAAATTAGAAAGGGCTGGTATTGTGTAATTAAATTCACAAATAACATACATATCGTACACTTGAAACTTACAAATAGATTTAGAGAAAAGGTATGAAGTAATATTGTTTACGATTCGATAATTATATATACATCATCTCAGCCATTGATGACATCTTTTTTGGAATATGAACAATGGTGTCGAAGTAGCTGGCCAGCTCACCGATGGTAACATCATCGCAGTTCCCGGGGCTTGCGGAATTGTAGCTGGCCTGTTGCGAGCACGTGGCTCCCATTAACGAAACCGCTGACAGAGATCTCGTGGCGGCGGAGACGGCGAATGAGTCGCTCTTATGGCTGTGAAGTCCTGAAGGTCCTGGCCCTTCTACAACACTACCAGAGTGTCGAGCCTTTGTTAAATTGCAGTTCTTCGTTAAGTGCCAACTATTTCCCAGCGTGCTTCTCTTTGATTCACCGAGCATATAATTACATTCACCAATAATATCACGACATGCGCATGAGCAACTCGATTTTAAATCTTCATTGACCAGACCATTAATATCACTTGATTCTTCATTTAATTTGCAGGAAATAATCCGACCACTGCGTACAATCCATTTTCCATGGTCGCAACTGTTCAAGGCCTTCAAAATGGGCTGACGAAATATGCTTTTCCTCGCTGGGGCGTGGTAATTTCGCTTTTGAGTTTGTTTTTGGACTCCGTGGGAACAACTCAAAGGACTAACAATCTCAAATGATTCAGCTGGAACAAAGGAATCATCTTGCTTGCAATCCTGTAGGCAACTTTCAGATCTTCGGCGGGGTCTGCATTTCCATCGATGTTGTGATCTGGGTTTAGAGCTCGTGATAGCCTCTGAGCTATTAGACGGATCGAATCCATTCTCTGCATCATAAAATGGATTCCGTTCGACAGGCTTGATGAGAGGATGAGTTTGTGTTATTTTCAGCTTATCCAGATCAGCTGGCAACTCTTCAGATGCCATTTTGCAGCCAAATCTGTGTGCTTATAGTTTGTACTCAGCTATATTAACTCAGCGGATTTGTGTGTAATGTTTTGAAGTGCAAATGAGCAGCTTAAAAACACTTTTTCTTTCCTTTTTTCTATTTTTATTGTATGTATGTGTTACATTCACAGAAAAACAGACAAGGTAGCGACACAAGTTTTATGGATTTGGAGGGATGGACGCCAACCCGTTTTATTGCTTCTGTTGAAAGAGCAAAGTTTTGAAACAATGGAATTGAAAATATTTTTTATATGTACACGATATTCGTCTTAGGTTTGAATCTATAATGTGAAGTACTAAAAATATTAACTACAAAATTTTTCTTAAGAAATATTCAAAGTTTTTAAACCAACGAATTAAAATCATTTCTATTTCTGGCATTTTATTTAAAAAGCTGAAAAATAAAATATCGGTTAATAAAACGTGAACGTGAACACTTAAGTTAAAATATTATATTTATTTTGTTGGGATTAGTCTTATTTTTGTAGCAGCTGTTTTAAAAATCACATTTCAAAGATTTTTAAAATTAATTTTTAATTTGGAAGTTTCTATGGAAAGTGTTATAATTTTTCCGCTTGTTTTTCATCATGGAGATCATATGGTATGCCAATTAAATAAATTGAAATTGTTTGATTTATCTAAAAAAGTGGGTAATTTCGATCGTGCAAGATGCTTATTAGATTCATTTATCAATCGTCAATGGAAGCAGAGTTTAGGGCACTTCCGCCCAGTTGATTATGAGCTATCATAAGTATGTCCTTCTTCTCTTTAGGAAAACGTAGTTCGCGCCCAGCCATGCGAAAAGTCTCCAGCTCTCTCTCGGCAAGCACTAATTCTCTGCGGATAACGCCGGGATTATCGTGTTCCCTGGCAATCCAGTCCAAGGCCATTTGCGACCGCATCTCGTCGTCCAAGCTCCGGTTTGAATAATGAGCCACGACTTCTTGCCTGGAGCAGTGGCGTTCGCGCATTGCCTTCAGCGATCCATTCCAGTGAAGAAGTTGAAAAACCGTCATGAGCTCTTGGAACTCTAGCATAGTCCTTCCCTTATTTGCCTCCAGCATGAATCTAAACTCAAGAAAGAAAAGAAATATTATATTGCGCGCAAAACTATTAAAACAATAAAAACTAATAAAAATTTTCAAAATATTAAATATTTTAAGCATTAGGAAGCTAATTGGGCAAAAGTACTCACCTGAATGCTCCTATTCCAGACTCTGTGCCCTCGTTGATCTGCGATGTGCCCTTAAAAGAAGTTCGAGCATCCTGAACCGCCTTTTGAATAAATTCGTCGCTTATTCGACGCGAAGGATGTTCATTGAACACAGAGTTCATCAAGGCAATCTTAGCCGAACTGCGACGGGCCTCTGCTTTTGTTGGACAGTTCTACCAAGAAAATATATTTTCATAGGAATTTTTTAATTCAGGATTTATATATACTTGAAAACTTCCGAAGCAGCTTCCTCCAGGCAGAGTTACGAAACAAATATATGGCTGGCTATTAGCTGGAATCGATTCGTAAATCACAAGAGCCCCGTTTTTCATTTCGGCTCCGCGGGATTGTTTCATTTGCCAAAACTCTTGAAGGGCTTCAACGACATTCACTAAAATATGTATATACATGTACATAAGTACGTTTGGCTAATCATTTTTTAAAGGATTTACAATATAATCTTACCTCTATAATCTCGATCTTCGTAAAATCCAGTTACCGTCGGTAAAACCCAAAATGGTTCTTCAGGGTAAACCATTTTAACAATTATTCAATATAATGTTGAACAAAGAATGGTTTGTTTTTTAGATGAAGTAAAACCGCATATCTTTCAAAGTGTCTGTAAAATGAAGGATACAATTAATTTATTTCCCAAGAAATATTTATTTCTCTGTATTAATGGTAATTTTCCGTTTAATTATAGCAAATTAAAATGCGGTTAATTAATTTCAATCTTGATTTCATCAGACAGAAAATATTATACATTAACAGCATATGTTTACATACATACATATACAAGAGTTGTATTGTTGCACTGGTGACACTGCCACGTCTTTAAACATATGTACATCCCAACGACCACCGATAAATTGCAAGTTTGTCGCTTAAGTCTTTCGATTTAGAGTAATCAGAGTTTATGCAAAACCTGTAACTTTTTATTCCGTTTGCCGTAATAGAACACTATTTAAACACTATCACAAATTAATATGTTCAATAGCATGCATAAAGTACGCCTTTATTCCTTTCTTATATGTATTGTCACTAGTCAGGTTTATAACAATATTACATTTACATTTTAATGTATACATTTAAATTATTAATGTTCACTTTTATTTTATTCAGAAAAACGGACCACAAAGGTCATCAATGAGATGAGAAACCTTTCTGCTGTAGTGTAAAAAAAACTGGATACATTACTTTGTGTCAGTGTTGCCAAGTATTTCCTATCATAAAAAAGCTAAACCCCAGACCGAATTTGGCTTAAAATCGCTAGTTATATCTTTGGCTGTAAGTCATAAAATCTATGTACATATCCTAACCAAATACCAGATGTTTAAAAATATATATTGTATATTATATAATAAATATATATTTTTATATATAATATGTTATAACTATATTAATATTATAGTATCCTTATATATATAGCTATATAGCTAACTAAAACTGAAAACAAAAAATATTTTTATGACTAGTAAAGGATTAAGAGTTTCATTAAAAAAAACAATTAATTAACTACCTTGAACTGATGTATAATATTAACCGTCTTAAAACAGCTTCGATAATTGATCGAGCCTAACATGAATAATTAAATTTATCAGCGCCATCTGTACCAGATTTTTTATTTTGAATGTAGATAACAGGTTAAAGATAATAATTATAATTCGTTTAATATCTTATTTTTGCATTTTCAACCCTTAAAAGAAGAATAAATGGATTTTGAAAATGTAATAAATTTATTAGCTGTAAAAAATGTTTAAATCATGTACAAATTAATTATGTTTTGTAACTGTAAATTTTAGAAACAGATTTATTTATGCCGCTGTCTATCGTGGACGATTGATTATACAATAATTAGTGGTCTGTGTGCGTTCCAAAAATCCACCAAAGCCGAGGACTATAGCTCGACCGTCAAAACAAAATACACAAATATTCGGCTTTTAAGACTATTGCTCAACATTTTTATCTTGAAATATAGATATATAGTTCCTAGAATGTTTCACATCTTTTGTATTTTCAGTCACTTTGAATTTGAATGTATTGTTGTGAAACTCCGTAAGTGGCGGAAAAATACTAAATGAATTTGCTCTTGAAGTAGAGATTTTAATATAAAATGTGTTAATATTAATTTTATTCTTAAAATGTACATAGGCAAAAGGTTTATTAAACTACAAAATGCACAAACGATATTCTTAACAAATTTAAAATAATATGTCAATGCTCTCCAAATTGGGCAAAGGCGGAATAAAATTTAATACATATTCACAGTCGGGCGTTTCGATATTTTCTGGTTCGTATATGCATGGTAGGTCAATAAAATCAGGTTCTATTGGAGGAAGGTAAACGTTTTCCGAACTATTTTCTAATGCGCAAAGATTGCAATAAAGTTGATCTAACAGTCCTTCATATCCAGGTTGATTTTCCAACCATGTTTCCGCGATTGCTGTAATTATAACGGGAATGCAGTTCAATATATTTTTAATGAGAATCATTATTGTTTATAAGACTTACGCTTGCTGCATTTTTTTAAACATTGCTCGTTTGGAAAGTCAGTATAGTTAAACAAATTTATGACTTGGGGTTCGCATTTTAACATGTAGGCGCCCAAAAAGCAATTCGTTGTTTTAAAATTAATTTCTTCTCGGTCCTTACAAACGTGATTTGGTTTAAATGCTTTCCGAAGTGACAACTTAGCAATACTGCCCTCAAGTCTAACGGAATTACTTTTAAATGGGGTTATACCAGGAGTTTGATGCATCACATTGTCAAGTTTCCCTAAAGGTTTTTTTATTACAGATCCAATGGGGGCTCCATTTTTTACAGGATTTGTCGGCACTATAATAAATAAAAAGACTATACAATTGCAGACCACTAACTAAATTTTACTTACAATTAATCCCCGTGTTTTCCTTGTTCAATATTTGATCCATTTTACAACGTTCGTGTTGAAGAAAAATATATGTCTATAAAACTTTATCTGTGTGCTGCGATTTAGTTCAAAATAATTCCTACAAACAAGCGGCACAATTTTAGAGATGGTAGACTCTGAGCACTGAACCTTGTCATGTATCGCTTTTGATTTGAAACGTTAGAAAAAGAACACTAAGGTCTGCTTTATGTTTTTTGCTCATTATTTATTATTTTAAAAATATACTGAACAGGATTTCTGTAATGATGCATTTTTAAATGTTTTTTGCTTATTGTAAAATATACCTTATGCTTTTCAGTGTCAATTGACCATAGATAACAAGAAGAAACTTATTAAAAGCTTTTCTAGAAACATATACTTATCGTGAACACCTTCATTAAGAAAATATATTATCTTATACATAAAATAATTAGGTAATCACGTGAATTTGCAATTAGCTAATTTATTTCAGTTTCTACTTAAGTGTTTTGTATAATACTATACAAAAATACTTTAAAATTCTTTATCGGCATCTAAAGGCGTTAGTGATTTAGTAAAGTTTTTTCGTTATTTCTAACTGGCCCCACTTAAGCAGCCTTTATAACAAAATTGCTTTTGAGTGAATATATGTAAAACTTGGAGATTCTCTGCCAGAAATTTCAGTAGACGTTTAAGTTTACCAACGTCAAAAATTGGGCAAACATAATTAAACACACAATATTTAACTTATCACTCATTTGCAACTAATATAACGTTTCAAAGGCTTCACTATGGCGTCACATCAATACCATCAAATTGCCAATTTGCTGGAAAAAGTATGTATAGAATTTAATTTGTGCACTATAGTAAAATAAAAACGGGGCCTTGGTTTACTACAGATGACGTCGACGGACAAGGACTTTCGTTTCATGGCGACAAACGATTTGATGACGGAGCTACAGAAAGATAGCATTATTCTGGACGACGAGTCTGAGAAAAAAGTGGTACGAATGGTGCTGAAGTTGTTGGAGGATAAGAACGGAGAAGTCCAGAACTTAGCAGTGAAGTGCTTGGGACCGCTCGTAAACAAGGTAAAGGAGATCCAGGTGGAGACCATTGTAGATTCGCTGTGCGCCAACATGATGTCGAATACGGAGCAGCTGCGCGACATCTCGAGCATTGGCTTGAAGACAGTGATTGCCGAACTACCCCAGTCCTCCAACTCCTTGGCCCCAAATGTCTGCCAAAGAATTACCGGCAAATTGAGCACAGCCATTGAAAAGGTGTGTAGCTCTGAAGTTTTATAAGTCTTCTGCTATTCAATCGTCTTTTTTTTTTTGCAGGAGGACGTCTCTGTAAAACTGGAGTCACTGGACATATTAGCTGATTTGCTTTCCCGCTTTGGGGAGTTTCTGGTACCCTTCCACAGCACCATTTTGAAGGCCCTGATGCCCCAGTTGGCCTCCTCACGCCAGGCTGTTCGGAAGCGTACCATCGTAGCCCTGTCGTTTCTGCTAATACAGGCCAACAGCAACGCCTACAATGGTGTCATTGATCACCTGCTCGACGGCCTCGAAAACCCACCAAATCCTGCTGCCATTCGAACTTACATTCAATGCCTGGCTTCGATATGGTAAGAATCGTTTAGGGCTTCTTGATGTATTAAGTCAACTCAAATTGTTTACTATCTTTTCTTTGATTACTTGTTAACTTAGTCAGTTGTTAGTTGTGTTTTTTACTTTTGTTAGGATCATTTGTAACTATTCAGTAATGATTACGTTTTTACTTAGAGAAATCAGATCTAAATTATTATTACAATGACAAATCTATTTTCATCGAGCAATATTTTAGGAAAGAAAACATCTAATATGTTTATTTCAATATGTTTCTCCCTCAGTCGACAGGCTGGCCATAGGCTTTGCAATCACATTGATCGCTCTATGCTGTTGTTGAGCCAGTACAGTCAACGGGATGATGATGAGTTGCGTGAGTTTTGCCTGCAAGCCTGCGAAGCCTTCGTTATGCGTTGCCCAGATGCCATAAATCCGCACATTCCCATGGTAAGAAAACACAACTTCAAAGCATAAGCATTTTAGGCATTGTGTAAACTATGGTTTGATTTCAAGATCCTGGAGTTGTGCCTCAACTACATCACCTACGATCCAAACTACAACTACGAGACCGATGATGGCGATACTGGCAACGCCATGGACACAGAGGATGATGAGTACGTTGACAGTGAAGAGTACAGTGACGACGATGATATGAGTTGGAAAGTTCGTCGTGCTGCAGCCAAGTGCTTGGAGGTTTTAATTTCTACGCGCCAGGAGCTCATTGAAGACTTTTATCGCAGTTTGAGTCCTGCTTTGATCGCTCGTTTCAAGGAGCGCGAGGAAAACGTTAAGTCCGACATATTTCACGCGTATGTAGCTTTGCTAAAGAACACTCGCCTGAGCGACGACGTGGCCAACGACCCCGATTCAATGGATCAGGTATCGGGACCGACGTCACTGCTAATTGAACAGCTACCACTTATCGTAAAAGCTATACAGCCGTTAATGAGGGAAAAATCGATGAAAACTCGTCAAGATTGCTTCCTCTTACTGCGTGAACTATTGAATTCGCTACCAGGCGCCTTGGGTCCTTACTTGGAAAGCATTGTACCAGGCATAAGTTATTCGCTGAATGACAAGAGTTCAACCAGCAACATGAAGATCGAATCTCTGGGATTCCTGTATTCCTTGCTCCAGGGGCATCCACCTCATGCTTTTCATCCACATATACCCTCACTGGTGCCCCTTGTGGTAACTTCGGTCTTTGATCCGTTCTATAAAATAGCAACAGAGGCACTTTTAGTGCTACAACAGTTAGTGAAGGTTATTCGACCATTGGAAGGAAATGGTGCAAAGTCGGACTTTGATGCACCCTCCTTCGTGGGACAGGTTTATTCGTGCACATTGCAGAAGTTGAAAGTCACGGATGTCGACCAGGAGGTAAAAGAGCGAGCCATCGCTTGCATGGGACAGATAATAGCTAATATGGGTGACATGCTGCAAAACGAGCTGGCCGTTTGTCTGCCAATCTTCATGGAGCGCCTGAAAAACGAAGTAACCAGGCTGAGCAGCGTTAAAGCCTTGACTCTGATCGCAGCATCATCCCTTCGCATTGATCTAACTCCTATCCTGCATGACGTATTGCCCGCTCTAGGCACATTCCTGCGTAAAAACCACCGCGCCCTGAAGCTGCACTCTCTCGATCTTATAAACAAGATCGTCATCAACTACTCAAGCAACTTTGAGGCAAACCTATTGCAGACAGCCATTGTTGAGATACCGCCACTTATATCTGACTCAGATTTGCACGTCGCTCAGTATTCACTGACTTTATTAAGCACTGTAGCTCGGAGACAACCCCAAGCACTGGTCGGCATTCATGAACAGTTCTTGCGATCGGTCCTGATTTTAGTACGCTCTCCATTACTGCAGGTTGGTAAAAACGTGTCGATTGTTATTAACAGCTGTTAGCAACTGATTACTTTTTAATTTAAGCAAAAGTAACAGTTTTTTTTCCTTTATAGGGATCAGCATTAAATTGCACTTTGGAGCTTTTCCAGGCCCTGGTGCAAACACAGCTCTCTGGTCTTGACTATCATTCATTGGTTTCGAAGCTAATGGCTCCAGTTCTAGCGGGCAATGGCGACGCCAATTCCAGAATCACAGCCGGTGCTCCCAGTGAGGTGGTGCAGCTGCACAAGCAGGCATATCATTCATCGGCCAAGTGCATTGCAGCACTTACCCAACAGTGTCCTCAGGTGGCGACCCCATTGGCCACAAAGCTGATCACCGATCTACAGAAGCGCAATGATACGGAAATTATTTTCTGTTTGCTTACCATTGGAGAAATTGGCAGACACTTTGATCTGAGCACTATACAGGTTCTGCCGCAAACAATTATCGAGTGCTTTGGAGCCACCTCAGAGGATGTTAAAGCAGCCGCTTCGCATGCTCTCGGTGCGGTATCCGTAGGCAGTCTGCAAACTTACTTACCGTTGATTCTAAATGAGATCGAGGTTCAACCCAAGAGACAGTACTTACTTCTGCATTCGCTAAAGGAGGTTATTTCATCATTGTCGGTGTCGCCAAGCGGACTCGCTCAGCTTTTGCCCTCGGTGCCATCCATTTGGAGCCAGCTGTTTAAGCACTGCGAGTGTTCGGAGGAGGGTTCGCGCAACGTGGTGGCCGAGTGTTTGGGTAAACTGGTGTTGGTTAATCCCGACGAGCTGTTGCCGCAACTACAGCAGGCCTTGCGCTCCGAGAGCGCTACCATGCGTACAGTGGTGGTCTCGTCTGTAAAGTTCACCATTTCGGATCAACCCCAACCCATTGATGTGCTGCTCAAGCAAAATATTGGCGAGTTCCTATTCGCCCTTCGAGATCCGGAGCCACAGGTACGACGCGTCGCTCTAGTGGCCTTTAACTCGGCTGTGCACAACAAGCCTAGCTTAGTGCGTGATTTGCTGCCCACCCTCTTGCCTTGGTTGTACTCCGAGACAAAGGTGAAGAGCGAACTTATTAGGGAGGTGGAGATGGGTCCTTTTAAGCACACTGTTGATGACGGTCTCGACATTCGTAAGGCGGCATTTGAATGCATGTACACACTTCTCGAGCAGGGCTTGGATCGTGTGGATGTAATGCAGTTCTTGGACCATGTGCAGGCTGGTCTCTGCGACCACTACGACATCAAGATGCTGACGTACCTGATGACGGCACGCTTGGCTATCTTGTGTCCAGATAAGGTCCTTCTAAGTAAGTAGCACTTAAATTTGCCAGGTAAAAATTGTTGTTTACCTCTAATATATTTTCTAGGACTTGATCAATTTATACAGCAATTACGTGATACGTGCACCCACAAAGTAAAGGCCAATTCTGTGAAACAGGAGTACGAAAAGCAAGATGAACTTAAGCGTTCTGCCCTTCGTGCAGTGTCGGCGCTTTCGCAAATACCCAAAGCAAGTGAGTTCCTATCGTTGTAACATTGTATCTGGTCACAAACTAATAAGAAATTCTATCCAACAGATAAAAATCAGCAGTTGGTAGACTTCCTCAAGTCAATCAAGGAAACACCAGAATTGAACAAGACCTACGAGTATATACAGAAGGATTCCATCACTGGTAGTTCAGATATTATAGTAATGGATCAAAGCTAAAAGGGAAACTTGGTTTCTAATTCCTTTACTTAAATAAGAATATGCGTGTGCGCACAAACAAGTATCTCTTTTCTGATATAGCTTTTAAATTTTCTAATAAGAAATAAATGCAGATGACTTGAAACAGTTAATTATTAAACTAGTCATCGAGCTAGAGGAAGGTAGAACAACCAAAACAAAGAAATACCGTAATGAAAACGATAGTTTTTAACGATCAGATAAAAAACATGGATACAAGGTTTTGTGGAGGTTGAATTGAAATCTTTGTTCTTTGAAGAGTCAAGCTCTTTAAAGCAGATATCGATAGTTCTAGAAGGTACTGTTAAATAAAGGGTGGTGGTCAATAATTAATCAATGGGATTGCTGGTTAAGAAAATTCGACTTGGTATAATTGGAAATTGTACATTCTGTAGAAAACTGAAATATTCAAATTGTTTTAAACTTAGAATTGAATTTTGGTTTATACACGAGATAGAATTTTATGCAGCCTGCTTGCTTCTCTTTTTCTCGGACTCTTCGGGCACTGCTTTGCCGGAAGTAATGCCACCATCCGATGCCGGGCCAGTTTCAGAAACAGTTTCAGGCGGGTGTTCGAGAACGTGGTCTATAATGCCCAGTACTTTGGCCTCCTCAGGGGTCATGAAATGGTCGCGCTCCATGCGTCCACACATCTCTTCGTAAGAATTTTTAGCGTGCTTTACATAGATGTTGGTGAGTTGTCGCTTGATTTTGATAATTTCTTCGGCATGTATCAGGATGTCTGTAGCTTGACCCTGGGTAAAATTACTTCATGAATACTGGGCTATTATTTGATTGGAAATTAACCTACTTGTGCGCCGCCTGAAGGCTGGTGTATCATGATCCGAGCGTTAGGCAGAGAGTATCGCATTCCTGGAGCACCGGCTGCCAGCAGAAGAGATCCCATCGAACAGGCCTGTCCAACGCACCACGTTGCTATCGGCGGCTTGACGTACTGCATCGTATCATAGATTGCAAGGCCCGCTGTTACCACTCCGCCGGGAGAATTAATATACAGATGGATCGGCTTGTTAACATTTTCGGATTGCAGGAACAGCAATTGTGCCACAACAGTGGAACTGATGTCGTCGGTTATGTTACCCATCAGGCAGATTATCCGTTCTTTTAGAAGTCGGGAAAATATATCGTAGGCCCTTTCACCGCGGCCAGTTTGCTCGACTACCATGGGAATCAGGTTGATATTGCGAACCGAATTCGTCCGGGCGCCACATTGCACCTGCAATTCGTTGGATTAATACTCTAACTACCTTGTAGCGCATTTACACTTACTGAGTTAATTTGTAATAAGCGGCTAACAGCGGTCCTTAGCATGATCCTGGTTTTGTTTTGACGCAAATCAACCGGATTCGCAATGTTATGCAAAACAGCTGTTTTTAAGGCTAAGATAACACACATTTAATCATTTCTGACACATTTGAAAAGAAACATTGATGCCTTCCTGGCATTATACATACTATATGACAAATGTTGTGTGGTAGTGCCACGTTGGGGTGTTTATTTATTTTATTTCCTAAATATTTTGGTAATTCCGCAGGACAAACTTGGAACGGTGGGCATTCCCTTTTGTAAATTTTGTTATTCCCAAATAGCCGTTGTCAGGGAACAAGTGGAATTTTTGGTAAAACGAGAAACTTTGACTTCCGAAAGTGCGAAACCAGCGATGCATAAATTTTAAATAATTAAGAGTATAGATCGTTAAAAAACAGTGCTTAAAAGGTAAGGTTATATCAAAAAATATTTAAATTTACTTATCTTACTCATCTGAATAACCTTTTTAAAAATTTACTTTGTTTTGGTTTCCTGATTTAAGGTTTTTTTTCTTTCGCACAATGTTTTGTAAAAAATAACTAATATTACAAAGTTTAATTTAGAATTCATAAAAAACTTGAATTAAAAACCTTCATACCATAAAGGTTTTGATTGATTAGGGTAGTGACCACTTCGATCTCCCTATCAGACCGTTCAGGTTTTGATAGCTAAGCATTTTTGACTGAATATGCACAGTTGCAGACAGTAACTTAATGCAACAGAGGCAGAAGCTATGTGGAAGTTTATAATTGTTGGCTTTATATGTGGCATAAATTATCAGATTGTTACATCTAATTTAAACGAAGGAAATTCTTCTACTTTCGATTACAAAAGCGAATTCGAAAAGTTTAAAGTAAAAATCAACCTAAATTTTACCTGTTTTAAACTAATACTTTTTATAATTTTATAGAATAATAATAATCGTAAATTTCTTCGCAATAATGATGAAATACGCAGCTTCAAGGCATTCGAAGAAAACTACAAACTTATTGAGGAACATAACCGACATTACAAGGATGGTCAAAAGAGCTTTAGATTAAAATCTAATAATTTTGCTGATATGGTATTTATTTCTTAAAATAATATTTTCGACACTTTTAATCAATTATTACAATTATTATTGTAGAATACAGATGGTTACTTAAAGGGATATTTGCGTCTACTGAAAAGCAATATTGAAGACAGCTCGGATAATATTGCTGAAATAGTTGGATCTCCAATGATGGCCAACATACCTGAGAGTTTAGATTGGCGAAGTAAGGGGTTTATTACTCCTTCATATAATCAACAATCTTGCGGGTCCTGCTATGCCTTTTCCATTGCCGAGAGTATCGAAGGTCAGGTTTTTAAACGTACCGGAAGGATAGTGGGTTTGAGTGAGCAACAAATTGTGGACTGCAGTGTGTCACATGGAAATCAGGGATGTGTAGGCGGATCCTCTGCGAAACACTTTAATCTATCTCCAGAGTACCGGAGGCATAATGAGATCAGATGATTATAACTACGTTGCAAAGGTAAAAATTAATATTAATAACATTACCTTCTGCAAATATTCTTGTAGAATTTTTATATTTATCTCTGCTTATATCTCTGAGATACATTTTTAATGCTTACTACTTTGCAGAAGGGAAAATGTCAGTTTGTTTCCGACTTATCTGTGGTAAATGTAACATCGTGGGCGATTCTTCCTGTTCACGATGAACAAGCAATTCAAGCAGCAGTTACTCACATTGGACCGGTAGCCATATCTATTAATGCTACTCCGAAGACGTTTCAGCTCTATAGGTAATTTTCTGAATTTATAAATAAATTAATTATGTTGAATAATAATCCTAATCCTAATATATCTTTCAGCGACGGTATCTACGATGATGCTTTATGTTCATCAGCATCTGTAAATCATGCAATGTTAGTAATTGGCTTTGGAAAGGATTATTGGATATTAAAAAATTGGTGGGGTGAACGTTGGGGCGAATCGGGTTTTATGAGAATACGAAAAGGAGTCAATATGTGCGGAATTGCCAATTATGCTGCATATGCTATAGTATAAACTATATTTTTTAAGTTATTTGCAAACATAAATATGCTGTACCCATATTAATTCCTACAACATTAAATACAACATTTTCAAAAAATATTAAAAAAAAACAAGAAATTGGACTGAGATATGAAAAAAGGTTTTAATTTTGAGCATATGCTTATTATTAATTATTTTTTAAATCCCCGTATCAGATTACTGTAATACTTTACTTGCTTTTACGGGTTATATATATTTTTCTTTAAATCTATATCTATATTAGTGCTTAAATTCATTTTACTTAAATGAAGTGATAAATGAGTTTACACTGTGCAACATAATTCGGTATAGAAGTGAAAGCGGCTCAACCCAGTTTGGTCATAAAATAGAAAAACTAAGTAAATGAAACTCAGAATAGTTCTTATATTTGTTTTCACTTAACATGCAATTTTTTCACTTTTGTTTCTCAGTGTCATTAGCACAAAGTTAAAGTAATGAATATTCAGGGCGTGGCAAAGCGCCAAGGCAGATCCTTAGTTTATTGCTTTGTGCCCGCCCCCAAATCAATAAAACAGGTCCCCATACGACGACTTTGGGAATTGAAAATAATGCAGTGGCATGAGATTTACATGTTAAGCACACAGAATTTAAAAGTATTTATGAAGTGCTAAAGGCTTAAATCCTTTTATAAAGTCCTGGAGAGAAAGACCAAACTCCTCCCACATTGAATCATTTATAGCAATTATAATGTGTTTCATTGCTGCTTAATGGATAAATTGTATTCCATAATGGCTATAACCAATAATAGGAAAGTAAGGTGGAATCGCTCAGCGTGCAACCACTTTCGAATTACGGCTCTGCCTCTGTAGACCAATGAGAGCAATTTAGAGGTCCGTAGGCAGGACTTCACTTAACTTTACAAGCCGCGTCGATTTGGGGGTGGATTTTTTAAGGTCTTGCTGCGAGAGAGCGAAATTCAAACAGTGAGAGCTGAAGGATGTTGGTACAAGGATGCAAATGTTAATTTAATAAAGTCAAGATGTTGAAATAGTTCTATTTGTTCATTATAGACATCAATGATGGCTCCTCGTCTATTTAATTTTCTATAAAAAAAAAGGAAATCCTCAACCCATTTGAACAGCCTGCTCTCTTTCACTTAATTTAACCAGAAGAATTCAATAAGGATAATCCGAATGACATGCGCAGCAATAAAGAGCAAGTGAGGTGATTAGGCACGCCGAATGCCATTGGTGTTGACTATAAAATAGTCGGCAACTTAGTTTCGTTACAGCAACTTATGCTCGAACGCATAATAAAAAAAACTGCGGCAATCGGTTATTTACCAAAAGGATGGAGCAGTTGGCACAGTTTGTAACCAAATCGTTTGAATTTAACTTAACTAATAACAGTGTTCACGCTTTATTCAATTCAATGACGGGCGCCCGAATTAAAAAGCACACCGAAGTGAAAAACTCCATATTCATAAACTCCATTAGTTCCGGCGGCAGTTATGCCGATACTTGCGCGAGTGGTGAAGAATCCGTGGATATAGACATAACCGACTTATCCGTTTCGGAAAGCAATACGATTCTCGCAGCTGATCCGGAACAACAATTAGAAGAGTCCCATCCCGAGGTGGAAACGCTGGAGACGTATAGCCTGAGCCCAAGTTTTCGAAAGGCAGTGGAGCCCAAGCCAAAAAACTGGCTCATTTCGGATGATTTGGAGGTGGAGTCTCAGCCGGAAGGTAACAAAAACCATTGTATTGCATCCTACCCGGCGGAAATTTGGATTTTAAAAAATATTTCAAAAATTATTTCCCACTCATGCTAAAAAACTTTATGAAAGATTTGTACAAAGAAAACTTTATTGAATCTATTTTGTAAGTTATATTAACATTTCCTAACATTTCCAAAAATACGCGTACTTGAGGGTATATTGAAATTGAAAGTCGTTTATCCGCTATACGGTATTTTTTAAAAATATTTTTGTTTGAATATACTCACTTTATTGGTAACTCTAATGGTTCTAAAATATTTATGTTCGTTAAAAAATAAATCGATCATGGCATTTAATGCGATAAGTAATGTATAAATTATCTTTCATCGTTAGAGTTGATTGCGCAAATTATTATCTACATATATAATTATAAACACGAAAGCAGGGAATAGTTGCTGTTTACAGTTTACTGCGACATGGTCGTATTTAAATTAACATGTCTGTGTCTCCTGATCGCGTTTTTACATGGGATTGGTGTAAGGATCAACAGATCCGTGGATCTCCAAATATTAACACAAACCATGGTTAAAAATCGCTTTCTTTAGGTCAACGGTGGATTCGAATTCACCAATGTAAACTGTACGTCCTTGGATAAGGAGTTCATGGATATAGGAGCATGCTTTTTAAAATCAAAAAATCGCACTTACAAGTATTTGACTATAAAAACGAAAATTCACCAGTTGCCGTTTAATGATCTTTCGGTAAACATTTCTCCAATATTGTAAAACCGATTCAGTGAATTAGTGTTGAACTTTTTGTAGGTAAGGATCGAGGTGTTAAAGAGGTTAAGTGGGTATAAGCCGTTTCTGTATAACTTCACTGCCGATATTTGCCAATACCTAAGAGGAAGGCCAAATCCATTGATTCGATTCTTTGTTGAATTGTTTGCTTCCTACTCTAACTTGAACCATTCCTGTCCCTATAATGTAAGTGGTACTCAATTATCCGTCTGTATTTGGTTATGATCGAGTAATTACAGCATGATATATTCGTGGAAAAGCTACCCATTAGCTTTGTGAATCATCAGGTAACCGTAATTCTTCCTGTTCCTGAAGGAGAATACTGTGTACATAGTGTTCACACGGTTCGCGGTAAACCACGCCTAGACCTAAAAGTTTTTGTTCGAATTTATTAAAATTATTAGATGTGTATATTACCAAAAAATGTTTTTAAATAAATTTAATGTCATAAAAGTATCTTTATAAAGCAATTATGTATAATTTTTTAGGTTGACTAACCATGTAATTATAGCAATTTAATAATAAATGATTGCAGCGTTCAAAACATGACGTTTTAAAAATCGTTTTAATAAGGTTGTATTATACAAGCTCATGAAAATTCTGTGGCAGCTTTACTTATTCCAGAAACAAAGTTATAAAGTATACAAATCCGATAAAGGTATTGCAAATGGGTGTTTCTTCAATATCTGGAATAAAACGTTAATAACCTTATTTTGAATCACATTTAAAACCCGCTTTGCTAATTTGAAAAAATTTTTATTATTATTATTATTTATTATTTTTTGATGATTGAACCTTCTCAAAGCGCCATTTTCAAGGTTAAGGTTGGTCGACCTTTAAGTCGTCTTACTTACTTCCTGTTTTTCTTTAGTGTTCGGTGTTAAAAATTTTACCCAAAAATTGGGATTAATACTTGACCTTCTCGTTTCCCAAGTTATCATCATGCTATCCCCTCCTTTTTTAATACGAGTTCAAACCATAACGTACCTATTGGGATAATTTATAATTTTCAGATCCGAAAATTCCTGTAGTGGTAACCGCTAACATAAGCGAGTGCACGGATGATAGTGACCCACCAAAACTGGCTCCCGATAAGCCTGGAGTAACCGAAAAGTGCATCACGCCGGAGCCAAGCAGAATCCGGGAGCACTGCGATCACTTGGACTCATCGGTAGTGAACACCAAGCAGCGGAGATCGCGGACGAACTTCACGCTGGACCAGCTTAACGAACTGGAGCGACTCTTCGAGGAAACGCACTATCCTGATGCCTTTATGCGCGAGGAACTGAGTCAGAGATTGGGTCTCAGCGAAGCTAGAGTGCAGGTAATTATTTCTACGAGTCAAGTCCATAAATTGTCCCCGAAATCACAATTTGACAATGAAAATGTCCGAGTAGGTCGGGCCCTTTGGACACTATGGGGCACAAATTGATTTTCAATGGATATTCATTACACTTGTACTAATGACAACTAGACATTGTCTCCCCAAGTTCGGTACGAATGTGAAAGCATTGACTTTGATTTTCAACCACCGACGCTGTGAAAAATATGGGGTGTTAAGTGGTTTACGCCACCCTTTGCTGTCTAGGATACGAGTAGGAAATTGTTAAAGCATCAGGGGGCCGGTTAGAGATTAAATGCTCAATCAGGGTGCCCCGGCAAATAGACACTATGTGGTCATGAAATATGTAGATACGGATACGAGTACCAGCAGGAGTGTCACAATTTTTATGGCCTGTAATAAATTGTTTCACTTTTCAGAACTTTGAACTTGCTAATGAGAACTTAATAGTGATAATGTAATGTTTTAGAAGAATTAATGACCAACTCAGCTATAATAATGCTCAGCTATCTTAAAGATATTTTTTATCAATACTTTCAGGTTTGGTTTCAAAATAGAAGAGCAAAATGTAGAAAGCACGAAAACCAAATGCACAAAGGTGAGCATAAAATGACTTATTATTTAATAATAATACTGGTACTTTGGGAATCCTGAACACTTAAATAAATCTTTAGATCTGCGTTTTTACTTCACAAATACCTTATTACAGTGAAAAGCATTAGTTTTCTTTTTTAAACTGTGCCCAATCAACCACGCTCTAGCCAAGTTTTCCTCAATTAAGCTTAATTAAAGTGTAAATTGCAATTAGTTAAGTACACAAAAATCAGGCAGGACCATTTACATTTGGAAATGCAGTTCATTTTCTGGCTTATCAACTCGTGGAGCCAATATGTTACGGTTTCACAGTTATTTAAATGTCTCTTCATTAATTCATTTGGCTATCCTTGCCATCCTTGCAACCCTCGTTTCCAAGGACTTATCCCATTCATCAACTCCCCAGCTCGCTCAATAGAATTTGTATTCTCCAGTTTTATTGCCCGAATATTTAATTTGATGAAGTTAGCAATGATTTGTGTTGCTGTCGCTAAAAAAACGCTTTCATTTTATGTATATTGCCGAAGGGATTTGGCTTGTTTCGTTTGTAAAATTTGAGCAGATGGGATTGTGAGAATTGATTATAATTCGAAAAGCAAACAAACGCTGTAAATAGCAAGGTGTGTAAAAATACGAAAAAATATTTACTAAATTTAGTGGTACGCCAATCAAAACATTTATGAGATTCGAAATTTACAAAGTAAGCTTGTCATTTAATTTAGTTGCTACATAAAAATAAATCTGAACAAATTCAAGCTGCATGGGCCATTTGCGATTAAAGAGCTTTACCTAATTGGATTAAAAGATAAAATCTCATTTATCAAATTCCCGCCTAATGTTGCCGTATTTCAATACTGGACCTCGGAGCATAAAAAAAGTTTCAGAAATGTAATCAAATTGAAATTTGGCATAAAAAGCTCGGCAGACACAACGAATGGGCAGCACTTTATGGGTTCATATCAATTCTCAGGCTTTTTGCCGCCGGTGAACCACCATAAACAAGACGTTAACCTGGCCTTCGGTCCCCGGAGAGCCATTTGTATGTGCTCCAGGAGTAACACGTCCCTGTGGTTGAATCCTGCAGCCTCTGGGTTTTGGGGCGTTTTCCGTGCAATAAATTACAAAATGAATTCAATTACTTGTCACTGAATCTTAAAACGATTTGCCAATCTAGAAAGTATGTATGTATATCCATGGGTATGCACATTTTTTAACACCAGGTTATCTGTAGTAATGTAGGGTAACAATATTACATTTATTGATGAAGTACCTGCACAAATGACAACTAATAAAATAAAAATATTGCAGAAGTTGGTATCTCCTGCCATATAAAAAATAGTTCTTATTATAGATATTATTAAGATACTTTAAACGTAGATTACTTAACATACTAATACCTAATTATAAAATCAGTTGGGTGATTTTAATACAATTATTTATTTATAATTTGTTAATTATAATTGTACCTTACGAAATAAATCCTTTGAATTTATTAATATTTTAAAAAATACTTATTAAAAATCGAAATAAAATTTAAGTCTGAAAGTAATCCGGTTCCATATTTGAAAATCTAGTATACTCGTACTACCGGAATCTTAACAAAAGTAGTTTCTATTTAATATCTTTTACTTTCTTTTTTTATATAACAGCTATAATTTAAATAAATAATTATTTTTATATAATGCCAAACCACTACTACATATTATTTTTATTATCTACATTTCCCAAATTACCCAATTTCTTAGTTAACAATTAAGCTTAACGCATCGTATGTAAACATATTTTTTTTAAGGATTTTTAGTGGGTAGTCGAAGTCCTCCAATCGCTACTCCTCTGGAGCCCTGTCGCGTGGCACCCTATGTTAGTTTGGCCGCCCTTCGCAGCTCATCCGTTCCATCACATCCTGCCACTGCGACAAGCTCGAATCCCCAAACACCCAGTGTAACTAGCTCTGGCAAAGTGCTCAATGTGGATTCGCCCCACACTCCGGCGATATCGCGTTCGGCCATTAAGCAGTTTTCTAGCACTGTTGCAGCAGCCGCCGCCTTTTCGGCATTCGATCCAGCGATTATTTCAGTGGCAGCTCATCAGGTAAAATGGCAAGCAATAAATAATCACATCCCATTAATCACATCATAAAATATAATGCTGAATAGGTATACTTTTAGCTTAAAACTTTTAAAATCGATTTTTGATTTCAATTACATTAATCTACAACTCTTTGTTAATGAAATCAGTGTAAAACATAATTAAATTGATAATACTTTAAAGTGTACCTTCCCTACAAGTTAGGATCCTACACATAAATGGCCCGAAAGACATCAATAACATTTTTTTAAATTACAGTATGCTGCCGCTATAACCAATGGAACCGTGCCAGCTGGACTTTTTTCCGTGCCACAATATTCAATTAATCTGGCTGCTTTCGCCGCCGCTCATAGCAAGAGTTCTTCAATAGCCGATTTAAGGATGAAGGCCAAGAAACACTCGGAATCATTAGGGCTTCAAGCAGATATGGTTCTTTAGTAGACAGCTTCACATATGTAGATTATAAAAGTGTACATTCAATTGATGGTATGGTAATATTCCGTCTGCCATCGTTATAAAAAAGGATAGCCACATTTATTTATTTAATAAAAGTTTTACTTAATAAATCTAATGATTAAGATTGATTTAAAAACAATATCGACAAATAAAAGAACTGTTTTTTGAACGTGTTTTTGGGTCTTATCTTATGATTGTTATTTCAGTTGTTCTTATTTAGAATAATTTTAAAACAATAAATAATAGCAGGACAATATGAATTTTATTAACAAGGCTAAAAAAAATTTTTCCTTTTTAAAGCTATGGCAATTTTAAAATATTACTTTATATAAATAATAGCGGCAGCATTTGATTTAAAGCATTACTATGAAGGTATTTAAAAAATTTAAAATTAAGTATAACTATTTAAAAGATTATAATTATTTTTAGCTGCAGAAGCTTTGGACTGGTTTTTTAGTAAACTTCGATTAAAACACGTAATGAAGCAACCTAAAATAAAAATTATTTAATGTTTTCAAAACAGAATAGTAGTTTTAACTTTTTTGATTAATCATTTTGGGATCATCTACTTAGTTTCTATATTTTCCAATTAAAATTTCAGAAAACTGTGACTTGTGCAGAGTTAGATATGTGAACCTGAAAAAAGCATGTATTGAAAAGCTTTAACTAATATTCCAAAAGAATTTTTTATTTCGCCATCACCCAAGCAGAACAATTGGTTTTAATGTTTTAATTTAATTTCAGGCTTTTGTTTTTAAAATGGAATCATTATAGCATAATAATAAAGAATTCACTAAAATACACTTTTTAAAATACCCGATAAATCTGGTGTTAGTAGAATTAAACAGGCGTCTAAATAACTAAAAAAAAACTCCTATTTTCTTCGACCTAACTTTTCTAAAAGAAACTCCTTTAAAGGCTGATAGTATTGGTAGCGCAAACAAAGCATTTCCGGAGAGTTCCGCAATTGCTCAAAAGCTTCCGACTCGGATTCCATTATAAACACAGCCGTTCCGGCCATCGCAAAAGCCACAAAAATAACGGACGGTACGAAGGCGTGTAGCAGGTGGAATTTGCGAAACTTCTTCACCTTCCGATTGGATTTATCCCCATTCAGGAATTTATCGGAAGGCGAACTAGAGTTCAAGGCGGCATCGGGATGTCCATAGTACAGATTAGGGGAGTAGGATCCATGTTGCTTCACTTCGTTATGTTTCCTCGGATGATCGTATCCATTGACAGTTAATCCGCTTTCAGTGGAAGAATGTTCGACGGAGTCGCGGTAGGTGTAGCCACCGATTTGGGTCGCCAAATAGTTAACCCCCTCAATATTTGACGACCTTAGACGAGCCTCCTCGCAAACGGGCTCCAGGCTGGATATCTGAATACCACCATTAACCTCACTCATTCCGTGATCCTGCCCGTAGAAATGACCATTCGGCATGCCGTATCCCAGGGGCTCCGACATCGTTGATCTCGGTAAACTGCTGTATCCTAAAAAAGAAATGCGATTTATTACTTTTTGACTTTAAAAAAAAAAGGTACAACATATAAAAAACAACTTACTTATTTGTGCTAAATCCCCTTGTGGACTGGACGGCGTGGCTGGTACGCTACTCGCTTTTCGCTTGCTTGAATTAGAATTATTTATTTTTTGTTCCCGCAATGCATTTATGTTTTCAGTCAAAATTTCGCGCTCAGTTCTTCCGGTGTATCGGAATTTTGTGCCCCAGGAGAAAAATCCTCCACCTGAAATCACAGCTGCACTTTGGCTATTGGGTAATCTAAAAAGATCAAATCAACTAAGTATAAATTGATCCGTTTTAGTTATATAACTGCTTACGTAAAGAACAGCATTTGTTCAATGGCACATCTCCACAAGTATCGACAAGCAGCGCCTGTTGGACACTTAAAACCCACCGTATGTTTTTTCTACAAATCATTAGAAATAACTAACAAAAAAAATTGATAAAGGAAATATTATAGCTTACAGGTTCACGGCTAGCGTCGGTATAACTTAGATGTGCTATGAACATTTTGCCTTCAAAATTTATTTTATGTATCTCATTCCAGCGAAAGTGTTGAGATCGTTTGCCGGTAACGAACGTACTAATACCCGAGTTATTTATTCCGATATACTGCTGCGATCCCCGGTGATCCTTGACTGGATGGGGATCAATACCGTAGGTTTCCAAGCCGCGTGCTATGCCTAGGAATTCATCCATTGCCAAGGAAAGATCCTGTCCAGGCTCCCGCTTTTTATGAAGCTCGATAATCTTCTTTTCCAGATACTCTGTCTGACGTAGAGCTAATTCTATGGAAGATACATAACCCCCTATGTGCACATCTTCGTTATAATCGCCAAGTTCCTCTGTAAAAATAAATGTATAAAAGTATTTCAGCTACCCGCATCTTGATGATCTTTAGCTTTACCTTGAACAATTAAAGCACCTAGGGCAGCCGCCTCGCCCAAGGAGCAATATAGTCGACCATGTCGAAGGTCCCTCTTTAATTGCTGATATAGCATAATCCGTGCATTCCCAGTCAGCCGAAATGGATCTGCTGGATAAAACTTAACTCGTAGCGAAAATAATAGTGGATCCATTTCTGTAAAAATAAAATACTTTGTAATTAAATTATAAAAAAATCTTATATTTTTAACTAACCTTTACATTGCTTTATAATGGATTTGGACAGGTCGAGCCAGTGCTAAATAAAATAATAAAAAATTATTATTTGTTTATATATTTTTTGACAAAATCCTTTACCCTTTGTTTTGAGGAGTCTACATATCGCAAGCCAAAGTAATCTTTTTCCTTTATCTCTAACTCCCCACACAAGTACTCCAGTAAGTAAATACCTTTATGGAACGGCTGTAAATAAAATATATGTATTTATTTTATATATATAAAGCTGGAAAAATTAATCAAAAGACTTGTTACTTTACGTTAAAGATCAAAAACTTGCTTTATGAAACATATTTCAAACAGTTTTATAATTTGTTTATTCAAAAAATCTTTTACACCCTCACTTATTTCTTTGGTTGAACGTTAAATAAAAATATTTTGCTTTTTAAAATATAGCCTAGAAAGATTTTTTTCAGTATTTACTTATTTACGTTAGCTCATTGCAAATGCTTGATAATCATGTCTTTAAGGGATTATTTTGGGAAAGCACACTTTTGCCGGCAGGCAGAAAGGGCGTTAGCCACCCATCTGTTTATGACACAAGCTTACAAGACAGAAAATACAAATAAAGTATTTTATTCATATGGATTTATTCAGGACTCTCAGTATGTTATAAAAATATATGTTACATTTATTTCGGTTTTATTTATAAGTTATTTTTGGACAATAAGTCTCGTGGACAAATGGTTCTTGAAATAGCAATATATTTATTTATTTATAATAGATAGCAAATTGTATTGCACCAATTGCCAATGAGCTTAGTAGACAGTGGTTTTAAACCACAAGTTTACTTCAATTTAGTTAAAAAATACAAAGTTCCAAAACAATACAAACCTGAAATTCACATTCTAGGACATCGGAATCATCGAGGAGTCGCACAGTGCATTTGTAGACAATATTTCCTTCATTTTTGCTCCTAAACATTTTGTTGATTAAAATGAATAAACTTTTTCACTTTTATTGCTACTTTCACTTTAGCACAAATCACTTAATAGGGCGGATTGAATTGGAAAGTTTAATTCAAAGCCAATTTCTGATTGCTGGACATTTTGTTCGTTATTTTACTATCCAAATATTTCGGCTATGCCCGTGTCCTTTTGCCGTCCTTTGCTTATTCCCGTTAAGGGTGTTTTTCATATGGGGAGGATACTAACAATATAAAGCACCAAATAAGGACAATCGCCTGCGCTGTGTATTTATACAGATGTGACTATTGGTATATTGTAGCCCATGGGTGCAATATACTAAAATATGCCTGACAAATATATTCCACAAAATAAATAATATATATTTATATCAATAAGAAACATTGTAAGAAAAGGAAGGCATTCAAATAAACGTTTTTATTCGATATAAATTCATATATACATATGATAAAAAGTGTGGATATGTTATCTACCGATAACACCGATTGTCGCTTTACTAATGCGACAACCAATTAAAATAAAACAATCCGAGTAGGTAGGTTAATCATCAAATTTATTTCAAATAAATGTTCAGAATATTTCCAAGCCAAAAAGCCTTTATGAAATAATCGTCATAAGTTGAATGATCAATCTTCACCACTTAATTAAAGGCTAACTTCAATAAACTCTACATCGTTACACAGAATTGCTTCAGACTCTTTTGCAGCTATTACTTGTCCAATTTTGAATGATTTTTGCTGACCTTTTGTAATTTTATCAAACTCCTGGCAAAATTTATCAGCCGAATCTGGGGAAAGACAAATTAAAAGACCTCCAGAGGTTTCTACTGATCTTCCTGAACGGAACTTTGTGCTTTGGCCAATCAAAGAACTAAATTTGAGTACATTTTTAATAATTGGCAATTTGTCAATTTTGAATAAGACCTTTTTCTTTTGGAAATGAACTAGGTTATTGGCATGACCCAACAACCCAAAACCCGTAATATCCGTAGCACAATGCGCTTGATATTTGTGCATTAACAATGCCGCTGAAATAAAAAAATGTTTGTCAATTTCACAAATGGAGTATAAAAACATTTCATTTACCGTTTTTGTTCAAATAAGTCATCGATTTAACTGCTATTTGGAAAGTTTCCCTTATATCATCGTCACAACATTCAGATATCAGTGTGTTGTACTTTTCAGTTTTGTTAAGTTGCCAAAGGTGAGCATCCATCGCCATCTGACCTCCCAAGGGTTTTGTAAGGACCAAAACATCACCAGGCTGGGCATTAGATGGCCTAAGAATAGAAAAAATAATTTTATATATATTCAAATATATATTACTTAAAATAATACTTACAAAATTATCTCATCTCTACGGCAGACAGATGTGGCTATGCCACCAACAATGCACCAAGGATTTATCTTGAGTTGTTTAATAACTAGTGGGGTTTTATGATAACCATTTTGGTTTAAGGAGTTTTTAAAACCCTTTATAATCAATGAAATTACAGTGTCTTGTTCTTCATCAGAAAAGCTTGTTGATGAACTGACAATTATTTCCACAGTATCAAAATTCGTCACCCCAACAGCATAGACATCACTTAAGACATTAGCAAGTGCAATACGTCCTAATAATTCCGGATCATTCACCATAGGATAAAAAAAGTCAACACTTTGAACGAGTAAGTATTCTTTGTGCCGGTGTAGAGGTATAACTGCACAATCCATTCCAGAGCCTAAAAATATGATTTTAATTTTTTTTTTAATTATCTCATCATTAATAGTAGTTGTATCATATTATAGTATCTCTTACCGATAAGATATCCATCATTGTTCTTACTAGCTATTTCTGTTCCCCTTAGATACTTTTCAAGTACTTTTTGGGGGATTTTACAGCTTCATCCAGTGTGGGTGGTAAATTTGGTTAACTGAAATCCGGGCTCAAGCCCATACTTTTCAGGTCGAAACATTATGTGCACGCTTCGAAGATCTGACTTGAAAAACAGCTGGTGTAAAGTAAATAGTATGCCTGGCTAGTGATGGAAACAAATAATTGGTTGTATCGATATTTGACTCATTCAGATTGAAGATTCCATTTCGATATTGCGAAAGATCAGCTGATTTAAATTCCATTTATTTATTTCTTTTAATAAAACATTAGTTTACAAATATGTTATGGAAATCATCTCGTAATTAAAATTTCTGGTTGAGTTAGTTTTAAAATAAATAATTCATGTTTTTAAAAGCTATACATGACTGTTAAAAAGTGTATTTGATACTGAAACATAGGGTTTGTATCCTAAAATTACATAAAAAAATTTATGCAAGCAGTTTTTTAATTTCGTCTTTTTCCGCTGCCTCAAGGTAGCTTTGGCCATCTGGAGTAGAACCATTTTTATTTGCTCCCTGCAATAAAAGTTGGATAAATTAATATTTGTAAACTTAATTCCAAAAAATAAATCAAACCTTTTTTAGAAGAAACTCCACACAGCTCGTATGTCCCTCCCAAATGGCAGCAAGAATAGGGGTAATACCATGTTTGTCTTTTCTCTAAAAATAAAGAAATATTTTAATGAGAAAACCGGCATTTGGTAGGGGCCTGGTTTATACATATATGTACATAAGTTTCAAGTATGACTAAACGAAGTTAAGAGGTGCAAACGTGTATATATGTATGTTACCAGAAATTTTCACATAACTGACATAATTTTTTTAATTCACAATCATGATAATATAAGCTACTTACATCGACGTCGGCTCCTATATTAATAAGAAATTGTAGGACATTCAGCTGACCAAAATCTGCCGCATAGTGTACTGGGAATCGGCCCTTAATTTCCTCATTCACCTTTTGTGCCTATATACAAGTATATTAAATTTATTTTTTATTTATTTATTTTTATATTGTCAAACACACATCATTTTGAAAGGCAGCTTGTACAGCGTCAAATTCCCCGTTTTTTATGGTCCAAATAATGTTTTCATTAGAAATTCCACTCATTTTTTTTTTTTAGTTCGACTTGACGGCTAGAGATGGACTTTGAGTATGACACTTGTCCAGATCCGATAATTTTTTGCCATATTTGGAATGCACAATTTATTTGGGTTTTTTTTAAGTATTTTTAATTCAGGTGATTTTATAAGTAATGTTCCATGTTAATTTAAAATATTTTTTTTTAAAAGATACCAAAACAGAAATACAGTATTTTAAATTATTTTATTTTTATTAATTAAACGAACAATACGTTTTGATGGACATAAGTAAAAAATCACAATTTTGTGTGGAATTCATATTTCATAAATTATCCCCAATTTTTTCATTGAATGAATATTGTGCAAACAACAAGTTGTAAGATGGGAAATTGCAACATTGCATGTCCGTTCGTTTCCAGTGCGATCCTTTGGAGTATTCTACTTCCAACTCCTTCATAGTTTCGTATGCCAAAGAGCACTGTTGCGCGAAAGACAGATGTTTTTTATGAAATTTTAGAAAACGCAAACCAAAAACTTACCTTATTAGCAAAAATAGTAACGATAAACTTTCCAGGCTTGAAAGTGTTGATAACTTGATTAATAAGTTTTCTATAGTTACTCAATGCGACATTAGTTTCAAAGCTCACATACGAAAATTGATTTTCTGGAGTAATGTGAATTGTCATGTACTCTCCCTGAAAAATAAATTTATTAAATTAAAATATATCAGTTTAAGTAATCTATTAGATTTAGAATTATATACTAGATTTAAATTTGTTAAATAAATAATATATATATTACCGTAGAATGTTTTACCTTATCATTAATTCCGTTCATGGAATATCCACAAGGATCAAATAGAAAATCGTCAATCTGCATACTCGGCAAAATTGTATCAATTCCAGATTTCTAAAAAAAAAAACTTATATTTTTTGCTTTTTTTCTCTAAGGTGTCGTCTTACCACTGTAGCCTCGTGGGCATTATCAAATCTGTTTTTGTAAAAGATCGCCATAGTTTCGGGGTCTAGATCTTGCATGAGTATTTCAATAGTTTGGTCTGGATCAGGATCCGAGTCAACACTTTTCTCATCCGTTATGTGTTCAGTGGAAATTTTGATATCAGAACGACTAAATGTATACAGATACCAACACTCTAGGTTCATAGATCCCAGGCAATAGGATCTTCCATTCGGGAAAATGGAATCCAGATAAGTAACTTCCTCAGTAAATCCTTGATGTGGAGTTATCTAAACGACAAAACATTTTAGTGATAACATAATATCCATAATATAATAATCTATGATAAATATATTTACTAACCTGTACTTCTGGTCTAGTAAAGTTCTTTCTCGAGTAGAACAAGTCTGCGACTACATCGAAACCGTTAGCTTCCGCTAGTTTCAACAATTGACTCAAACATTTAAGAGGAGTTGTCGTTCCGCAAGTTTTAAGAATCCAACGTCGCTTTGAAACAAACATACTGCTTTCGCTATACCGAATTTAAATCGCAAGAAGATAGATTTTATAACGACAGCAAATATAAGAAAATATAATATACATTTTACTTCAAAAAAAAAAAAAAAAAAGCGACAATATTATAAATATTAATACCTTAACACAAAAGCATCTATAGCGTCGTTTTTTGAAGTGCTTATTATTTCACAGTTTACGTTGCTAAGCACGCTTTCCCAATCAGATCTGAAAGAATAACATTTACATTCGTTATAAGTACAGATTTAAGAGCAGGCTGCTACGCCCAAATTTAAATTTGAGATTAGGAACTTCTGCTCAAGTGGAAAACATTATCAATTTAAAGGGTCAAACAATATATAAATTGTGAGCCCTTGATAAAGCTCTAAAGATCAAGTGAGCCCAGCTCCTCACCTCAAAAATTGTCTTCTGTCATTAGTTTTTACAAAAATAATATTGTTCTAAAGTTAATTGATTTAACTGTTTATTACCATTTTATGAGAGTAATATAATATGGGATGTCAGCTAAAAATTTCGTAAGATTTCGAATCGCTGCACGTGTCTGATAAGCAGATGATACCCCAATTTTAATCTTATTGTTTAAGTCACTTCTAAAATGTTATTTCCTTATAAAATATAAGTTTAAAGTAAATAAATATATTTTTAGCACAAAAAATACTTTTATACGTGACGGTACATGAGGCGTTGTAATTTTGGCTAAGTGGGTTCGAATTCTCGATTTACTTACCTGCTAATTTTACGCAGATCATTTTCGATGTTAGAGCTTTCCTCAAACCAGATTTCAAGGAGTTTTTCAACCCCCTCAAAAAAATGTTCACCGTTCTCCAACATGGTGTTTGGCAATAACAGATGGATTGTATTGATAACAAAATAACGCTTGGTGATGTAAAATAAACGATGGCACTATCGATGGAAACTTTGTATTGTATTTGTTCGATATTTTTCATATCGTTCATAAAACAAATGTATAGCGCATCTCCACCGACACATTTACAAATATTAGTGTCTTTAGATTATGAATATCAACCGTTGAAAATCCAGCAAAAAAATGTATAGGTAATATTTTTGTTTATTTTAGAGAGGTAGACTTTAGGAACGGCTGCTCTAAGTTCAAAGCTTCATCAGAGAACAACCAAATAATTGTTTGTTTACTTAACACAAACATATATCCAAAACCTCCATTGATAGGCAAGTTTAGAGAAAAACACAGGGATTTGATTTACATTTTACATTAACCAGTTTATTGTGATTGTTAAAAATTGTATAGAGTATTTTATTTGAAAAAATAAATGAGTAATATTTTTGTATCTTAGCCTATTATGAAGTCCTTATTTTATTTAGACGATTTATGTAGATTCGAAAACAGCATTAAGTTTTTTAGTTTCTTATAATTGTATATAATTTAAATATTTCCTTGAAAAGTTTGCATTGCGTGATTATTGCTTTTTGCATAGTTTTACTATTAAAATGTTTTGTGGAGATTATTATATTATCACATGATTTTCGTATAGGCAAGAGATTTAAAACATTATTTATTTTTTAGCTTTAGAAGTTGTTCAATTGCAAAGACAGCTGAAAAAATAATTGTTAAAACTGAACTTTTCATTTTAATATAAGCAATTTGTGTTATTAAAAAATTAAAAATACTGTAAAATGGTTTTAATAAATATAAATATAATAAATTTTATTTTTAATTTAATTGCATTAAGTATTTATGTCCTTTCTTAAGGTCTATATTTAGTGTGATATTATTTAAAAGGTTTGACATACTGGTTCAATTTTTATACCTCTTTTACACTAATAAGTATTTTGGTATTAGTTTTTAAAGATACAAATGAATAAAATTTAGTTTTAAAGAATGAAAAATTTTTATTAATAATCTATAAGTATTTTTAATCCTATACCTTTTGTTTTTTTCTTATGCGACCTCATAAATAAACAAAATGTGTGTTAAAGGGTTGTTTTCGAAAAGTGAATAGGGGAATATATTTGGCGTTTTATGTTAACTTTGCATTATTTTCACTGGAAACAAGGTTAAGCGGTGCGGATAAGTCCGCACTTTCACAGGTATCATTAAACGCCGGCAAAGAATTTGACTTCTTCCGCCTTAATAAAATATCTTTAAGTGCTGCTGTGGTTTCGGATTCATCGATTTCCTTTTTGAATTTCTAGAATTGAAAAATAATAGGTATTAAATGGATAAGAAATAAATTATTTTATTGTTAGGCTATACAACCATTTATTCAAATAAATTTTAACTATAGATGATCTGCTTTTTTCGAAATGAAAAATTAAGAGTATGTAGTATATTAACACTTATTAATAAAGATCATGAATCCATATAGGTAGGAGATTATAGCCAGAATTTTCGGGCAGAATTTTAAGTAAATAAATAAATAAATAATATAATTATATACGTACATTTAAAACCAGACCAGGAATATCAAGGGGTTCCCTAGACGTCAAGAATTCTGGTTTTGTTGGTTCCATTGAAGGGCATGATGACATTTGCTTGTGCTCTGTAAAATAAATATAATTTTTAATTTTTCTAGGCAAGTGATAAACTCTTTGATCAAGTGAAACTTGTCAAATCTAAAGTGAATTGAAGTATGACAGATTCAAAATGTGAGCAACGTTGAAAAAGTGGAAAAATTATATATATTATAGCCAATATTAAAATTCTTTAAGAAAAACTTACTTTTTTTGGATCGCTCTAATTCTTTAGGACGCCTGCGTCTAGTGTGTATGGTATCGCGTCTCATCGAATGAGGCCTGTTGACCCCATGCAGTTTGAAATATAATCCGCAGGCGTTGCAAACCATTTCTCCTCGAACACTTCGCCTCCAAATTGTTGTAGTTAGGGTGCCACAATTCGAACATGACATATCTTTTTGAGCACCAGGTATGGCATTAAAAAGGTTTATGTTCTAAAGAAACGAAATTATTTGGAGAAGCTATAAATAATACGTTTGACAATAAAGATAACTCTGATAACTTACCCTTTTATCTTTTTTTTCCTCTGGAGCTGCTTCTGAAGTGGTATAAGTATCAGTCACATTCTCATTAACTACATCAACACAATCAGTTTTGGTAGGAAAACTTTGTTTTCTTCTACATGGTTTTGATTTGCTGGATTGAGCCTCTGATAGATCCTGAGAAATATAAATCAAATTTATAGTGTTTCCTACAAATTCTATTATAAAATTATAAATATACCTTTAATAGTGCTATGGGTTCTTCAGGTACTTTTGTAAATGATACTGTTGGCGGAACCGGAAACACGAAAGACTGGCTCATCATGCTTCGAAATATTTGTGTGGCCGGATTTTCTTCTTTGCCTTTAGCTATAATTTAAGAAAAAAAGTATCAAGATTATAATTCGGCAAATATAAATATTTACTTTGTAATAATAGTAATTAATTGACTCTTATTCTGATAATATCGCTAAGTACTTACCGGCTGATCGGGCAAGTGCTTGCCACAGTTGAGTAGTTGCCGCATCCGTTGCGTGATCCGAGCTTAGACTATCCGGGGTCTTTCTGTCATTAATTGAGGACGTGATATCCATCTCCAGTTTGTGAGAGTCGGAGCTGTCGCCAGAGTCTAGTAAAGAGCCGGTACTCGCCTTCGGTGCTTTCGATTTGTAGTCGGACCCACCAACTTGGTTAATGGTAATACTGTAGTTTTGAAAATCCTCTTCACTTCTTAAGTGTGACTGAATATCAAGCATTGGAGTTTGGCAAAAATGGTTTATAGGGGCCGAGTTCCGTTGATTGGAGTAATCGTTCTTTTGTTTTTTGACGGATAAGTCAATTTCAACTCCGTCCTGAATTTCATTTTGGTTTAATGGACGTTTTGATTTTATCACAGAACTTTTAATACTTGTATCTACAACTGCAGAAAAACACGGAGATTGGGGATTCGAGCATGGAGGGGAAATTACAATTTTTTTGCTTATATCCATTAAAACAGCAGCGGTTTCTAGCTGCTGCTGCAGATTTTCATATTTCTCGATTTCCGAGTCCTTTTGCAGATTTGAATCAAACTGGCTGTGTGAGGATCCAGACATTACCTTTTTTTGATCGCTTTTCATATTAATTGATTTGAATAAACTTGGATATAAGCTATGTGTTGACATATCTTGATTGCTAATCTCAATTTTTCGATCCAAACTAGTTTGGATGCTGGATTCTATTTTACTGTGGTCGTACTTAACTTTAGAAAACGTGCTTAGCTCGGTCAGAGCCTTTGCCGCTATAGCCTCCGACGAAGCCTTTAAAATTGCATCAAGCTTTATTTCCAAATCATTTGCGTCCTGCAAAAAAGTAGTTGTTAGTTAGTTAGTATCCCAGGACTATGTTTAACAAATAGGTCTTATTGGGTGTCACAGAAATCTCTAAAAACCTTGAGTGAACGTTTCCAATTGACTTCGAATTTCTTCGAAGCTTCCCGGCACCTTATTTTAACTTTAATTAAAAGAGTTTTTGACAAAAAGACTTTTATAGCTTTAAGTGACAATATTTTTAATAACCGTAGTTTATAACAAAACTTACTAATTTGCAACTTTTTGATATATCTAAAAATTCTTTCAAAGCTTTTTGTGAATTGTGCGCCATGGTTCGAAATTTTTCAAAAGAATCCAATTTTTGTCTGCAGTCGCCACAAATCACTTTGGGTAATCCATCGATAGGCAGTACCTAAAAAAAGGGTAACGGTTTTTTTTTTAATATAACATGAACATTTAATATTGAATTAGCTTGAAATGTGGATGATGCAATGATTAGAGAGTAAGGAGCGACAAAGTCGATCTTTGAGTTTCCCTGTTTATTTGAATGGCCAAACAAGAACAAACTACATAGACAGCTGAAATTGGTAAATAACTATTTCAGAATATAAACTTTTGTATATTTATCAGTTTTTAAACGGAGTATTGCCTTTCTTGGTTGAAGTTACATCTGGAATTCATTTAATTGACAATTAATTGACATATGTCCCTTACAAAAAGGTGTTTAGATTTTCGAAGCCAATAAAAACCATTACAGAATTGAATATCAATAAAAAAAAATATTTTAAGTGCTTAAAAAGACACTCATAATTGTGGACTTCAAATGAAATCAAATGCGGAAAAGAATACCGTACTTAGGAAATGATCGAATTCAGTGGGTTTAACCAATGTACACATAAACAAATGAAACTAACTATTTTGTTGCATTGTGTTGTATTAAAACCGAAAGTAAATACATAGGTAATATTTAGGCCATATAGAGTATACGTTGGTTTATCTGTTGTTATGAAAACAATCAAATTGCTATAAAGCGAATGTTATCTGTGGCATGGATTAATGTAGGTCTCTAACGCGTTCATACGTAGGCATGTATGTACATATCAATATTTACATTCGTGTGCTGGACACTGATGTACGATTAAAGTGGTGTGCGTGGGCCATTGCCTCGGAATGGTTCATCGAAAAAATACCAAACAATTGATACCGATTGTTAATAGGCCATGGGATAAAAGCGGCCCAATCATTTCCTATTATTTTGACGTGTGGTGTCGTAATCACATAGATAACACACACAATCACACGGGTAGCACTCGCAAGCGTGCGATTGTGTGTGTGTGTGTGCGGGTATAACCCTATATATATACGCGATATATCCACCACACACACCGTATATCCAACGATGTGTGTGTGCGTAATTAATGTAAATTCGTTTCTTTGCAAATGTGTTGGATGGAAATCTGCTTACCTTAATAGAGAGATAGTTGAATATCTGAAATGTAAGATGTGATGATGAATCATCTCTGCCGTGCTCTTTGCCGTAGTTATCGGTTCCGCTTGTATTTGTTATATTCACACTTGTCTCTCCGCGCTGATTGTGATTATGTTCCTCTCGCGGCAGTTCCGAATTTGATTGGTTTTGGGATTTGGATTGGGCCTCCCCGCATGCTATATGCTCGTGGTTCGACGATGACTGAATTTTGAATACTGATCTTTCGGTAATGTCCGACTCCAATTGGCGTTCGCGTTCACTCGATTTTGTGTCCGCAGCAGAAGGCACACTTGGCGTGTAATGGATTTTAGTTTGATTTTGTGGAAGGTGAAGGGTTCTGACTTGGGTTTTGGTTTGGGACTGCGAATCGGGTTGATGTTGGCTTGGACCCGTTCCCGTTTCATTTTTGGTCAGCACTACGGGGGATACTGATAGCGAGTTATCACCGATGCAGCTGCACAGATTGGGGCTCAAAGCACTGCAATAGCAGCTAGTACGCTTCTCGTCTCTACCAAAATCTGTCGTGTTTCTGTCTTGGGCATTATTATGCGACAAAACATTGTACATTTGTAGTTCTGCAACATCGCACTCGTTAACCAATGTGAGGCACAATCGACAAACTTGACGAAACTTATGTGGTACATAATACATAATTAGAAATTTATATGTGTGTTGCACTGTGTAAAGAAACTTTTATACGCCTTTCCTTTTTCGAGATAAAAAAGATAACTTGAAAATAAATTATAAAATGAATGTAAACACTATTCCTCAATTTTTCATTGTCACAATCCACGTTCAGCTCACTAAAAATAATTCACTCCAGTGGTTCGCCATAGATTTTGCGTTCATTTGATCTAGTTTCCCGTTGAAATTACCAAACGAGGGCTCCATCGAAACTTGCATTAGCAGCATGATTCATCACGGTATCGCAATAAATAATTAATTATGTTAATATATTCCGGTGAAAAAGCATCAAGGTTCATTATAATAAAATAATAACAAATATATTGCTGTCAATTTTTAAGACCAAAACATTTGCCAAATGAACTAGTAAAATATACTAAACTTTAGTAACTAAAGGGAAGTATTTTGGTATTTTTATCGATAATCCATAAATTCACTAATGTTCAACCAAGATTATTAATACATTATTATCGTATCGTATTTTATTCCACAGAAATTAAAATAAAATTATTTAAAGATTATGCTTATGTATGAATTTTTTTTTATATAGAATTTTTATTTATAAGAAACTCCCTTAATTTGACTTTTAAAAATTTTAAAAAGTATAAAAGTAATGGTAAATCATTTCCGTGGTAAGATTATTTAATTATTAATTTGGATAAATAAAAGCAGTTCTATGAGGAAATAATTTTTTTCTGATGACCTAAATTTTATAATTATTTTTATATTTTTGTTAAGCTTGCGGTATTTTGTTGTGAAATACGCTGCCCGCATCGCTCGACAATTCCATCCGTTTCTGTAAATGCTATCGTAATGAAACGAGTGAGAATAAACAGCAATCTTAATGTACATGAATTGGCCACACTTAGTTTCATAATTCAAATAATTTTTCGAATGAATAATTATTATTATTATACTAAACAATTATCAAGAACGTGGAGTCATTTATTATTGTGAAGCAAGAAATATTTGCACCTCTGAGGTATGTTTTCGCTTCACGTAAAACAACTATTTTTTTTACAAGTTGAAGAACACTAAGTATATTTTTTTCGATACATTTTTCGTATCAATATAAATATTACTATCTCGGGGCTTCAGCTACGGCGACCGGTAGGACGTTTCCAAGACTACTAGCAGACTGTTTTATTGCGATGTAAGCTGAATCCTTCTTCTTTTCTTCTCCTGTGGGTTTGCTGAAATACCATTCCTTCTTGTTGGCCAGAAACAGCAACATCAGGGCGGGCAGGTGGATTAATGAAAATCGGAAAAGCTTCCGTGAACTTCCGCTATCCGATTTTTCATAAAACTTATATGCTGCAATACGAAAAAACCAATAATAACACTCATTCTGCAAAAAAGTGACGAAGAAAATATTTACCGAGGTAGGTGAAATACGCGTTCAGAGGTAGTGTTTCCAAAGCAAACCAATAGTTCGTGACGTCTAAAACTGGTGCCATTACCGACAGTCCGGCAATAGCCACCGAATATCGTAAGGCGGTGCGGCGACAAAGACCAGGATTTGTAACGGCCATCATCCGGTAGCCGGCACGCGAGTAATCTGGCCGGAGGTTCCATGATAGAGCGTTGAAGTGTGGGAACTGCCACGCGTAGAGAATTCCGGCTAGGATCATGGCTCCGGCGTCCAGAGTGCCAGCGCATCCAGCCCAACCCATCAGAGGAGGAATGGCTCCCACAATCGAACCGACCCAGGTGTTAACTATGCTCATTCGTTTCATGGGCGTGTAAATCGTGGTGTAGAGGAATAGATTTCCTGCTCCCAGCGCTGCTGTTAATCCATTTGCACCGAAATAAAGCATACTTAATCCAGCAGTTGCCGACACCGCAGCGAAGGTGACGGCGTGCAGAGGAGTCATTTGTCCCGTGACGAGCACTCGGTTCTTCGTCCTTGACATTTGGGAATCGAAAGGAACTTCGTGATACTGATTTATGGCATTTGCCGCAGCCGAAACGAGTCCGGTGCCCACGGTGCACATCGCAAAAGTGGTGGGATCAAAGGCAGCTGGTGCCATCGCATAACCCCCCATTGTTGTTATAACAACCAGAGCTGGAACGGAATAGGATCAACCTTAATTTTATGTTTGAAAAATTGGAACTTATCTAACTCACATGTCAGTCGGAATTTGGATAGCTTCTTGTACTGACTGAACGTTTTTCCGGGGATGGTGTACGGGCTCGGCATCCAAGAAATTTTAGTTTCTGGTAAATGCTGGACCTTTACCGCCTTGGACTCTGTCGGCAATGGATTGATACCTTTGTCATCATGGGCAGATATTGTTGCAGCAGTGGAGTACTGGAATAATTGCAAAAATTGTTATTTGTTAAGCATTGCGTAATGATTAAGAACCTCACCCGAATAAGCACCAAATCAACCGGCGTTTTTAGCTGGGTTTGCACCCTCCGAATTCCTTTGAATAATATCATTATTATTCACTGTGATTTAATGGCTTATGTTATTTCATTGTTCTAGTCGTGTTTAGTTTCAATTACTTTTAAACATCAATATTATGGTTTTTAAAAATCACATTGTGCTTAAGTGTTACCAGATCCTAAATTACAAAAATGTTGAGTGCAAAACAAAAGGGATATTCATCTTAAAAATGTCAAAAGAAATTAACCAACATGAAAATTACTATGATATATATATATAGCAAGATTTTAGATTTATTTTAGGTCGCTATTCGAAACAAAAAAAATCAGCTTCTTATAACTTTAAATTTGTATTAAAAGAACCTATGTTATATAACAAGTTAGAAATTAAAATAAAAAAGGAATTTAAATATATATAAAGGTTTAATATAATTATGTTTTATATATTTAAAACTAATAAATAACGTTTTTAGTATTATTATCAACACTATGGACTAGGGTCTTAAATTCCACGCATGCGTTAAACACGTAATTTGATTTATGTGAGTGGGAGACATTTTCCATATAAATCCAGGAAGGCCTAAAAGTCCTTGTAAGTCTTCATCGATTCAATATATTTAATTTTGATTTTTTTAAACAAAATAATTGTCTATTGTTAGTGAATAATAAGAATAATTGTTTAAGCAACTCATGCAACCTCAACTCATATAGCAGTAAATATTTTTTGGCAACTTTTACTAAAAAATCTTTGCCTATGACAACAATTGCTGCTCTTTAAAAATACAAATATTGTTATCAACGTGTTTGAAGAAAATTGACATCAAATCAAAAATCATTTTTTATGTGTTTAAGTGGATTGATTTGTAAATAAAAAAAAAACAATGTATATGGCAAAGTTCTTTAACAAGTAAAAGAAGTTACAAAGTACAACAATAAAAATACAAATTTTAAAAAAATTATACATTTTTATTTTAAAGTTAATTTTAAGCACGTTATTCAAATTGTTTATCATATAACATTAATTTTATTTTATTTAATATTAGATCACTTTATTACATAAATATTTATGATAGTGAACTTGAATTTTCATCTAGAAAACCTATTCAAATGCCAAGCTCAAGAATGGATATTTATATAACAAAGGGAATTACCAACCCCAACTATCCTGGATTTCAAAAATTTGCGCATACCCTCTCTGATGACTACATCGAGTACTCTGACATGGAATGTAATGAAAGTGATTTAACGGATAGTGACAGAGAAGATGACCAAAATACGTATCAAAATAAGGTTGTCAACCCAACAGGTTTGGAAACGTTCACAAATTCCGAAGTTTTGATTTCAAATGACTGTGAAAATGGAAACACATACTCATTAGAAGAAACTAGAAACAGATCGTCATCCTCCAATATACCCGATATTGTAAATAAGAACTATAATGCCAATTCGGAAAACTCAATGCGCACTTTAAATAAACCAGACCTTATTTATAACCTAAGTCAGAATTATGCGACCAATTCCAGACTTTTCCTCCTGGTCGTGTACAATTAATTCTAAATATGAGAGCCAACTGCAAGGACAAAGTCCGATTGATATCGTTGGAGATTTCGGTGGAGAAGTGGAGCGTGAATTTGAACTACTTATCACTGGATATAAAAACAAGAAAGCTCAGGATGGGTTACAGGGATCAAATTTGATAAAGGTTAAAAAATTATTCAAATAAAATCGACAAATGTAAGAAAATAAATTTTTGTTTTACAGATTTGCGATGCAGAACTATCAAATGGAACAGAAGCTTTAAAGCATACCCATTCAACGCGAATTTCAGGAAACACCATTAGGAAGAATAAAAAGAAAAATACACCTTATGGGTATGAGTTAATAAAAACTAAGCATCAAAAACCGTCACATGATGAGCGACAACTACCACCGGACACTTTCGACTATAAAACGTATAGCCAACGAAAATATATAATTTGTAATTCTGAAAGTTTTTCGGCAGCTGAAGAAAAGAACAAAAATGAAGTGCAGAGAATCAATCACAGTGAAATGCCTAGTTTGGGAAATTTGGAAATCGGTCAAAGCCAGGAACATCGTGAGGAAGACAATAAAAAGGTTGCAAACAGAAGGTATTTAAATCAGTCGTGCTGGTCTCAATATTTGGAAGATCCCATAAAGTATTCCAAAAACCGATCTTCTACTATGGTTTTAGGTAACACTTAAAAATAAATTATTTTTGTAAACTTTATTTTAAAATTTGCATTTAACAGAACAATTTGATGCATACAAGGTAGCTAATGATATGGACGTGGAAACGTTACAAAACCATTATAAAAAAGTTAAACAAATAGAAAAAAAGGTAAGTAATTATAATCTTAGAATTAGATTGCTAGCAAACACTAACGAATATATTTTTGACTTTTCAGCGTCGCTTCAATCGAGATGAAATACGTAAAAGGTTGGCAATCGGAGATAAAGATCCTTTAAATAATGGTAAGCAAAAATGAATCAACGTTATTTGCATGCGAAGAACATTTTTTTTATCTTATTTGTATTCTCAGAAATAAGAAAAGAGGAATTTTTAACTGGTTCCGACAATGAAAGTTATAGTTCTGATTCTGAAACATGTCCCAAACTATCAAGTGGTGTACAACGCAAGCAATCTGATTTTTGTGAAACTAAACGCAATAAGGAATTTGAAAACGATAAAATATTTCAAAAGAACCAAATAAACCAAGAAAGAATGATGAATCATACGATTAATGGAAACACTGTTCAAAAAACAGATTTTGAATCAAATGAAAATTTGTTTTTCTTTGCGAACCAATCAAAGCTCCAAATAGAGGTTAGAATAGCTCTAGCTCAATCTAAAGAAATAGCACAGATGAAAGTTAAGGTTTGTTTCGTAATATATATATATATATGAATTAGTTTCTGTATTAAGGATATAAATATACATTTTTAGGCGAAGAAACATGGCGTCACACCTATTGTGGATGTAATTCGTTCAATGTTGTGTGATGTTGGTGTAAAAATGGATTCAAATCATCGATGGATATCAAGACAGTTGCTCACTGGAATTCAAGTTCCGATTCTACAAATATTGGTTAATAATCTCCAGGAGTATATTGAAAACTTAAATGTTACTCTACTAGAAAGCCTTAAGGAAAGAGATGATTTAAATTCGGACCAAGATGACATATTAAACGATTTAGAAAAAATAAATAATTTCTTGTAAGTATAATGAGTTTATTACAGCTCTTTTAGGCAAGCAAGGCCATTAAAAAATGTTAAATTTTTGGATTATTATTAATTTTTTTTTTTTATCAATGGATTTAATTCAATACGAAAAAAAGAAAAGATTAGTTTTCATACACTCCGATATCATATATTTAATAGTTTGACTTTTTTAAATTTCCTTTCTAGTGTTTTTCAACAGCAATCTGGACAGCAAGTCAATAAAATAGTTAAACACGAACTTCTTGATTAAACTCTTGCATATTTGTTGCATATTTATTAAAAACTTATTTAAATATATTATATTCACTTGTATAATTGATACCAATCTACCGAGACCGTTTATAAAACACATACTCAACAAATGTTCTTTAAACACTGTTATATTTATGTAATCATTTAATGCTATATAAATAAAAGATAAACCATATTATTTATATATAATATCAAAAAAGAATGGTGCTTATGTTTTGTAAATAGCTCATTCTGTGGTATTTTTTATCTTAATACATTCCGGCTGTAGGCATTGATAATATCTAATATAGTATCAATCCTGTAAATAATATATTTATATTTTTGTATCTCATTTTATTAAGCTCAACAATGTAGAATAAATTGTTTGATTCTCGATCGTTTCAAAAATATGTGTAATTCGACGATTTCGCGATCTTGTTGTACGGTAACACTAAAATTGACTTTAATTTGGCGCCTTTTTATGTTTGCAATTAGCAATTTTCCGCCTCTTGTGAAATAAAGCCATCAACATGATGAAGAATAAATCTGTAAAAACCACCAAATTATATGTTATTAAAAGAGGTAAGTCAGATTACCTTATAGCTGCAACTGTTCTAAATATATTTATTCTAGATGGCAGACAGGAGGAAGTACATTTTGATAAAATAACCTCAAGAATACAGAAGCTGTGCTACAACTTAAACATGGATTTTGTTGATCCTGTAAGTTGTGTTATATTTGCTTAAATGCCCCAATTAGGTTTTACTTAAGTCCAGTACTTATTACAAGTGTCTAGACTTATGTTTGCGATTTTAAAAGTATTTAAAGAGGACAACTCTTAATATTCAGTCACCCATCAAAAGAAACCACTATAGAAACTCATTTTTATTAAATTCTGTAAACCCAAAAATATTTTTCTCTTAGGTTTCCATTACCTTGCAAGTTATCAATGGTCTGTATTGTGGAGTGACTACTCAGGAACTTGACAACTTGGCTGCGGAAATCGCAGCGGGATTGACTTGTAATCATGCCGACTATGCAATCCTAGCTGCTCGCATTGCAGTTTCTAATTTGCACAAGGAAACAAGAAAGGTTTTCTCTGGTATGTTAATTACAACTTTAAAAGAAACATTTCTAAAAACAATTAAATAACCTTTCCATTTAGATGTCTTCGAGGATCTGTACAATCATGTAAATAAGGAAACGAATCAAAGAGTTCCCCTAGTATCCGAATTCCATTACAATGTGGTTAAGAACAACGCCACTCGCTTGAATTCATCTATAATCTACGATCGCGACTTTGGGTATAATTATTTCGGGTTTAAAACCCTCGAACGTTCTTATTTGTTAAAGAGAAACGGTAAGATCGCTGAACGGCCGCAACATATGTTGATGCGCGTTGCGATCGGAATCCACGGGGAAGATATCGATGCGGCCGTAGAAACGTATAATCTTTTGTCAGAGCGGTACTTCACTCATGCATCACCAACGCTTTTTGCAGCAGCCACAAATCGGCCGCAGTTATCTTCATGTTTCCTTTTAACCATGACAGCCGACTCCATCGAAGGCATTTTTAAGTCTGTGGAGCAATGTGCCATGATTTCTAAATCTGCTGGTGGCATTGGACTAAATGTTCATTGTATCCGAGCAAAGGGTACTTCGATATGCGGAACAAATGGAACTTCCAATGGACTGGTTCCCATGCTGAGGGTCTTCAATAACGTTGCGCGTTATGTGGATCAGGGAGGCGGCAAGCGTCCAGGAGCCTTTGCTATTTACCTGGAGCCCTGGCACTCTGATGTCTTTGAATTTCTGGAACTCAAGAAAAACACTGGCAAGGAAGAGAATCGCGCCCGAGATCTTTTTTACGCCTTGTGGATACCTGATCTTTTCATGAAACGTGTAGAGGCCAATGGAGATTGGTCCCTTATGTGCCCGCACAAATGCCCTGGCCTTCACGATGTATGGGGCGATGAATTTGAAAAGTTATATGTGAAATATGAGCAAGAGGGCCGTGCCAACCGAACAGTTAAGGCTCAATCCTTATGGTTCGCCATTATTGAAGCACAAGTGGAAACTGGAAATCCGTATATGCTCTTCAAGGATGCCTGCAACAGGAAGAGTAACCAGCAGAATGTTGGCACCATTAAATGCAGTAACTTGTGCACAGAAATCGTCGAGTACTCCTCCCCGGATGAGATTGCAGTTTGTAACTTGGCATCCATCGCTCTTAACATGTTTGTCACACCGGAAAAGACATACGATTTCAAAAAACTAAAGGAAGTCACCAAGACGGTTACCAGAAACCTCAACAAGATAATCGATATCAACTTTTATCCGCTGCCAGAGGCAAGGAAGTCCAATTTGAGGCATCGCCCCGTGGGCATCGGAGTTCAGGGCTTTGCTGATGCATTAATTCTCATGCGATTCCCATATGAAAGTGATGAAGCGAGCCTCTTGAATCAGCAGATATTCGAAACGATTTACTATGGGGCTTTGGAAGCCAGTTGTGAATTAGCTCAGATCGAAGGCCCATACGAAACTTATGAGGGAAGCCCGGTAAGCAAAGGAATTTTGCAGTACGACATGTGGGACAAAGTGCCGACGAACCTCTGGGACTGGCAAAAGCTAAAGGAGTCGATAAAGAAGCACGGTGTCCGGAACTCCCTGCTGGTTGCTCCTATGCCAACAGCATCTACAGCTCAGATTATGGGCAACAACGAATCTTTCGAGCCGTATACTACTAATATTTATACCAGACGAGTTCTGTCTGGCGAATTCCAGGTGGTTAACCATCATTTGTTGAGGGACTTGACTGAGCTGGACTTGTGGGACGATGACATGAAGAACCAAATCATTTCCAGCAGGGGTTCAATTCAAAATATTGAGACTATTCCACAGAAGGTTCGTGATCTTTACAAAACCGTTTGGGAAATCTCTGTGAAGTCCACAATTAAAATGGCCGCTGATCGTGGTGCGTTTATAGATCAGAGTCAGTCCTTTAATATCCATGTAGCAGAGCCAAACTATGGAAAACTGACGTCCATACACTTTTACTCCTGGAAAGCTGGGCTCAAAACCGGAATGTATTATCTGCGGACAAAACCAGCTGCGAATGCCATTCAGTTCACCGTGGACAAGAAACTGAGTGCTTTAAAGCTAAATGGTCAGAATGGCACCTCTGAGGAAAGCCCACAAAATTACGAATCTGAAAGAGAACGAAAAATGGCCGATATGGTATGTTCTCTTGAAAATAAGGACGCTTGTATGTCGTGTGGCTCTTAAGAGCAAGGAACTAAGTTAGCATATATTTAATTGTATTATGTAATCACAACTTTGAAATAAACCTAAATTATGGAACGAGTTAAGGCATTTTACTTTATGAATTTTAGCTAATATATAATTTTCCGGTTATTCATCAAACAAGTGAATATGAACAGTAGCTCACTAAAAACAATTATTTTTACAGTTACTAACAAATTTGAAGTTTATTTTAAATTACAATCAGATGCTAGGCGGGTTTTCGATTCTTTGGGAATGTTGATTGTACTTTTACAGTGGCTCTGCACGACGTCCTGAGGTGTGGGCACATACCGATGAGATATTGTATTGTCTGTGATTATTTTCCGCACCACTTCCTCAACTGTAGGTGTGGTCGAGTCTAAATCCGCTTGTGACTTATTGTCCAAGTTCATAAGAGTTAGTGGCTGATCGGAGTGCATTACGGAATCCATACCAGTCTTGGCGTTAAAAAAGTCAAGGATAAAGGTTACCACCACGAAGCAGGCGGCGTTCATTGGAAATGCTCTAATTAAAGTCGAGTTTAAGCCGCGGAAAAAAAATTGTGGTCCTTCGTTTTTCAAGCCCTTTATTGCACAGTCGATGAATCCATTGTACTTTGCCTTCGACCCCAGGGCATCTGCTTGCATGTGGGTTTTCACTACGTCAATGGGATAGCACGCAATCCAGGAAGACATACCCGCACATCCACCGGCCATTAATGTGTAGAAGATGCTTGGAGTTTCCACTTGTCGCATGAGAAACTCAAAGGAGACAAAGTAACTGGCAAATCCTTAAAAATGAAATAAGAAGATTTTATCATTTACAATACCAACTTTATATAATTATGTACACATTGAATCTTTAATTAAACTTACCAGGAATATCCCTTAAAATGGTGGCTGTAAGTCCCTTGAACGCTCCTTTGATACCCTCGGTTTTTAAAATATATTTAAGGCAGTGGATGGGTCCAGTGAATTTTATACCGCTGTCAATCTGTGTAGACAACTGGAGTCTCGTTTTGGCCAACTCCATGGGCGCGCAAACGAAGCTCTGGGCTACGCCGGCGATAGAACCAGCGTAAAAGTGAGATGTAAGCGAATTGGGGTCATTGGATAAACGTTGCACATTTCCGTATACCCCGAAAACGATTGCGTTCACCAATCCGATTCCTCCCATTGGACTGGAAATTCCACGGTATAATCCTCGAAAGCTGTCTTTTTGCAATATTGTCCGGAAGCAGTGGAATGTGCCTTTATATTTAGGGTTACGAGGGTCATCGGTTTGCAAATGGACTTTGACAGTATCAAACGGGTGACCAACAAGAACCCCAGCAGCACCTTGAATTTAAAAACCAAATATCTGATAAAGGCATCAAAAGAACGGAATTGTCAAGAATTTATACCTCCGATTAGACCAGCGACAAAATCCACAACCATTTTTGGAGAAAAAGTTTCAGAGGTGGCCTTCAATTGTATATCTCCGATCTCTGAAGCCCTCTTCCTGTACGTATCCTATAACATTGAAATTAATCAGATTTAATAGAATTACATTTTAAACTTCCTGATCAGCATAATTAACCGATTTGGATCGACACTAGATTTAAAATATTTAAAATCTGTTTATACCTTGCACGTAAGTGGTATTTTTATGTTAAGATACTTACTCTTATATTAAATTTAAAGGATTTTCTTAAAAAAATATGGCAATACTTCACAATTATTCGCTGAAATAATTTGTCGCGTGTGTCTTCAAACAAATTTTTCAGTTGTCGCGATGATATTTTCATTGCCGGAGGTTGGAGGAACTGATAACGCGCTTTTAATGTTTAAATTCAAAACATATAATTAAATTCTAAAGTGTGTGCCAATATTACGAATAAAAGGTACCCCCAACTTACATTTATTGAAAATTGTTAATTTATTGGATTTCAGCTTTGTTTTTAATATTAAAAAGTTAAAATAGTTCCCAAAAAAATTTATTGCAAGCTCGAAAAACATTTTAAACTATACCTATACTTATCTCTGCTAATCGTATGATTTAGATCTTTCATTTAAGGTATTCTTTAGTCTATATTTTATATGTGTGTATACAATCAATTTATATTATATATATAAATATATATATATATTATGTAATAAAACCAAGCTTGGACATTTTCACATTTGTCGCGACTTCTTCTTTGTGTTAGAGATTAAAAATAAAATGTCATCAATGTGACCCCTCAGAAATCTAATCGCGTTGGGCATCAACTTTGTAAATTGAAAAATAGTGTATTGAATTATTGTCTTATAAAGCAAACTATTTTAATTTCAACAATTCTACCTTGGAAGAAGTGGCAAGTTTTTGCCATTAATGCAAAATGGGTAATGGGAATAAAAAAAAAATATTTTTTTATTATCCTTAAAACCCGTGAGGGCAAGGGTATCTTGTATTCGACTATCTAATTAAAAGAACGGAACATTTTCGAATAAATTATATAAAAGCATATGTTCTTGACCATTACAAACACTATTAGCAAAATATATTTATTCTAAGAATCTTAAAAGTGTTCACGAAGCATATATATATACACAAATAAAAAACGAACAGTTATGTTTTACCTTTCCAGTGCTAAGACGAAATATTAGTGTTATTGGATGCATCTTGAAGTTTCTTAAATGTTACATATTACTCAGGATCCACATAAATATTCGAACTGTACAGATTTTCAATTTTTGCCAAGCTGAAAGAGACAATTTTGAATGATTGATTGAAATATATAAATTTTAATATGTCTTGTAATATTCTATCTTTCCATTTTTAATACTTCAGACAAGTTAGAAAGACATGGTTAGTTTAACTGTTAGTTTTAAATGAGAATGTATTGCAAAATGGAATGATCCCATTCTTCCGTATCTGCAATTATTTGACTGATGACTCTATTACTTACCATGAGAGGATAAAGCTTAGGTAATTAATATTTTTTCCCATATTATTTTGAAACTAAAAATAATTTTGTTACCGAATTTAAAAATTGCGTTTTTTAAAACGCCAACTTCGTTTTTTATGCTGCTTACCAATCTCTAATTGTTTGGTTTTTAAATACTTAAAATTTTCGTAAGCAGTTTTTTGCCATTGGTGTTGTTCTATTTAAACAAAGCAGTAAAACTCATTAGTTAGAATGTTTTTATTTTATTTCAGACGATCGGTTTTGAAAACAATATAATTAAAAATGTCTTCATAAAAATCATACATTAAACTAAGAGTATAGGTAATACATTTTTTATTTAATAAAAACTTCCAACAGTACAATATTACAATTTCAAATTTCATTTATAATAATTTTTAACAAGTGTGACAAGTTTAATCAAATTCTCAGACATTCGGTGTAAAAGATAACAAATAATAATAATAAAACTGGAATACACCCTACTAAATTTACAATAAAAATATTTGCATTCGAAACACTCATATATACATACTTCATTCTTAATGACTTTTTTATTTTCATTTTTAAGAATGTCCAGAATGCAGCAATATGATCTTTTCCTTAGTTTAAATTTCTAGAAGTGCGACCATTCTCATAGATTTATTCTTGCCTTTAACGACTTTAGCGATCATAATAGAATCGTCACATTCGTTCGCTTCTGTATTTGTTCATGTGCAACCGTGCTCATGTAGTACTACTATAACTTTTGAAAAGCCCTCGAAGTATTTCAAAGCTTTCTATCTATGTATATAAAGTTCATCAAGTTCATTTAGTCTTAAAGTACAACTCGGTGGGTGAGTATCGCGAAAACCTTCCCGCTAAATATTTGAGGTCATCTGGAACACATTACCTTTTCCTTGGCCATACCTGTGTATATTTTTATCTACATTTGTACTTATGTGTACCGAGTGTATATGGGATAGTTAATCTGTAAATGGATACAAAACTGATAGCCAAAATGTGAAAATTCTTTACATAACGCGAATGTTTATACCTCGGGATATATGTGCATGAACACAAAAATGTGTGTAGATTGAAAAGTGTGTATTTGTTTGTGTTTAAAATAATCTAAATGATCTCACATTAGTGACGTGCGCGTGTGTCATAATAAAACTTCGTGCGTGATCATACTTTTTACCTGTTGAATTGGCGAAAGCAGAAAGCTTTAAAGTATCTAAAACAATATAATCCCTAGTTAAACAGTTGATATACATAACTTAATAAATATCAGACCCATAACAAATGACCCAAAAGCTTAGTACGTTCAATCATATGATTCTAGATTACCGTAAAATACTATCGAAAGTGTCAATATCATAATATTTATGTTATAGATTCCGATGTTATAGGTGCATATGTGTTCATTTCCACCGATCTTGCGCGCCAATTTCTAGATTATCCAAATAGCCGTGTATCTTAAAATTTACCAGGAATGCCCAACCAAACCGATCCTAAACATTTATTCCTAATGAGTTTTAAGAAACCTTTTCACTTAAAAGAGGAAAGAGGAGGAAAATAATTAGCGAAGTTGAAAGAAAAGGTGAATTTGGTGGGTAATAACTAGCGAACTGCGGCTTTCGCAGTTATGTGTTATAAAAATGTATATATTACATATAGTCTCGAATGACTTTCTTGTAAGCTCCCTCTAGTAGTTCAATAATAATTGATTGTTTTATGTAAAAAAAATTATAATCCCTTATATAGTTAATTTTTTATTGTGAAAATTTGCCAGCTCCCTAATCAGTTGTCATCGGTGATATTTAAATAATTGTATAATTATAATTATAATTATAGTAGATAAATATCTGATAAGAGCAGTTAGTTTGATTACGAAAATTTTATCAAGTAAATTTTTTGGAAAGGTTAGCCGATATTTTTGGGCGTGAGTAACTATTGCAGTTTTATGCTTTGAACTGTTTATATATTTGCTGAATTGCTAATTTAATAATAAGTTCTTATACGATGTAAGGCAAAAAAATTGATTGTCAACATACCTATACTTTATAGTTCATATAACCATTTTGAAGGCCGCCAAACCCGGTTTGTAGATACACAGAAACACACTGCACCCTCCAATATAGTAATGTCGTCATACTTGTGATTATATTTATACTCTATAATCACATTACTCGTGTAAATTTATAAAACAACCAGAGAAAAGCTTTCGGAATCCTCTAAATATGCAATATTGACTAAATATCATCAATATATATAAATGTATTATATCTTTCTTTGCCGGATCTTCTTTTTTCAGATTTATTTAACGCGGGATAAATACTAATCAAGAATGAGTTGGAATAAACGAAATACTAGTCATATATCAATTTACAATTACCCAGAACATTTAAATCCTTTCTACGAAGATGATAACCACAAACGCCTTCGATTTTTTGGGTTTAGCAAAAAGAAGAACGAAAATGGCAGGCACAGTTTGTCTATTGGAAATTTGCAAGAATTGTGGTAAGTTTTTGTTTATTTATTTTCTTCTCACGATCCCTAAAAACTATTAATAAATTACTATGACCCAATTGTACTCACTTCATCCGTATAAATTTATAGATTATTTGGCCATATTCTTGATATAAACCTATTATTCTATTTTTTAAATATAGTAACGTATATTTTATTATAGGAAATCGTATTCCTTTCGTAAAAAGAAGTCCTCAACATTAGGGATAAATAAAACATCAGAGAGCCCGCCAACTCTTAGACGAGATTTAAATGATAAGTATGTAAAATGATAACTCTTAAATTAGCTCAGATTTTATAAACACACAAATAGTTCATATTTAAATTCTAGGATTTTCCGAGGTGACCGTCACACATCCCTGCAAAATATAGATTCTCGAAGAGAGGTAAATATAATTGTCTTCACAATTACAGAATATTTAAAGTCTTAATAATAATATTTATTACATTTAGTCTGATTCAATCTCCAATGGGATATTCTTCAATCGCAATGATCGGTACCGAAGCACAACGCAGTTTTCTGGATATTCCTCGCCAAATCAAAATATAAGGTACATTTTTGTTATTATTTTATAATTGCACACGAAAAATAACAACAAATTAATCTTTTCTCTTAGGTCATCACAAACTAGTCTAGCAAGCTCAAATCCTTTCGAGTCACAACCTGATTCATGTCCTAGCTCTCCAATGAGTAGTAGAAGATATCGTAAGAAAAGGCGAGCTCCGCCGCCGCCAAAACTAGTGGTAATACTTATTAAATTTCACAAACTTGAATTATATTTAATTTGTAACTTATTTTAAGGTCCAGGATTACCTAGCTACCAAAGACATCGAGTCTCTTGCCTCTGAAATTGACGAGTTTGTTAACAATAGAAAAGAATCTTTAATAAAACAAGAATTTGGAGAGGAAGTCCCGAAATCAAGTCAACCAAAAATTTCGGTTACTGCACCGATCTCTGATATTGAACCCAGCCATCCCAGCACGTCCAAAGCACCACCAAGCATAGATGTAAAGCAATCTAAAGGAATAAGCACGATCATTGAAAATGAAAATGTCACAATTCTTAACTCTGATACAAAAATTAATACCCGCACTTCCCCGACACCACAATGCATTGACACAGTTCACATAAAGCAATCCAATGCACCCGAAATACCAAACACATCTTTTGATGAACCAAAAGACACTTTACCTAATACTGCTAGCCCACTTAAAGCCTGTACGCCCAAAACTCCCGAGTGCATTGCCAGCGTACACATAAAGCAATCCTCTGAAAATGTAGTAGTACGTTCCGAAGAAAAACCAAATAATAGTTTTTGCGATCAACTCGATGAAACTAAATTGAAGAAAAAGCCAAACGGTTTCGTACCAGTTATTATCAAAGAAGAGTCTGTGGTTATTAACGGCGATTCAAAGAAGTCAGAACCTCCAGTTTACACGGAAATCGTTAAACAATCTGAAATATTAATTGACTCTGGAAACACTGTTATTCCTAGCACGTCCAAAAGAAATCTGTCTATTGCTAACGATAGTCTAAAACTGTCCAATGAATCTGAAAATTTAAAGGATGATCTTGAGCCAAGTGATAGCACCAATGTAGAAGATAGAAAAACCAACTCATTTGGCACGGTCAAACAGATTTCACAGATATTCGAAGAGAACATTAGTTCTAGTGGCAGTAGTAATCTTCCCAAGAAAAATACAGAAGTCCTTAATCTAAATGGTGCGATATCGAAGAATGTAGTAGTAGTAACTGAAACTAGCGATGTCTTACAAATAAGAGAAGATTTTGAATTGGCAAATGATTTAAGATTTAGTGAAAGGCAAAGTAACGATCGCTTCAGATCCTCACTTTCAGCGGAAAGGGAATCAAACTCAACACCAACACCGCGGATGAGAAAGAAGAAGTCTATTAAGGAAGTGCTAGAGTCTATAAGCAGAAATCAGAAGATTTTAAATGAGAGTGCAGCCAAGGGCACAAAAGTTTATTTAACACCCTCCTATGCTGAAAACAAATACAACTATCCCAATGAGTTAAATAACGTAAATAATAGATCTTCCAAGGAAGTGACGTCTACCAATATATCTGTTAGTACATCGGATACCAATGAATTACCGTCCCAAAATTTGTTCATAAACAAGATAAGCAAATTCAAGGGCCAATTCAGGGAGTCGTCTCCCACTTCATCAAACTTAGATTGGAACCCATTGCCAAAACCAAGTCGATCACATAATTCAGCTAGTTCTAGTTTCAACAACGGCTCGTGTTAATGAGTTAAATTAACTATGCTATACAGAAATCAATATTTATATTAAACCAAAACCAAATTTATACGCAAAAATATAAAAAGTGTACTTATAATAATAAAGTTTTTTAATTGGAAGTATGAACAAAAAAATACTTTAGATAGGACAATTATGATCAAATTTCTACAGTTTTATAGAGTTTATTATCTTTAAAGTAACAATCGTTAAATAGGCATTGGTAAAATTTGAAAAATAATTTTCGACAGACATTTTCCTACTTGCAAATATTACATTACTCTTTTCTAATTTTTTTTACTAATGCGATTTCATTTTAAGTCGTTCAGACGAGTGTCCATTTACTTGACCCACAGGGTCCTCTTTTGTTAACTTCGATACTTCATCGTAAAACCGGGGGAAGAATTGTATGGCGAGGTATACAGTCAAAAGATAAACGCCAATAACAATAGTTAGGAAGAGATCAAAGATCGCAGGCTTAACTCTATAAACATTAAGTTTCACATCGTTCTCATTATAGAACATAAATTCTGGATCTCTACCATCGGGCTTATCGTATATGATTTTTACATTATTAAGGTATTTTTCAAAAGCATCCTTCACATCGTTATTATGTAATATGGATTTAAGTCCAAAGTATGGCAAGATGTTTTCTTCTTTAATGGCCTACAAAAAATGTTTCCTTTAATCAGCTTACTATATTAAATAATTTTGAACTTACCAACTGCCCATCGAATATGCTGGAAATTGGGTCCACCTTGTACATAAAACTAGCCAGAGCTTCCGCAATAATTCGAGACGTGTTGAGTGTGTGTTCTACAATTTGACTCTCATCGTTTTTGAAAATAGTGGTCCGGATAGGGCTTCTCGGACTCTTTACCGATGATAGTGTGAACGAAGGGTAGCGCTTTATGCTGAACCTCTCGTGCTCCCATGCAAGTTTGGTGTCAGCTAGGTTGATTTTCTTATGCACACCCTCAACCGATAAGCCATTCGAATATTTTTCTGCTGATGATTTCAGAAGTTTGAAGAAATTGCTAATAGATGTCTTATCTTTCGGTGGCTTTGAGACATGCATATACAAAGCATTGTCTGTGGTGTAAGACAAACTCTCTGTTATAGTATCCAGACAAAGCACAAACTCAACATTCTAAAAAGCATAAACTCATTAGACTATTTGGTATTCATTTTTCATTCTTTGACACAGTACCTGCAGCGCATTATCATCAAGTTCAAGCCACTTTTTCGAGCCTTGGAAATTTAATAAGACGCCAGCGTCGGAAAGCAAAAATTTGAGTCGGTACTTGGGTGCCATACTAGAAGTATAATGCAGTTTACTGAACAGTTCCATTAGCACAAGTAAAACGGCGGCATCAGCATTCACTGGATAATCCTATAAACAAAATATAAACGATTACACATGTAAAATAAAATTACACCTTGTTTCGATATGTATTTTCTATAGATAAGCAACTTAACTTAAATTATAGTCCAGTTCACCAGACCACTTGAAATACAATGTTAGATAAAGACCATAATCTTTCAGATAAGTAGTTTCTATTTTGTAAGCAAATAATTACTTATAAGTTCCCCGTATTCTCTGTGGTCTACAAACCCACGTGTAATTCTTAACTTGTTTGACGATTTTTTTATTTCGTGAATTTTACCAACCATTTTTTTGTTTTATATGACCTTTTAAAATTAAAACCGTTATAGATGTAATCCGGTATAATATAAAATCACTTACATTGTATATCCCAAAAGTTTTCAGATTCGCGGTTATTAGGATGACGGGAAGTTTTTGACCATCGCCAACAGATTCCGTGGGTTTTAAGGCCAACTGATTTGGTATCAGCTCGCCCTGGATAATGGGAATTTTACTATTTTTATTGGCAACAATATTTCCACCACCGACATTAACGTGGTATCTGTTTGCCGAAACTGTAACAATTAATTGTCCCAGCGCTGTTTGATTTTGGCCCACATTGTCCGTGGTCGTGTAGGTAATGTCATCGATGATCTTTTCCAAATCTTTATTATACGGGGCAAAGTAAATTGGCACTGCTGCTGTGTGTGTCAGCATAGATTGCTCTAAAATGGTTATAAGTTCTTTGGTTTCTAAGTCCAAATCCAATATACTCAATGGCAACATTAGAACTAATCCTCCCGCACTTTGCCTTAACTTGTCGAAATCATGTATAGACAAGTCGGTTAACCTGATTTGTATAAATTATAAGTGATATTTGGTTTAATTTACAAAAACATATATACTTACCGTGTGAGAATACAGTGCCTAGACGTGTTCCATGAATACAATGATCTGGCTTCTAGGGATATTGCAGAAACACGGCTTCCTAAGAGTTCGGAAAATATTCATTTATTGGAATATCAATAGAAAACAATGAAATACGTTCCGTACATTAGATCATATATAAACTTAAGGTATAATTTAATATTTTTGATGTTGAAAATGTGCTTAAAAACACCGAATTTAAATAATTATTTGTCAGAGTCCAAAGGGTACTTACAAATGTTTTACAGAATAATTTTTTAAAAACTAAAGGTATATCACTTCCCGATATACCAATCCATAAAACCATATTAAATGAAGAACACGTTTGCTTGTTTTAATGAGATTCAGTGTTACTAATTAAATAAAGGAAAACCCTCGGCAACGTTTAAAAAAATTTAGGTCAGTACAACAGTTGAACTTATTAAACTTATCTGTGTACAAATATCCAAAGCTTGCTCTGCAACAAACTTACATAATTAATATTTATCTTTTTTATTGTTTACTTACCATAATGTTGCCCATTTAAATCGTACTTGGACATGGAAATAACCTCGAATTCGCTTGGCATTACCGGTGAACATAGTAACAACATAGAAAAAACAATAAGTAGAAAATGAGGAAAGCCGCCTCTAAATATTTCAGCAAAACTATCTGCTTCATTCATCTTTATATCTTTTTAGTAGGAATATTTTCTAATAAATCTGCCGATGTGGGCAATTAACTAATTATAAAAATGAATTTGGAAAACTGTCAGCTGTTTTATCGATGTTTATGGTGGTTGAAAAATGTGGATAATCGGACTGTATTCTTTTTGTCTTAATCGGAAGGCTTGAAACGAAACACAATATCATCCTTTAGGGAACGATATGGAGATTTTAAACATCCAAGTCTTCCTGTTTCGAACACATCTATAACTTATTTACAAATGAAATAAAATATTTTGTATACTTAAAAATACCCGGTATCCTCAGACATTAAGATTTTTAGCCTCGTGTATATTAAGATCTTTTCCAACGTTCCAGACTTGATGGTATTTGTGTAAGTAATCTAGTTAGCAATGCAAGAATATATCGTTGTTTTGCGCATCTCTGAATCGGCTAGTATGACTTTGAATTTTACAGAAAGAAGAACTTCTATTAACGAAAAATTTAGCCATGCCCGCATTTAAAGGTGCAAGTGTGTTTTTCCTTTGGTACTCTACAAAACCTAATCTTATTGATTGCAGTTAAGGTAAAGTGGGGCCGGGAGCTCTACACAGATATTGATGTAAACACCGATGAGGAACCGATATTGTTTAAGGCCCAGTTGTTTGCACTAACTGGCGTTCAACCGGATCGTCAGAAAGTTATGTGCAAGGGTGGCATTCTCAAAGATGATCAGTGGAACTTGCAAATCAAAGACGTATGTGTACATCTATTGGTTTTTATAAAATCTAGTCCTAATCGGAGTCCCTATTTTTGCAGGGAGCTGTGGTGTTGTTGCTGGGCAGCAAGGAAAGCGTTCCAGAAGTGCCTGCTACACCGGTCAAATTTATTGAGGATATGAATGAAGCGGAAGCGGCCACAGCGGTAGGTATCCTGGCTAATTTAAATATAAATATATTGATTCGAAAAGTACTAGTTAAAAGACTAATATATACCCTAGAGAAGATTTAACCCATATTTTGGAAAAAAAAATTATTTTACCTTTTTTAAATAAAAGAAATATAATTCATTTAACTATTTTGCAAGTCCTAATTCGAAAAATTATCGAAAAACCTATTAAAAATGCGCAATGTTCACGCTTTTATACTTTTAAAACGAAATATACTTGTTGAAATATTCGTTATTTATTATGAAACAATAATATATTACATTTTTTATTACCTGTAGATGCGATTACCGGCCGGGCTCACAAATCTTGGCAATACGTGCTACATGAATGCCACTGTTCAATGTTTAAATGCAGTACCAGAGCTTCGCACTGCTTTAACAACATTCAGTCAGGATGGAACTGACACAATGTCAACTGCATTTTCCATATCGTCTGCCATGAAGTCCATATTTGCTCAAATGGAGAAGGGCACAACTGTGACGCCAATTGTTTTGCTTCAGGCATTGCACCGGGCATCCCCTCAATTTGCCCAGACCGGCGAAAATGGGACATACAGGCAGCAAGACGCCAATGAGTGCTGGGCGGAAATCCTGAAAATGCTGCAGCAAAAGCTGAGACCAACAAACCAGGATCCATCGAATATTGTCCAGAAAAGGCACAGGTGCGTCTACATTTCTCAAGAAAGACAATTTAAAGGACAATAATATTTATTAACTCTTATTTAAGCTCCTTTATTGACCAATATTTTGGTGGGACTTTTGAAGTTAAGATGAGCTCAGAAGAGGTTCCCGATGAACCTTCTACCGTCACAACTGAGAATTTCTTGCAGTTGAGCTGTTTTATATCAATGGATGTCAAGTATATGCAAAGCGGATTAAAATCCGTAGGTAATATTATTACTAGTGTGGGGCAGCAGTAATAGAAAATGTACATTTTTAGAAAATGAAAGAGCAATTGGTGAAAAAATCGGAAACTCTTGGACGTGATGCAAAGTACATTCGAACTGTAAGGTGTAAAGCTTATTTTTATGTAGGTTAACTAATTAGTTTCCATTTCAGTACTTGGTTAGCCGACTTCCAGCCTATCTGACCGTACAATTCGTTCGCTTTCAATACAAAGGAAAGGAAGGCATTAATGCCAAGGTGTTGAAGGATATTAAATTCCCTATCGACTTTGATGCCTATGAGTTGTGTACTCCTGAATTGCAAAACAAGCTGTGCCCAATGCGCTCGAAATTCAAGGACCTGGAAGACAAGAAAATGGAAGTTGATGTCGTCAAACCCAATGAACCAAAAGATGAGAACAAGGATATAAAATACGAGCAATTCTGGTTCGATGACGATTTGGGCAGCAACAATTCGGGATACTATACTCTGCAAGCAGTGCTGACGCACAAAGGTCGCTCGAGTTCCTCGGGACACTATGTGGCCTGGGTGCGTTCCAGTGGCGACGTATGGTTTAAATTCGATGACGATGAGGTATCGGCTGTGGCTACAGACGAGATCTTGCGATTGTCTGGAGGTGGAGACTGGCATTGCGCTTACGTTCTTTTATATGCACCCAGACGTTTGGAGAAACTATAAAAAATTGTGTTAACGTCATTACATTTGTATTGTTAATATAATTCTGAATAAATAACCAAAACCTTAATAGTGAGGATTCATTTAAAAGGCCAAATTAATCGATTTCTGAAAAGGCTTGTCAAAGCTTAGAACGCAGAATTCTCGATTTTTAAAGACATGTGCAATATTAATTTTATGAATCTTCTATAAACCTAAAAGCAATTCATAATTAATGAATATAAAATGTTTTTAATTGTGCTTTTATTAAAAAGTCGGAATTCCGTTGGTTCAAGCTAACAACAGGTATTGACGTTATCTTGACTCAAGAGAATATTACTTTAGTTAAAAACGGTCATACAAAATCTATCAAATCACAAGTTCATTTAGCGTTTGTAAATATGGATAATACGGATTCAATAAAGTTAGAAGAAAATGTAGCTCAGCAGTCCATTGCTTTGAGACGGGAGTTACGAAGAAAGAAAATTTTAGAAGCCTCCAAATCGCGACTTGACAAATTGAATGGTCGAACTTCAGCGCTGCAGAAAGATAGCCTCGGTAACATATGATAATTTATAAACCGATATGTATGTATGTATGTATGTACGCTTTACCTCGTACATAAATAAGGTTTTGTTCTTCATATCTGTACAATTTTTCATCAAGTTTTGTAATAGTTTTTTTTTGTACAATAACACATATATTTTCACTAAAATTATTAATCTTTTCATAATTTCAGATGATGGAGCTACAAATACGCAATATTCCGATCCTGAGGTGGAACCGGATATTCCTCTTAAACGTTCCTTTTTCCCGGAACAACCTGCACCAACGAAAACCAGCACTCCAAATGTATTACTAAAAATCAGAGTACACATAATTTTGGCGGCGTGCGTTGGATTCTTATTAGCTCTATATACTAATAGTAGCGTTTTTATGCCTGTCTTACTTTTTGTGATTGTAGAACTGGCATTCTTGCAATATCATAAACGCGACTATTTACCGCCTAGTGTTGCACCGATGTTACTTTTGTTTATTAATCCCAATATTACCAACAAAATTAATCAGTTTAGCAGTATTTTCTTGATTCTTCAGTCACTTTTGGGCGATCTTGCCATAACCGTGTGTGTAGTTTGCTCTGGAAGTATATTGTTATTAAATTTTAACACCGAAATTGTTACTATAGTTAAATAAAGTGAACTTTGTTGAAGTTGGAGTTTTATTAAGGGTTGTTTATAATTTTAATACAAAATTGGTGGGATTTTTTGATCCTGAAATTTTTGTGTGACTGGTTTCCTACGAAACCTACTAAGCTCTAACCCTTTTCATTTTATATCAGCATAACACTTAAAAACTTAAAAAATCATGTTTTCCTCTTATTAAAGGACTTCAGTAAAGAACCTAAAACAGTGCTTTCCGCACTGGCAGCGTTTTTAAAACGTTTTTAACACTGTTATTTTTATAGAAATACTGTTATTCATCACAAGGAACTTTACTTAGTTATAAAAATTACAATTTTATTGTTTTTAGTAAAAATATTTTTAACTAAAAAAACTTACAAATTTAGATTAAACTATTCTTCAATTTTTTAAAAGATTCATAACCAAAAGTTAAAATGCATTAACAAAAATAACAATTAATTTAATAAAGGATATTTAACGATTTAGAAAAAGGGTTGGGCATTTCCAGCTGGGACTTACAATGTTCAAATAGTTGTTGAAAAAAACTTTTACTGAGCATGCTCAGAAATGGAAAAAAGGAAAAGTGCCCACCCTCGCTTTTGGGCCTGCGCATACTTTGTATCGATTTTAAGACTGTGTACTTATTTCATAAGCTTGTAGCGAAAAGATGTTTTCATAAACAAGTGCAAGCGTTGAAATCTGTGCTGAAAATTATATGATTGGTGGAATCCGACTCCATAGATAAGTACAATTATGCAGCCGTTAAAAATGGCATAACATCGTGCTTCTACACAAGGATAATTTGCGTTCTAAGGAGGTCTTGAACTATTTTTTTCCGCAAGTAATAAAAAAAACTAATAAGGTAAAAACTGTCTCATATAATTTTTAAATCTATGTTCATAAAAATATTTATTTTAAGCAAATGCTATCCTTGATTTGATTTTTTTGCACGCTTATGCTACTATGCAAAACATTCATATAAGGATGGGTACTTTGATTAAAAATCAATATTTTAAAATAACCTTAGCAAGAAGGGCGTTCGAGGGTGTTATTGATTTAAACCTTAATTACAGACATCATGGGTACGGTGCTAAGTTTTAATCCCCGGGATCGGCATCCGATATACTCGTCTCAGCCAAATTTTCAATATAATCACTCGACCGATATACGAAACGAAAACGACAGTACAGGTTCAATTGATTCGCATCTGAATAACTTTTCGTACGAGCAATTAAATAATGCAAAGAACAGGGAAAATAAAAAGTCGGCCTGCCACCAAATGTCCAAGAATGTCATTGGGCAATCGGGTAATTGTGGAGGAGTGCACATAAATCTACAGACACAGACTCAGCTAAGTTCGCACAATTTAAATAATTTGACAAATGCCTCGAAGGACACGATTACCAATGTTTTGGACACCCATAACGAGAACTTGGTCCTCAAGGCGGAGAAGAGCTCATTCGAGAAAAATCTGAAGAAACACTCTATCTTCATTAATGCCCTCTCGTGGAAGAAGCTATCCACATCGCATAACAAGAAAAAGATCGAGAATAAGAACAAGTGTGCGAATCTGCCTACGGCCTGTTTCAAGGCCCAACTGTTGGAGTCGTCCTCATTTGCCTCTTCGTCGGATAAGAATCGAAACATCCAGCTACACTGCAACCGTATTGAGGAACATAACCAGCAGCACTGCAACCAGCATCAGCACCAGCACCAGAATCAAACCCAGGATCTCCGCGAGGAGGTCATCACTGGGCCACCCAGCAAATCGCAAAACCCTTCCAAGGCGAAAGACCCCGTCAAGGTCAACAACAAGAACTCGATATCGAACCACAACAAGCTGATCCAGAAACAGCCCTTGACACTCAGCCTGCCCCAGCAAGTCCAGGCGTCGTCCATTCAAATCAAAAATACCAATCAAATTCCTCGCAAAACCGTTATTCAGGTAAGTAATCTTGCACGTTTAATTGAAGTTTTTTAATTAAATTAATTTAGTAGTCCTCCTATTAGTATAATGTTTTCGTATATTTTATTTTGTTTTTTCAAACAAAAACCTAAAAAGAAATTATTCATCCTAGAACCCAATTTGTTTTCTTGTATTTAAGTCTTTGCAGGTTAAGGTATTTTTTTAAATAATTATTTATTCTTAAATACTATGTTTTTTTTTTAAAAAAAAAGATTAAATTTTATTTAGGTTTCATTTAAATATATTCAAATATTTTTTAGGCATCCACTTCTGAATTGCTTAAATGCTTGGGGATGTTTTTGCACTGTCGTTGTCAAAGGCTAAACAACTTCGATGCTGGAGATGCTGTCATGTGGCTCAGAGCAGTGGATCGCAGCCTTTTGCTCCAAGGATGGCAGGTAAATTCCGTTAGGTTTTGCTTAAGATATATAATTACTTAAATTGTATGCTTCTTATCAGGATGTAGCCTTTATAAACCCAGCAAATGTGGTATTTGTCTACATGCTAGTTCGCGAACTGGTTAGCGGAGAAGAAAGCAAGGAATCGGATCTTCAGGCTTCTGTACTCACCTGTTTGTATTTGTCCTACTCGTACATGGGCAATGAAATTAGTTATCCTCTAAAACCGTTTTTGGTTGAAGACTCAAAGGAAAAGTTTTGGGACAGGTAAATTTAAGAGTTGGTTTCTTTAATAATGATTTAGAATGACTTCCATTAATACAAAAAAAAAATGTATGAAATATATTATTACCAACTAATAATTTTTCGTTTAGATTCCATATATAAAGCTTGCCAGTTTTTGACAGGCAGACCCCAATTTCTTCCAATAATAATAAAATCGCGCGTTATTTATTATTATCATTGCAGATGTCTCGTTATTGTGAACAAGCTAAGTGATAAAATGCTTAAAATCAATGCTGAGCCTGGATTTTTTACGGAAGTCTTTACTGAGCTGAAATCTTGTGGTCAATATCATCCTACAATTAAATCGTACTGTGGAGGCGCCTGACGGACGGATGACCGGGAGATTATTGTCAACCTCTCATTGTCTGCGCATCGCCAGAAATTTCCCGAAGAAATGATGGCGAAATACCGTTAATAAAACTTAATATTTTATAAAACATTAGACAATTTCATTATGTCACTATCACAATCGTTCAAATCAAATAATAAAGATTAGTGTTTAAATAAATTAACATCTACGATATGTGTAAAAAGTGTGTTTCCATTTTGTAGGGATAATTTTCAAATATGCCAAAGATCCAATAAAGGTGGCGTAGTGAGACTTCAAAGCATTACATTTTATATGCAAATAAATGGTAATTTATTTTACATCTTATATACATAAGTCGTTCCATAAACTAGAAACTATTGAGAGCGATTTAATTTGGATAAAGAATATCATAGTGGCCTGGTCTATATATCAGGTAAATTCTGGGCTCAGTTCCCTCTGGGAAATCGTGGGCCTTAACAGTACCACCTTCGCCTCGATCCAAGTATTCAACACGGACTCCTGCACCGAGGGCGGTACATAGCGCGATTATGTGAATGTGGTCCGACTCTTTATACATCGGTTCCACTTCAAGATGTCGAAAGGTTTCTATTGTAAGATCTCCATCTATGAAATTCTGGTAAAAATCGGCCTCTTCCTGCAGTTTTCCCGAGGTAATCAAACGTAAGTAAACTACCACGTAGTCGGAATATCCCTGCTCATTGAAAATTTTGTGCAATTCGCTCTGGACTTTGTTATGTCCGCCTGGGTTATCGGGACTAACGCGCTTGATGACTTCCATAAACTAGGCATACAAAAAGTGGCATAAAAATGTAGACTTGTTTGCTTGGATGTACATATGTCTGTATATACTCACAGTTTCGTGAAAGTCTTCTAATGTAAAACTGGGAAATCCGAGCTGAACAAGCTTTTCCTTGGACTCTTCGGCCAGTTTTCGGAACTCCTGATAGGCACTGTTATTTGAGATCAAGTACTCTAAGTACGAATAAGCGAAAGCTCTGAAGAAACAATTGCCGTCGGGGCGGGTGCGTCGAATGAACTTGTACTTTTTAGACAGATCCTGTATTTTGGCTGTGAAGATTTCGTCACCATTGTATTCCGCCCACAAGCAGGTCAGCGGCAATTGCTCGCTAACCAATGGGGTAGTATCACTGATCTAAAAGTTATTTGATTCTTGCATTATTTCTTATTAAGATCAACTTATTTCTGCACATTCACCTCCTTCTCAATTTCCCGTTGCTGTTGAATAATTAACTCGTCACGATTGCCGTCATTCTGCTTGAAAGATTCCATGTTTTTGTAAATACTGAATAATTGGGATCGGCGCTTCGTTTGGATTTAAAAATTTGTGTTCATTTGATGAATAAAATGAGAACTCCTGTTCACCATATGTATTAGTAAACGCATCGAATATTACACACACATATTTAGAAGTTAAACCCACAGACGCAATGATGCTTTCGATTTTATCACAGTGTTATCGAAATGGAGTCTAATTTATATTTATCTCCTTTGTATAATTTTGGATGTTAAATAACAAGATATAAAAGTATTCACAAAAATTATTATAAAATATAAAATGCATTATTCTATATTTTTTATTTTAATAAAGTCCTTGGGGGAAAAAACTTTTTTTATTTATAAGCATAGCGGCAGTATCGATTATATTGGTTTGATATTATTGATATCGATATTAGCCTTTGTTCACCAACCATTTAAATCTTTTATGCAATAACGATACATCCTAATATGGCGGTAAATATTTGATTTTTCTATGTTCTTTTAACATATTAAGCGAAATGCAGATATTCAATTAATGGAACATATTTAAAAATGGCTTTACTTAAAACATTGAAAGCATTACAGACTTTAAATAAATACTTAATTATACTTAAATTTATTTAATTATATAAATTTATTTTATTCATCAAAATGTATTTTTTAATTCAAAACATATTAAATGATTTTCAAAATATATTAAAAAAAATGTAACTTTTGTAGATTGTAATTGCAAAAATTTGTTTTTCACTGTGTAAAACGTAAGCTGGGAACTTCATTTTGAACCAGCTTTAAAGCTTCTCGCCGTTCGTCAGAAGTAAAGATCGGCAGCAGATCGAAACCTAAGATTAAATCAGAAATCAATTCAGTTGACTGTTTTGTTCGTTGCTTGCCGAACGTTCCGCTAGCTGTCACGTAAATAAGTTTAAATAATAGAGTATGTATTATATTAATTATTATAAATTCATTTAAAATTGAAAGTTATGGAACTATTTTTGTAAAGGGTTTTTATATATGTTCAGCAAAATCCATAATAATACATGCAAATGTATATATATAGATTCTTATGTATACTTATGTGTAATTAATCTTTCTGATGTTAAAGTTCAATGAATAAAGTGTAAAAAACATCTCTGCGCTACTGATTGTATTTTTGTATGTATGTACATTGAACAAACAAACTCGTCCATATGTAAATGAAAAGAATAGTTTAATGCACATGTTTACTTGAAACGAAAACCAGTTATTTCTCTATTTTGTTGCAAAAAAGTATTGTTAATTTTAAAAGTAGTCTTTATGGTGCACATTTCGTGTGTAAATAAAAAGTATTGATTATATACACTAGTGGAAAAAAATTGCTTTTTAATTGTTGTTAATATGTATACGTATTTAATGTGAACGAAAAGCTACATATTTTTATACTTTAAGTCATAAGATTTTATTACGAAAACTTTTTTAACAATTGACTGCTTTTATTGAGACCAAAAAATGACCCACCGCAATACAAGCAAATCTGTAAGCATTCAATTCTATGGATTTCTTATCGCCCGGGCTTTATTTTTGAACTTAAAAGAAAAAATACATGATAGCGAGAATATATGAAAGTACATACATATATATGTATGCATGAGTATGTGCTCAAAATTGTTTAATATTTAAATTCAAAATAAAAGCAAGGACAAGTTGATAACATAAGATATGTAATACTTTCAGACATGTATTCATTACATTCATAATACATTCAGAAATTGATTAAGAGAAAGCAAGAAAGGAAGCTTAAAACTATAAAAGTATCCGTATTGGTCGGTTTTTCCAACAAAATGTGTCATTAGGGGATTTACATTTACTGCGTTGAGTGCGATATTCCAGCAATAACAATTATCATTCATATAAGCTTTTGCTGCCGAAATGTTTACCTTGCCTTAAATGAGCTTATTTGACCTTATTTTAGTAGTATGATATTGTTGAATTCCCTTGTAATATGCTTCTGCATAATTGCTTGTGGAGCGCAAGACTCTTCGTTGGACAACTTAATTGCGGACATCTTTAAAACCGAGGAAACCCCTAGCTCCACCACAAGAGCCACTCCTGTTGTCAATCCAAAAGATTCGTCAAGTAGCACAGGATCGGGAACAGGATCAGGATCAGCCCAATATCAGTCATGTGGCATTCAAAAAGAGTGTGTTCCCCGTTGGCTGTGTGCTAATGACACGATTAACACCAGTGGCGATGGAATAATTGATATTCGAATCGATACAGGTTCAGAATGCAAAAATTATTTGGACCTGTGCTGTGATCTTCCCAACAAGGTATTCTTTATATAAAAATGTTTTTTTTAACTGAAACATAACCACTTTGATATTGAAGAGAGTTGACCCTATAATCACAATTGAGCCTGAACATCCCGATGGCTGCGGATATCAGAATCCGAACGGTGTTGGCTTTAAAATTACCGGAGCTGTAAACCAGGAGGCTGAATTTGGCGAATTCCCTTGGATGCTAGCAATTCTTCGAGAAGAAGGATCACTCAACTTGTACGAATGCGGAGGAGCTTTAATAGCTCCAAATGTTGTTTTAACTGCAGCTCATTGTGTTCACAACAAACAACCGAGTTCCATCGTTGGTAAGTATAATGCCGTTATTGAGTTTAAGATAAGGTACCAAATCTTAAACTACTGTTTTTTCAGTTAGAGCTGGGGAATGGGATACGCAAACAAAGAACGAAATTCTACCACATGAGGACCGCTATGTAAAGGAAATTGTATATCATGAGCAGTTCAACAAGGGAGCCCTTTATAACGATGTTGCTGTTATGTTATTGGAAAGCCCATTTACCCCCGAACAGAATATTCAACCTGTTTGCTTACCCAACATTGGGGATAACTTTGACTTCGAACGTTGTTATGCTACCGGCTGGGGCAAAAATAAGTTTGGCAAGGATGGAGAATACCAAGTTATCCTGAAAAAGGTTGACATGCCCGTAGTGCCAGAACAACAATGTCAAACAAATCTTCGTGAAACTCGTCTCGGAAGGCACTTTATTTTGCATGATAGCTTTATTTGTGCTGGCGGAGAAAAGGATAAGGATACCTGCAAGGGTGATGGCGGTTCCCCATTAGTATGCCCCATAAAAGGACAGAAGGGTAGATTTATGTCCGCCGGCATAGTCGCCTGGGGGATCGGCTGTGGAGAGGTTAACATTCCCGGAGTTTATGCCAGCGTAGCCAAACTTCGTCCGTGGATCGATGCAAAATTGAAAATATGGAATATTGACCCCAAATATTATACACCCTAAAAACAAGATGTAATACTCAAAAATTAAAAATTTAAAGTAGAAGAAAAACTACTTAAAAATACTTAACGATATACAAACAATAAAAATAAAAGTTTATCCATTTTTCGAAAAAAAAAAATCAATTTTATTCAATATATTAATTTGAAATATATTTAAACGTTAATACAATTTATTGATATTTTTAGTATCAGTGAGACAACAAGATCATTGTTTTAAATATTTGAGTAGGGGAAATGAAAATGAATCTTCGGTCACGCCACAGTTGAAGACCCCCTTTATTTTTCCAAAACATTTAGTAGACTTACTATGTGATTATCACTTTACCAGCTTTCGGTCACACTGACGTCTATGAGCGTGGAAAAGAATAAGAGAAATACGATTTGTCAAAACGTTTTCACTTTGAATAGAATACCTGCTTAGACATGGATAATTTCGGCCTGGGAGGAGTAGATCTCAGCAAAGGACAAATGTTTCAAGTACTGATTCGTTTGTCTGTGGCTTCGCTGATAACTTATTATTCGGTGAAATGGATGATGAACCAGATGGATCCGACTAGTAAAAACAAGAAAAAAGCCAAAGTCCTCGCCGAAGAGCAATTAAAGAGGTTCTTAAAAGTTTAGATCATTAATTGTGTTATAATTGACACTAACCCGCTTCATTTTCTTGCAGACTTGCCGAAAAAGATGGATTTAAACTGAATGCGCAGGAATTTAACGACTATGAACTAATGATTGCGTCACATCTTGTTGTTCCGGCCGACATAACAGTCAGTTGGTCTGATATCGCTGGACTGGACACCGTCATAAAAGAACTACGTGAATCTGTGGTTCTGCCGGTTCAGCACAAAGACCTCTTCAAGCGTTCGAAACTTTGGCAGGCGCCCAAAGGCGTCCTTCTCCATGGACCACCGGGTTGCGGCAAAACGCTGATAGCGAAGGCAACGGCAAAAGAGGCGGGTATGCGCTTTATCAACCTGGACGTTGCAATTCTTACTGATAAGTGGTACGGGGAATCCCAGAAATTGACTTCCGCCGTTTTTTCGCTAGCAGCGAAAATTGAGCCATGCATTATATTTATTGACGAAATCGATTCCTTCTTGCGATCTCGCAACTTGAATGACCACGAGGCCACCGCTATGATGAAGACTCAGTTTATGATGTTGTGGGATGGCCTAAGCACAAACACCAACTCGACGGTGATTGTTATGGGCGCCACTAACAGACCTCAGGATCTTGATAAGGCCATTCTGCGACGTATGCCAGCTCAGTTCCACATTGGCCTCCCTACCGAGTCACAGCGAAATGAGATCCTGAAATTGATATTACAAACGGAGGAAATTAGCCGAGACGTTGACCTAAATCGCTTATCCAAACTCACAAATGGATTCTCGGGATCAGACCTTCGTGAAATGTGCCGAAATGCATCAGTCTACAGGATGAGACAGCTTATCACATCTAGTGATCCATCCGGTGCAGCCTTGGATCGAAATAATGTTAGCATCACTATGGATGACTTGCTAAGCTCGCACTTGAAAATTAAAGAGTCTAAAATGCACACGGGAAGCTTATTTTTAGAGAATAGAATCGAGCTAGACTAAGTTCTTTATTGTTGATTTCTTGTGTCAATATAATATATCAAAAAGTAAAGGTAAAAATAAAGTTAAGTAAAAGTAAAGTTCTAAAAATGCGTATTTACATATGTTTGTTTTTGTATTATTGGAAAACTAACGATACGTTCGGTCTCTTACTTAACCCGATTCTGTTATCAAAAAATGGGTATCCGGAAAATGCAATTTATGTACTCTTGAAAACTGCAGCGGATACTGCAGGAAATTACACAATCCATAACATTTCCTTAGTTCGAGCTCAATGGACTTTAATTACTACATATATGAGCTATTTTGAAATATTCACCTAGAGAAATTTCAAACATTTATAAAAGGATTGCACTTGTACACTCCTACAAATGCAAAAACTTAAGTCACGCGAACGCGGTCTTTCAATCGTAACCAATGTAAGTACACTTGTGCACTTTTATTCAACTTTAAACGGGTATGTGAAGTCTGTTAAGATTTTTAAATTATAATAGTGTATTAGTGGTAAATAATGAAGAATATTTTGTAAGTTGAGTATATAACCACAAATATATACAAAAATATATTTTAAAATATTATTATGATTATTTAAAAATTAATCTTTAAAAAGAAGTAGTGTATATAATATTCAGTGCAAGAAACGAAGTTCGTACATTTTTAATTGTGTTTCATGTGCATATAAATACTTTCTTTGATCAGCGAAAAAATCATTTCTGTTGAAGGCGTTGAATAAACCACATCTTATCTAATCGAGACTAAGTTACATTTAAGAATGAACCCTTTGGTAAGTTGTCCTCCAAACTTTTTTTTACATTTAATTGCTACATTTGATTTCTATTTTAGACAACATTATTTCCTGGATACTTATTATTACCACTAATCATTTTCGAAAGTGCAGCGCATAGTAATTCTTATGCTGTGAATAAGAGTAGTAATGCTGAAAGTCATGAATGGAGCTATCCTGATTTATCTGTTCACAATACCGGAAGAAGACCAGAAAAAATGTCTCTACAACATTATAATAGAGAGACCGATCGAAATGTAACTTTAAAACGCGGTGTGAAAAACTATCAAAAACCAAAAAAATTAACCACGCATAAAAATAAATATAAACCGTCAAATGCGCGAAGAAAAAATGTTAGTCCGCATTATACTGACGATAACTCTGAGAGTAAGCATTATCATACATTCGAAGAAATCCATGAGCACATAGATGAAGAAGATGGACAGTACCAAGCATCTGAGCAAATTGGAACACAATCCATATTGCACGAAAATGTAGAACATTCAAATAAAAAGGATGGAAAGCGTATGAAAGTTAAGATTAAGCATCACCATCACCACCATCATCACAACCATATAAAGGAACTAATAAAAACCGTTCCACAACCCTATCCTGTTGAAAAAGTTGTGCATGTGCCCATCGAGAAAATTGTGGAGAAAATCGTGCATGTTCCCAAGCTTGTAAATGTTACCGTTGAGAAAATTATACATGTCCCTATTGAAAAAATAGTAGAGAAAGTTATTCACATTCCAAAGCCAGTCCAAGTTCCTTATGTAGTCGAGAAAATCGTTGAAAAAATAGTTAATGTTCCGAAACCATATCCTGTATTAAGAACAGTACCGTATCCTGTGGAAGTCAAAGTCGAGAAGAAAGTTCCAGTACCATATAAAGTTGAGGTAGAACGGAAGGTTCCAGTTTACATTCGATCCAGGGAGCCATATAAATTCGAGCCATCGCCTTTTGAAAGCTATCCCCATGCTGAAGAATTAAAATATAATATGGAACTGGATCATCCGCCGCCTAGAGAACATCATGAGCCTTCCACTCTGCCGTCATCAAACTACTATAATAGAATATACAAATCAAGGGAACTGGACCATCCTCCTAGGATTGAGAACTTTCAAAATATAATACCGTCACAACAAAACCCAGAATATGTGACCAAAAGTATGATCGAACCACAATATAAGCATGAATATATACCAAAAAGTAGTATTGAACCAACTGCTCCTGGACGAGATCCGGTTTCTTTAAAACTTGTGAGCCCAACTCCGCATTTCAATATCACGGGAAAGGACTTGGAGGTCGCCAACTCAGCTCCAGAATTTATTAATAGCTCAAGTGTGGACTTAAGTACGCAGGAATCGGCTAATGCTTTTCGAGGAATCCCTTTCGCCCTACCTTTTCAATTTGTTCAACTGCAACCAATGGCCTTTCAAAATCCCATTAATGTAGATGTACCAGTTCCATCCACAGCAGGAGAGGGAGCTCAAAAGTAAAAAGAGAATCTATGTTTTAAATAAGCCAAATTGCCCAAAAAATGTATTAAACTTTGTTTTTTTGTTTTATGCAGAAATAATTCAATTGAATAAAAGGAATAGCAATAGAATACTTTTCAAAACTTTTTGAATACTTACAGATAACTTTAAAGTATATTTTATTTTAAATGTAACTACAGCAAACATTCAAAAAGTTAGATTTTCATTTTGCCAAAAGAAATCTTAAAATAATTAACAAAATGATTATTAAATAATTATTTATCATGAAGTCATTTATTGGACATTTAAGAAAAAACTTAATGAACTATTTAATTTTATTTAACTGTCAACTTAATAAATTTTTGCAAAAATATATATTCACAATATTTATTGTTTTTATTTAATTATAAATAATATTAAATATTCTTTATAGGAACACCCCTAACGTTAATTGCCAACTGCAGTGCAATCGATAACAATAATCAGAATTCATTCCAATCGCATTCTAAGACATAAATTGTATTAATACTAAAAAAATTCAAAGATAAAACCACCTTATTATTTGTTTGTCCACAATATATGTTTAGGACGAAAAGTGTAATAAAGTTTGGTAAAATTTAAATTGGTCATGTAACGTTTCTGTTCGTCACAATTTTTGTAAAGTATTGTAGCTTCGATGTTGTGTGTCATTGTTTTTATCAATTTGGGTGAACTTGTAGAGGGTTTGTTATTGTACAAAAATTGTTTTTGCTCTCCTCTTCAGCAAAAACTTTGTGCAACTTTGTTAATTCAAGACGCTAACATTTAAATGTTTGTTAAACATATTTAAAGAAACCCGATTAATTTGCAAACTTGTATACAGTAGCAGTTACTTATATGTACATCAATATAATCAAGGTTGATTTGGGTAAACTGACATAGTCGGTGTTGTAAAATATAATTACTGGGAGGTTTTCCTTTAAAAGTACTTCCCTAGAAAAACAACCAATGACGAATTTCGGTTTGTGTTTCATTTAATTACTAATAAATTGATTTTTTCAGCGTTTAGTTGGAAATAATGAATTCCAAATCCGACCATGAAGGAGAAAAGGAAAAAAAGTTGACCAATACTAATAGGTTTGGGGATTGCCTAGAGAACTATGAGCTATCCAACGAGACCGAAAACAAGGCCCATGTTTACCCAAAGAAGATTCCCAACAGAAAAAATGGAATATTAAAGTAGGTGACCCTGATTTTATAGTTTTTAGATATATAGCTAATCAATTTCCAATATTTAGAAACACCGATGCCAACCACGGTACTGTGGAAAATCCCTATCACGAGGATGTGGATTTGGCGGACATTCTTGGAACGAATTGGCCAAAACGAGCTGGAGCAGCTGCTATGATTTTAAATAACAAAAGCAAAACAGTGACTGAATCTATTGGGTGCGAAGATGCCATAAAGAAGCCAGCTTCCCCTATCTTAGTAAAACCAGAGCCAGAGGAACCCTTACGTAAGTATACGCTACGGGAAATCCCCGTTTTGATAGGTTAACAACTAATTTTTGTAAGAAGCGATAAGGGGAGCCCTTTATTGAAGTATGAATGAACACGTGTCTTATTTAACCAATAATGTTTACAAAATTTAAGTTTATTTTAAAGAATTTAAATATGTAGCTTACCATTCACACAAAAATATGTATATCTACATTAAACACTTCTTCCATTTTTGATTTTACTTTCTTTGTCTAATATTTGAATTACCAAAAATATAACTTTAACAAGTTAATTAGATTAGTTAAGATAAATAGCCTGTAATTGTGTACAACTTTCAAGTGGTATAGTCTCAGCTACAGGAAAATATTGCTGAAAGCTATAAGAAAATGTATTTAATTTCCTTCTAGTCATTTTTGGCACATTAACCATGATTAGTATTATAATTTTCTTTTAGCACTGCGACAAACAAATTTTTAAAGACATATTTGCCGATATATTACAGTTCTTTGTAAGTTTTTCGTTCACTTTGCTATCTTGCAAAACATCAGAGATAGAAAATGTGTTATATTTTTAGATTGCCGGCCAAATACATATATTCTATTTACGTTCACGTAAAATGCTAGTGCTTTGAGTTGATATATGCAGTTTGTTGAGGAGTTTTATTTGCGTTGGAAATTGTCAAAGTCGTTTTTTTCTTAGCAAATATTTTAATTAAAAACAAACCTTTCTTTTTGCGGTTATTGAAAATGAATCTTTATCAAAAAGTATTGTCTAATGAGTCTGATATCCACCACAATATCCCATTAACTGTACTGGAATTTTATTCACCTGATTGCACGTCCGATGAACCGGGTATGTTCGATTACGAAACCGTAGCACGATTAAAACATTTTAGGGGGAATCTTAATCTGGTCTAGCAAATCTCTTAATCAATAACTTTCAATTATTTTTGTTTTGATTTTTATTTAAGGTTTTACAATCGCTGACTATCAGCCTCTGATTGAAATACCAGGAACAGAACTAGCAATTGGTTCCCTTGTAGAAGTCTCGAATACTGGTGTGTGTGAAGATCTATATGGCGTTATAAGATGGATTGGCATCCCTCCAGGTTCACCGCGAAATGTACTCGTTGGAATAGAGGTTGAAGATGAATCTAACTTGAAAAATGTTGTGACATCGGATGGAAGGCATAATGGCGTTCGGTACGTTGGTATTATTTATATTTCCATACTCAACTTTACCTTTTATTTTATTATTATTTTAGACTATTTACTTGCCATGATGGTCGTGCTATTTTTGTACCAGCCAATAGATGCACTGCTGATCGGCGATTTGCTGATGTAGACAACAGTATTTCTGCAAACAGAGTTTCCAACAATCATGCAAAAAAATTTGGCGTCGCTGACTGTCCTGCTATTTATGGCTCGATACCTCCATTGGGTAATCTAGGAATATTAAATATTGCACATAGTGTCAAAAATATACTTATAGATTTTTTTTTTAGAAATTCACAACTCCGAGGAACTTGCAGGAATTTGTGGGAAGTTTAAAGGAATACAAGGACACCACAATTCCTGCTATCTTGACGCAACACTTTTTTCGATGTTCACATTCACCAGTGTATTTGATTCAATTCTGTACAGACATCCGGGACCACAAGTTAGATAATTGAATTCTTTGCCTGCACTCGTAACAAAACATAATTTTTTTTCCGATAGGACATTCGTAATTATAGTGAAGTTCAGAAGGTTTTGCGTGATGAAATCGTGAATCCATTGAGAAAAAATGTTTTTGTTCGATCCGACCGTGTGATGAAACTTCGCGAACTATTGGACCAGCTTAGTTCTGTTAGCGGTCTCACCTGCGAGGAGAAAGATCCTGAAGAGTTCCTAAATAGTTTGCTCTCACAAATTATGCGAGTTGAGCCGTTTTTAAAGGTAAATCCATTAACAGTTTTTGAACTCCCAATCTAAACCAGTAAAATATTTATTAGCTAAGCTCAGGACAAGATTCTTATTTTTACCAACTATTTGTTGAGAAGGATGAAAAGTTAACTTTGCCGAGTGTCCAACAACTGTTTGAACAAAGCTTTCACTCTTCGGATATAAAACTTAAGGAGGTTCCATCTTGTTTTATCATACAAATGCCTCGTTTCGGAAAAAACTATAAGATGTATCCTCGAATATTGCCTTCGCAAGTACTTGATGTAACAGACATAATTGAAAATTGTAAGTTTTATAATTTATACTATCTTACTTAATGATCAATAATACACTGCACATTCAGCACCGCGACAGTGCTCTCTATGTGGCAAGCTGGCTGAGTACGAGTGTCGAGATTGCTTTGGTAGCCTGCAAGCTGGCTCAGGACTTGAATGCACCGCGTTTTGTCCCAAATGTCTTAAGACATTTCACTCCCACATAAAAAGGTTTAATAGTTTAAATTATAATGTAAAATCCTTTTAAAACTTAAAACTTTTTTTAGAACTAACCATGTTTCAAAAAAGATATTCAGTCCGAAAGAGTTTAGAATCATGGCCGAGCACATGGTTGTTCCGCGATTGTATATGGAATTGTTTGCAGTCGTTTGCATAGAAACGTCTCATTATGTGGCGTTCGTAAAGTCCGGTTCTGGACCCGATGCACCGTGGTGCTTCTTTGATTCTATGGCTGATAGAAAAGGTGAGTTTTTTATAATTTATATTTTATACCTTTCTTCTCCTTTTTCTCAGAAATTGTATTTTGTATTCGTACTATGGCTTTCATTGACCTAACTAATTTCTTTTCATTTATGCTAATATTATTTCAGGTGAACAGAATGGATACAATATACCTGAAATTACGTGTGTTCCAGAATTAACACAGTGGCTCTCAGAAGAAGGCGCACGATCTATAAATGAAACTTCAACGAACGATAAAGTATTACCTGAACACGCTAAGCGTATTTTTTGCGATGCCTATATGTGTCTGTACCAAAGCACAGATATTATGATGTACCATTAGAACAAATTTATCTATAATAAACATGAATGAAATAAAATTTTTATAAAAATCACAAAAGTTATTTGTTATATAATTATTTATGGAGACTTTTTTCAGAATGGAAGCACATGTTAAAACCTTTGATATTTTTTTTACTTTTTCTTTCCATGGATTAATTCTCCTTAATTATTATGTTGATAACGATCACTTTTTAAATGCCCTTAAAGTTTAAACTATCATGTAGTTACTTACTACCATGGTTTTACTAGACACTTTAAAATAGACTGAGCTGAAAAGATGGACATGGCTGGGTCGTTATCGCAGTTGAAGATGACTAACAAAAATTTTTATTGGTTTCGACAGCGTGCTGTAAAGTTCCCATTCAAAAGGGGAAGGAATATTGATTATTTTGTGAGGGATATTGTTTCGCTCAAAATATAGCTTTATGTTGGATTACAAAAATAGTAGTAGTAGTGTGTGTAACGATTTCATTTTATAGAAAGTAATAAGTTTAGACAAAATATATATTAATAACTATATATTTATAACAGTGGAAATCTGTATCTAATACAACAATTACAAATTAAGACCAAAATTTAAATGCACAAAATTTATGTGGTAGAGTTGTATGAGAAAGAAACGGAACTGATAGACCGAGTGAATGAAAATGACAGAAACGTAGAGCATCAGACCATGAAAGGCTAGTCAAATCTCGAATATATAGTAATATATACGAGTATGTATATACATACCTACAAAAAAATCTTCAAGTGAACTCTATTGGTCGGCAGAGATATACAAAAAGGCGGCGTTTGCCATTGGTTGATTTTGAGGGAGGATATCCAGATGCTGTTGCTTGTTCATTCAATTACTGGAAAAGTATTTCAGTTACGTCCCAGCCAGCAACGATGATTATGTTCCATACGAACAGCAAAAATGTTGATCTCTAACCGTGAAATTATTTTGAATTTACATAAGTTATATTAAAAAATGTTTAAAAATTCCGTCGCTTTGGGGCGTGATTATTCCACCATGTATTATAACTCAGTATATAATGCATCTACCATGTTTGACATGAAACGTAAATCTATAAATTAGTTTTCCTTCTCTGTGGCCGTGAACTCAATCAATCAAACATGATAATTGAAAATCTGTGAAAATATCTAAAATTATGTTTTAAGCACGACTTCTGTCATGTTGATTGTTATGATAATATAGTTTAATACGCCTTTCGTTTGCTTTCCTTGTTTATACTTGAGTTTTTTAAAATGAATCAATTTGATCAATATGAAATTAACTTGTTTCAGACTCTGAAAGTCAAGTTCAGCAACAGATATATAACGCAAATCACATAGGTTATGTGCCAACCTCAAATACTCGGATAGTTAAGAAGCGAAATACGGCTAACAAAAAGGAGAGAAGGCGCACTCAAAGCATAAACAACGCATTTTCGTACCTTCGAGAAAAGATTCCAAATGTTCCTACAGATACAAAATTATCAAAGGTAACTTAACCGTCGGAGATATACATTTTTTTTATATTTTAAAAGTGAGCAAAAAGCTTTTTGAAAGAATTTTTAAAAGTTATGAAACTTAATATTATATAAGCAATTATGCTCTTTGGAAAGTTTTATTAAAAATACGTGTTTGTTTGTTTGGTTTACTTAACAGATTAAAACATTGAAGTTGGCCATATTGTACATAAACTACTTAGTTAATGTCCTTGATGGAGATCAGGATCCAAAAGGCGGATTTCGAGCAGAACTTAAGCCGGTCAGCCGAAAGATTTGTAGCGAAAAGAAACACTGTTTAAAATCAGAAATTCAAGTAAGAAAAAACTTTTTTTTTGTTTACTAACTTAGTTTTTAATCTCCTTTTCGAAGACTATGCCTACTTTTTAAACATAAGTATCAATTAAAGATACTTTCGAGGCCTTTTAATTTTCCTTGTTTGGCCGCAGTTGTGTTTATCCGCCGGAATTTATTAAATATAAACAGTTTAAATTGTTTTCCTTTAAATAACTTTTGCTTTAAAGGCTTACCGTAAAATCAGTTAGTAACTAAAATGGTGGATATTGTTTTCAGGTGTTATCAATATTTTTTCCTAATCTAAAAATTACTATGGGTTCGAAAATTTCAGTAATATATTCAAAGATTCTGATAAGCATGAGGTTTCCTTTTTAAGGGCGTATTATTTATATATAGGTATATCAAGCGTAATACACGTATATATATATATATTTTAAACAAATCAGCCCTTTTACCATATTGATATCTCTATTTTTTGTATGTTTATGGTATATAGTAGTTTTTTCCCCACCTTCAGTACTTTGTTTCTGCTCTGGGCGGATATCTGAATTGTTTGTTTATTATAAGAAATAAAAGCACTTGACTTTATAAAAAAAAAAACTTCGTTATCTGTTTATTCAAAACAAAAAACCATTCGTAAGCATAGAGCAATTTCCATTGTAATCAGCAAGTAAAAACACGATCAATCGAATTTCCTTAATGGAAATTCAAAGAGCAGTACCATGTTAAGCCTTAACAATCGGAATTCGACATGTAAGACCAGTGACCGCTTGTAAGTTGTACTTTATTGTGCAATTTGGGAAGTGATAAACCGCAGACGCATGCAGGCGTAATTGAGAATTCATGCTTCCCGACTGCCGCCTTCACGAAAAGTGGGGGTGAATTGCTTGAAACATTCATTTAATAGGGCAATCTGGTAATAGATATGGATGCAAGAGACAAGTGCCTAAGTGCTGTTTCAGAAAATATTTAATCCATTAAGGGTTTGATTAATCAAGTGCTTTTCCAGAACACTTATCCGAGATATATAGAAAATTATATAAAGAATAATGCCACATAAAATGAAAGTATTTTTACGTTTTCTACAGAGAAGGAAATAATATGGTTTAAAAAACCATTCAAGAAATAATTTCCATAGATTTGCAAATGACATTAAATTCAAACTGGTCTTTAGCATCACAAATATCATAATTAGCATTGTTTCAACAACTCTTTGGTGTAAGAAAGATTTCCCAATGCCAATTTTTGTAGATGTTCTCTTCATGTGCGCCTTACAAACAATTAGAACTGAACTACATTTCGAAATAAAATAGTAAAGTGTTTCCATAGTGCTTCCGTGCACGTGTTATTTTTTCTTTTTGTTTACTCCTTAATTGTCTATTTGTGGGCACAAGTTGTATACAAAAAAGGAACAATGATCTGTATATAAACAGCATGAGTGCAGACAGAATTTTTTAATTGAAGCTTTGTATATGGATGTGTATAAAATATGTTACCGACTTAGAGTTTTAGAGTTTATCCTACAAATCGAGATTAGATATTTCGGTTACGATATAAAGCTCGCTAAAAAAGTTTCAAGAGTACACAGATTCGAATAAAAATAATAGCAAAATTTAAAAAAAAATTGCAAAAAGTTTCTGTCATAAGGAAACTTAAAAAGAATTAAATGTTATTTAATAAAAAGTAAATAATAAGGAAATTTATTTTTCTTTCTTTACATAATTTTAATAAATTATTATTAGGAAAATGTCCATTTGTAATATAAAGTACATGAAAACCAAAGATTAATACTAGTTTTCATTTCAGAATGTACCCATGTCGACAAAGGGCCGCACAGGTTGGCCCCAAGATGTTTGGGCATCGGAGCTTATTCCAGAGCATAATTAGACTAATTTAATTTATTTAAGATTTATGTCATAATAAATATATGTTTTAATCAAATATAATTTTAAAAAATACAAAATAAATCACACAAGTTTCCTTTTCTGAATGTATTACTAAAAATGGTAAGTTAAAGTATTTGAAAAATTAATTTCAAATTATATTAAAATATATATATGTATGTACATATGTATATTGAGCAAACTTTGCTAGGCTTAGTTAATTCTCCTTCCTTGTTGGATCCTCATGTAAACCAATAATACTGCATCATAAAATATTATTTCTTTCATACATACATAACATACATACATATGTGTAAATGGTTCACTTAGACTTGGACTTCAATTAGTCAAAACTAAATTAAAGTACATTACATACATATATGTATGAACAATATTAATATAAAAATGTATTTCCTTATAATTTACGGTTTCGATGAACTCCCAGTAGTCCGGGAACACAGGAAAAATAAAACATGGTTCACATTTACGTGAGCTAATGAAAAGGTCTCTGATATTATTTAAATCCTCGTTAGAAATTTTTAAGTAAACTAAAAATAAAGTTACTTATACTTCCCTTTTTTATTTAATAATCACATTCACTGCAGTTGCCATTTGGCGTTTTACCAAAATGAAACAAATTTTCTTGTACGTTATTCTTGTTTTCAATGAAAAAAAACCGGTTTCTTATAATTAAATGGGATATGTGAACTAAACTTATTCGATTCCAAGCTCCTTAGCGTTGGGAGCCAAATTTGTAGCATTATTATTCTTTTGTGTGAATACCCCAAGCTTATGTTCTCGATAATAATCTAATATCGATAGGTCAGTTATGAGTATCGTCTGACTGTCATCTCTATAATCAATTTTCGAGCTGCTGGATATTTGTGTGAATAAAAATAGTGTGGTGTATTGAGTAACTGTTGAAAAGCTTTAAAAAAGCAGCTTTAAAAAGGTTCCAAGCACTAGCAAAATATTTAATATAATGCAAAAAAGGTAGATTATCTCGGTTTAATAAGATTTTGATCAAAATTGTTATATTTCTATGTGTGTGTGTATGTGCCTAAACAGACACGACACTAATGTTAATAAATAATGAACAATTACATTACGTACACATGTTTTCGTGTTGGTACACATATGTATTGTGAAATGCGTACAGGCTTTGTCAAAGACAATGGTTATTACAACTGCGTTTTTATGTAACTCTCAAGTAGTTTTGGTTTCAGAAAAGAAAAGTCTTTAAATTATACATACACAACTGGAATTTGGTTGAGGGCGAAGAAAAGAGAAGTGTCATCATTCTTCTTCTATTCAAAATTGGTGCATTTGTTGAACAAAATTCAAATTCATTAGAGCTGTGCACTTCTACCTGTTTAGTTACCTTTTCTATATTTTTAAAACGTAAAATGTGAGCTCTATCCGGAAATCATCTAGAAAAAAATATAGTGTGAATATAAAATGAAATTACATATATATACATTTGAATGTGTGTGTATATATCTGTAATTACCAATGTATGTTTATACATTTAATTTTTACTGTTTTATTAAAAAAAGGTCTTATCTTCAATAAAAACAGTTTATATACATAACAACATTATGACCTGACAAAATCGAACTTATCGCGGAGAAATTGTTGGAGCTGAGATGGTACAACGCAGTTTCCCTCCAACTATCTCTTTGTTTGCCATGTGTGCATTTGGCAAATCAGGTTACTTAAAATGGAATAATATTTTATCCAATTGGTGAGCCCAGTATCGCCAATAAATCTTTATAAGAATGATGAAATACCTGTTTTCTCATTAGAAATATTTTGCAGATTTATTTTTGAACTATAAAAAGTTTAATTGAATTCATTTTTTGAAAAAAAAAACTAATCTATTACTAGTGTGATTTCTATGAGTGTTTTCCATTTTTATTTGTCGTTAGCTGTTTGTTTGCCAATTGAAAAATGCCTAGCAACCCGAAATTATCCTTTTACCTAGACAGAATCATTATTTCGGCAGTCAAACATTGTTATTACTTGTTCAATTAGGTTCGCTTAATATTTACAAATCTAGCTATTATATTAGTATCTAATACATTTAAAAAATTTTTCTTATCTTTTTCCAGTTTTGGCTAAGAAGCATAAATCAAATTTCGATTTGCGGTAAGTGTAGCATAACTATATTTAGTTCTAAGTAAAAGTTTAGAGTGATATTTAGATATACTGATAATTATCGAAGTCGAACTTTAATTACAATAATAATAAAAAAAAGTATAGATATATATATATATATAGTATATGTAAAATATATAGTCTATACAATTTAAAATAATTTTAAATTTATATTATTTTAATAAATCAGGTTATGTTGGTTAATCAAATGTTCTCAATTAACAATCTTTACAAATCAATTCAGTTGCTTTGGTTTAGTCATAGTTTTTACGTACTGTAATGAGCTATCGCATGACTAATATATAAACCGATGCATCACGGTGAGGGGAAAATGCTAACCAATTCACTTACAATCTATATATAAAATGTCTAAGATAATTAGTATTTCAGAATATTTAATAATACGTTTTATTTAAATAAGGATCAAGCCAATCTATCTATTTAGAGAACAGTTAACATTCAAAAATGTTTAAAATGCAGGTCATACAAACTTAACAAAACTTGACGAGAAATATATTACTTTTCCAGTCTTAAAAACTTATATGTTCTGTAGTACTTTGAATCAGTTTAATAAATAAATAATGAATAAATTTATTTCATTGTGTAGCACGAAAGAAAGCCATTTAAAAGCCCGTGCGTGTTTATTGCTTTGTGTTTTAGCTGTCAATATCTGAATAATAGTCACAGCTCAAAAGTCAATATTCAAAATTTTGTTGTTTACCTCACAGATGGGCGATGTCGACCCCGAGACGCTGTTGGAATGGTTGTCCATGGGACAAGGAGATGAGCGGGACATGCAATTGATTGCACTGGAGCAGCTGTGTATGCTGCTTCTGATGTCTGATAATGTAGATCGATGCTTTGAAAGGTATTTGCAAATAGCATTCACACTTTATTTAACATTTGAAGACATATTTCCATATTTCACACTTTAGTTGTCCCCCTCGGACATTTTTACCGGCGCTGTGCAAGATATTCCTGGATGAACTTGCACCTGAAAATGTACTCGAGGTCACTGCGCGAGCAATCACCTATTACCTGGATGTTTCGGCGGAGTGCACCAGGCGGATTGTTTCAATCGATGGAGCAATCAAAGCCATCTGCAATCATCTTGTGGTTGCGGACCTATCATCTCGCACATCTCGCGATCTTGCTGAGCAGTGTATAAAAGTGCTCGAGCTTATTTGCACCCGAGAAGCTGGCGCTGTATTCGAGGGCGGTGGCCTTAACTGTGTCCTGTCCTTTATCCGGGACTGCGGCTCGCAGGTCCACAAGGACACCTTACACTCGGCCATGTCCGTTGTATCCAGGCTCTGCACCAAGGTGGAACCTAACACTCCCTGCATTCAGAATTGTGTCGAGAGTCTGAGTACTCTGTTGCAACACGAGGACCCAATGGTATCAGACGGCGCACTTAAATGCTTTGCCTCCGTGGCAGACCGATTCACACGAAAATGGGTTGATCCAGCCCCCCTGGCAGAATATGGGTTAACCACAGAATTGTTAAAGCGTCTAAAAAGTGTAGGAGGAAACACACACTCATCATTATCGACAACCGGAGCTCAGCCGTCTGGCCAATCCGCTGCAACCTCAAACTCTGATGCAATCAATGAGAACGTTGCGGGAACTGCAACCATTTCCAACAGCACCAAAGTAAAGCCAACCGATGCCGCTGCATCCCCGCAATCAATATCAACTACGATTTCCCTGTTGTCCACGCTTTGCCGTGGATCACCCTCTATCACCCATGACATCCTGAGATCCCAGCTGGCTGATGCCCTCGAAAGGGCCCTGCAAGGCGATGAGCGATGCGTGCTGGACTGCATGCGATTCGCAGATCTCTTGCTATTACTTTTGTTCGAAGGGCGCCAGGCGCTAAATCGAGGAAGTAACAACCCAAATCAAGGGCAGTTGGCGCCCCGACCTAGACGTAATAATACTAATACCGATCGAACGCATCGCCAGCTGATCGATTGCATACGATCAAAAGACTCTGAGGCTCTTCGCGAAGCCATCGAATCAGGTGGCATTGACGTGAACTGTATGGATGATGTCGGTCAGACCCTTCTCAACTGGGCTTCAGCCTTTGGCACCTTAGAAATGGTAGAATATTTGTGCGAGAAGGGAGCTGATGTTAATAAGGGCCAACGAAGTTCTTCCCTTCACTATGCCGCATGTTTTGGTCGCCCGGCTATTGCTAAAATCCTGCTGAAATTTGGAGCCTATCCGGATCTGCGAGATGAAGATGGCAAAACTCCATTAGATAAAGCACGCGAACGGTTGGATGACGGACATCGAGAAGTGGCAGCAATTTTACAGTCACCGGGGGAGTGGATGTCTCCTGATCACTCGCTTCTAAACAAAGATGGAAAGAAATACACACTCATGGAACCACGTGGTGATCCTGAAATGGCGCCCATTTACTTAAAGGTGCTTCTGCCTATATTTTGTCGAACCTTCTTGGGATCCATGCTGGGCAGCGTCCGGCGAGCAAGTTTGGCCCTGATAAAAAAGATTGTACAATACGCGTACCCGACGGTACTGCAAAGTCTAAGCGAAACCAGTTTCAGCGAAGATGCAGCTTCTAGTTCGGGGCAAAATGGTGGAAACCTGCTAATTGAGGTTGTCGCCAGTGTCTTAGACAACGAGGTAAACATTTATATATTTATTTTATATATTAAAACATTTTAAATAATTTATGTTTAAACCATTTTCAGGATGATGACGACGGTCATTTAATTGTTTTAAACATTATTGAGGAAATTATGTGTAAGACACAAGAGGAATTTCTTGACCATTTTGCTAGACTTGGAGTTTTTGCAAAAGTTCAAGCCCTGATGGACACTGATGCAGAGGAATTGTATGTGCAGTTGCCAGGAAGCTCGGAAGAGACAGTTCCAACGCAAAGATCTTCGACTAGCCTTGTAGTCACACCCGAGATCAACTTCAGGTATAATAACATATTTTTTGATTTGAGGTGTTTACTCATCCATTGAAAAATTCAATTTAGATGATCCCATGGAGGACGCAAAAGAGATATTACAAGGGAAACCTTATCACTGGAGAGAGTGGAGCATTTGCAGGGGCCGAGATTGCTTGTACGTCTGGTCAGACTCTGTAGCGCTAGAGCTATCGAATGGCTCAAATGGATGGTTCCGTTTTATAATAGATGGAAAACTAGCAACGATGTACTCCAGTGGAAGCCCTGAAAACGGAAACGATAGTTCTGGTAATTTGAAATTAAAAATAAAAAATTACTTTTTACTTACCATACATATATTTTAATATCTTTTCAGAAAATCGGGGTGAATTTCTCGAGAAACTAATGCGTGCCCGTTCCTGCGTAATTCCAGGAGTTGTATCTCAGCCCATTTTGCCAACTGCGAGTGCACTTCGACTGGTTGTGGGGAACTGGGTCCTGCAGTCGCATAAAACAAATCAACTTCAAATTCACAACACGGAAGGCCACCAAGTTACCATACTGCAGGATGATTTGCCTGGATTTATTTTTGAAAGTAATCGAGGAACGAAGCACACCTTTACGGCAGAAACTGTCTTGGGTCCCGATTTCGCCTCTGGTTGGTCAACAGCTAAGAAAAAGCGCAATAAGTCCAAGACAGAAGGTCAAAAGTTCCAAGTTCGAAATTTATCACGGGAAATTTACAACAAATATTTCAAATCGGCCCAAACTGTCCCTCGGGGAGCAGTGGCAATACTTACGGACATAGTGAAGCAAATCGAGATATCTTTTGAGGAACAGCACATGGCACCAAATGGGAATTGGGAAACAACATTATCTGAGGCCCTAATGAAGCTGTCTCAACTAATTCACGAAGATGGTGTCGTGAGCGCGTATGAAATGCATTCATCGGGATTGGTACAAGCATTGGTGGCCGTTTTGTCTGTAAACCATTGGGAAAATAATTCCCCGCGCTGCAAGCGAAACAAAATGCAAAAACAACGAGTTTCCGTATTTAAGAAGTGTATATTAGAGGATGACGCTGAGTCCGCAACCAATAAGCCAAGAACTAAAAGTACTGCAAGTATTTTAATTCAAAAACTTGTGTCGGTTTTGGAAAGCACAGAAAAGCTACCAGTGTACTTGTACGACACTCCGTGCACTGGTTATAGTTTGCAAATTCTGCAGAAACGACTTCGTTTCCGTTTAGAGCGTGCAGAATGCGAAAGTACTTTATTCGACCGATCGGGACGAACTCTAAAAATGGAACCTTTGGCAACAATTGGACAACTTTCTAAGTATCTCTTGAAAATGGTGGCCAAACAATGGTACGATCTTGACCGGTCTACATACTTTTATTTAAAAAAAATACGAGAGCATAGGACCGGAACCGTGTTTGCACATTCATTTGATTTCGATGAAGATGGTTTGTTGTTCTACATTGGCTCTAATGCAAAAACTTGCGATTGGGTTAACCCAGCACAATATGGTCTTGTGCAAGTTACCAGTTCTGAAGGGAAAAACTTACCATATGGAAAACTGGAAGATATTCTATCTCGCGACAGTATCTCACTCAATTGTCATACCAAGGACAACAAAAAGGCCTGGTTCGCCATTGATTTGGGGGTCTATATCATCCCTACTGCTTACACGCTTCGACATGCTCGCGGATATGGAAGGTCGGCTTTGAGAAATTGGCTACTCCAGGGTTCCAAGGATGGTTTAAGTTGGACAACACTGAGTTCACATGTAGATGACAAGAGCCTCATGGAGCCCGGTAGCACTGCCACATGGCCAATTACCTGTGTAACTGACGATTCCGTGAGGTATCGCCACATTAGAATCCAACAAAATGGCCGTAATGCTTCCGGACAGACCCATTACTTAAGTTTGAGCGGTTTTGAGATCTATGGTCGCGTTGTGGGAGTTGCTGATGATATAGGAAAGAGTGCCAAGGAAGCTGAGGCCAAAATAAGGCGCGAGAGACGGCAGATTAGAGCTCAGCTCAAGCATATGACCACCGGTGCTAGAGTAATTCGAGGTGTTGACTGGCGATGGGAGGATCAGGACGGATGTGCCGAGGGCACAATTACCGGAGAAATACACAACGGCTGGATCGATGTGAAGTGGGACCATGGCGTACGCAACTCCTACCGCATGGGAGCCGAAGGAAAGTACGATTTGAAATTGGCTGATTGTGAATATCTTTCCGTCTTCGAGGGAAACCAGTCAATGGTTACTGCGAATACAACTGCAAAAATAAATGAGAAAGGAAACACACTCACCTCACGAAAATCGAGTTCTACTCCATCCCTGCCCGAAGCCACGGAGAAGAACCAAAACCCGGAAGGTGCTTCCAACCAAACTGTTTCGGCGGATAACTTGGCCTGGAAACAGGCCGTAGAGACCATTGCAGAGAACGTATTTGCTTCGGCTAAGACACAGATTATTTCAAACCAACTTGCTATGAATACATCTTCCTCCAGAGAAGCTAGAGGTAAGCACAAGGAGTCGGGCACAAACCAAATGCATAAAGATAATATTAGTGGACCCTCACCATTGAGCCGAGAGTTAGATCACATTTCAGATCTGTCTGCAATCAACAATTCTACTATTAACTCAAGTATTGTGTCCGACTTAGCTACTATTTCGGAGAATTTATCTTTAGCTGAATTATCCAAAGAAAATATATGCAGCGTCCTTGCACCTTCATTCAAACCAGCAGAGAACATTACTGCGAGTCAAAGCTCGAGTCTTCCTGAAGCACAGAGTTCGTCTCCGCGCGAGAGCGATATCAAAAACATATCCAATATTGAAGAGAACAATAAGATGAACGCCAACAACTCGGTGAATAAGATATCTAAGGACCTTCTCGCGAATCTCCGAACCTCGAATATTGGAAGCTGTCAACCGGTCACCCAACTCTCCACCGAGGCCCTCGAAATGATCGACAAAATGCGTGATGGCGTGGATATGATACGGAACAATTCCAATAATATTCTTTCCACGGATACTTTCCCAGTGCCATGCACAAATGTGGCAGTCGGTATTAAAAAGACCCCCAAAGCTCAGTCTCTGATAAATGCCGATAATACGAATCAGAAGCAAATTATAGTTGGGAACGAAGAATTGCCCCCAGCAAGAGTTCCAAGAAACCCAGTGTTACTTTGAAACCAGCCCAGCAGCCAAATGCAGTGCTATCAATAGTGGATATCAAGGATCAGCAAAGTGCATCCGAAAATGTTTCTGTTCCCAGCCAGATGAGTATAAGTGTTCCTAATCTGACAACTACATCAGCTTCAGAGGTTCCTTCGACATCAGAGGTAGCCACCCACACTGGTTTGCTTGAGACATTTGCTGCCATTGCTCGTCGTCGTACCTCCCAAGGTACCAATATACAGGATAACCAGATTATGAATGCGGATGTTAATGTCAACGAGCACGGAGATCAGAATGCCTCCGGCTCGTTTCTCGGTCACTCGGTAACCAGTTTAGTTAAGCTGGCATTGTCAAGTAATTTCCCTTCGGGACTGCTCAGCACCGCCCAAAGCTATCCAAGCTTATCTTCGAATAATAGCGAAAATATAGCTGCATCAAACCCATCAAATACTTCTACAGGACAGCAATCGGCATCCACCATAAATCATACCCTAACAATGAGTCTAACATCTACATCAAGTGATAGTGAGCAAGTATCATTGGAGGACTTCTTAGAGAGTTGCAGAGCGCCAGCTTTATTGGGAGACTTGGACGATGAGGACGACATGGATGAAGACAACGATGAAGAGGAGAACGAAGACGAATACGAAGAGGTTGGAAACACTCTTCTCCAAGTAATGGTTTCCAGAAACCTTCTTACCTTCATGGATGATGAGCCTTTGGAGAACAGGTTAGTTGGTGTGACCAAACGCAAGTCTTGGGACGACGAGTTTGTCCTGAAGAGACAGTTTTCCGCTTTGATACCCGCATTCGATCCGCGACCGGGTCGCACAAATGTGAACCAAACTTCCGATTTGGAAATATCTCCCATTGGCGTTGAATTGCCCAAACCTCAGCAAAGCGGACCTGAGACTATTGAACAGCCCTTGCTTGGTTTAAAATTGCGGGGTCCTGGAATCGGAGGTATTCCCGAAGTCGAAATCGACTTGAGCAACACAGACTGGACCATATTCAGAGCCGTACAAGAATTACTGCAGTGCAGCCAGTTGAACAAGTTGGACAAATTCCGAAAAATATGGGAGCCCACATACACCATTGTGTACCGGGAGGTCTCACCCGAGGCACCGGAAAGCACTGCCTTGGAGTCGGAGGAATTTCCCCAAACGCCGGACGTATCATCAAAGAGCGGTGCATCAACTTTGTCCCCCAACTCTCCTATGCATATCGGGTTTAATGTAGCCGATAATAATTTGTGCTCTGTTGACGATGTACTAGAGCTGCTCACTCAAATCAATGGTCTCAATCAATCCGAAATCGACTCGGATGTCAAAGAAAATGCCGTTTCTTTGTTGTCCGAAGATCTATTTATCAGCAAGAAAATAACCAACAAACTGCAACAGCAAATTCAGGATCCATTGGTGCTATCAAGCAATGCATTACCGAATTGGTGCGAAAACTTGAACCAATCTTGCCCGTTCCTATTTCCGTTCGAGACCAGACAGCTATACTTTAACTGCACATCGTTTGGAGCATCGCGCAGCATCGTGTGCCTACAATCTCAGCGTGATGTGACTGTGGAGCGTCAGAGGATACCCATCATGAGTCCCCGGCGGGATGACCACGAATTCCGCATTGGCCGCCTTAAACACGAACGCGTTAAAGTACCACGAAACGAGGATTTGCTTAAATGGGCAATGCAGGTGATGAAGACGCACTGCAATCGAAAGTCCGTGTTGGAGGTGGAGTTTTTGGATGAGGAAGGAACTGGCTTGGGACCTACTTAGAGTTCTACGCCTTGGTGGCTGCCGAGATTCAACGTTCCGACCTCTGTATGTGGCTGTGTGATGATGACTTAGGCGAGGATACCGAAAGCTCACGGGAAGACACGAAAAGCAATTCGAAACCTGTTGGGTATTACGTAAATCGTAGGGAGCACGGAATATTCCCAGCACCACTTCCGCAAAATACCGAAATATCTGAGAAAGTTTTAAAATACTTCTGGTTTTTTGGCGTTTTTGTGGCAAAAGTTTTGCAGGATATGCGTCTAGTAGATATACCTTTATCAACATCATTTCTTCAATTGCTTTGTCATAACAAAGTATTATCTCGTAATCTTCAAAAGGTTATTTCGGATAGGCGAAACGGCGATATTTCTGTCGTATCCGAAGAATCAGATATAGTAGAAACCTGCACCGAACTACTACGAACTGATTGTAATAAGTCCAATGCATTCGGGGGAATTCTATCATTAGAAAATTTGAAAGAAATAGATCCAACTCGTTATCAATTCCTACAAGAAATGCAAAATCTATTAATGCGAAAGCAGTCAATTGAGTTTGACGATAATATCAGCGCTGAAAAGAAACAAGAACTTATTGACGAGCTTAAGTTGCACACCCAAAATGGTTTGGAGGTGTCTCTTGATGACTTGGCCCTTACGTTCACGTATCTGCCTAGTTCCTCGATTTATGGATATACCCAGGCTGAACTTCTGCCGAATGGCTCATCTGTGAATGTCACCATCGACAACTTGGAAGCATATTGCGAACTCCTTATGAACTTCATCCTGCAGGACGGAATCGCTCAACAAATGAAGGCCTTCAGTGATGGATTTAACGAAGTGTTCCCCCTTAAAAAGTTGGCAGCCTTTACTCCTTCAGAAGCACGAATGATGATTTGTGGAGAACAGTTCCCCCATTGGAGCCGAGAAGACATTATTTCATTTACTGAACCAAAACTTGGCTACAACAAAGACAGGTATGGTTCTCCATTCCAATATTGAATTTATATTCGATCATCCATTTTTACTAACTAATCCAAAATTTTTTTTTTCAGTCCTGGGTTCCAACGCTTTGTTAATGTTTTATTAAGTATGTCGGGAGACGAAAGGAAAGCTTTTCTCCAATTCACAACTGGATGCAGTAGCCTGCCTCCAGGTGGACTTGCAAACTTACATCCCAGACTGACCGTTGTTCGAAAGGTAGATGCTGGCGTTGGAAGCTATCCATCCGTAAACACCTGCGTTCACTACCTAAAGCTTCCGGATTACCCAACTGAAGAGATCATGAAAGAGCGCTTGTTAACAGCAACTAAAGAAAAGGGGTTTCATTTAAATTAAACAATTTATTGTACTCGATATTCAAGTTAATAAAATTTGAACCTTTTGTTATTTAAAGCTTACTGTTTAATAACATTATAAGCGATATTGTAAATATCTTAACTGTTCAAATTTAATCTTTATATGTATGTAAGATTTGATATATTGAATAAGGTTACTTATACCTAAAGTCCGGCCTATTGTTTCAAAATTTAATTTAGCCAGTAAAATGGTAACTAAAATCAATATTTTTTATTTAATCTTTTCTTTCAAGGTAAGGATTTATTTATCGGGTTCTAATTTGACTATTATAAAACAATGAAAAGCATTAGTTATCATTATTTAGATAAATTTGTTTTTTTATTATTATTTTTGCAATGTTCATCTTTTAAATAACTTTATTTCTTCAGATGTTTTGCTAATTCAAATTTTAAAATGTTCATACTCATCTGTTTGATGGAAATTTTCCTGTTCAAACGTACAAAATGTAGAAAAATTCTAGATTCTTAACAATTTATTTTATTTTTGGCATATGAGCAAACACAAGTTACTTCAAGAAGTAAATAATTGTTGGAGTACTCGACTATATCGCTCTTAATTTTGCATCTCAAAAATTTGTTTTTAAAATACATTTTTCTACAAAGAAGTTAAACAGAATCTATAAATTGGGAGCTTAAGGATCCAGCTACATTTGCTTGCAAACAAATCGCAGCCTAAGCAAATAAAAAAGGTGAAAAAGGCATAATTTGATTTGTGAATATTTTTATCAAAACAATGCACGAATTTTCGATTCATTTTTTTCTTACTTCCACTTACTTATTTCATATTTTAATTTTAATTTTTTTTAAGAGTAGAAAAGTGCTTAAAAATAAATTCATTCAAAAAGAATACAATGAAAAGACGCATTCAAAAGCAGACATGTTTTTGACCCACTACCTTTATTACTAAAGTTGTAAGACATTTGGCTACCTATAGTATATTATTTATTAAATTAAAAACTGTTTCACAAACAATGGTTCACCCTAAAAAAATTTTACCTGCTTAGTGAAGAACCCTTTCACATTTTTCATTCATTTTATAAAGCAGTACAAACAGCAGTAAAACAGTAACAACGTGTTAAATAAGCTGTTGAAATTTGGCAGTCTCCGTGCAATTTATTATTAAGCTGTGAGTAATGTCTATGGTCCTTTTAAGTTTCAATTTATTTAAATAAAGGTGTTATCGCTCACACCTGTTTATGCTATATTAGTAATAGCCAACATAAAACTTAAGAATTTGGTGTTTACTGTACTTGTATAAATTATACAAAAAGATAAGATAAAATCTCTCTACTGTGCATCTGGGGTTACTTACTATCTTAAACTTGTAAGGGAGCCGTGAAGACAGTCAAGGTTCTGCCGTCCACCTATCGAAAAAAATTATGATTCCGGTAGCTCTGATAATTTTTTGTTTAATCCCGGTCGTTCAAAATGAATACTTTCGTCCTACTTACCAAGTACTTTTACGCAAAAGGAATAATTTTGGAGCTTTAGTTGATGGCCACTGCTACGGAAATATTCTACAAAGTCGTCTGGTTTTAACAGCGGCATCGTGTTTATTTACTACTAATAAAACCTCAAATGGAAGAAAATATTTAAAATCTGATGAATTAGCTGTGTCCTTTCAGGGCGAGGATTTGAATGAGTTCATATACTTTGTTAGTGGCATTGACATTTATCCTGAATTTGCTGCCTTGACTTTTGCTAATGATATTGCTATCCTAAGTCTAAGCGCTCAATTTCCCCTTTCGGAGCGAAACGATATTCAGTGGATTTCATTAGCTGACTATGATATAAAGGATTTACCATTAGAGGATGGCAAGGAAACTTACGTAAATATTACTTAAACTATTTTTTGAAACGAAATAAGTTTTGCTATATCCGACACCTTATTAAATTAAATCCCACAGGTATGGAAAAATTCAAATGGACTAAGTCCGTATCCTGGCTATGGTGTTGTTCATGAAAGTAATTTAGTTGGAATTGCTTCCTTTGGGATTTCCATCAAAAAATAAACGCGAATCTAATCTTGAATCTCGGAGTCTAAACAAAATTACGCAATTAAACCTATACTTAAGTTGGATATATGAAATTTTACAGAATGCAGAGATAGCGGACATGCAAAATAATAACTACAGCGTGTCACTACCTTATCATCAAAGAAAAAGTGCAGAAATAGGTAATGTAAATAACTAGTATTTGTTATTGTCAAAATAGTTTATCATACGCGGATTGCGAAAACAAATACGTTCTTCTGTGTTTTTCCAAAGAAAGATTAACTGCACTTTGATAAGAATATTTTTTTATTAATCTCAAAAGATCCACATTTATCAGGAAATTTGGAGTCTGAAATCTCTTAAATAGTTCATAAAATTAATGTTTGTAATTTTTTATGAAATTTAATTATAAACACTTTATATAAACACTAACAAAATTTTCGATTTAATTGTTAATGATAACTATATTTATTTAAAATTTTTTTCAGTTAATGAATTTTTTTGAACCTGATGCAGTGTATTTTCCAGACCCAGAAAACTCCAGTAAGGCCAATATAATGTTTTATGATTTTAATATTGAAATATCGTAAACAACATTTTTATTATGTTTACTTTCAGATAAAGATTACATTGATACTGAGGTTGAAGATTTGACGAATGTGGCAAATACCTGTAAGATTCATCTTTATTTAGCCCAAATATCTCTGTATACATATATAATTATACCTTTCAAACTTAACTCGGAAACAAATTAATGATCTGATTATCTGATTAATGATTATGTATGCAATACGTAAAAAATTGTCTTTCTTATAGATGCTGAAAATGTTGAAACTGATGCTGTACAAGATTTTACTAAGGCAACGGACATATGTAAGTTATATTAAATAGTTTTAGTATTACACTTTATTTTTTAAAATATTATTAATATAAATATAGTTCTCAAAAAATTATTTTGTAAAAAATAAAATCTTTTTCTTGTTGTATTAATTTTTTATTTTCTTGCAGCAAAAAAAAATATCGAAAGTGAGACAGGATTTTTAACGAACGAAGCCAACATGCTTAATACCAATTTAACTTTTTCGTGGATATTAATATTACATTTAATATATGTTAAATATCGAATGCTCAGCTTTTTATTTTCATGAAAGCATTTTGATTTAATTCGGTCATTTTGTTTTTGTTGAACTTATTGGTTTTTATGGAAATTTTAGTTAATCTGCCCAAAAAATAAACGTATTGTCGAACATATATATTTTATATACTATTTGTAACATTTTATTTTGTTTGTAATTAAATATATCGATAACCGAACTACCGAACGGCCCTACCCAAAACGATGTAAAGAAATTTTTCATTAGATGTGTATTTTATTTATTCTATTTTATTTGTAACTATTATTGCAATATTAGGACGGGTTCAGAATATGATGTTGGCTATTTGCTTTTGCGCTGCACTCAGTTTGAGCTCTTCAAATTCTTTTAAAAACGCTGTGTGGGAACCATATTAAAGTGCACGTGTCACGCGACAAATTTGCAATACTCCTCATCTCTAAGCATTTTTTTATTGTTGTACCATCACTAAAAAAGGAACATAAATAAAGTAAAAAAGGTATTAAAAACTACGCTTTATTATTGTCCACACTTCTGAAGAGTGGAAAAAGTTGGCTTAAAAATGGGACAAATTTCTTTTGAAGACGATTGCGTAGTCCGTGAGTTGGATAGGTAAGTGTGCTGTTGGCCAGGTGGGTCATGTCTAATACTATTTACATTTTAGTCGATACTATGGCTTTCTTGACTTGTCGAATTCTAAAAATGCAGAAGTACGGAATTTAGTTCAACAGACTGTTACGAACCTGCAAAACTACATTGCAAATGGCCAAATTCATGAGTCCAAGAACCTCAATGATAACAAAAATGCCATACAAAAGTACGATACTTTAAATTCAGCAGGTGAACATATGGACAACTCAGTGTCCCAAAATAATGAAGACACCAAACCTCTCGATAAAGAAGTAAACGAAAAGACTTCTATTTGTGATGAAAAACCACAAGATGAACAGTACGTTAACGCACTGTGTAAGCTTGGTCACCTGCATCTTCTTCTTGGCGAGTACTCGGAAGGTAAATAAGCATTAAGATGCATTTGCTTAGGTGTAACCTGTAGATTCAGATTCTTTGACGTTAAAAAATATCCGGCGTATATGAATTTGAATTATATGTTTTCAAGAGTTGTTCCTAAATTTGGCGTTGTGTGTTAGCGTACAGAAATAATGTAGGTATAGGAATTTAGTATTTGAATCTATATGATGTTAGCGTCCGATTTTGGATATAAAAGCTTATTTAATAAAGAAGCTATTATTATAGTTTCAGCATTACAGCTAGCAATGTAAGAACAAATGCATTTTTTTAATTCTAAACAAAATTAATGTTTACAAATTAAAATATAAAAGCACTGTATGTGGGATATGTGTATAGAATTGAAAACGCTTAGGTATATAAACTTTTAACGCTCAGGTTTAGAAACTTTGTTTTTCAATTAATTTTATACTTAGTGACTAATGAAATCTTTTCCAATATATTTTCTAATATTTTACATTAATTTGCCTTTTAGCTCTATCTGCTTACCAAAAATATATGCGATTCCGGGAGAATAATTACTGGACAAACCATGCATTTATTTACGGAATAGGCGTTGCTTATTTTAAGCTTCGCTGCTTTAAATGGTAAGTCACATGAACTTGACGAATCGGTAATCAGAAAATATTTAAAAAAGAAAAATGTAAATTTAGGAATAAATAGCTATATATTTTTTAATCTAATTAAAATACAGCCTTCTGAAAAGTCCAAGTGAATATAACTGTAATTAGTAGACGAAAGAGTCGAGGGTAATCCAGTCGAAGAGTTTCCAACTATCAATTAAATGGATCGATAACTTCTTATCGATATAAAATTTTCGATGTAATATCGTTCTCATTTCGTCACTTTATCGAGCTTATCACATCTCTATTGTATTGATATTAAATTGTTTACTAAATAAATTCTACATGAAACAACACTGCCACTAATATTAAATATTTATAAACAGTTCACAACGAATAATATTAAGACTGCAAATATTTTCTACATAAAATAAGTGCGATTTCTGGTTAGTCCTTGGTTTGTAATTTGTCTTTTTTATGAATAAGAAATGGATGCTGTACACATTAATAATGAAATACAAAATTATAACTATACAAAATGGTGTCTCTATTAAAAAGTCGAACTTTAAATTTTGAATAATTTTTACCTCGACTATTGGAATCGTTGTTATAAAAATATATAAATTCTCATTACATGTCCATATGTACAATGTGTGTGTGTGTATGTGTATGTATAAAATGCACTGAATTGCCCCCCTTTAAGGTCGTTAAGTGAATTGTGGGGTTAAAATGTGTTCTTTGTTTAAATACAAATATTCTGAATGTTACCGTTTAGGTAGGCATCGTCTGGTGCAAATAATCAATAAAACAAATGAGACTCAGTTCGGTTCGATATATAATATACCAATGAAAATGTCTGTCTCGTTTTTTTAAGTGCATGCAGACATGTCTGCCGACGTCTGCAAAGTTTTATTGTTATTTATAAACAAAACATGCACTTTCTACCCACTTTATGTTCACAATAATCATTCGGAATTGTCTTTATACACTTATCTATAGCATTCTTGTTAAATCAACTATGTTACATGCATTTTTTTTTGTATAAATGTATGTAGATATATGTGCATGTGTGTACGTGACTGCATGCACATCAATATGTATATACTTATGTAAACACCGCTCACTGTAAATAAATGATTACGATTTTTATTTCGGAATTCGAAATACAGTTTAAAATACTTTTAAATTCCGCTTTATAGTGAATTTTGTGGCCAAATAAATCGGCAGAAAATCACCTTTATTTGGTTTTGATTATTTATTTTCAACCCTTATAAACTTTTTTTGAAGTACAAATTATTTTTTTTAGGGCCATCAAATCGTTTCAGGAGCTTTTATACCTGAGTCCCAACTTTACATGTGCAAATGAGGTTCATTTGCGTCTAGGTCTTATGCTAAAACATTGCGGGGAGTTTCATATTGCATTGAAACATTTACAATTAGCGCTGCTTTATACATATCCTTCAACCTTTTCAGAACTTCAGGGTAAGTAAACTGTATGTCTTTAGTAAAAACTAACCAAATATTTTGTTTTATATGTACTTCGTTTTCTTCGAATGAAACCTCACATTAACCGGCTCAAAATTATATTAAAAAAAAAAGACACTAAAAATTATCCGCCCTTTTTAATTTATTAAAATATACTTTTGAAGATCAGGTAATCTATGTATTTCTATTTAATTTGCAGTAAAATTTCAAATCGCGCATTTGTACGAAGTCCAAAACAAGCACAAGGCGGCAAAGGATGGCTACGAATTTCTTCTAAATGAAAAACATATTTCTTTGGAACTAAAAGCAGATGTTTATCGACAATTAGGTGAGCTAAAATGTTTTTATCTATAGATATAAATAAAATATATATATAAATTATCTTAATAAATACATTTTTCATTTATTGATATTTTCTATTCCTAACAACTTGAATAAAACTTTATTTTTTAGGATGGATGTACCATTGCGTAGAATGCCTAGGCGAAAAAAAGGAACGTGAAGCAAACGCACTGAGTTTTCTTCAAAAGTCAATTGAAGCCGACCCAAAGAGTGGACAATCATTATATTTACTAGGAAGATGTTACGCCGGCATTAATAAAGTTCATGATGCTTTCCTAGCATATCGAAACTCGGTGGAAAAAAGTGAGGGAAATGCAGATACGTGGTGTTCGATCGGGTAATATATGATATAAATGTTTAGACTTTTCATTATTCCTGAACTTCACGCATGCGTTTATAGAGTTTTATATCAGCAACAAAATCAACCGACGGATGCACTTCAAGCTTACATATGTGCTGTACAATTGGATAAAGACCATAAAGCCGCGTGGACCAACCTGGGTATACTTTATGAGAGCTGTGGTCAATTACGAGATGCCTATGCTTGCTATTTAAATGCAACCAAACAAATATCATTCCAGGTAAATGTGTATACTCGTAGTCATTGTATATTTTAACATTAACATTTTACTTCTAGAAGTCTTCATTATTTCGAAAAAAACAAGCAATACGCATGAAAAAGGACACAATTGGATTGTCGAAAGGATTGTCGCAAAGAATTACGTTTCTAGAGGGCCAGCTCAGTCAAGCACCATTGCCAAGTATTACATCGAAGCGCCGCCAGCTGTGTTCAATTGAAGAAGCTTGGAACCTGCCAATATCACTAGAAATGAACTCTCGCCAACAACAAACCGCGCAGATGCTACCAAGACAAATAACAAAGCAAAGTCCAATACAGGTTGGTATATAAATATATAATACTTAAATTATGAAAAACATTATATTTCGATTGCAGGGGCCACCACCACCTTATCCACACAGCCAACTCAGCCAAAGTCCCATACCTGCAAAACGTATTAAGGAAGATGGCGCAAGCCAACAAGATTTAACACAAAACAATATTCAGGCTCAACAAAATCTAATAAGTAAGCTAAAAGATAAAATTGATACATTTTATCTGCTTTTATTAATATAACTTTTGAAATTAAAGACATTTCAGAGACCTTAAATCAGCGCAATTTCAACGCCATGCCAGAGAGTAACAAGATTTCGGAACAAAGTGTTGTGGACACTTTCGATGATATCTCGAATGATATTTACAAACAGAATGAGAATATTAAACTTGAACGTTTAAGCCATGATGCCTTGAGTAATAATGAAGACTCGAGACAAAATGAATATATTGGTGATGGCATCGCGGACCTATCGACCACGTTCAAAATACAAATGGACTCAAAACAGTTGATGGCAGCTGTGAAGTTGCTTCCGATCGATGATCCTCCAGTGCACTGTACTATTTTGCAAGTGAACGCGCCCCCGCCATCTCCGCCCGATTGCCCACCGCAGAAACTCACGAGGGATCAACTCCTGCCTCCCACTCCCTCAGTTCATTTAGAAAATAAGAAGAACGCATTCAGTCCCCAGTTGCAGGAGTTTTGTCTCAAGCATCCAATCGCTGTCGTCCGCGGCCTGGCAGGGGCTCTGAAGTTAGATCTCGGTCTCTTTTCGACCAAAACATTGGTGGAAGCCAATCCAGATCATAGTGTTGAGGTCCGAACACAAGTTCATCAGTCTCCCGATGAAAATTGGGACACTTCACAGGGCAAGCGAGTTTGGGCCTGCATTTCTCACCGGTCTCACACAACAATAGCCAAATATGCTCAATATCAAGCATCCAGTTTTCAAGACAGCCTCAAGGTAATGTTCGTTGCTTATTAACTAATGAACATGATTACAGTTTACTTTATTGTGTAGCTTATTTTACCGCAGGATGAAAGCGATAAAGGATTCCCAGGCTCACAAGCAATGTCGGACTCTGATTCCAAGGACTCAGTATCCAATTCAAATATTGTTTTAAAGCGTAAAAAACACAAAATAAACAGCAAAATGTTAAGGTATTGGAAATTCAAACTCTACAATGTGTGTATAACGAACTTATGAATGAATTCATCGACTTTGTAGATTCGGAACCAACGTTGACCTCTCCGATGAGAAGAAATGGAAACCACAATTAACGGAGCTACAAAAACTGCCAGCGTTTGCGCGAGTAATTTCTGCTGCCAATATGCTTTCCCACGTTGGACATGTAATTTTAGGCATGAATACTGTGCAACTATATATGAAAGTACCCGGAAGTAGGACACCTGGGCACCAGGAAAACAACAACTTCTGCTCAATTAATATCAATATCGGTCCAGGGGACTGTGAATGGTTTGCCGTACCAGATGCCTACTGGGGCGGAGTTCACAACTTGTGCGAAAAGAACAACATCAGCTATTTACATGGTTCTTGGTGGCCAGTCTTGGAAGATTTATACAAGGAAAATATTCCAGTATATAGGTTTATACAAAAACCGGGAGATTTGGTTTGGGTGAATGCTGGGTAAGCAAAGTTATATATCTTCCGTTTCTCCCATTCCTCTAATTCATGTCTTCTTTATTTCTTAATAAATTAGATGCGTACATTGGGTTCAGTCTGTAGGATGGTGCAATAATATTGCGTGGAACGTTGGACCATTAACAGCCCGCCAGTATTCCCTTGCCATCGAGCGCTATGAATGGAATAAAGTGCAAGCATTTAAAAGCATTGTTCCGATGGTTCATTTAAGCTGGAACCTGGCGAGGAATATTAAAGTGTCCGACAGCAAACTTTTCGAGCTGATAAAGTGAGTAACATACTTTAAAATAATAAATTCTTTTATGTTATGTTTCCCATTTTAAGAATGTGTTTGTTGCAAACGCTGAAAAATGTGTTGCACATACAAGAGTATGTTAAATCGAAAGGCGTGGAAATTCGTTTCAATGGACGAGGGAAGAACGAGGCATCACATTATTGCGGACAATGCGAGGTATGTAGAGTTGTAGTGCTTGAAATTCAGTGGTAACTTATTTACGATGAACTCTTAATACTTATTTGCAGGTTGAAGTATTTAATGTATTGTTTATTAAAGAGCAAGAGAAACGACATGTTGTTCACTGCCTATCGTGTGCCCTAAAACTGTCTCCGTCGCTCCAGGGTATTGTTTGCCTCGAGGAGTATCGCCTGTCTGAGCTGCAGCGCGTGTACGATTCTTTCACTCTACACCGAACCCAAGGACTAGCATACACTCAGTAGTTGTAAAACAAGAAATCATTTTTAGATAAAAAAGATTTAATATATGTATATTTTACAACATACGTACATCTTACTCTCTATTGTTTTTTTTATAAAACATAACGGATAATTCATAGAGGTGGGGTTTTTCGGATAAATCCATTAGTGCTGTTAACAGATATAGCCAAAATAGCCAGACCAATTTATTGAAAATTATCTGTAGACTTTGTAAAATTTTACTGCTAGATTTTTTGAAATACAAATATTTAATTAGTTCGACTAATGTCCAAAGATATGATTCTAGTTAAATATATTATTTTGTTTATATTTTCTTGTAAGAGATTTAAATAATTGCAATGACGGTTTGAGTAACGATTACCATGCTGCAATCAGTTCGATAAATCAGTATCACCCTTAGCGTATCCCTGTTATTACCAAGTTTTTGCAAATACCGTTTCTAAATATGATATTACAAAAGGAACTAAATTGGCTGGCCATTTTAATCACTTTGTTTGCAGTCTTTGCATCGGCTCAAGAAGATGCTGATTATTGTGCAGAGCTTTCAACGCAGTCCTTGGCAAAAATTCTGGGACAGGCATTTAATCCTCGGTACATGAGTATCGATCCACCAGGTGAGCCCGAGGAGAAGAGCTACCAGTTAGGATACAAGCGATCGTCGTACGAATTGCCTTTCTATGCTGATAGTGGTGCGGTTTCAGTTAGCCACTTTCCCGCATGGGAGACTAACCACTTCGCGTTGGTGGAAAAGAAGGAGTCTTCGAGGAGCAAAAGTCTACGAACAAGAAGGGCGTTCATGGATCGAGTTGCACATCCGCGAATCGATGGCTTCAAACAGCGACCATGGGAATGCTCTTCTAAGATCAACTGGATCGATTTAGGCTTAAATTACTTTCCACGCTATATCCGTTCCATCGAGTGTATTGCCAGAAAATGTTGGTATGATCACTTTAATTGCAAGCCAAAATCTTTTACAATAAAAGTTCTACGCCGTAAAACTGGCTCATGCATTCGAATAAACGATAAATTGATTTTGATCACGGCAGAGAAATTTGAGAATGATTACACGCAGCTCTGGATTTGGGAAGAAATAGCAGTTAACTTTTGCTGTGAATGTGTTATGCTATACTAGAAGCGCCATTTAATCAAGATTTAATTAATATACACATTTAAAATTTTAACAAAAAACTTTAATAGCATTGGGAACAACAGATACCTTAATGGGTCTTGCATCGTACTCCTCGCCGTCGATAGAGTAAAACTTCTCGGCCAATTCGCCAACCGGATGCAGTTGAATGGTTCGACTCTTAACGACCAAGGTTGGTAAAATGTTGCTGCAGGTTACTTGAGGAATTTGCTTGATGAAATCCCATCCCGGCTGCAATGAACTTATGAATTGGCTTTCCAGTTCCGCAAAGTTATCCCTGTTTTGCACACAATTAATATTAATTTGACTGGCCTCTACGCTTCCCTCGAACTTGTTACTGCAATTTTCGTTCTTAACGAGTGCTCTCTTTGGTTCGCCAGTGTTCCTTTGGTACTTCAGGAGGTTCCTTGTAAAGAGACCAGAGGGTACAACGGATTCCTGCCGCTGAACAGAAGCACAATCAATGCACCCTGGGCATGGTGGTGTATATATATATTCGGTTTTTAAACTCCAGTTATCAGCAAATGCTTTGGATGCTGCAGACGCATAGTGACGCAAAGGCCCAAAGTACCAATACTTGTCCTTTGCCACATTTATGTCCTCTAAAAGACCCCAGGAAAGACCATTTAGGCCAAATATGGGCTTTAATTGACTGTTGGTTCCGTCGTCTTCGTTAATAACATCGAAGCGGATCACGCTTTGATATTGGCTTTCATTCTTCAGCATAGGTTCCAACGCTTTGCAGAGGCTCTTAACATAAGCCACGTCCTTGACTCCAAAGATGTTGATGCGTTTGGATGCGGATTGAACCGAACGTCCCAGTGGGAGGATGGTAATCGGGCAGAGGTTGCCACGCCTACGCATTAGGCCAGTCACAACCTCCGAAGAGGTTCCGTCGCCACCAGCAACTACAATCGCGTCAGGTAGCGCAGACAACTCTTCCACGTATGTCTTTGCATGTCCAATATGATTCGTTCGAAGAATCTCTATAGAATACCCAGCCAAATGCAAAACCGGCTCACAATAGTTCTTAAACTGCAAAACTAAGGCTGAGTTAAGATCTTGGTCACCTGTGTGCCATCTACTTACAAATTTCTCAGATTTCTTTTTATTGGCCACTGGATTCATAACCACAAGTACTTTCTTCGGTCGGTCTGATACCCAATTTGACTGAATGCTCGAAGCAAACTCTCGCATATATTGTTCAATCCTGGAAAAAAAAATAGTAGAATACGTTGTCTAATTTTTAATGTTTTTTGAATGTATACTCAATATGCGTTTTCAGCGATTGCAGTGCATAGACAGATACTGCCGCACCGAATGTGCATTTTTTCCAATTATTTTGAATAACTCTTAAATAATTCATTTTTCCTATTAAGTTTTTTTGACCAACGATTTTGATTCCACATGTATTAGTGGCGCATAAAACAGCTGAAGTTTAGTTCGTTAAGGGTATCTCACTAATTTTACATAATATATAAAATAACAGAAGACGATTGTGGTGCAATAGGAACATTGAATGTGAAACACGTGGCTACATGTTAACGTACGTGACGTATCGTTGTAAACATTTTACTAAAAAATACATTTTAAATTATTTATCATATACAATGATATTTAGTAGATTTCAAGGCACGAAATACTTGTAAGGTACTTTTTCAAGAGTTTTGACTAAAATGTGATTAAAATTAAGAAGTAATTGATATTTAATTATTAATATTTCCTTTCAATCTGTTTTATTTCAAAAATTGTACTTATTCAACATTGTCGTAGATATCCTCTAAACCTGGTATGGTTCTCAGTTTTTCAATGAACACGTCATAAGCCTTTTGGTCTTCTGGGGATAATTTCACAACATTCTAAAAGCATAATAATTTATACTCGAATTTCGAACCATTAAATTAAATAAGTCCATACCATCGGAGAGAATATGTGTTCGCTATTTTCAATAGAGTACCCAGATTTTTCCAAATTTCTACTTAAAGTAGTTAAAACAACAGGATTGCACAGGAACTGCAAAAAAAATGTAAACTAAAATATTATACGACACAGAAATATAAAAAAAAAAAAAAAATACATACATTAACAGAGCCTTTGCCATTATCAACTATTTCGATCTCTTCGGCACCAAATTCTATCGCATCATTAGTGGCCTTATCTTCCAAATTAGGTCCGTCAAGGAGCTTTGATGTATCATATTTAGTTTCTATCAAGCCAAAATCCTCAAAAAGATTCCCGACATCCATGAATTCGCCTCTAGAAGATTTATAATTACTTCATTTAAAAATAATTTAATTTTATTTCTTTTTTAACAAATTACCCGGCTTTCTTTATCATTGGAGTCGCATCCATTTTAACTCCAGAAAAATTGTCTGTGTAAAAAATGCATATCATGTATACGATTCTTTTATACCTGATGTCCAAACGGTACTTTTTAAGTTGAATTTTACTTGATTTAAATTTGTTTAAAGTGTTTTGTATTGTGCCGCTGGGCATGTTTTGCTTCAAGGCCCTTTCAATTTCGGTCCGCAGAAGGGAATTTATGGCCGGATCCGCAGAGTTTCCCTCCTGTATGGCCATACGGATTTGTCTCGAAATCTTTGAAAATAGTGCAGCTCGTGCGCCGTCTTTTAGGGCCTTAGTATGCTTGATATTGGCCCACTTCGAATGGCCCGCCATTTTTCGAATTGGCTGATTGCCTTGAAAAACACATTTTCTAAGATGAGGAGAAAAACTACACACATTTCGTAACATTGTTGTGATCTAAACAGCCAACTAGTGTGACCGGATTACAATTTAAAAAAAAGCCGGGCTATCAGTAACATGTTGTTCTAAATTTTCAGTAAATAACTGAAACTTAGCTTTACAGGATTATTGTATGCATTTAATATCTAATGTTAAAAAAGTAAAATAAAACATATATATAAATAATATATAATATAATAAATATATATATAAAACATATTTTTTTAATATTTTATTTGAACATTTATTAACAGATAATTCTATACAACCTGCAATTGAACTTGCTTTTGATTTAAACAGTTTGCAGCACTTTCATAACGAATTAACTTATTTTGGTGAGTTGTGGGATCGTTATTGTAGTCCGAACTTATTACAAATACATCGACAACATTTTCTATATTAAATTGTTCATTTTGGAGTGTGTTGGTCAATATCAATGGTGATATTTTAACGAGGCCTAATTTAGATGGACAAACGGACAAAGGAAACTCTGCAGCCTCCCCACTTTGCAGCAGACCCAGCATAAAATCGGCACAACCAGTATATTGACTATCTGCAGAAAACTTGGAAACCAGGCGAACATTCAATTTCATAGTTTGCTCAGATGTATTCGTCACACGGCAGTTGAACGTGAATATTGTTCCGATTTTAATTGTATTCTTCGCATCCAGTATTTCCAAACGGAGGGTTTTACACTCAAATGGCTTAAAATTAAAAAGTTACAATTAAAAGTTGACCAAAATGTATTTTAAGTTTTTAAATACTCACCAGCCGTTGTAATTGACTGGTTTGCAGCCTGCCCTTTTCGCCCAGATTAGACCGCCACACGATATCCAGCTTTCCCACATTATTGAATTGCCGCAGAGTGTTTATGTCCTTAGCTATATCACCCTTGGGCTGCTCATAGTACATAGATAATTAATGGAATGAATTTGGAATTTAAAAATCGTAAGCTTACTTTAATGCAGTAAAGAAACTGGCAACTGTTATTAGGTTGCAACATGTTCTTGACAGTAAAAACAGATTCGCCATTTGGAAGTGTATTCAATGGAGTTACGGAGTAATCTTCCGAACCATCCAATTCGACTTTTTCTAGGCAGAATGGGCTGGTGGTCACGTTTTGTATTTGGGCCTCCAAGTATATTTCGTCGATTTCTGCATTGTAGAACTTGGTTTTTACATCAAGGGGTTTAAGAACTTGAAACTTGAAAAACTTTCTCAAGGACTGCGCATAGCCCGCTGGAGTTGAGTAATTCACTTCACAGACGAGACTGCAAATAATGGAGATAATATTAGACTTGGACTTTTAGTATAGTTGTATACCATAAAATAACAGAATTCTAAGATTAATGTATAGATGGATTTGCTTATTTAAATCTTAAATTTACTTATAAGAAATAACTCACATTGAGAAAGAATTAATAAAAAGAAAAGACACATGACTTTCTTATTTTTTTGGCAAGTACACATGTTTTTGTTAAATGACTTTTTACAATTCTTAGATGTTTTAATGTCAGTAGTTTTTGATCACTTTTTACTTATTCGTGCTGGGCTGTAATAGCAACTTACATATGAGTTCCGATTTCCTTAACCTCATATCGTATAACATCGTCAATAGTTCCACCGGGCGCTAATACCACCGGTGATTTGACGTTCTCGTGCATCGACAAATTAATTCGGCTCGTGTTTGACTGCAAGTCAGCCTTAACAGTCACACATTCCACAGGATTGGCGGTGGTGTTGTGGACACAGATGTAGCTGGCGAATGTTTCACCTAAATAAATGCTCCCAAAAGATTGAGGCAGCAACAGAACTTGTCCGGCCGCTAAGGGTTTCCGCACAGGCTCCCAATATACCGTCGCTTTCCTGAGAATTGTTAAATTTTTGAACCAAATCCGATGGCTCGCAGGTTACTACAGGTCCAAGTCCGACTAAAGTGGGCCGCATCAAACGCATTACTTTACATTGAAAACAAAACAGGAACCTTGTTAATCGAAATTTTTGAATATATAAATACGCATTCTACCTTTTAGTGCCACCAAATGAGCATCTGGATCAACCACCTCCATTATGGACAATACTTTAAATCGGATTAATTTTAATCAAATAATCTGCACAAAATACACTTAGTGCAAAAATTTCTGTTGACATTAGTGCGACCAATTCTATTTAAGTCGAATATACCGATTGTATATAAAAAGAATACAGCTTCTATACCCTCTATGAAATAAACATACACACTTATAAAATGTAATAAATGAAAAGTTAAGTAAAATTATTAATAATCGAGAAAAAAGAAACTAGTCGAAATCTTTTTTATTTTTTAATAAACAAAAAGTATTTACACCACATTCTAGTACGAATTACATTTAATCCTTGTCTTTGCAAATTCTGGAAGTCATTTCATGCAGTGGTTCCAGCTCCTTGGCCGAAATCATGTCGAATTCTTGTACAAAGTAGTAAAAATGTTTGTAACAAGCATTTACGTGAGCCTCCTAAAAAAAATTTAACATTTAACATGGTATATACATATATCACATTGTTATACGCACAGCGCCAATGCTCACTAGACGGTCAAAATGATGAATATAGACGTGAACAAATACACGAAACAGTCGGGTTAAAATTTTACGACTAATAGCTGAAAAATTTTTTGGAAAAGGAACATCTGAAAAAGTGATAAAAAGTAATATTTATTTATATAAATAAAATATTATAAAGTATAAATAAAACTACAGCCTTACCAGTGGACACGGGGAAAACAGATTCGTTGTTGATTTGCGTCTCAATCCAATCCATTAGGTGCTCAATATATTTCTGTGCTGAGAGGGCGGTTGGCTTTTTGTATCTAAAATTATATATATACTTAATTGGGAATGATTTATAAACTTTATTTACTTACAAATCCCCATCTGCCCACAAATACTCATACCGAGATCCACCGGACATAGTTGGACAGGTAGTTTCGTTGCAAAACTCCGAAACGGTACCATAAATAAGATTTATTCGATTGAAAAAGTCCACAACTAGGAAACATAAATATTTAAATTGAATTGTATAGTTATTTATCAATATTATATTAATATATTTTACCATGAACCGCTAGCCAGTCATTCAAATTTTCCCCTTGCGGTAACCGCACAACTTGCCGGAGATTAATCCCGGATTGCAGACTGGCCTGAGCTTGTTTATGTAGAGAATATCTAATTGTTCCTGAGGCAAAGGGTTTCTTAGGCCTAAAAGTCTAAAATTAAGTTTGAAATATATAAATTGGATTAATTTTTTCGATTTGGCCTTTTCTACCTTGCCCTTCTGGAAGAATTCTAAAAATCCATTTAAAGCCATATTATGTTTGAGATTCCAGTACTAGTTTTTATATATTGTCACATATGTATATAAGTGCAACCGATGACACTAGTTCTTATATTGTTGAAGAACTGTTGGCGCCACTTATAAATAATGTTTACATTTGTTCTGTATTTTATTCTATAATTTTTTTAATGACATGGAAGAGATGGGTGTTTTTTGCAGAGCTACGTTATCGAATAGTTCTTTAAATATCGAAACTGAAATAATCGCTTCTTTTACAGCTGTTCCTCTTTACTGTATTCCCTTGAAACAATTTCCATGTGTGGGATCTTGGGAAAACCGATCAGATTTTAAAATAATTTCATTTAAAAATATTATAAATACATTTTTAAATATATACCCAAAATATCTATAAAACTTTACATGGTTTAAAAAGAGGAAAGATGAAAAATATCGAGTGAAGCAATAAGCGCAAGCATACATACAAAACAGTCTTATCGTGTATAACACATAATAATATACAATACAACAATATATAAATAACCATTTATCTTATCAATATAGATAGCAGTTTTTTTTATTATTATTTTTTTATAAAAGTAATTATTTTATGTTCAGAAGTAAAGTAGGTTATTCTTGTTTGAGGAGCCCGATTTCTTGGAGCAACTGGTCATAGTTGATTGTAGTGCTGTTTTCACTTAGTTGTCTATTCCATTGAATTAACTGTAATACAGATAGGAATAAATAAATTGGTTGAACTTAGCTTAATAAATTATATACCGACGCGCTCCAGTTCAGCCCTCAAGGCAACTACAGCCTTCTCCCGATCTGCAACCAGTTCCTCAAGGTACTGATACCGTAGTTTCTTCCGAGCCCGACATTCTCTAGCACTTTGCCTACTGCGTTCTGTAATCGGGAACCACAGGTTCAAGTAAAAATTAATACATTGTTTTACAAGAATACGATGTATACAAAAACTGCTTATTTGATCGGAAGCTGCCTTATTATTTAAGTCTATTATAAAAAGTTTTTCATTTAATTAATAATTATTTAATTTACTTTAAATATGTAAAATTTCATAACCATGAATTTACAAAAAAGATCATTTTTAATGAACTGGATTTTAATAATAATAATTAATAAATCTATTATAAAAAGTTTTTCATTTAATTAATAAATATTTAATTTACTTAAAATATGTAAAATTTCCTAACCATGAATTTACAAAAAAGATCATTTTTAATGAACTGGATTTTAATAATAATAATTATCCACCATACAAACAAATATGCAACTATTTGGTTAGTCTTACCGAGTTTAGCCTTGATGTCCAATTTTTCAGTAGACGTCTTTCTACCTGGTTTTCGACCCCTTTTTCCACATTCTTTCCGAGTCTGCTGGAACACAATGACACTTGATTAGAATACAATTTAAATATGTATATTGTAGAATTACAATATATTTATTTTGAAGTTTTAATTTACAGCTTAGAACACTCTAGGCTAGCAAGTAAATTAATTGTCAATGAAAATATTTCTCTTCAATCTTTAAACATCTGTTTTGAAAGGTAGCGCTCATAGCAGGGAACCATATAAACATAAACATTCATACATACATACATATATTACATTTGCATACATACATAGGTATATGTACATATCAACTGCGCATTTAAGCAAAATAACTACTTTCATTTCCAACACAAGATGAATACAGAAATACAGATATTTTTACCGTTTGTGTTTCCTCTATGATCGACATTTTGTTGCTTTGAACTTCCATTTCAGCCATTCTCAAATATACAAGGTTTACTTCTTTGTTATTATGCGTCCTTTCGTAAATACTCAAGATAACAATAAACAAACTACACAAAAGTACTACGTACCATATATATGTAAAAAGCGAAATATATCTCAATCGGAACAGTAAATATGAAACAATAACGAACTATCGAAATTATATTTGCCATGACGAATAGAATATGAAGTCATATTTTGAACGAATTATTTTTTTGTGTTTGTTTTGTCATAACTTACCTTGCTCTGACCAAGTTGTAACTTATTCACAAGCACTTAAAAATATTATGCATTTTTTTGACTACGTTTCAAATTTTTTTGAAAAAATAATTGAATCTGTTTTAACTTTTATATCGTTTTTAAATAAATTCTCATTGCTTTAAGTTCAGATTATCTGCTTACAACGGTCTTTTTAACTTTTTCAAGGGTGCTAGTTGATATATTTTTTATTGCTTCATATTTTTTAACTAAAAATTCTTTAAGTTAAACAGCTATAGCCGAGGAATTACATTTTTTTACATTGAGAAAGATAATTATTTTCAAAAGTGAAGACATGTAATGGAAAGTTAATTTTCTAAATACTTAGAGTACAATAAGTAAAGACATTTTTTGTTTATTTTCGGTGTTCCAAATAAAAGATCATTTCTAAAAATGAGCATTTTTGCAACTAGTTTAACCACCCTGGTTGAAAACTTGATATAGATACAAACGCTAAATTGTCCGGTGGTGATAACTTATTGATTATTTATTTTTCAAGGCAGGTATCTGAAAGGATATCTCTGTAACAGTAACAATAGATGTCTAGCATGGGTGACCAGCGTGGGACAAGAGTATATGTTGGCAATCTGACTGATAAAGTTAAAAAGGATGATCTGGAGGGGGAGTTCACAAAGTACGGCAAGCTAAATTCAGTTTGGATAGCATTTAACCCTCCAGGCTTTGCATTTGTGGAGTTCGAGCATCGTGATGATGCTGAAAAGGCGTGCGATATACTAAACGGATCCGAATTACTGGGATCCCAGCTGCGTGTGGAGATATCGAAGGGGCGGCCGCGCCAGGGTAGGCGTGGCGGACCGGTGGAAAGGGGCCGGCGCGGAGATTTTGGCCGGCACAGCATTACAAGCAGTAGCAGCGGCGGCGGTGGATTCCGGCAGCGCGGATCCAGTGGATCCTCAAGTCGTCACACGGACAGGGGCTATAGCTCGGGACGATCCGGGGCCAGTAGCTATAATGGAAGAGATGGAGGTGGAAGCGACTTTAACCGCCGTGAAGTTTACGGCGGTGGTCGCGAGAGCAGCCGTTACAGCAGTGGCAGCTATGGTCGCACTGGTGGACAATCAGCTGGACGTTTCAGGTCTCGCTCCCCGGTTGGAAACCATCGATTCTAATGACAACACCACTCATAGAAGCCTATGAGTAATGATTAAAAAATAATAATATAAGTGCGACCCCAAAACTCAGACTCTAAACATTTAAAATCGTAACATTCGATCGTTTTTGATCGGCCAACCAACCTCTACATCAACAAAACTGATAGTCGTCGTCTCTTCATTATTTATTTTACGAATACCCATTTAACATGACAATTGCAAGCACTTAACATTTAAGTTGTAACTTAGAAAACTAGTAAGAACAAGTACGCTAAGACTCGAACTACGTCAAACCAAAATCTAGAAGTACGCAATTTTAATAAAGAAAATGCGGAAAAGTTTCTCGTATATGTACAAGCTTTCGCAAAAATAATTGGTCTGCATATTAAAGAGCCTTAAGTAATCGGAATTGTTTAGGAGTTCACTGTTACAGAATTTCTATAATCAATAATACACCCTTCATAAAGAAGCCGTATAATTACATCCGCTTCTCAAAAACTTTATGGTATATATGTTTATCCAGATGTCCGAAACGAGGATAAACGTGTTTCAGACTTGTTTTTGAATGACCCGTATGTTTTGCATAATTACTTGGATCTTGAAGACTATAAAGGAAATAACCGCCAGGTGCTTGTAGGCAGGTCATCAGTAGTTAAGACGTTTCCCTTAAACATGGTAAGAAAGAATGCATGACAATTACCATCGATATTTCAAATTTTTAATCTAAAAAGAAACTAATTATTTTCAGCTTTGGGCAGTTCTGCTACAAACCGTAAGCCTCAGCGCCTATTTTAAGTAACTGGTTATTTTATATACCGGGCCTTCGGATGCAGCATTTAGGTTTTTTTTAGATAGAATTTCCTTTGAGATCGGATTGAAATTTATTAGAATGCTTTAAGTTCAAAAAATAGCAAAGCAATACTCGTCATAAGGAAATCTCTATTAGTAGTTATCCTAAGGGGTTAGTATACGTTTGGAGCAAGTGACTGCAGCAGATACTTTTTAAACGTATTTTTGACGTATAAGTAAAAAATAAAAATAAATTGGTTGATACGGTAAAAACTTTGTTTTTATTTCTGCATCTTAAAGTCAGTATAATGTTTAGTTAACGCCTCTTAATGTTTAGGTAAAAGGTCAATTAAAAGTATGAGTCCTGGTCCTTTTCGCCATTTGAAGGTCTTTTCTATGGTGATTTGCAAATTTATGAACAACAAATCGACTAAAATATGATGGATTAAGTTTGTTAAAATGACAATTATTGTCATAAACTTTTTCATGAATTACCACGTTTGAGACAGAACTCTACGCATTGTCAATATTGAATGTCAGTGACGCCGATAATAAAAACCACTGCCAGATTGGACGCTATAACTCCGTTTCCATTGTTCCAAAGTCAAAATGTTTAAGGAAGGGACTTACCTTTTTAACTCACCAAGAGATGGCGCCCTTAAAACAAGCTCGGAAACTTTTGAGACACACCTTGTACGTTTTTGCAAACAATCGATTAGTCCAATCAACCTGTTGCATCTATATCGAAATGACAAATTAAAGTATATATTATATAATAACTATTTGATCCAATTTTTTATACTATTTTGTTGTGCCACACAATACCTTGAAGTTATTTTATTATTACAAATTACCATTTCAAATTTTTTTTACTTTTTTTATGATTTTTTCTTGAGGTTTATTTTTTTTGCGAAAAACTTATTTGAGAACAAAATTAGCCTTTATTTTTTAATTTTGATTTGATATAATAAAAACTTGAAAATATTTGTTTAGTAATATATATATAAAAATACAAAAGTATTGAATATTAAAATATTGTTTTTAGTCTATCGATTGAGAATCGATATTTTTTATTTTATTGAAAAGATCCCATGCACGTCGATTGCGCCGCACGATTTTTTTCACATCTTGTAGTGGTATCGCTTACCTTAAACACCCTGTGGATCTCACGCTTGATAAATTAATAATACATTTAATAGAGCATGAGCGCTATTGTTTAAGTTTTACACATAATTTAAAAGATTTATTTGAAAATTCGTGGCTTAAAGTATAACATGTGATAACTTTTTAAGATGCAGTAAAAAGAACCTGTTCGGTTGGATCCCAAATACATTTAGCTTATTGACTTAAACATACCCATATGCACATACATATGTATGTATTAAACAGTAGGCACATACATATATTCGTGTGGTGCTGATAGTGTAAATGTGTAAAATGTCTGTGGAATTGTAAATATGTTTTTGTTTAAACAAATATGTACATAAATGCACAAAAATTGGTGCATATATGTCCACATGCCCATCCAAATCTACATATTTCTGTACATGCATATGTGCTCTAACTACAATACATACCACCATTCGCGAACAGTTTGTCAAAAAAGTGTGTCTACTCTGTGAGATAAAACAAAAACAGTTGCCAAATCAGTCGCTATGTTAAGTAATTCAAAATTACTGTTCAGTGTTTCAAATACGGATTTTGATAGTTCAAAAATCGCCCCTTCATGCAGTGAGCCAATTTAATGGCTCGAGTTCCGTGCGTTGACTTCAATAAGAAAACTTTATTGGCAAGTTGAACGATTCGACAAACAAACTGAATGTAGTATGCCAAGCGGAAAATTGTTAAATAGTTTATCTTTGATAATATGCCGATACATGTAAGTATGTTTCACCTGTGTGCTATAAATGTATTTGTGTGTTTGTGGGTGTGTGTGTGTGTGATTGGCAATTCTAAGGACCTATACCATTACCAAACTTCATCAAAATCCTAAATAAAAAGGGTTAAAGTTAACTATACCTGTACTTTAAAAAAAAAGTATGAAACTACTTTAGTGCGAGGAGTGTGTTGTGTATGTATGCACTTGCCCAATTATGTATCCAAGTAAGGCTTGTGCTTTCTGATTTACAAGTAGGAACATGTCGACTCAAAGATATGATATATGTAAAGATATGCAAGTGATAAACTAATAAGTTGCTTAGCATTGTGAAATATATCTAATTTAAATTGTAATGTATTTCTTATACAATATCAATTAACACTTCAAGGAATACTTACGGATTAACATAATCCTATTAGAAATATTATTGTCACTTACAGAGATTATATACTTAAAGATATTTGGGCTATGAATTATGAATTAGCTTAAGAACCATAATTTCAGTAAAAAAAAATGCCTTACTTACTCGTCTAATTCGTTTCTTCTTTCAGAGCTTAAACATTAAAATGGATTAAAAAAGAAGTCAGCAACTGACTAACCTAATTTAAAAGAGAGAAGTCTTTTAACTTTTAAACTATGGCCAACACCATTTCGTTAATGTCTAACGTGATACGCACTGTAGTGAGCAAAAAACGTATACGATACAAAGAAAAAGGATACAATTTGGATTTAACATGTAAGCTACCTTAATAACTAGCAACAAGAATAAAGTATAATAATTTAAACAATGCTTATTTATTTACAGACATTAATGATAACATAATTGCCATGGGGTTTCCAGCGCCGGCTTTAATAGAGGGCTTGTACAGAAACCGTCTAGAAGATGTCTATAAATTTTTGGAAGAAAATCATGCCCAACATTACAAAGTATATAACCTATGCCCAGAGCGTAAATACGACGTCGGTAAATTTCATGGGGTAATTTATATATATTTTGGTTATTGCAGCATTTAAAAAAATTTATGTTTTACAGAGAGTATCAGTTTTTCCGTTCGAAGACCATAACCCTCCAACGATTGAGTTAATACAACGATTTTGCACGGATGTTGATTTATGGCTTAAGGAACATTCGTCTAATGTCGTAGCCGTACACTGTAAAGCTGGAAAAGGAAGAACCGGTAAGGAAATTGTAGCTATTTGGCTTTTTTATGTTTAAAATTACCAAACTCCGTCTAACATATCCACACTTGTCCATGTTTTAGGTACCATGATTTGTGCATATTTACTGTTTAGTGGATTACAAAAATCCGCCGATGAGGCATTAGCGTGGTATGATGAGAAGCGTACAAAGGACTGTAAAGGTGTGACAATCCCATCTCAGCGTCGATATGTTCAGTATTTTTCCAAACTAGTTTGTTCAAGTGTTCCATATTCGAAAATAAGCCTTAACGTAAGTATTTTAAAGAACCATCTAGTAAAATTGACTTACCTCTCAATGTATCCCAGGTATGTGAAATACGGTTCTCGGAGTCCAGTTTTCTGCAAAATTTGGGCACGGTACAATGTTCAGTATCTGTATTAATCGACTCAGCCACAGAAAATGCTAAGCCAGATGTAAGTCAATTATTTTTAAATTAGTTCGTTATACTTTTTAATTTAATTAATGTCGGTGAAGATTTGTTAAAATGTTTTGGTTTTGCAAACATTATGCTATGGCTGTTTTGAACAAAGAACTAGAACTAGTTTTGAGTATAAATGGATCGGACAAGTATTATCTTATTTTTTCAGATTTATTGTTGTTTCTTTTGCTCATATTATTTCTTAATAATATTTTTATAAATTTTAAGTTCCATCTAAAAAGGAAAACTTTTTTTATAGACTGATATTATGTATTCTTTTTTATTCAGATACTGAAAACCTGGACAATTGATTTTCAAAAATCACTTGTTTTGTCCAGTGAACCATTTTTACCAGTTTCCGGTGATGTAAAATTTGAACTTAAATTTGCAGAGAAAGTAGTATGCCATTTCTGGCTAAATACATTTTTTGTGCGAAACTATTCGAGTAAGTACAACTATTAATTTTGCAACCTATGAAAGTATTTAATATGCCTTTTTGTTTGATTAGCTTGTGAGTCCAATGGAGCAGTTAACAGATATATACACACTTTAAATCAATCAGAAATCGATGATGTACATAAAGACAAAGACAAGGATTTCAAGGTACACGGGATAGATATAATTTTTTAACTTAATAAAAAACATTTTGTTTGTGTTTTAGATTTCAATTATATTTGAAGCAGAAAATTTTAGCAATGATGTTCGAGCCGAACCTCCTGAAAAAGAGAAAAATGACAACGTTTTGAATTTTGAAAGATCAGAACATGACAGTTTATCTTCAAACTGCTTTCTTGAAAAAGAAGTTTTACCTGCGATCAACAAAGATAATACAGCGAAAAGTCAAACAATAGAACCGTTGGATCATAAGGATATAGTTGTAAGTGAACACACGTTTTGCGCAGAAAATATGCTTAATCTATAAATCTAATATTCGTAGACTAAAAATCAATACGACACATCAACCAATTCAAAAAATACTTCGACTGCGTCTAAACGCAAGCAGCCTAATAGCAAACCTCTTTTATCAAGCTTGAATGATTCCACAAAAGGGGAAATAAAAAAAAATCATATATTTAATCAACCGTCCATTGAGAAAAATGATTTAATCAAATGGCAGAATAGTGAAGTTCATATCACCTCTGACACTCGAAGTATAAATGAAAATAAGAACATCAATTACAATACATCCTACATCACATGTAAACAATCCTCTCCAAAATTCAACTGTGGTACCGAAGAAGGCGAGGAAGATTGGGAATCCGGTGAGTTTTCTGAATACTATACTCTCAGAGACCAGATCTCACTAATATCTATCTGTTTTTTTAATAAAATAATATCGAAAGATCGATCCTATTACATTTTTTAATACAATTTTGTGTCTTTTAATTTAATTTTTTGACCATTAACGGTTTTTTAAATTAATAGCATTCAAGTTACCATTTCTTAGAGAGATAGCCTTTTTACCATGTGTCGTCCAAACATTTATATCCTTATTGATTTCGCCAGAATAATCACCCGAGACGATTTAAAAGACTTCTGGCTGAACGATCTCTTATTTTTGATGTATAAAACGAAGCCACCAGAACTGGATTTATATGTCCCCAAGACTTTTACGAGTATACTAGCAGACAGGCTTACAATGATCCACTTCTTTTATTGGGGGAACGGATCGATTACAGCTGGGCTCTGCACATCTGTTTAGAATTTAATGTACATAGGTGAGTGGGAGCCCATGGCTGCGGCTCGAATGGTGAACTAACCGGGCAAACCCTTTATCAGTATCCGCATCAATTTTCATTAAACATCTTTCATCTCTTCATAAATATTTATTCGCCTCCGAATATTAGAAGTGCATCCCTCATTTAATTAAATAAATAATTAATTAATTAAATTAGAATCAAGATATAAAGTTATCCAATTATTTACGAACTTCTATATATTTTCAATATTTATGTTAGAAAATAATCGAATTAAATCCGGCAAAATTAATGAATGTCGTTTCATTTTCATCGACAGTCAATGGCTTACAAAGTAATCTTCTAACTTTAAAATTGCTAAACAATAAACCATATATACAAACTTTTTCGATATTTATCATTGTTGTGAAATATTAACTACAATAAATGAATAATACATAAATAATTTTAAGGCTCAACTTAATTAATATGAACAAGTTTTTTTTTTAATTTCAGGTGAATCAACATACCTGTAATCAATGCTTATTACGGACTTATAATTCTTGGTGATTTAGCAAAGTAATTAAAATTGCTAAGTAATTGGCTAATCTATTCGAATTTGTAAATATACTGTATGATATTTATTTAAGTAGTTTTAACAATTATTTTAAATAAACTCATGTACATTTTGTATTGTAGATTTCATTCGAACTTTGGGATTTTGTGTGATTTTTCTTGATATTGCGAAGGTTCCTATATTTTTTTTTTTGGGAAATTAATCGTCAAAAACCACTTGAATAACTTCTGTAAATTATACATCATATGATCTTTTAAAGTGTTTCTCAGCGAACAGAAATTCGATTCAAGTTATTAATATTTAAGAATTATATGCTTTGTAGAAATTCCGTATTGATTAAGATTTGCTAGTCGAAAACAGACAACTAAATCTTAGTACGATCACACTTCGCCGCAGACGATAAATACAATTTTTATATCTGTTTACCTAGACAGGGCCAAAAGAAAATAATTAATAAGAATCCCAAACATTCCCTGAAAATGTCTTTATCTCAATACCTTATTAGTTACTAAATATCCTGGAATGATTAATTCTGTTCTGTTTCCGAGTTCCAAAAAATCCCATTTTTTGCTTATAAATGTGACGGTATCTTGACAGGCATATATTATTGTGCAAAATTGACGTAAACGAATAGAACTTCGCAGCTTAACGTCAAACATCTAATTTTAAAAATGACTAATTACTCGGAATTTTTAAAGAAAGTTTTTAGCGACATTGGTCAGCGTTCAGCATACTCGCAAATGCTAATTGGAGTCACTTCGGGATGGTAAGTGTTATATCATTGCGGCGCAGAGTCGCCAGCCCAATCACTGTAAAATCTAAAGTATTTGCAGTAAATCCATTTTTAACAATTTTTAATTTAACAAAAGACTATCAAAGTAATCATTTTTCTAAACCAATAAAGCCCTGAATTATGGACATTAAGGAAACTTCATGATCAGCGGGCGGTCTGTAGTTAAGAAATAAAAATTATGGCTTATAATTTTCTACTAAATTTGTATTAAAAATAAAGAGCTGATTTAAATAAATACATAGAAGTATTTCTAATTTATCTTTGAAATTATTGGCTAACGTGGCGCATATAGCGTAATAAATATAATAAGGAATTTGTATGCAAATTACTTTTTCAGGGCCACAGGATTCACAACAATGAAGATAGGCAAATTTGCTGCTTTTGCCGTTGGCGGCAGCATTATCTTGTTGGAAATTGCACACCAAGAGGGTCTTATAAAAATAAATTGGACAAAGCTGGATAAGAGCGTTGACAGACTTGCTGATAAAGTAGAATCTTCGCTAGGTCGTGAGAAAAATTGGAAAGATAAGGTAAAGTTTAAAAGCATATATAATTTATCTGGTTGCCAATACTTATGTTTTAACCCTACATATATAGACCGAAAGATATGTCGACAACCAATTGGATAGGGCGGAAAGCCTGCTAACCAGGAACGGCAAAAAAGTTGCAAAGTGGTATACCAAACTAATCGGAGATGAAGAGGGACCGAAAGTAAATGATCTGCACATATTTTTGGCATCATTTTTCGGCGGCGTTGCCCTAGGTATTGCAAGTGGATAATTTAGTAGTGAATGGCACAGAAACATTTAAATACCATATGGTTATTATACGAACAAATCTCACTAAATAAACATAAAAAACTAATATAAATTAGATTCGATTGGTTGTATTTATTTTAAAATGTAAATAATCCTTTTGATTTATGATATATTTTATTTTATTAAATTCTTAAATCTACTTATGTTACAGTCCATTCGTTGAAAATGCATATGTGCATACAGTTACATTTCTGGATTACTTGCTTTAAAATGGCCCTCGTGCCAAGTTTTAAGACGGTTTGAAATATCTGTAAATGTAGGACGTTTTACTGATTGCTCATGCCAACACTCGATCATTAAGGAGTAAACTGCCGTGGGACAGTTTTCAGGAGCGGATAGCAATTGCCTTGAACGGATAAGATTTATTACTTCCTGATTACTATAACCGTAGTATGGCTGAAAAAAAAATATTTTTTTTATATAATGTAAATTTTTACTAATTTAACTGTTTAATGTTAACCTGCATTCCATAGCTGTAAATTTCCCAGAGAACAACTCCAAATGACCATACATCGCTCTCCGTGGTAAACTTTCCATACAGTATCGATTCTGACGGCATCCATCTTACAGGTAGTAGCGACTTTGACTGAACTCTAAAATAAAAAAATTTTTTAAATGCTATTTTCGTTGGAGTCTCTACAGTCTCACCGATAATAATCTGAACTGTAAATGTCTCTGGATAGTCCAAAATCTGATATCTTTACAACCAAACCCTCGTTAACCAGACAGTTTCGAGCTGCCAAGTCTCGATGAACGTAATGATGGGCTGATAGATACTGCATGCCCTCGCTAATTTGCAGAGCTATTTGCAAGAATTCGAGTTGCGTTAAGGATTTGCCTTCGGTGGGTGAGTTTGAGATTAGAAATTCGTGTAAGTCTCCATTAGCCATGTACTCAAACAGCATGCAATAGGGCTCTTTGTTTAGTACTACTCCTAATATACAAACTATATTTTGATGCTTAAGGTCCGATATTAGTTCGATTTCGCGCTTAAAATCTTGCTGGGTCTTAACTGAGGCATTTTCTTTCAAAGCCTTAATTGCAACAGTTATGGTCGATTTGTTTGGCTGCAAAAGCTGTCCCTTGTAAACTTTTCCTAAAATGCTATCATATTAATACTTTTTTGACATTTATTTAAAATAACTTACCAAAAGCTCCTTCACCCAGTTCCTCCAAAAACTCAACATCCTGAAGAGTAAAGTGGGATATTCTTAGTAGGGTATTTCTTTCTATAAGCTTAGAGTTCAGAGCAACATGATCGGATAAATTTCCCAAGTTGGGTCTTCCCACATCTTGGGTGTTATTAAGCTGTGAATTTCCGTAAATATTTTTATCCGCGCTGGGTGTGTTTATCTGGAAAATATGTCATAAATTTTTTTATATTCAGTGGACTCTTTTTTTGAGTACTTACATTATGAATATTTCTCATTCCATAGTGCATAATGGTTCTTCTTTTAAAGAGTATTATAGCGAATGTTATTACAAAAATTATAATTATGGCTGCCGCCGTTCCTACAATGGCAATCCAAATTTTGTCTGCACACTTTGGAATATAGCAAAGTTCAATAATGCGCTCACGAGAAGAATCGACAAAACACCAAGGACTATCTTCCACACTTCCTGGATTTCTAAAAGTTTAAACATTTATAATATTAATAAATTATTATAATAATACCATTAAATATTATTTTAAAAGTACCTGCAGTAATTCTGACCTATGAGCTCTGGAAAGTCGGAGATTTCCTTCATTAACCAAGACCATCTTAAACAGGGCTTTCCGGATGCGGACACGTTCGTAACACCTCTATAGGTCGAGCCATCCTCCCAGTAACAGTTTTCTGTCTTATCCACCTCAATGGTTATGCCCAAGGACAAGCAATCCTTATGTTGGGGCAACTTTTGGCAATCCTCAACCCCAACCATGCCGATGACTGGATGTCGTTTGGCAATGGCATATTCCTTTTGACAGAGCTCGTTTTCTAGAAGTTCGCACTCCTCCCGACATATGCGTTTTAGATTTTCAGACTCCCTAGTGGGTGGGTATTTACTCGAAATATCAGTGCTGAACACATCTTCATGTATAGTCGATTTCTTTTTAAAAATGTTTATGTTTTTAATGTCTTTAGTTTTGGTTCTCTTTCGGCGAATCGTGACATTTGAATTTTTGAACTGCTCAGCGAAATACAATAAATTCGTACGCTCAGGAGTTCTGCAAATTGGCATTGAGCTAAAACACAAACTGGGCAAGGCGTACATGCGACAGTTCTCATTCATATCTCTGAAAAGTAAACAATTAAAATTTCTACAACTAAGTAAAAAAGTATAATAATACTCACTTAGATTCCTTAATTACTCCATATGCCGCTTTTAACCGCTCCTCCAAATCGTTCATTGTAAGGTTAGGGGATACAAAAACATAGGCATTGCTCAAAATATCCCGACAAATCGTCCCATTATAAATAATGCAAATCCCCCGTTTATGCTGAATCCTGCGGCACAAAAATTGGCATTTAAATAAATATTAAAGAAATATCTGAAAACCATTTAAAATTAAACATTCGACCACTTCAAAATAATTTGTTAAGTTGTTTGGTAATTAAAACATAATTGGCCAATTTAAATAAAAGAAAATATCTCAGATTAAAGAACTTGATTCCATCTTTCCCGTTGTGCTAATAAATACCTACCCGTATATTCCAGAGTCTACATTATTGCTCCCCACATCCTTTCTTATTAAGAAAAGGAACAAAATAAACACAATAAATACAGAATATTTGTCCATGTTGCTAAACTTCTGACTAACAATATGAAACCTATTGTTATTTTAACAGTATATTTAACATGTCAAGGATCCCGAAAATATTTTTTTATTTATCCTTTCGCGAAAACTTTGTATGGCATACAACATTTCATCCCTTCACACAACGAATGGGGTTGTTGACTCCTTATCGATAAGTCGATACATCATGGAGTAAAAATATTAAAAAACAATGTAATTAAATGTTTGAGAATGAAGTTTTACAAATTTAAATTTATTTTTTATATTGATGTGAATTGATATATTTTCTGCAAAAATGTGGTTATCCCAAACAACAAGAATTTCGATTTATACATTTTTAAAGTGATTTTCCTCTATCGGTTCAATTCATATTAAATTTATTTTTTTGTTACTTTAAATAATTTTTTTAAAGAACATTTATTTTAAGTCATATTAAAGGCAATTATGAATTGTAAACTTCTATAAATCCGGTCAGCAACTTTTGATCCTGCGATATTTATAACAAATTAACTTAAATATTAAACATTAACAATTTATTTGGTAAAAGCATTAGTGATGATTAAGAGATTATCTATTGCTTTTTGGGACTTTTATTTTAATTTTTGGTACTTTAATTTTTTTACTCAACGTCGACAGTTTCCTCCGTGACAAAACCAACGATACTAAATGCAGTTTCCTCGCTGACCCATAAAAATCCAATTATTAATGCTTCTAGAATTCCGATGACTGCTCCAGCGCAAATATCCAAAATGTAATGACGCTGCAAAATAAGTCTTGAGATAGCGACACTTAGAGCCCAAGCTGTGACTGGAAGCATGAATACGATATGGAGAGGATACAGCTTGGCGAAGAACAGAAGAACGAAAAATGCTCTGGAGGTGTGGCCCGAAGGAAAACTAAACTTATCGGGTCCTATGGTTAACATATCTTTGTTGGGAACCGGTCGTCTTCGCCGAACGATCGCTTTTAACACAGCCACGATAAATACATCGAGTATTAGTCCCAAAAGCATGTTCACTTGCATTTGATACAAGCTTTTCAAGCTGAGCAACCATATAAACGCAATCCATGAGGCAAACCAGGCAATTCCATCGCAGGATATCTCCAAAAATCTGCTATGTATCCGCAGAGATTTAAAGAAAGACAAGGTTGGAGACGGTTTTAACAAAATGTTTTGACACCTGTACATCCTTCTCCAAAAGATATTTAAGGGCTGGTGATGACTGGAAAATAATGATGAAAAATAGTAAGTATCAGATAGTGAATCACAAAGAACACCAACCGTCTTCATATCGCAAGATATTTCTTTTGTTTTTATTTATAGTTGGTGATTTCTCATTTTTCATTCGATACATAATCGATAGATCGATAGAAAATATCAAGAGCCCTTGGAACGAAGAATTGGAACACTGAATCGAGAGAAAGTTTTGTAGTTTTTTACTTTAAGAATATATTTTATAAGTTTCTGAAAATTTGATAGAATTACAATAATTTTCATATACTATTTATCTTCACTCGATATGGCTGACTTTAATCGTTTGTGTTTTGGTCCCACTCCAATCTGGTCACACCGATTTAAATAACTTTGTTGTGATCGAATATTCCAATAGATTTTCGTATATTGTATTGTATCCATGTACAATTATTTTCATGCGAAAGTGTCGAAACTAGTTTGTTCTGTAATTTCAATAGAATCAACATAATTAAAAATGTTTGCTACTCAGAGTGCCCAGTGTGTGTAGAAGCAAAAATCGATATTAATTTTCTACCAGAAAATCGTTAAAATTTCTGCATTAAATGGTAAATAAATATTCTATTACGATCCTTGCACATAAAATATTTAAGCGCTGTAACTGTCTACCAAAACGTGTCATTGCTGATTTATACAAATGACAGTTGTGCCGGTAATAAAAAACGATTGGTATTTAACATTAATCAACTTCTCAAAGTGTGTACCTATGTATGCGCAAATGTCTAACGCTTACATATCGACAACTAGCCGAAGACCGACCGCTTTACTATCTTCAATACAAACGAGATATTCTGTATATGCATACAAGAAACAACGGCTATCTAAAAGATAGTTCGAAAATTGAGTAAATTATCGACCCATATATGTACATATGTAATTTACATTTTACTACATATGTTTATATGTATACCAGTAGAAGTTTACAGTTTTCACCAGTGCACAAACTGTGTATGTATATATATACATAGGCATGCATACACATACTCATGAACTTATGTACATCGCAGTGGTCCAACATTCCGTAATTTTATGTTTAAGCCGACATATCGATTTTAAATCGGTATTTTTTCTGTTCGTGCCGCTAAACACTTAAATAGAACGGAATGGATGGAATTTTATAATACTTTATGTGTTTTTTAGGGTGCTACCCATATTTTTTTGTAATACCCGAAAAATATATAATCTCTTATCAATAAAGACTTGCCATTTAAGATCGTCAAAATATTATTGGGTTATGCTATTGTATCTTTTGTAAGGAATTTTCTATTTCTTAAGACTGCCTATGGGATGTATTAAGTTTGGTAATAAGGTCGCACCGCAATATCCAGCAAGCCGTTTGCCTCCGCCTCCCCTATTCACCCTTCGTGACAACAGACCCATTTAATGTCCATAACATTCTGTCTAAATAAGGCCAGTAAAGGTAATGTTTTTCTACCCCCTAGCATCTGACGAATTTTTCTGAAAACTTCCACTGTCTCCACCCATTCAGAAAGGCAACATACATATGGATCTTTTTACTTATATAAAATACAATCGCGTTGAAGTTGTGTCTTTATTGATTTATCTTATTTACCCACATCTAATCTTCCCTCTAAAGGCCGATATGCTCCTGGCTTTCAACTAAAAGTAATATATAAAAACAATATAAAATGACAGCTCAGCACCAGCACTACACCGTTGAAGTGGGAGATACCAACTTTACCATCCTAAGTCGGTACGTTAATTTAAGGCCTATAGGATCTGGTGCCCAAGGAATAGTATGGTAAGTTGCATTTGTTGATTTTTAAATTATATATTATCCTACCTTTATAACCTGCGGTAGCAGTGAACTCTGATTTAACTTCTTGATTTCTTTATTTTAATAAATATATATGTTTGAAAAAGTAATAAGCAAAGGAAATCACAGTCCATTAAATTTTTAAGCTCAAATTTCTTTGAATCTCAGTATTTAAAATGTACTTCAAAAGGTAAAACATTATATTGTTAAACTTTAAAAATCAAATATATTTAACAGAATTTGTAAACAAAAATTAAAATCTACAGATGTATGATGTTCTAGCTTCTTTTTCGTCATTTGTTATTATTAATCTCATAACTAAGAATAAAAATATTTTTGTACCTAACCAAATTCTAAATATTTTATAGCGCTGCATATGATACTATCACCGAGCAAAATGTGGCGATTAAAAAACTATCTCGACCATTCCAAAATGTAACCCATGCTAAAAGAGCATATAGGGAATTCAAGCTAATGAAACTGGTTAACCATAAAAACGTAATTAAACTTGGCTTCAAAATTAAAAATTGTTTTTAAAAAAACTCTCATCAATAGATAATTGGTTTACTTAATGCTTTTACTCCGCAAAGGAATTTGGAGGAGTTTCAGGATGTTTACCTTGTCATGGAGCTCATGGATGCTAACCTCTGCCAAGTTATCCAAATGGATTTGGATCACGACAGAATGTCTTATTTGCTTTACCAAATGTTATGTGGAATAAAACATTTACACTCAGCTGGAATTATTCACAGAGTACAGTATTAAAAAAATAATATTTAAGAAGAAATAGAAATAAAAAATTGTTTATTTACAGGACTTAAAACCATCCAATATAGTTGTAAAGGCAGACTGCACTCTTAAAATTTTAGACTTCGGTCTGGCACGTACTGCTGGAACTACCTTTATGATGACTCCCTATGTGGTCACCCGATACTATAGGGCCCCGGAAGTCATTTTGGGAATGGGCTACACAGAAAACGTAGATATATGGTCCGTGGGATGCATTATGGGAGAAATGATAAGGGGTGGCGTTCTGTTTCCTGGAACGGATCATATAGATCAGTGGAATAAAATTATTGGTAAGCTATTGGGTAAATACAATCTAGTTATTGTTAACATTTTTTATTTTTTTGTATCCTTGTAGAGCAATTAGGCACACCATCTCCCTCATTTATGCAGCGGTTACAGCCAACCGTCCGAAACTATGTGGAAAATCGTCCTAGATACACTGGATACTCATTCGATAGACTTTTCCCTGATGGCTTGTTTCCAAATGATAATAATCAGAATAGCCGCAGGAAGGCCTCCGACGCTAGAAATCTTCTTAGTAAAATGCTAGTCATTGATCCAGAGCAACGGATATCTGTGGACGAGGCTTTAAAACATGAGTATATCAACGTTTGGTATGATGCTGAGGAAGTGGACGCTGTAAGTGCATAAATATAAAAAATATATTCTTTTTATAAAATTTTAATTTAAATCTAACATTTTTTCGCATTTTCTGTTTTCAGCCTGCTCCAGAGCCATATGATCATAGTGTCGACGAAAGAGAACATACTGTGGAGCAATGGAAGGAGTTAATTTATGAGGAAGTCATGGACTACGAAGCACACAACACAAACAATAGAACGCGGTAGAGAACCACTTTTTCCTCTTTAGTCAGTCACAAAAAACTAAAGCTTAATAACAATACGGCATGTATTGTTAAATTATTACAACAAATAAAATATTCAAATTGTATTTAAAACTATAGTAACCATTAAAAAATAAAATCAATATACAAACCTTTGGCAATTCCTTTACTTATATTTATATAGCCCTTTCTTTTTTTAACATTAAATTTCCTTCATTCTTTGTTTTGCATCAGACCTCAGAAGAGGAATTTAAAAATTTTATATAATGAAGGCAATATATAAAGGACTCAACAATAATTCAAAAATACAAAGGAAGTAAACCTTTAGATTATCTAGAGACTATAATTTCTAAATAACAAAACTGGTAATTTTTTCAATAAATAAAGCACAGACAAAATGGAATATATGTATATATGTAGTACTAATACTCCGCATACTAGAGCCAATATAAAATTTAAACGGAATGCTGCGATAACGATAATTGCACGTGCCGTGGGTTTGGTACAGCTTGACCACCTATGGTATTTTAAATACTTTTTATAATGGTGTAGAATTTTGTTTCTTAACCATTTTTTCATCTTTATTTAATGATATTCTTCGGATTCTATTTTAACTAAATTTACTAGTACCACTAATTACTGAAATATAAAACAAATATGTACGTAAAATGCAAATAGAGATTCAGTAAAGCAAGGGATTTAGCCAACTACTTCTAACTATGCCATAAAAGAATTATGTAAAATATATATGTACTTCTATGATTGAGCAAGGGATTTGGGCCAACTCCTTCTAACTATGCCATAAGAGTAAGAATTATGTAAAATATATACAATCCTCTTATGATTGTGTTCTTAAGGTATTATACCATGTAATGTTTATTATTGTTATAATACAATTAAAAATATACAAAAAGTGGAATTGCTTTACATTTAATCTTAAAAAGAAATGCAAATAAGACGATATTTTAATTTAAAAAAATGTATATTTGAAGTTTAACACAATAAAAAAACCTTATTTAATAGTTTTAAAATTTTTAGTATATTTATGTTTTTTAGGGTAAATTGGTATATATTTTCAGTCCGGATGGTATTTTTTATCGTTATCGGCGCGGTCACGCTGGTTTGATAATAAAGAATTGCGTTGGTGAACAATAATAATACAGATCCTAAATGTATCAAGCGGATTTCTTGTAAATACTGATATTGCTTATATTAGTGATCCGAACAGCAAGTCGCTTCAGGTAACCTTTAACCCAGACAAATTTATGTTGTGGTTTAATTTCCCATATCCATGTGCGTTTGTAAATGATACCATTATAGTGCCATATGTATCGTTGTTTGTACATACATGCCTACAGAGAAAAATAACTCGTAGATACATATGTATGTAAGATGTATTAGAATTTCTCAGATATATATACATATATATTTATGATGCTCATCTATAAAACAAAATATGTACAAACATACGCGCGTACGTATATGTATAATAAAATGAGCATCTAGCTGCGGTTATCATCTTAATGCATTGCGCAGAAACTGAAAATGAAATAAACAAAGTGTACAGTACAGTGAGCGAATTATGAATTCTGAATTCCGTCGCTTACATCCGATTCTAATCTGTCGTAGCGTAAGCTGCAGTTAAATTATTGACATAAACGTCGTAATTGCGTGTTTTGATGTTCGATGTCAGACTGCAAGGATTTTTGTTAACGCGAAATTTTGAATGTTTTTGGGGTGTTTGTGTTATGAAAACTGATTTGTTTTTCTCTTTGCGGAATAATGTTTTTGTTTATGCTTAGAGATTTACGTATGTATATTATCCCTTTCGTTGGACTTTATAATTAGTTTGAATATTAAATTGAAAATGCTTAGAAACATGCATGTACATACATACATACATATGTATCCGTATGTATATTAATCACGACACTAGAAAGTGAAAGCCAAATGTGCCCATCAAATCAATGATTAAATGATGCAAATATGTGTTATAGAAACCCACTGCCTTGCAGGAATTAACAATTGAAAAAATGGCTTCGATATCAAATGACGGGATAGTATTGAGTGGCTACCACAAAAAGTTAAAGACCATGAAGAAGAAGTTTTTTGTGTTGTACGAGGAAAGCAACAACTCCCCAGCACGTTTGGAATACTATGATACTGAAAAGAAGTTCCTGCAGCGGTCAGAACCTAAAAGAGTAATCTACCTGAGCAATTGCTTCAATATTAACCGACGTTTGGATACCAAGCACAAATTTGTCATTGTGCTGTCCTCGAGAGATGGTGGATTTGGAATCGTACTTGAAACCGAAAATGATTTACGGAAATGGCTGGATAAACTTCTTGTTCTACAAAGGAATATCGCGAACATGAATGGGACTGTATACTCAGCTTTTGGTAAGCTAAACTTATATATTTTATGGGGAATTGCATCACCTAATGTTAAACTTCTTGCACATAGACCAAGTTTGGCAAGTTGTCATCCAAAAGAAGGGAATTTCGGAAAAAGTGGGACTCACTGGAACGTATCACTGTTGCCTTAGTTCAAAATCCCTGACTTTTGTGTGTATAGGACCGGAGAAGACTGCTAATGGCGACGATAGGGTTGCTAGCATTGAAATTCTTTTAACAACGATCCGGCGGTAAGTAGTCCCACACAAGAAAAATTAATTTGTATTAAAGCTCATGAAATATGTCTACAATTTCAGATGTGGCAATGCACCCCTTCAATGCATATTCTACATGGAACTCGGGCGCCAGAGTGTATTGGGATCTGGCGACTTGTGGATGGAAACGGATAATGCAGCAATTGCTACAAATATGCACAATACGATATTAAGGTAATTAATAGTGACTTTTTATACAGACTTTTAAGAAAAATGGCATTAATTTCACTTCAATTTATTATCTGCAGCGCTATGTCAGCTAAAACAGAGTCAAATACGAATTTAATAAATGTTTATCAAGCCAGGGCTGATATTAGCCATGAACCTATGAGAAAGCGATCATCCTCTGCAAATGAAGCTTCAAAACCGATAAACGTTATACAGAATCCCCAGAACTCTCTCGAAATGCGAAATTGCAGTTCACCCCATAATTATAGTAAGTAGATTTTATTTCCGTTATTTGCACATAGAAGCAATTTAATCCAACAATTTTCCAAACAAAATTTAAGCTTTTGGAAGAGAGAGATGCGATAGTTTACCGACCAGAAATGGGACCTTAAGTGAGGGCAGTAATCAAACATATTTTGGATCCAATCATGGGTTAAGATCTAACACCATTTCTGGTACCCGTCCGCACTCATCCAACAAACACAGTAATAGTCCAACGTTCTCCATGCCATTAAGATGCTCTGAATCTGAAGAGTCTTCAATTAGTATCGATGAATCCGATGATAATGGAAGTTTTAGCCACTATCGATTAAAGTACGTTATTGCTAAGTGAAAACAATTATATGCTTGGCATATTAATTTTTGAAGATTTAAATATTTTTATTAACTACTTATTTTGTTTTGATAGCACGCGGTCATCAGAGACAGCTATTCCTGAGGAAAACATTGATGACTTCGCAAGTGCTGAATTTAGCAAAGTCGCCGAACAAAGTGGTAATGCAAACAGAAAAAAAAAATATGCGTGGCATCTATTTAATATTTTTCAAATTCATATTTTTATGACTATAGAAAGTGACGAAAACTACATACCGATGACTCCAATTAAACCTTCCATATTTTCTGAAGCTATGCATGAGAAAAAGAACGCAGAGAAGCAAAGCTCAGAGGATGCAAACCTGCGCTTTGACTTTCCGGAGCACACATCCGAAAAACTTGTTAAAGATTTTGATCTAGATTCAGATAATCAGTGAGTATAGATGTAATTCATCCTTGAACAAAAATTTAACAAAATAATTTTGCAGATGTGGTCGTCCAATTCGCGCTTATTCAATAGGAAATAAAGTTGAGCATTTAAAGTTTAATAAGCGCCTTGGACATTTAAATGATACATCACAGAATTCGAATCGCGTACGAGCTTACTCGGTTGGTTCAAAGTCAAAAATACCGCGGTGCGACTTGCAACGAGTGGTTCTTGTAGAGGATAATAAACATGATTTCGTAACGAATAGAAGTCATAGTAGCATTACGAAGGACGGAGCCAGTTGTGGCACAAGTGCAAGCCGGGAAAAGAAATCTACAAGTGCTCCGCTCTTGAGTTTGAAAAATCAGATAAACCCTGACCGAATGAGTGACTTAATGGAAATTGACTTTTCGCAAGCAACCAATTTTGAAAAACAAAAATTCATCAAGAATAATGAAATTTCCAAATATATTGAAAACGTGTTCCCTAAAAATACCAGAAACGATAGCTCAAATTTAACTTTGCACGCTATAAGTCAAAAAGACATATTCAATGGAACCAAAATTAATACCACTGCTAACGCATCAGAGGATGGATACCTTGAGATGAAACCAGTTGGTAATGCATATATTTCCAGCTCGGTTTGCCTTCCAACTAAAATAGAAAAGCTCAAGCTATCAGACTACAATGTAATAACCGAAAACGATGTTAACAAAATAAGTACATACAATATTGGTACTGAAAAATGGAGAGAACCATCCATAAGGGAAAACAAAAAGTCGAACTCCCCCTTAAATGAAAAACCTATTAGTTTAGAAACGTCAACTGTAGAAAGTAGAAGCCTTGATGCATATTCACAAAACAACAGTGACCATGAGAAATTAACTATGGAAAGCGATAAACGAAGTAATGTAGAAGAAAAAATATTAAATAACAACAATTTGGATATAGGTGGCCATGACGAAAAGAAATTGGTTCACTCAATAAGCAGTGAAGATTACACACAAATTGCAGACAAATCTGAAGGTGGCTACAAAATTGTTCAAATAAAGAGCGACAGTTCACTTATCTCATCGAAGTTATACCAAAAAGGTATTGTCAAAGATAATTTAGATCGTTGGCACAGACTTACCGAAAGTGCTAACACGATTCCAGATAATGCTACCAACTCAGCCTCTAAATTTAATATTAATCCAACAGCATCGGATCCGAAAAGCACAGATACAAGTACACAACCAAACATTCTACATATTAAAGATTTAAATTTCCCGTCAAGGTCTTCTTCTCGCATATCCCAGCCGGAGCTTCACTACGCTAGCCTAGATCTTCCTCATTGCAGCGGACAAAACCCAGCAAAATATCTAAAGCGAGGTTCCCGCGAATCTCCGCCAGTGTCTGCATGCCCGGAAGATGGAAATACTTATGCGAAAATTGACTTTGATCAATCAGACTCATCTTCTTCCTCATCAAACATATTTAATACGTAAAATTTTAAAATTTAGTTTATGTATATGATTTGTTTAATATTGTACATTTATTGTAAATATTCTCCGACAAGCAAAGCTTACGATTTTGGATGCTAATAAATAAATTTTATTTAAATTATAATATTGAAACTTCTACTTTATGCAGTTTCAAGATGAATTTCAATTTCAATTTATTTATTATGCTTTTCTTTCGTAGGTTAATCAAGCTTAATCCAGAAACAATAAGAGCATATGAAATGCTGGTTCAGGTGAACGCTTAGCAGCGAAACGTTAAAATACTCACTGGTATTTTTCCATATATCCATCTTACTCAACCCACTTACAGGGCCCAATCCGCTTTTTGTATGGCAAGGCAGAATAGAGAACCGAAACAGGGGTTTTCATAGACCAGTCCATCAAGTTATCTAAATAGCGCATATAAGAAATAGAATTGCTTTCCATTTATTTAATACAATTTTGGTTTTCTGAAATATTTTATCTTTTTTATTGATTTCATGATTTAGATTTCTATTTCAGATCCTAGTGTTAGAGTTGCATCCGTTTTATTTGCTAACATTGCCCTCCTCATTTGCAGAATTATTAAGATCACTGTTGTTGATGGTATCTCCAACGGATGCGCCAACGTTTGCGACATAAAGTGCGGGGTCTATGACCTTCGGAATAGGCTTTATTTCAGTTCCAAGTTCTTTTTCAATACGATGCAGGTCAAACCGATCTTCGTAGGTTATCAGATTTATAGCAATACCTGAAAATAGAGTAAATATATAAGTTAGAAAAGAATTGATTTTTATAAAAAGTATAATAAACGATTGATGTTTTTTTGATAAATAACACTATATGTTAATAGATAGTATAGTTTCTTACCCAAATGACCGAAGCGTCCGGAGCGACCAATTCGATGCAAGTATGTCTCCGCCATTCGAGGGAAATCGAAGTTGATTACTACATTCACGGCTTGCACGTCTATTCCGCGGGTAAACAGATCGGAGCACACTAGATTTCTGCAAAGTCCTTGACGGAAATCGTGGAACACTCTGTTTCTGTGTGCTTGGGCCATCTTTGCGTGAATGTAATAACAACAATAGCCAAGTTCTGTAATTTTTTTAGCTAATAACTCGACACGTTGCGTGGAATTGCAAAATATAATAGACTGATTGATTTGCAGTTTAGAAAACAATGTGTTCAAGCAATGTACTTTCTGGCGCTCTTGTACAAATGCATAGTACTGAGTGACACCCTTTAATGTTAGCTCCTCCATCAGGTTTATTTCATAAGGCTCGCGTAAATGCTTCTCCATGAAATTCTTGACTGTTAGTGGAAATGTTGCGGAAAATAGCAAGATCTGTGGATCCTTTGGTAACTTAAGTATAACATGATCCAGCATGCCCTGAAAATCAAGCGACAATAGTTTATCGGCTTCATCCAAAACTAATATCCTGCAATGCGACATATCAGCAACTTTCTTATCCATCAGATCTAATATTCGTCCAGGAGTGGCAATAATTAATTGTACTGCAGATGTAAAATAAAATAAAAAAAATTATTTAGAATGTGATCTAAACGATTTATTTTTCAAACTAACCTTTTTGATATATACGAAGAATGTCATCCTTTAGAATTGTTCCTCCAGTTGTGACCATTACCCGAATATCCAGATGTTTCGCCAGCTCAATACATATCTGTGAAGTTTGTAACGCCAACTCTCGGGTGGGGACCATCACCAGAGCCTGAATGTAGTCCTTGGTTGGATCTATTTGTTCTAAAACTGGGATACAATAGGCTCCTGTTTTGCCAGTACCGTTCTTGGCACGAGCAAGCACATCTTTTCCACTTAAAGCTATAGGAATAGCTGCTTCCTGAATTGGCGAAGGGCGCTCCCATCCCTTCTCGAAAATACCCATAAGCAGTTCTCTTTTAAGGCAAAACTCCTCAAACTCATTTCCTCGCGTATCGGTCACATCCTGAAAGATGCCATAAGTTAATTTTGTTCATCATAACTTGGTTTGTAATTAAATTGTTTAAACCGAAGTTTGTTTGTAGCTAATTTTAAAAACTTACAGTTGTTTTGAATCGGTTGTCCTTTGGCGGTAGCTTCAGCTTTGATTTCCAGCCCATATCGTCGCTTGTGTTCCCAGCAATTTGAAGATCATTTATAAGCCTAGAAGTTGGAAATAATGATTATTTTAAATTCTTTATTTCTATGTTCTAGAAATAATAAGTTTATAAAATATTTAATATTAAAATTCAAAATATTACATTTTTAGTATTACTTTTTTTAATTGTTACCTTCAGCTTAACTTTTCTTTTTTTCTCTTTAACACTTTTTTATTGGAGCAAAAAAAACGCTATCCAAATTCTAAAATGGCAGCCCACGAATAACTGTTTTTGCTACTGAAACTACTACTACTCTTAACTCCGAAATTCAGAAACCGCATAAAAATTAAGATGACAAGCCAGAACTGTGGAAAAGTTATTTAGCGGCCAAGATGTCCACGAGTGCACATGTGCAACTTATACACATATAATTATTTTATACATACTTACGTACATATATTCGGCTAGCACAGACATTTAAGTCGAATTTAAGTGGAATTTACATTGCTAACTTTTTATTTTATTAGATAACATCAAACGGCATTTTTAGTTGTTTATTAAAAGCCAAAATAAACAGTACACATATAAAGACAACATCAACTTTAGATTTTTAAACATTTTTGCAAAAATATTTTTAAACCATTTATTGGTCAATAACTTAACTATGTACCAACTATAATACGTACTTATAAAAACAATACTTATGGTCTCTTGTAAAATAAATATAAAATATACAAACCCCTTGCTTGTTAAATTAGTGTGCCCAGAATTTAACTTTTCAGTCATCATTATTCACAATGAAAATTTTAGTTTATTTAATTAGTTTAAAAAATGTTTAGCTTTCTTTACTTTCGGTTGACTTCTTTTGTCACTGCATTCACCGTATTGTATTGCTCACGTATTCAACTTTGCGTTTCTATAAAAAATGGCATTTAGCTACAAAATAATGAAGTCGCCTTACAACATGCTATCAATAATACAAATTTCAGTATGACTCGGAAAATATTTTCACTTGGTGTACATATCAAATATTTTGTAGAGTATTTTCTCTTTTTTGGAATTTAGGAATGAAACAAGAATGCCATAGAATTTTTAAATTAAACTTAATCATTAATCGTGTTAAAATATTGTATACGATAGACTTATAAAACTTAAATTTTTAATAACCCGTTCAAAAATATTAATGTTTTCCTGAAAACTTATTGCTATTGATTGCGAGAATTAGTGACATAAGGTAGATACTAGTTAAACAAATTTATATTACAACCTGAAAAATACCATTCAAAAAGTAGTAAAAATCACTTAGTTCTTCTTGTATGTATAATTATGATGATCTTAAATCGTTAATACATTCCTTAATGCGATTGCTATCAAGATGTGTCCCTGTCTGAACATGCCTTTCCATTTTTTTGTAAAGTGCTTATTGTTTGATACAGTCCGAGTTTTGTAAAGATGCATAACGCATAATTCACCTGAGCATATCCACCATGCAGGGTGTAAAACAGGTCTCAGGAGACTGGTTGATTTTTTTTTAAATTCAAAATTTAAATTATTTTAAGTGCTTTATCAACCCGCAAATGCAATAAAAAATTCGATAACATGGATAAGAATTCTAACTTGTTTTCATTGCAGCTTATGATATGGCCCATTATAAATGTATTATATTTGGGCTAATTTAATCAATGCAGCTTTGTTTGTTTGTCGTACAGCACATTTTAGTTATTAGTTGTTGAATTTATCTAACAAAGATATAAATAATTGCTTACATATATTTTAAATTAATTACGTACGTTTTTAAATTCTGTAGCCAAAATAACAGATATTGTGATTAAATTGTTAGATTAACTTTAGAAAATGAACTTTACAAAATGTAAATAAAAGGTTACCCAATTGTCTTTCTGTGGAAAAATGGTTTACAAAGTCATCAATTGAAATATTTATTTACCTACATTCATATGTATAAAAAAGTACCTAAATAAATATATAGCCATTTGACTCAATTGGGTGTATGTGTGCCCCCAGCATGCTAAGTGTTAAACACTCTATGGGGTATAACTTATTTGTATAAGCTTACGAATCCATAAATGTGTTCTCTATGTACATCAATTCGTATCCGTATGTGTGTAGACCAAATGTTTACCCATAAACATTCGCATTTGCTCGTGAAGGAATTGCGAAGACTTCAGTTCGTTAAATCCGCCAACTGCATGCGGTTCGACGTTTATATTGCCCGATAACGATTCAATGATAAGATATGAAAAGTCCGTTCTAAGAAAAGATACAAACATTACACAAGCTCGAAAATTGGTCATTGAATATAAAATCCAAGGCGTAAACAATGATCATCGGACTAACTTTAGCGTGCCTGATTTTAAGTGGCATTTCAAAAGTTTTTGCGGTTCAAATGTGCTGCACCCCGAATTCAATGATATTTAAATATCGCGGTTCGGATAATTCAGAAATTTTCCAGTGCGCTTCAGCTGAAAGCAACCTTAAAGAATTTCCAGATTTAGCCCAAGTGATAGGCAAATTGATAGCCCCAAGAGGCCTTGGTTTCGAGGCAGCAAATGACTCAAACACCCAATTCCAGTTATCAAAGTGTAAAAATTATACCAGCATAAATATAAGTGATCTGAGTGAAAGTAATTTAAATTTACGAAATAACTCATGCATAGGGCTATTAAACAAACGCCTCATTATTTTATCTTGTGAATTTGAAAAGAATGTGCCGTCTCAAAGTGTTGGATTTGTAAACAAGTGTTGCCCACAGGGATTTATTTACGTTTCCGAAAATAATTCATGCACACTTGGTGAAAACGATTTCTTTGTTTATTCTTCTATCATCAGCAGTCCAATTATATTTTTTGATAACGCCTTAAACTGTTCGGACAACAAAGTGTTGGTGGAATATACGGTGTCCTCGAAAACAGTGCAATTTATTAACAATTCGCTTGTTTGGAGAGATGGATCAAATAGTTTGCCAAGATCAATGTACTGCATCGAAGCTATTTTTGACTTGGATGTTTCGAAAATAAGGAAAGCTTCGGATCAAAAATATCTGGTTCGAGCTTGTCAGGAACCTAACATTTGCCAAAAAGTGCCGTGCATTCGACGATGTTGTGCCGAAGGTGAAATGTATGCGAAAGGAAATTTTAGTACTTACTGTAAAAATGATGGGACCGATATGAAATTCGAAGGTTTCCAGAATTTAAATATAAACGCTAACTTTACGAAACCTACAGGTATGTTTTAGTAATCTTTAAAACGATTTTTCTAATTTCTTATACATCGGTTTTTTGATCTAAAAGAATATAAGGTCAATTGAATGCGGCAATAAAAGTTCTAAGGAATACGCATTAATTGCCCATTCAATTCGTAGACCTAATGATGAAAATATTAATAAGAATCTGTGCGAATGGTTTTGATAGGTGCCATTTGTCTAATCACCTGTTTCACTATAAAAAAAAAAATAAAAATTTGTATGTGTGTAAATAATTATCTTTAACAGCTAAATAAATGTACCATCTGATAGATCTATGTTCATATGTATATCAGTTATCGTTCATTTGGACATTTAAACTACAGTTGTCAAAGCTTCTTATCTTGTTAATAAACGATTAAAAACTGCTAGGAATACTTACATACATACTTTAATTTCTTGGGTTAGGTCATATCTGTGAAACATTTACTCATAAAATCTACAAACGGCCTATTATTAAATTGTGTTATTTTTTTCAGATTTCGGAATTATTCATGGTTTACAGTGCCAAAAATTTCGCTTAGATCCAGATAATTTTCCAGATGATGGTCATATAATAAGTTCTTCCAATGGCTCACTTATTATTCTAAATACTTTGAAAATGTATACAAATACTCAGTACTGCTTGGAAAGGGTTAGACCCAATCAAAAGGTAAACTCCTTCCCATTTAAATTCCATTTTAAATCGCCATATAAATTCAACATTTTTTGAAAAAGTGTTTAAATTTTTAATAATTTGCCTTCGTTTCTTTCAGAGCAGCTTTATACATTTCTATGTTTTGACACAAAGGTAGTGGGCAGTGACCGGATTCGCTTTAAAATGTATCCCATTGGTCTTTTAATATCTTGCTGCTTTTATGCACTTACTTTGATTGTATATATATCGATAGCTAAATTGCGAAATCTCCCCGGGAAAATCCTAATTTGCCTTGTAAGCAGTTTGTTTTCCGCATATCTTGGAATTGCCTTGGGTCAGTTAAAGCCCACATCCAATGACGACATCTGTTTCTTTTCTGGTAGGTAATGCTGGAACAAAGCAATTATGTGGTAATAATGTCCTGCTGGGGAAAGAGACTAAAAGTTATTGGCCAATAAAAGCAAGAAATCAATAAACATCCTTAATATTCTATATACTCGTAGTAAAATATTGAATTCAATCAAGTAGGAAACATTTAAATCGTTTTACAAATAAATTTTGTTATATTTTAAGGCTTTTTTGTATACTTCTGTTTAATGGCTGCATTTTCTTGGATGAATATTACTTCATTTGATATATGGAGAACATTTGGGTAAGTTTAAAAATATTATAATTTAAGAAACACTGGAATCAACGAACCACATTAACGAACGTTTTCATTTTTACCGGACATAGAATCTTTTTTAATGACACAATGTTTTCAAAATCTTTGTGTTATTTTAGGTCAACAAAACTTAAAAGCTGCGAAAAAAGTGACCTTAGGAGACAATTTATTTGGTATTCTTGTTATGGTTGGGGACTTCCAACGTTGCTAACTACTATAACAATAGCATTTACAAAATCTGACATATTACCAGATGTAGTCAGACCAAATTTTGGACACGGTCGTTGCTGGTTTACATGTAAGATTCTTTAAAATTCTTAATTGTTGATAGGAATTTATTACTAGGATAATTAAAAACATTCCTTTTATTTCAGATGATTCCTTTGGCTCAGCAAGCTTATTGTTCTTTTCGGGCCCAGTTGGTATTCTTTTTATATTCAACCTAGTCCTGTTCGTGCTTACGATGAAATATTGCAACAAAGTGAAAAATGAAATATACAAGATGCAAAGTTTAAACAGTGATAAACCAGTATTGAAAAGAAGATTTTTTCAGGACAAAACCAGATTTGTTATGAACACTAAATTATGCTTTGTTATGGGTATAACTTGGCTATTGGAAATAGTGAGCATTTTGTTCTACGATCATAAGAAAACATTTTTCTGGACCATCAGCGACTCGTTTAATGTCCTTCTTGGAATATTTGTTTTCATCATATTCGTTTTTAAACGCAGAATTTACAATGAAATTTTAATTAAGATCGGTAAGTAATATTTCAGTTCAAAAAATAACGAAAATAAAATTATCTTCTTTTGATTGATAGGCTTACAGTCAAGCCCCAGCACTACATCGATTAGAACCCGTGTAGGTGTGACCAAAATCGTATGCCGCAACTAGCACAGCGATGACTACTCTCAAATCTTCTCCAGGCAGTTGTGAGTTGATCCGCAAATCCTCACCGAAACCAGAAAATGAAGTTATGCTTTAGATACTCTAAGAACTTATTAACTATTTGTAATTTGTAGAGCCTTACGAAACTAGTCCCTCTGTTTAAACAAGTGTGTATAATTTAGCTGTGAACCGAAATATTAAATGAATAAGTAATTCGATTTTTTTTTACAATGTTTGAATATTTTTTTACGTGAATTGATACTGGCGAATACAGCAACAACCGACATATTGTTTTGTTTAAGTAAGGAAAAACTACTACTATAAAATCTGGGGAAAATAGCATTATAACTTTAAAAACATATAGCCAATTAAAACCCATTAAAATCCAAGTTGTATTTTATCAAAATATTTATTTAAATTACTCTCAAAAACATTTGTAATGAGATTAAGCCCAATCTGAATTAAAAAAATATATGTATACTCTTTAGATTTTGTTGAATGCAGCAATATCAACACTTTGGACAAAGTCTTCCAGTTTTTCGATCTCTTCAGTCAGCCAGTCGATGGATACCTTATCGTCCTCAACCACGCATGAAATGCTCAGTTTCTGGATTCCAAACGCAACTGGGACAAATTTGGAAGCTCCCCACAGTAATCCGTCCTGAGTGATTTTGCGGATTTCCGTCTCCATAACTTTAAGGTCGGTTTCATCATCCCACGGCTTCACATCCAAAATGATGTTTGACTTGGCAATAATTTGAACTTTCTTGGCCTTTTTAGCAGCATATGCTGCCAATCGTTCTTCTCTTATGCGGGCCGCCTCCTCCTCTTCCTCTTCGCTCTCCGAACCAAACAAATCGACATCATCGTCCTCCTCTTTGTTGTTTGTTTCTGGTTTTTTCGATACCGCGTTATTTTCTTCTGGCTTCTTTGACTCTCCATTCGTCAAATTCAACTGATCTAACCGTTTTACAACGGTATCTACAAGTTGGTTTAATATGGAAACCTGGGATTTCAATTCTTTGTTTTCGCTTTCCAATTGAGACAATCGCTTCGCAAGTTCTGAGTGGGAACCATCATCCAAAGTAACTCCATCAATCTAGAAATACACAAGATTATTTTAAGAATTTCAGGTATACAAATAAAAACCAATTATCTATCTTATTATCTTTTAAGAAAAACTTATAAGCTAACGTGTGTTTTAAAAAACAATGGGAGCCTATGGATACAAATAAATCATGATTTACAGACTGACGGGAAACAAAAGAAATTCCGGGCATAAAAAAGCAAAGAGAAAAAATATCACAATAGTTACCTTTTCCAGCGAGTTCTGTATGTGTTCCCTAGCCTTCGCGATTTCACTTACTAAAGGGCTGTAGTGGCTGCGATCAGTTACCTTTAAAAATAAGACACCATTGATTACTTGCGTGATCGAACAGTTGGTGTATCAAGCATTTGATTACAGTTCTTAAGAAATTTACACTAATAAGCTCTAAAGAAATATACTGTTATAGCTTAATATTAATATTTGGTGCATCTATTTTTAGATTGTTTTCATGCAGGAAAATAAGCACGTAATATGAAAGGTTGATAAGCAGCCTTATCAGCCCAGCATTTTGCCTATACTAAAAATATCCTATCAAATTTTTTCATTAATAATTTTCTTATAGAAAGCTACCGGAAAATTTGTATACCTCATAGAATTAAAAATCCTTACTGAAATATTTCTAACCTGGTACTCGGACGGATAGAGCTTTCACTCTTGATGATTGGTTTTTATGCAAATAATATTATGTAGGTATATTTTAACATTGTTTTGGGTTCGCCTATACAGGCTACATACAGTTATAGAAATATATGTACATACTAATGAACAATAAATGCAAAGGAATTTAAAACAAATGTAGATAAATATAGCTTTACATGTATTTATCTTAAACATTATATGTGTATCGACGACCTTACTATTTAAACAAATATATTTGCATGAAACATTGCCAAAACCATTCCGAATTCCTTTACCGGCCACGTGAAATCTCTGTGTTCTTATACATTTAATATTCCGTCAGATTCGTTGAATATATTACCTTAAGAGGTCCCTCGTAGAAACGCTTTTCTGCGACATCATATCGGCTCTTGTCGGTCCAAAATTTATCTAGTGCTTCAACTTTCATTTTAAGTCTTGCTCGCTACTTTTACTCAAACACGTTGCACAATTAGCAAAATAATACGATAACTCTTTTTGCATGCAATAAAAACTTATCGATGTTTTTCAAATAGAATTTTGTGGTATTTTAGAAACGATGAAATGGTAGTTAAGAACTAAGAAATATTTTGTTTCGATATTTTCCCTAAATTAATTACGGGCAGTTCTCATTTTCACTGCAAGGTACATTTTAAATAAAATGATGTAAGCGATTCAAACATAATACACAATGAACTTAGTACAAACCGAAAATAATGTAAATTGTTACACAAAAACGATATAGATTTTCAAATAAAAGTCATTCAACCAATTAGTTAAGCAACCCCTTATATAGTGACACTGTCCAGAAGACGCATCGATTTTAGATCAAAGATTAAGCAGTCGCGCCATATTTGATCAAATTTTTCTCTAATGAGCTGAAGCAGAACCTGAATCAGATAGATTTCGTAGTGAGCGTGGTGAGCAACTAAGCCCTGACTGCTTTTTTCTGTCAACTAAAAATATTCTTTGGAATATTTTAGAAAAGTCAATTCTTATCAGTCAATTTGCAGCGTTACCAGCAGTTCCTAAATGTTAATATATGTAATGTTTGAATACGAAACATAAAATAGATGTTTCAAATATATGATTACATTAGTTTCTTTCCGCTTTAATTAAATTTAGCAAACAATTTTATTAAAAATTCTGGTTTTTATTATTTACGATAATATAAACCCTTTTAAAATCAATATGAAATGGAACAGCATTTTGTTCCGTTTTCGCGTTTCAATTTGATGACTTTACAACATTTCTCACAAATATTTTCGTCATTTACCAGTTTGTTCTCACTTCGACTATTCGATAGCAACTACAACAAATTAATTTTTTACGAAGAAAGTGTTGTGTATTGTTACTATGTTATCATATTCGTGATTGTAGATCTCCGTGTCTTGAGTTTTGTTAATCATTGCGAATTTTTGGTGCGTACTGAAAAAGGTTTTTTTTTCAATTAGTGCTTGAGACTGCTTTCTATTGGTTATTTGATATGTATATGTAGACAGGTCTGAGCATTCCTGTGCACAGAATTTACTATTTTGCATTAAGTGCTCCGTGTCGAAATATTATTAGTTAACAATAAACAAGTGTGTATTAAATAATTTAAAATTTTAATGACGCTGGACATTGTTATTTTCGTTGCGTGTATTACATACACTCGTCTAAATCAGGTGTGATATTTATACAATGTCTTATTAAAGTGTAAGGGTTCCTTTTATCATATGACTATTTTTGTTTATGTAAAATTATCCTGAAATGGTCATATGTGTGCTTAATGTGTGTTTGGCCGAAGCTAGGCAGCAAACATTTATTCGCAAAGTTATCTAGTTCTCTTGGTACACATATGTAAGGGTGTGCGTGTGTAGGTAGATACATGTACATACATACATATATGATTCGTGGTTTTCAGTAAAGAAATCTGTAGTTGGAAACAAAGTATATATGCTGCCCGCTCTCCCCAAGTAAGACGTAACTATGATTTTTTTTAAGGAATATAAGAAAATTCATTTTTTTATGGTTTTGTACTCATAAGACTAACTTGCAACTGGAAACAATCGAATTTATTTAATAAAATCGCGAGGCGTAACCATAATGATTTTGTTCTATCGCAAGGTGGCAACGCTTGCTGCAAAATGATAAGCAAAACTGGTCTTAAGATTAAAAGTTGATAATTATATTGGTTCTTAGTATTACCTTACTGTATGTTTACATCAGGATATGTTTTTTTTTCATAACCGAATAAAATTGAAAATATTTTCGCTATATAAAAAGGACATTTTCGATCTATTTTTTTTCTACATAAAAATGGGTGGATCTGCACCATCTTGTGGTCGCTTTCCTTGTTTTTAGTGCCACCGTTTTCGAATATTATGGCATTTGTGTTTCTTATGTTATATTGCTGATTGATGGCAAGAGAAATAGTCTTAAATTTTTAATCGACAGAAGAGACTGGACTACTCCCAGTACGATAAATTTTTCTTTGACGGCACCCTCCAGAAAGACGTGCTGTATAAAGTAGCGGTTGGCACACACACATTGAAAGAAAATTACTCACCCAAATTCGGTTATATTGTGTACCGACTACTACCTTCCTGATCTGGGATGCATCCTGTGGTAAATTTAATTTTTAGGTAGATTACGGAAAGGGTCACATTAGTAGGACGTCCTTGTAAGCGCCACGTAAATTAGCTTATTTTAATGGATAGTTTTATTTTTCAAATGCCAAGCATATCTGAGAGAGCTGAGAGTTTAGCCTTCGTGCCGTAGCATTGGATTTTTATTTATTCCCGTCATCAGAACAACACATAATTGTTTAGAGAGCTTTTCTCAATTAGAGGGCAGAAAGAGAATGGCTAAGAGCTCGCTGTAAAGGAGAAAAAAATTCTAAATAGTTTGATTATCCATCCAGGACTATTCTCATATTTTTAGAGATTTAGATACATATGTAGTTAAGTGCCGGGTAATGTTTATCTGACTGATAAAATTTGTTTTAGATCTGACTTACTGGTGAATACTTATAAGGAATGTCGTTAAGAATCTTGAAGTTATTACTTTTGAATCAGATAAATTTTAAGTGCATAGTCATAGATAATAATCATTTTAAATAATTGTTTCCTAAAACACAGGCTTCAAATAATATTTCTTATTATTTAAAATACTTTTAGTGACAATGGATGAAAAGGACAAAGCTCAACACAACATGATATCCAACTTACCACTTTTGTTTGCAAATGGGTACCCAACATCCCTAGAGAAAATAACGGAGTCGCAGTTAGAAAATTTTATTCCATTCATGGTTCAGTGCTCTTTAGGACATATAAACTTACCAAAGAAAGTAGATTGCAGTGAACCAGAATGGTGGCCAGAAAACGCCCCATTCGAAATTCCGATGAAAAAAGCCTAAAGCATTTGTTGGGGTAAGATATTTGTTCTGTACATTTTTATTAAAATTTTAATTTTATTAAATTTAAAACAACAATAAACATCTCTTTTCAACTTTTGTATGCTACTTTTCTGTAGAACTGGATGGAAAAAATGAAGGAGATTGTGGTTATCTGCTATCAATTTCACAAAAGCTTATTTTTATTAAGATTTTGTAATGATTTAGCTGCGTATGAACACGCAAGCTTGAGATTCATAAACAATTATAACTCAACGACTTCATTATACGACAGAAGAAACAACAAATTGCTAGTTACTTTTCGAAATGAAAACATGGTATGTTCACTTACCTAATCCACTAATCTAGTTTTCATATAAAATATCTATAATTTCGGCTTATATTTCAGTCATATGATAGACAAATCAAAAATAGAAAGTGTTTGTTGCTTCAAAAGAATAACAGTTCAATTAGCGAAAACTTACAACATATGATGGTTGAGCCACCCCCTTTTGATATATATCTATGTGACAACTGTGATGCTGAACTTTATTCTAAAGAGGCAATACTGGTAAGTATAACACCTTTCTTAAATAATACTGAATACCGATATGATCTCACGGAATTTCTTTAATACAGGAACACGAAAACATTTGTTGCATGGAAGACGATGTTATACTTTGTGATTCCCCTGAACCAGATAATAAATGCGAGGGGAAAAATGAAGATATCGAACTGCGCAACGCCTTTCTTTTAAACTTTAGCCTGCAATCCAAATTTAGTGATACCAGTTTATCTAAAGAAAAACAAAAAACATATTCATTGAATGAAGAAACTTCAATGGAAACAACAAACAGAAAAAGGCGTCTACCATCACGGAGAAATCGAACAGTTCATTCATTTAGTAGGTGTTCGTTTATCCCAATATCATCTCCTGCAGGACAGCAATTATTAAAGTCGACGAAACAAACAATTTCAAAGGATTATGTTTCTGAAAGACAGGACCGTCTAGATCGATTTTGTTACACCCCATTAATCGTAAAGTCTAACACGAGGCAAAAGTATTTTGAGAAAAAATCAAACACTACAGTGCATTGCACATTTAAGAAATCGCATGAACACAATTATCATATATATTCCTTTCCGCGACGTCAATTTGTTAAACGCAGAGACACTACTGAAAACTTTTTGTTTTTGAACTCTCCGTTGATAAAGCAATGCCGTCCAATTTCAGTCAGATTGAAAAAAATAACGGAACATGTAATGGAAGAGCAAAATCATTCTGCAAATACAAAACTAAATATAAGACTAACGCGCCACAATTCGCTTAATTCGCATTGGAGGATTTCACCTACTAAAGAAGTAGTAGTTGATACAATTGACTTATGCTCCTCTGACGATGATGAGCAACAAGAACAAAAAGTAGTCTCGCCCAAAAGATTTGGTTCGGATGCACTTACTATAATAAAACTTACGCATAGCAACAGAAAGACCAGAAGGCGAACTATAGAGCCAAGCAAATGTCTTTCTGAGCCAGAATCAGTAGTAGATAATTCTGTTAAACCCCTACAGCAGTCTTTATATATTTTTTCAAATTATAAGGCTAATTCGGTAATCAGTCGTTGCACTGTAGACCCGATGTCAAATCATTCATTGGTTAGTTCTCTTAATACATCGAATACATGTTCTGATTCTCAAGGTCACAGAAAAGAATACAATCAAGAAAACTGCAATTTTTCTAAGAATTTGGTCACACTCACAGACTGGTACGCTCATTCAGCTAATTCCGAGAAGAGCACAACAAATCAAACTACTGAAAGTAGTACGTTTGAAACCCTTTCCGCGGCTCCGCCGTTCAATAGCACCGGGCGAATAATTTCCATTGATTTAACTTCTTAGATATTTTAAGTTAATTTAAGAAATTGTTATTCTACACGAAAAATTAAATTAAGAATTATAATATTTGAATAAAACATTTGTTTAAATACTTTTACATTTTATGACCACACTTATTGTATCCCAGGTATTGAAATGATGGAGTGTATATTCTTTAAATACTTTAATTCAATGGGATTACTGTAGCTCAATGTTTGGATTAGGATAAAAGAAAGAAATTCAAAAAGAAAAAAACAACTACGTACATGCATACATACGAAAAGTAATCACAAGTTTCCTGCTGATATCGCTGTTCATGTCCTGCATAGCAATGACGATAAGTCGTCAGGGGATTCTGGAAAAATAGTTTTCGTAGATGACCAATGCATAACTATACTCAAAATATTAAAGAATTTTTATCAAAGTTGCGGGAGAGGATCTGAACTCCGAGAGCGACGGTTCTACATGCGTCTAATTCAACAAACTGATTTATGAAGATTAAGCCCGTAACTCCAGGGAAGCTTATCTGATCTAGTTTAGTTCCGGTTATCATATTCTTCTAACAGTGCATAAATATAACCTCCGAAAACATGGTCACACTAATTTTTTTGGTACAGTTTTACACCCCATCTGACTGTACTCATGCTGATGTAGTACTCATGTACTATTTTGGCATTCCTTAAATCTTTAAACCATTTGTTACATCCTTTTTATTTGACAGTAGGTAATTAACATTTTCCAAGATAAGCGGTGCACACTATGGCTTGTGTGATTTACATATTTTACTTATGTATAAAAGGTAAACTATATTATTTGCTGATGTGGCAACCAATTCCCAGTAAGTTTATATTTGTTTATTAGTCAATGATTAAATCGATGTTTTTCACCAAAAATATTTTTTTCTTTTATGTATCAAAAAGGTCAATCATCTTATAAAATTAAATAATTTTCATTAACTTATTTTGTATATCTATTTATTTATTTATTTCTTATTACTGAGAGAACATTTTGAACCCATTTAAATTTTCTTAGCTTTCGTACTAGTTGGTTTTAATGTTAGGAAAAGTAAAAAAGCTAAACGGGCAGCTCTAAATGCGATATTTTTCAACTATATATATTGGAATACGTGAAATCGACGATTAAAATGTAAAGTGCACGGTGCACCCTGTATGTTCGCGTATTGCTTGCTTTCATATCTATGAATTAGTTTGGTATGTAAAGTCGTATACAAGAAATGCTGTTTGAAACCGAAACAATTTTACTGTTCCTCATGGTGTCGTCAAAAAATTTTCGCTATTGAATAATTAATTAATGAGTGAGTAAGTGGAAAATGTGTTAATTGCTAACAAAAGTGATTTTTGATGCCTTGTTTAAAAGAATTAAATAGCTGCATAGAATATACATATGTACACAAAATTTTGCTCATAAGACGATTGACAGCAAATCTGTATTTGTATATACAAGCGTAAAGTTTAACAACTAATGTTTATAGTGCTATGCTGAACAATGCAAATTACCGCAATTAAATATTGATTAATCTATCGGCTTAAGACCGCAATTTTATCCACACATGTACATACGCACATATCAAGCGTTCGCAGGGAATGTGTATGTATGTATGTTCATTTGGGTGTTACTTATAGGCATACGTATATATTCATTTGTATGTAATGACAGCTGTGGGCAATGCAATGTTTCAAAAATAATTTCGTATTGGATCTGAATTCCAGAAATTAAATAGATTTTTTTGATTGTGCATCGCTCTTTGCTTTACTTATCAAGATCAAACTGCACAGAATGCACGTTCTGTCATCGCTTGATAAAATAAATATTTTATTCACCGCTTGTGAAAATTCTCTACTAAATCGGTGTACGATATGATTGAAATTTACTTGGATTTTATTAAATGAATATTGAAAATGTAATGTTTTCAAAGTCTCTATATTATGTTTATCTTATTTATAGGTATTTATATTTCCTTCGTGTAGTGTGGTTTATGAGTTGAGTTCATGGTAGAATCACTGCAATTATGGAGTTCTTACACGATTAAGCTTAGTATTAGCAAACTACGACAGGTGAGGTCATACGATTTTGCCTGCCTCTTAATTTTATTTAACTCTACAAAATAAATATGTTCCTTTGTTTTTTAGGTTTACCGAATAAACAGGACACCTATGCCTTCTACGACTTAAGTCAAAAACATTATTTGCAATGAATGCAACGTTCCATTCATATAGAGATATACTAGCGGCACATCACCAAGACTCATCTAGTCCTGAAAACTTCGCCCCCATAGTAATTGACTATAGAAACTCAAACCACACAAAGGACATTGTCGAGACCAATTCAAATATCTCATCGTCTCAGCTATCGTTCATGGACGAATCTTCAAACGATTTCAATAATCAACAGTTAATTCACTCTAACTCTCTTATTAAAGTGTGCGGTGGTTGTGGAGGTAAGACTCTTAAAATGTTACATTTTGCATATATATTAAAAAATTCTATCTTTTTCCTTACAGATAAAATAAGTGATAGATATCTTTTATACGCTTTAGACAGATACTGGCACAATGGTTGCCTTAAATGTCACTGTTGTGGAGCTATGCTAGCAGAAGTGGGTTCCAGTTGTTTTACGAGGCGAGGCCTGATTCTTTGCAAAAAGGACTATTCCAGGTATGAATAAAAGAGTAAACTCTAAAGTCGACTAGAAGATGCTCCTTAAATTGTAACCCTTTTTGAGAACGTTTCCAACATAAGTTACGATTGGTATTACGAAATATTCCGTCAAGTTTTTTAAGCTTCGTCACCAAAGTAAAACTTAAACCGCCTTAGAAAAGTCTTGCATCATATGTTGTAAAATATTGTACGGTATTAATATTGTGATTTTAAGGGAAATATTATTAAGTAGCGTGTGTATTAGAATCGCATATCTTTCATATTTGGATTTTAACATTTATTGTTGACTTAAGTTTATTTAAATTTAAGCAAAACGTTCCAAGTGATTAGTTACAATTAATCAAAAATAATATTTTATTTTCCAGCATGTTCGGCTGCTCTGGAGTTTGTTCTGGATGCGGGGAGACAATACCCCCAAGTGAACTGGTTGCGAAAGCACTTACTGGAATAAATAATATCGATTTACAAAATCAACAAAAACAAATAATTAATTGCGTATTTCATCTAAGGTGCTTTAGTTGTGCTAAGTGTGGATCAAGTCTGCGTCCTGGTGATAGGTAACGTATAACAAAAAATTTCACCTAAAAATGGATAACTAATTCTAAATTCACTTTCTTAGGTATACTATGTTAGGGGCTAGCTTGGTGTGTGAACAAGATTGGCACAAATTACTTAAGGGGCCCGCCAATTCGAATGGAACGCTTGGACAAAGGAAAGGAAAAGTTGGAAGGCCCAGAAGATCAAAGGACTAATCAAATTTAATGTCACATAAAATATACATATATTTTAGAACATAGTTCATATTTTTAAATTACCTATAAAAATGTAATTAAATCATAATATAAAACTGAAGTTCTTTTAGGCGACTTAGATTGGGAAATAACCATGACACTATGCAAAGAAAAGAATCAAGGATCTTTAAAAATGAAATAAATTTAAAAATCGAAACAAAGAAATTTAAATGTTAAGTTGAAAGGCTTTTGAGTTATTTAAGACCAAACAAAATTTTGAAATGTGAAAAGCTGGTAGTTCTTATTCTAAGATAAAAAACCGAGGTATCTCAATTATCTTTTTTATTGTGGCTTAAAACATTTTCCCAAATATCTTCACAAGAATCAATAACTGTTTGCGGGGAGGATGATTTATGCTTCATGAAAAAGCCTTGAATTTGAGCAGGACTTGCAGAACGACCAAAGGAATTTACTCGTTTTCCAAACTCCTCTGCTTTTGTAGGATCACTATTAGCAAAGAAGTTTTTGAACATTTCTTCCAATTGATATTGAGTGCAATACCCTATGTATTCCTTTAAATCTATTCTACCAGGGCGAATTAAGGCGGGATCTAGACGGTCTATATAATTAGTAGTCATAAAGACAATCCTAGCTTCTGTGGAACCCACACCATCTAAACAGTTTAGTAGACCACTAAACGTTATCCTGTTAAGGCCGTCAAAAGCGGATTTCTGCTGAGGAGTCGCTTCTCTGGATAAGAATGCTGCATCAATATCCTCCAGAAGAATGATACTTTGTTCTGGAGCCACATTAAGAAGGTGATTCAGTCGATCATCGGTGAGTCCTCTTTCCGAAAGGTTTAAAAGGCAGACACTGTATTCCAATTCGCCAGCCAAGGCAGTAATAAAGCTGGACTTGCCACAACCCGGAGGTCCGTATAAAAGATATCCTCTTCGATAAGGAATTCCGCGCTGAGTATACCAAAGAGAACTCTTGATAAAGTCTTGGCAGTCCGCAATGATTTTTTCAGACGTTCCACGATCAAGGACCACCGATCCAGTGGGTCGTCGTCGCCTAGGATGACCAAAGGGTCTCCATTCTGCACCCATCGCTGTGTATAACACGGTTTTGCCTTCTGTGGCTTCCAGAGCCAAGTGTCTAGCCTCTTCCAAAATGTCAAAATAAATGGCTTTATTATTTCCGAATGCTGTCAGAGTCACTGTTTCCCAGGGAACACCCATGTGAAGGTCCAATGTCTGTTGTTCTCTAGTTCGTTCCACCTGAATCCAGTTACCCTTGTACTGGAACAGGTGCTTGCCAATGCTGGGTATAAAGTCATAGCTTGTTTTAATCGTTCCATTGTCGTTCTGCACAAAGTTTGTCTCCACGCTTAAGTGCTGTGTTTTTCGCGCTCCTTTAATGGTGATCCATTTTAATAGCCACTGATAGGATTTGTCTCGGCACGGCACCTCCAAGGTAATCATGCAGTGTCGGCGAAATAGGATTAATCCGCCCTGAAGGCCTTTTCGCAATATCGCGGCAGCGGCACCAACACCAAATAGCCCAAAACCAGCCCCAAAATAGGGATTCGACGAAAGACTGGACACAAGATCGGGTATAGTCATCTTGCCTGGAAGAGATTAAAATTTAATTGATGGTTGAGAATAAAGCTAGGAGTATGTGGTTTAATACCTGCTCTAGATTTATGGGAATAAAACACAAGTGCACAACCTGTTGATCCAAATCAACTATGGGATTCTATCATTCAAGACAATCTTTGAAATGTAAACAAAGATAAACTTCTTTCATATCCTGTCAGCTAACAGAAGTTAGGCATTGAGAATTCCTCAACTCCCATCTAATAAATAACATTACAAAACCCTTTTAATATAGAAAAACGGTGTTTTTGTTTCGATTTCAGAGGTAAACCACTTCTTTCATTATGTAATAAATTGAAATTTAATTGTGTAAAAAATAAAACTCAAATTGTATTTGAAAGCCTAGAATCTTTTAAGCATTACGATTGTTAAGAATATTAACTTATCATTCACAAAAGCAACCAACCATAGTTTTTAAGAAGGAAATTAATTTTATTACCGGCTGAATAATTTCTTGCCTATCGACTTATTGTTATCGTTGTAACCCTGGTTCGCGTGTTTATTTTATCGTAGCACTTTTTTACATTAAGAATCATTTCGATAAAATTGACTACGAGATATTTTTAGTATTTAACAGAATACTCTAAATTTAAAAAATACCGCCACATAAATTTGCAAATTAGAAAACTGTGAAACAAATGATCAATTTAACATTCATACAACACATGGAAGCGGCTCGGATAAATTTTGATTTAACAAGACTATGATTCCTAAATTTACCATATTGTTGATAAACCTAAATTTGCATTCAGTATTTCGGCTTAATATAAGTAACTCATTCTATATCTTTCAGTTTTAAGATCTATGCAAATGCATGAACAATTTTATTGTATCCTTCAATCTTACATTTTTAATGGTTAAGATGATTTCATATCCGTACAAAAGCTTAGGGGCGCTGCTCAGTCGCAACCAAGACTTCTGGGTCGCGAGGCCCGGCTTCTGGTACGTCTGGGGGAGATGGGCGGTCATCATCATCGTCGTCCCTGGGCGATTCAACTGGAGCACCCTTCTCCTTGGCCATCTTAAGATATTTTTCATTCTCTGCCTCTGTAAGAATTTTAAATGGCTGATTTTTACCGACGATGGCCACAGTAATGTTCTGCAAGAGACAAAATAATTAATACCCTTATGCACTTTTAACATTCAATTAGCTTACAAACTGGGCTGCATTTTCTTTGCTTTGATGTTCATCTGTGGGAAGAGTTCCAAGAATAGCCAGAATGCCATGGCAGATGATATCATCGTTTGAGCAGTCCCAAAACTTGGCCAGATTGCGCTCCAAATAGGTGCGTGCGCTTTGGGAACGTGATCCAATGGAATTGGCTTTGCAATTAAAAAAGGTCGCCGATGGCGTGACTTGATAGACATGAGGCCCCTTTTCATCGTAGCCGGCGACCAGAAGACCTACTCCATATGGACGTCGATCGTAGCGCTGAGTAGTGGTCTGCATCTTGTTTCCCAGGTTTGTGATCAGCCGGGAGACCGGATAAGTAGAGTCGTACGAGTGCTTATAATTCAGGCATTCGGAACGTAAGTACCGGCTTAAAACACGGGCGTCAGCCGTGATCCCCGCAATTGATATTCCCAGGTGATCATCAATGGGGATTATCTTGCGCTGGGTGGCCGACAGCTCGGATGTGGGCTTACAAAGAGCAACAAGCACAGCAGTTTCTTTATTTTTCAGACCTACAGTTGCGGTTCCAAGTTTCACGGCCTCCATTGCGTATTCTACCTGGTGAAGTCGTCCTTGCGGACTCCATACCGTAACATCACTATCATACTGGTTGCGAAACTGAAAGCATATGAGTGAGTTTGTTACAAAACTGCACAGTTATTTGCAATAAACACTTTACCATGACTTTTGAAATGCAAGCCGCAGAGCTCAATGATGACAAGTAGAAATGCCCGATAGTTAGTTATGGCCCGCCAGGAGAAACAAACAAACAGTATATCGATAATCGATACAGGATTTCAGTATGGTGGAATTAGTATCTATAATGAAACAACGGGATAAAATTATGAATAGCTTGAGCCTATTTCTAATATTGAAAAATGGCTCAATTCTCAATTGCTGTAAATAATGATTGAATATATTTTTTCTATATAAATTAACTAATTATTTTGATTTCTTATATAAAAAATCGTTTTATGTTTCTGTGTCCCTTATTCAAACGAGCTAACTGTTATTACATCCAGTAATTTGAATCCTTTTTTAAATCTCAATCCTTAAGTTTTCGGTTAGCCTCAGAACAAATAAATCTCCATATGGATTTATTGTTCCAATTCCACAATTCCAACTTACATTTATAATTACTGTACATATATCGACAACAATCGATTGTTTTCTCATAAATAGTCAGTGGGAGTGTTTACATTTTAATTGTATATTTCAGTTACTTTTCACTCTCCTGGTTGGTAGCTCCAGAGTTAGATTATAGGCAATGAGTATATGAGGGATTCGCGATTAGACGAACTCTTGCACTCAAATCTATACCTTTACTCAAAAGTGGTTTGCATTCAAATTTTATCGTGAAAAAAAGAGAAATTTAAGTGCGGGCTTTGAGCATAATACCGTATAATTTAATTAAGTAAAGAACTTATCTAAGGTGATTTCATACAAATGCACATACACACATACAGAATCATACCTACATGTATGTGAACGAATAAGGAGAACAAAGAAAACATTTTTACTGGTTCGGCGCAATACTAATGTTTACAATTAACGATTTCTTTGGATGTGATAGCATAGTATACTATATTGCGTGCCCTTCATGGGGCTACGGTTTGTTCTCGTATCTTGTCTACAAGATTGTTTCTTGCAGTGCGACATCCGCTTAACAATAAGCTATCCGCAAGCACAAATAAATAAAACATTGTGAATATGACCTCACAGAATTTGCTGATTTAGTATTCCCAATTTACCGATGCGGTTGCTAAATTTGCATTTGATGTCGGAAAAAAGTCAACCAAAGCAGTCTTCGCTTTCCCAAGAAGTTGTACATAAAACGAAAACATAATGGAGTTTCCCCCTCCATAGCCAGGCAACTAGTTGCATCATCACTTTCACAGTGGCTATACCGACAACCAGTTACCGACAATGAGTTTTAGCGCGAAATGTAACGTATCAATGTCAAAGGCCACAACTCACTTACTCCTCTGACATTTCATACTTTTCTAGTTACCAAGTTAACCGTTGTTAAGTTCAATATAATCAGGTGCAAATCACCATCTAGTGTTTCGATTCTTATTGTTCACTTCTTGCCAGTTGTTGACCATTTTGTATTGTATTGTGAGCTTGAAGGATATTATTATAATGTTACTTTAGCAAATTTTGACTACTATTTGATTATGCTATCAAAAACTCGTTGTCCTTTGGTCACTCCATCACCATTTTTAAAGATAATTTTTACAAAGTCTAAACTGAGCCATTCATTAAATTAATATACACTTTTAACTTTAATATTCGGTTTTTTTTTATAGCTTCAAACTTAAAGAAAATGGTTAAAATTAACTTAAAACACAGACATAAAAAGAGTATAATCCAGTTTATTAAATTACCTTATATATATATATATATGTATATATATAAAAAATATAAAACTCAAAATTTGCGTTACTTTAATATTTGGTGTTCTTTATGTAACTAAGGAATAACAACCTTTTTTAGAAAACTAATTTATTCTATTATTTAGTGTTATGGTCTATGATTTTTTATAATATCGTTTGGTATATTTTAAATAATTTTTTTTTTGTGTATTTCGGTCTAATTCCCCCCACTCTTTCTGATGCCGTTTTTTAAACTCCTATATTAACGGTAGCGTCGTATTAAGCACACTACGGTCTAGTACAATATAGAAATTCTCAATAAAATAGACATTAGGTTATTGGGGCTGAGTTTCCAAATGTTTTGGATAATTGTAAAGCAGCAGACTTCACTTTATAGGCCTTGTGCATTAAGTTAGTGTCCTGCACTTAAAAGTGCCCCGTATTCCCCTTATCTCCGCCGACTGTCTCTAATTTTTGAGATATTGATCTTGGTTTATGGTACTGTCGATTAAAACAAGATTTCCTACTCCTTTTGTGAAAATGCACCCCCAGATCCCAGTTATTCAATGTTTATTTTACTTACAGATTTGATCTGTGTGGTTATGGTACAACCTTTTAAAGAAATATATCACAAAACGACTAAAATGATTCAAGTTATCTAGAATTTTTACTTTTGAAACGGACGTCCTGTTACGATACTAAGAAGGGGATTGCAGTAATTAAAACTAAAATTCTAAGAAAACATTTTTTTTTGCTAATTCTTTACTTACAATGAAAAATAGTTTGGTTAGATATGAAGATTTCTTAGAGTTTTATATAAATCACAACATTATATTACATTCATTATATACAGTTTTTACTAACATTTTTATTTAATATTACTTTAAACTTTTATAAAAAAAAATATTTTATATACAATATATTTTATATTGGAAAAAAATCGATATTTATCTGAATATGCTCTAATGGGTAGAGGAAAAAAGCAATTATCCGTCAAAAAAACCACCCAACCATATAATAGACATAATGTTTGATTACAAAATTTCAACTCTATGAGTGTTTCAGTGTGACTTAAAATTAGTTTTCCGTTAGGGTACTGTGGCGGCATTTCTATTAAAAAGAATTTTGCTTATCAAATTGGTTCATTGGCAAAGTATACTCGAGAATTTGTATGATTCAAACGTAAATGCGAGATGCAAGTGTTTTAACAGTCTTGGATAAACTGATTCGTTGTACGCGCATATATCGGTTTCTTAAATAAATGTTTATTTAATGTGTTCGAAACGGTCTCTTCTGCCTTCTAGACACATTTACATTTAAATACGTATGCATTTATACGTAACGTTTTGGATGATATTACATTTCATTCAGCTTTTATTTGTTTGATTACACCGTTAGAAAAACCGAAAATTTAAATGGTTTTATGCGGGGTGCAATTAATATATACCTAATTCGTTTTGTTTTTTTTACAGATATGCGATTGTGATAGGATGATTTCAAGAACCCCACTCAGGAGTACTCCTTTTGGAGTACACATCATATTTGTTGCTGTACTCTTCACGTTAATTCAATCATCGAAACAGGTAAATAAGATTTGGTTTACATTTTATGGGTAAAAGCTCATTTCAATTACTAATCCTATGTTTTATTTTGAAATGCGTTATCTATTTAGCTTCCAACTATTGTTTAAATATTTGAAAATCGTACATTAATTTGAAAGTTAGGGAAAATGTGTATTTAGCAAATGCTAGTCTTACGTCATCTGTGCATATGAAAATTTGAAAACCCGTGAAAGAGTCAAAACAGATGCAAGGCAATTAAAGATATATATATTATAATAGCTTAAAGGTGGAAATGATGACGTTCTTAGTAAACAAAGCGAAATTTAAAGTTATAATATTTTGTTGGGGTCAGTAGATTAGCTACATTAAGATAGCATTTAACATTAAACTGCAAACATTTATTTAGTATTCAATTTAAAAGTTATGCACTGAAATGATCATTTCTAAAATAATTTTCTAAAGTGTTAACTAAAATGGTTTTAAATTAATATTTTTGTTTTAAAGGACTGTATTTGGTATGGCGTTTGCAATACCAATGTATATTCGCACAGTCAAAATTGTCCCTACAATGGAACAGCCAAGGAAATGCCTAAGGATGGTTTGGAGCTGCTGAAGCAGCGATGTGGTTTTCTGCTGGAAAACAGTGAAAACAAATTTTGTTGCGACAAGAAACAGGTATGAGTAATTCTCGTTTTTTCGATTGGTATATCCACTCTTAAAATGCATCTTTCCCTTGAAGGTTGAGCTTTTGAATAAAAATGTGCAGCTGGCCGGTAATATATTGGACCGATGTCCATCCTGCATGGAGAATTTGGTTCGACATATCTGTCAATTCACTTGCTCACCAAAGCAATCCGAATTCATGCACGTGGTGGCAACGGATAAGAGTAACGGTACATAAGTAGTGCAATATTATAATTATATATAATATATGTGTAGTTTTTATGGAAAAGTTCAGTTCATAGATAATATAGTTTACATATTTCATTGAAAATGTTGAAATCTAATTATCTTATCAAATCGAACGAAGTTTATCTGTTTTTAAAATGAAATTATTATACACAGACTGAAAAAATCATGTAGACATGTTGCGAAATATTGACCTACAAATTACAAATAAACAAACCTTGTTTTTTGTGAATTACAAAATAATATCTTAAAGGAAATCTAAGTAATGAATTTCGTATTTTTTATTCCAGATGTTGAATATATAACTTCCGTGGATTTGCATATATCGACAGAATATATCAACAAGACTTACAAATCATGCTCTCAGGTACTTTTGGATTGAGAATAAAAAAAATAAACTTTTAACTGAAATTTAATATTCTTTAAAGGTTTCTGTACCACAAACAGGTCAATTAGCATTTGATTTAATGTGCGGAGCTTATTCAGCATCACGCTGTAATCCTACAAAATGGTTTAATTTTATGGGAGACGCCACTAACCCATATGTTCCGTTTCAAATTACGTATATTCAGCATGAGCCTAAATCAAAAGGCAATCAATTTACGCCTTTGAACGTAACAACTGTTCCATGTAACCAAGCGGTTAGCGTAAGTTCTTTTTTTATTTATTTATTAAACTTCATATTTTAAAATATAAATTATATTTAAAGAGCACACTACCCGCGTGTTCATGTTCGGATTGCGACATGTCCTGTCCTCAGGGACCGCCAGAACCAGCTCCTCCAGAACCATTCAAAATAGCAGGACTTGACGCCTATTTCGTTATTATGGCAGCTGTGTTTATTGTTGGAGTTCTAGTATTCCTAATGGGATCGTTTCTGTTTACACAAGGTTCGTCAATGGGTGAGTTTTGCTCATTAAATTTGATTTTTTTAAATTTTATATAAATAAACTAAAAATGGGAAGAAATATTTAACAAAAATATGTATTTTAGATGACAATTTTCAAATTGACGGCAACGATGTTTCTGATGAACTGGCTTATAGAGAAAACGATTCATATTTTGAAAAATTGGGCGCACAAACAGAGAGCCTTCTGGAAGCCTTTTTCACCAAATGGGGAACGTTCTTTGCAAGCAATCCTGGGTTGACTTTAATTGCCGGCGCATCCTTGGTTGCAGTACTGGGGTATGGCATTAGTTGTGCAGAAATAACGACGGATCCAGTTAAACTTTGGGCGTCACCAAATTCGAAGTCCAGACTTGAAAGAGAGTTTTTTGATACCAAGTTTTCCCCATTCTATCGTCTTGAACAGGTAAATATTTAGTATGCAGAACAAAATTAAACTATTAAATCAATTTAAATCCGTATTTTAGATAATAATCAAATCTGTGAACTTGCCTCAAATCGTCCACAATACTTCAAACGGCCCTTATACGTTTGGTCCGGTGTTTGATAAAGGCTTTCTATCTAAAGTATTAGATCTCCAAGAAAGCATAAAGGAAATCAACGCAAATGGCACACAGTTAAAGGATATATGCTTTGCCCCCTTATCAGATGATGGAAATGCAGTTGATGTGTCCAATTGCGTTGTTCAGTCGATTTGGGGATACTTTGGCGATGACCGTGAAAGATTGGATGAGACCGATGAGGATAATGGATTTAACGTGAGTATATGAAAATGTTCAATAGAAGAATAGAATCAGGTTTAATCTTAAATTTGTAGGTTACCTATTTGGATGGCTTGTACAGTTGCATAAGTAATCCGTATTTGTGCCTAGCTCCCTATGGTGGTCCCGTAGATCCAGCCATTGCACTTGGTGGCTTCCTACCGCCTGGAGAACAACTAACAGGCAGTACAAAATACGAGTTAGCCAATGCATTGATTTTGACATTTTTGGTCAAAAATCACCAAAACAAAAAAGATCTAGAACATGCCTTAACGTGGGAGAAAAAGTTCATTGAGTTTATGACAAACTATACTAAAAACAATATGTCAGAGCATATGGACATAGCTTTCACATCAGAAAGATCGATAGAGGATGAGCTTAACAGAGAGTCTAAGTCAGATATTTTAACGATTTTAGTATCCTACTTAATTATGTTCATGTACATTGCGATATCGCTGGGACATGTTAAGGAATTTAAAAGAGTATTTATTGACAGTAAAATTACCCTTGGTATAGGTGGTGTCATTATCGTATTAGCCTCAGTAGTTTCCTCCGTTGGCATTTTTGGTTATATCGGTGTGCCGGCCACCCTGATTATTGTGGAAGTAATACCCTTTTTAGTATTAGCTGTTGGAGTGGATAACATTTTTATCCTTGTCCAAACTCACCAGCGTGATCAACGCAAACCCAATGAAACCCTTGAACAGCAAATTGGTCGAGTTCTAGGACGCGTTGGACCAAGTATGCTGCTAACTTCCTTGAGTGAAAGCTTTTGCTTCTTTCTTGGTGGCCTTTCTGATATGCCGGCCGTTAGGGCTTTTGCCTTATATGCGGGCGTAGCCCTAATCATTGACTTTTTATTGCAAATTACCTGTTTTGTAAGTTTATTTACTTTAGATACTAAACGCAAGGAGGAAAATCGAATGGACATTTGTTGTTTCATTAGGGGAAAGAAACCTGATGGTATAACTAACAATGAGGGCCTATTGTACAAATTTTTCAGTAGTGTTTACGTCCCATTCTTAATGAAGAAAATAGTTCGAGCTAGCGTAATGGTAATCTTTTTCGCATGGCTATGCTTTAGTATTGCCATTGCCCCAAAGATTGACATTGGGCTTGACCAAGAACTGGCGATGCCCCAAGATAGTTTCGTTTTACATTATTTCCAATCGCTGAACGAGAATCTTAACATTGGTCCGCCAGTGTATTTTGTCCTTAAAGGTGATTTAGTTTATACAAAAAGTTCAGATCAGAATTTAGTTTGTGCAGGTCAATATTGCAACGACGATAGCGTTTTAACGCAGATTTACTTAGCTAGTAGACACTCAAACCAAACATATATCGCTCGCCCTGCATCTAGTTGGATCGATGATTACTTTGATTGGGCGGCAGCAGCGTCTTCTTGCTGCAAATACAAAAAAGACACGGGAGACTTTTGTCCGCATACAGGTGAGTTTCAGAAAATCATTTAAATTTGTATTTATTTTATTCCAACAAATATTTAATAATCTTTTTCAGATACTTCCTGTTTAAGGTGTAATATAACAAAGAATTCCCTTTTACGTCCAGACGAAAAAGAGTTTGAGAAGTACTTTCCATTTTTCCTTAAGGATAACCCGGATGACTCGTGTGCCAAGGCCGGTCATGCCGCTTATGGTGGAGCTGTTCGGTATTCCAACAGCCATGAAAGACTGAACATTGAGGCGTCATATTTTATGGCCTACCACACGATATTAAAAACCTCGGCAGATTATTTTCTGGCACTTGAATCGGCCAGAAAGATATCGTCAAATATTACACAAATGTTACAAGGCAGACTTATGTCTAATGGAGTTCCTATGGAATCGGCCTTAACGGTCGAAGTTTTCCCCTATTCAGTATTTTATGTGTTTTATGAACAATATTTAACCATGTGGTCAGATACGTTACAGAGCATGGGTATATCAGTTCTTTCCATATTTGTTGTTACATTTGTTTTGATGGGCTTTGACGTTCATTCCGCATTAGTTGTTGTAATTACAATAACAATGATTGTTGTTAATTTAGGAGGCCTAATGTATTATTGGAACATTTCTTTAAATGCCGTTTCGTTAGTAAATCTTGTTATGGCTGTCGGAATATCTGTAGAATTTTGTTCGCACTTGGTGCACAGCTTCGCTAGTTCGAAATCAATCAGTCAAATTGATCGAGCAGCTGATAGTTTATCTAAAATGGGTAGTTCTATTTTCTCCGGGATTACTTTAACAAAATTTGCAGGCATTTTAGTTTTAGCTTTTGCGAAAAGTCAAATATTCCAAGTATTTTATTTCCGAATGTATTTGGGGATTGTAGTAATTGGGGCGGCTCACGGCCTAATCTTTCTCCCGGTTCTATTAAGTTATATTGGTGAGTAAATAAAAATAATAATAACCGATTTTCTAAATATTTATGTTTTTGTTTTTTATTTTCACAGGGGCTCCTGTAAGTAATGCTAGATTAAGATATCATAGCCAGGTAGCTGCTGAGCAGGAGACAGCACTTGCGGGAATTCTATAAATCAATCCCATAGTTGTATTGTAATAATCTCAAAAATATTTTAAATGTTAAATGGTTAAGGTAATAAATAATAACAAATGAATTTCTGGATTTATATATTTTCTGTTAAATTTATTGTTATTTTTTGCAACTAAAATAAAAATGACTCGAATACCAAAGAAAATGTAATCGTTTGATCTTCTCCAGTAACATTTTTAAGGCAAACACAATTACAAAGAATCACGTTTTCAATAGTTTTTTACTTTATTTTATCTTGTTGGTATGTTTTTAACAAACGGTACAATCTCCGTTATCCATTCAATGGATATTTCCGTGACTTGCCGAAGAAAAGTTTGCTCCGTTTGAACAATTTCAGTGAAGAGTATGTAGCTCGGCTTATACTTTCCATGCAGAACACTTGACGGATGAATTTTGGCCCTGACGTTGCCGGAAACGGTTATATAGAAACCATCTCGTTGCAATACGGCAATATTTTCAAAAAATCCATTTAAAATGCATTTCTTTAACATCTCGATGTCATCAGAACTATTTAGCGCCAAATAAAGTCGTTCGCTTATTTCTGTCAGTTGTCTGCGAACATTTCGGGCATATGTTAAGCTACGCAAATTTAGGTAGTTGTCATGGCACCACATCTGAAATATGATTCATAATCCCAATATAAATATGCATGTATTATTATTGATTACAAAGTATTTACCTTTGGCTTTTCGGTTTTAGAAAACGCATTAAATACATTCAGAAGCGTTAAATGGTCTCCATGTTTAGATTGAAACTTTGCATGCGCCAAGGCAGCCATTTCATTTTTATCGCTATTTGAGACGAATACATGATCACTTGAAAGGACAGACACGAGGCTGAGAATTTCCTCCATGCACCCAAACGATGAGGCAGTCAGCAGTAGCTTTGAATATTTCGGATCCAAGGGATACTGCACCATTTGTCGTCCCAAAGGTGTTATATGTGAAACAGATCCAATTTTAATAGCACCCAAGGCATCTAGACTTTTATAAGCACTCCTTAGTCCTTCTTCGAGTGGAGGGTCTAAAAAGTCAAAATTATTGCAATCGATGTCCAAGGCAAGAAGCTGCAGCACCATTGAAGTTGGATTCGTTCTCAGGATTTCTGGCTGAGTAGCATCGGCAAATGATTCCATTTCCCTTTTTGAATACGCCCTGTAGCAAGTTCCATCTGCATCTCGGCCTGCTCGCCCTGCTCTCTGCCAAGCTTGCGCCCGAGATATTCTTACTGACTTCAATACATCCAGTCCATCGGCAGTGTTGAAAGATTTCTCTTTCACAAATCCACAGTCAATAACACATCGGATTCCGGGTATGGTAATTGAAGTTTCTGCAATGTTTGTGGCCAATATTACTTTCCGGACGTTGGCAGGTGTTGGCACAAAACACTCCAACTGTTTGCCCTGAGATAATTGAGCGTACAAGGTGAATACGCGGAGATCCGTTGATCCAGTCATATCAATCTAAAATAAATAGAACTTATTATTTTTGACGTGCAATTTGATTGATTTGTACAGATAAACATACCTTTGCAAGCTGGCGAATTTGTTGGGCCAATGATTCAATCTCCTCTTGCCCTGTTAGGAATATCAAAACGTCATGGCTGTAATATTAAATACTTATATTTAGTATGGAACATTAGAAGACATATAACCGAAAAGAACAAGGAACATACGACACAATAAGCTACGTTAAAAGTAGACACAAAAATCACATTCCATTACTTTTATAAACATGGTGTCATATCCTTAAGATATGGATAAAATATCTAAATGTTCAAATGTTGATACTTAAACTGCTACCTACTTTCTAGGGGTGGTGCGATGAATATGAAACAGCGTAACGAGCACGGTGTGCACATAATCCTCGTGTTCCTCCTTAGTGTGCATCACTCTGACAGGATATGTCCTTCCCTCCAGATACATTCCTTTGCAATTAAAGTACTTTCCAAAGTGATCAATATCCATCGTGGCAGAGGTAACAACTACCTTTAGATTGCTCAGCTTTTGCTTCCTTCTCTCCTTCTGGGCTTCTTTGACTATACCGAATAATAGATCTGCATTTACAGTTCTTTCGTGAGCTTCATCCAGAATGATCACCGAATATTTAAGCAAAAGCCGATCCTTAATGGACTCCCGCAGCAAAACGCCGTCAGTAAGAAATCGGATCTTCGTGGCCTTTGAGGTAGCATCTTCGAATCGCACAGTATAGCCTACTGTATCGCCAATATTTCCGTTTAATTCCTGGGCTACTCGGCGGGCCACTGTTATAGCTGCCACTCTACGAGGTTGAGTGATCCCGATCATTCCGTTTTTGGCGTATCCAGCTTGCAAAAGAAATTGTGGTATTTGGGTAGTCTTTCCGGAACCAGTCTCGCTCATGATCAGCACGGTATCGTTCAATTCCAGCTCCCTAAGGATTCTCTGACGACAGTTAAATACGGGCAATGATCTCTGGTGCTGTTCTATTGAGGTTCTTTTACTGGTCAGTAAAACTGGTGCTATTGGTTGCTTTGTATGGGTCAGATGAGATTTTTTCTCCGTTACGGGACTATTTGCCATGGAATCATATTTCCGTTTGATCGAGAATTTCACGGGTGATGGACCTCCCACATCACCCTTGCTGGTGGCTAGGTACTTGGAGTCCATAACTTACACTCGGAGCACGTTTCTTGATAAAAAAAAATGTAAACAAAAATATTAGAGATAAATCAAGAATCTAAACAAGCTCATTTCAAAGTCACAATGTATAATTTCTTATTCGGATATTAAATTACCTGTACCACCTATTGAAAAAAAACAAAATTAGTTCAATGCCCTGAAATATTTTAGTAAGATATCAAGCGATATGAGGAAAGCAACAGGCGTGCGGATAAGGGTAGGGTAGTCATAGGTCTCCAAAAAATGTAACAGTAAAATAATCCGACAATTGTGGTATATACCAAATTTTATTTGTGATTAAATTATTTATATATAATAAATAAAAGCTTTCTCAGCTGATTCAGAAATATCAAGTAAATAAATTTGTTAGAAAATGTTAAATAATTTATTTTTTATGCTTATTCAACTTTATTTTTATAGTTCTACATATTTAGCGGGAAATGTTAGAGCCCGCGAAATAAACAATTCTATCACTACAGATATGTTAAGGTTCTTATGATTCGGTCACGCTACTTTCAATAAAAGGTAAACACAATAATAAGAGGTGTTCGAGAAAAATATTTTTTTAATGATGAAGTCAGAAAAACTGAAAAGGAACTTCTGGGTTTCTGCTGAAATAGAATGCATGCTTGACTTGATAAAGGAAGTAAATAAATGCCAGGGAGCCCTGTCCACAAGCACCACACAATATACATTCGTTCAAATCGCCAATCAGATGAAAAAGCGAGGCTTTCCAAATAAGTCACCAACTCAAATCCGAAGAAAATGGTTTCAAATGAAGAGTGCCTATTTATGCTATAAGAAGGGGAACGTTGATCGGCTTTTCCTGATACCTGAAAAATTCCGCAATGTCATTGCCCAGTTTGTAGAAAGCGGTGAAAAAATTGGCCGTTCGAATCTGTCAACAATTTCAACAGGAAATCCTCCGTTAGTTCAACAAAGTCAGGAAGGTAAGAAAACATATTATTTTGACTTTTTGCACACTCTTAAATTATTTAAATGATATTGTCAATTCCTTGCAGAGGAAGATACTTCAGTCATGGATAAATTTCTGAATCAAATCCGTAGAAACAATAAAATGATAAATTCCGAATATATAAAGATGGAGGAATCGCTACAGCAGTTCGAACAAAAATGCCAATTTATTCGCGACCGAAATCTAATAAGGATTATTGATAGCTATTAGTTAATCATGTTTTTAATTATGTACAAACAATAATATCCATCGTTCTATATAAAATATAATTCTTGATAGTTAAGAGTAAAAATAAAATACAATTTAATATGATATCCTTGTTTTATTTTTTTTCGTCCCAACGGTTTGAAGGTACATATATGTATTAAACTTGTAAATTTATGCCCAACTTTACATGTTAAAAAATGAATTTATTTTAACTTTTAACTTAGTTTTTATTAATAAAAAAGAAAATATTACACATATCGTCAAACGTGGCACTACCATACTAAAATCACTTACATATCTCCTATTATTACAACAGGTTTCTAATGAAGTTTTTTTTACTTATATACACATATATGTATACCTTAGTATAAGTAATTATGTATATGTACCTTAGTTCTGGATGCCTTTACTTGCAACATTAATTATTCTTTACACGTCCACGTCTCAGTAATCAAAATGGCATTAAAATAAATGTTGTTTATTAAAAATATATATATATTGCATAAAATGTTTGAACCTAGTTTAAAGTGTTCACAAATATCCATTTGAATTTTACAATTAAAGGTTTTGAATATTAAACGGAAAAGCAAAAATAAGCTCTTATTAGCTTTGAGAAACCGGCTCAAATGTAGAAACTCAACAATTACTTAATAGCGCTGCCAATATACAAATAGAAATCATTGGTATGTACTCTACATTTCTGTTCACAAACTAGTTTATTTTTTTCTTTTAAGTGTACGTGCGGATAAAATTGTTAACACTTAAACTTGGCAGAGTGTGTGTAATTGTATATAATTATAAATAATCCAATCTTAAAAGATAATTTCTAGTTTTATATTTTATTAATTATATAAAACCAGCTTCATCTTTTGTGCAGGCATGTCTATGTTAAAATTGGTTAGCACGATGATGTGAATTAATATATTACGTTATTGTTATTATGCTGTCTTCCTTTGTTGTTATTATATCAGCTACAATAGAGTGAGAACAATAATCGGTACGCATTTAGAGTCTCAGCTATACTCTTCTACTCAACAAAACCTTCTTCTCTTTTTTCTCTCTTGAATTACCCATTGTTCAACGAACCCGTGAGCCTGGCTTACACAGCGTTGCCAGACTTTTCTTTCGTATCAGTTTTTAAATTCAAAAATAACTTATTTTGTTAGTCTTTACCTTTTATTTAACAATAGAAAAAACTATATATGTACACTATAAGCATACATTTTAATCCACTAACGTTTTTTGGGTCAATCGGAATTAAAACATATTGCATGTAATATACATAAGTAAAAAATATATTATCCTATATATTATTATGAAATAAAATCAGTTAAATTTAGCAAACTTAAAAATAATTTGAAGGGATTTAAAAAAAAATAAATTAATTAAAAAAAAAGAAATTATATATTATGGGTTAAAAATAAATTTAATTTATTTTCAATAAATTTAATTTATTTTTCTCTAAAAACGAAAAAATCTATTTCTAATAAATATTCATTATAAATTATGTTATATATTTTTTAGACAACGATGTTATCTATTGTTTGGATTATTTTATTGAGTAGCACTTTGTGTAAATGCCTCGACAATGGCCTCGCTAAAACTCCCCCCATGGGATGGCTTTCGTGGGAAAGATTTCGGTGTAATACTGACTGCATTAACGATCCAGACAATTGCATAAGGTAAAATTATAGCTTACCATATTTAAAAATAACTTACATTTTATCTGATTACTTTATTGTTTATTTACTTTAATATACGATTCTCTTAAAAATTTTTTGAATATAGTGAACAGCTATTTCAAACTATGACTGACATCGTTGTAGCTGATGGTTATGCATCTGTGGGCTACGAGTATATTAACATTGACGATTGCTGGTTAGAAAAGCACCGCAGTCATGATGGCAAATTGGTAGCTGACCGAAAACGTTTTCCCAATGGAATCAAAGCTTTATCCGATTATGTGAGTATAGGCAGAATTTAAATTTAAAAGAAGGTTATACCCATATAATATTTAAGTTAAACTTACATAAAAATGAGCTGGCTTGACACTGGCAACGACTTACAACATATATTTTTTCAATAAGATTCATTCGAGGGGCCTCAAATTTGGAATATATGAGGACTACGGAAACTACACTTGTGCGGGATATCCTGGCATTATAGGCTATGAAGAGAAGGATGCACTTCAATTTGCGGAATGGAATGTGGATTACGTAAAATTAGATGGTTGCTATGCACTACCTTACGACATGGATCTGGGTTATTCGACATTCGGAAGGCTTTTAAACAGTACAGGAAAATCAATGGTATATTCATGTAGTTGGCCTGTGTATCAGATTTATGCTGGAATACAGCCGAACTATTCGGCAATTCAAACGCATTGTAACCTTTGGAGAAATTATGATGACATTCAGGACTCCTGGGCGTCCGTTGAAAATATTATTGATTATTATGGTAATAACCAAGATTTAATAGCTCCGAATGCGGGACCTGGGCATTGGAACGATCCAGATATGGTAAGAAGCAGATTTTTAAGATAAATTTGACTGAGTTTGAACTTATTCCTATTAAATTTTAGTTGATTATTGGAAACTTTGGACTAAGTTATGAGCAAGCAAAAACTCAATTCGCAATTTGGTCTATTTTGGCTGCTCCACTTTTAATGTCAGTGGATTTAAGAACGATTCGTCCGCAATTTAAACACATTTTACAAAATAGAAAAATAATTGCAGTGGATCAAGATCCACTTGGAATACAGGGAAGACGAATTTATAAACATAAAGGAATAGAGATTTGGTCAAGACCTATTGGGCCACTTTACCAAAACTTTTACTCATACGCCATTGCTTTTGTAAATAGAAGAACGGATGGAACCCCATCTGATATATCAGTTACTTTAAAAGAGCTGGGACTTATTAATTTCTCTGGGTACAGAGTGGAGGTATGTTTTCAATATTTCGTTTAGCTACCATAAATAGAACCTCTATCTTGCTGGTTTTAATATTCAAATTCTTTTTAGGATCTTTACGAGAATGTTGACTATGGGGTACTTTATCCCAACACTAAAATTAAAGTTAAAGTTAAATCCCTCTGGAGTGGTTATGCTTAAAGGAGAAGTTCAGTACCCACCTGATTTGTAATACAGATTGTTATTGAAGTCACCCATAATAAACAATGATTATTACTAATTTGTCAATAAATCAAAATGCACCACTATCTGGGTAGCAATTCACTATTTAAATCTTATTTTTATCTTTAAAAAGTTCTTTAATATACAAAAGTCGACATTACTACGAATTAAATGATGAAATAAATGGAAAAGTACATTAAAGATCAATAAATGCAAAGAAATGCCAGTTTAATCTCAAGATGGCAATTTTATTATTTGGAAATTTTTTATAAATAAATCTTTTTCAGGTTATCTTTTGTTTAAAAATTCAAATTTGGAAAAGTCCCGTTTAAGTATTTTTTGGTTCGGAAGTATTTATGGCATGGTATTTCACGCAAAAAACAGCTCTTTATATCGAATAACGATATGTCCCGATAGTTTCAGCAAATAACGTCTCCTGATATCGATGAAAAGTAAAGAATACAATTGAAGCTGAATTAATTAAATTGAGAGTAATTGCTGCGCCAAAGCAGAGGAGAGGCTCGGCTATGCAATAGTGTTCCGCTGGCCGGGCGCCAACGCACAGCAGCAGGATGCACTTTTCGATACCGGACACCCAGGAGCTGGGCTCCTCGCCCACCTACACCGCGTACAACATACACATCAACGGCACACACCACTGCGTCCTGCGCTACAAGCAGCTGCACTCCTTGAACGAGCAGCTGCGCAGGCATTGCGTGGGCGTTCCTTTGCCGCCTTTCCCCCCTAAACGCCTCCTACCGCTCACCAATGGTCAATTGGAGGCCCGTCGAAGTTCCCTGGAACAGTACCTTCAAGCGATGGGCCAGGACAACCGACTCGCTCGATCTGCCCACCTGCAGCAATTCTTGCAACGGGCCCAACTAGACACGGCCCTCGCCGAAGGCCACGTGGTAAGCGATTGCGAGGAACAGCAGTTGGAGGTACAAGTCTACACGAAAACTGCGGGAGAACGGATCCTGGTCAGTTGTTCAGTGCAACAGAACGCTAGTGCGCTTTTAAAGAACGTTTGCCGGGATCTACATCTTCCCGAAGAGCTGGTGCGATTCTTCTGTTTGTTCCTAGTACGTCGACAGAGGAAATCCGATGAATTGCATTTGGTGCGACGCCTTATGGACTTCGAGTCACCGTATATAACGCGTTTGCATGTACAACCCTGCGAATTATTGCTCCGTACCTGCTACTGGGACTCGAGTAGAGATGCCAAACTGACTGGGAGCAAGGTTGCCCTTAACCTGCTGTACAACCAGACCGTGGCGGATGTGAGCCGTGATTGGGTGGTCATTTGCTCACCCAGCGAAGGTCGCCAACTGAGCAGCTTGCAGCTACAAGGAAGATCGCGTGAGTATATGGACTTGGTCCGTCAGTTACCTTCCTACGGTTGCCTGCAATTCGATGAGGCTCAGGTCGATTATCCGGAGCCAAACACTATGGCTGTGGTCAGCATTGGCAACAAGGAATTGGGCCTGCGCACAGCACGGGGTGCAAAGATCTACGAGACCAAGTTCCGGGTGACACGGATGCGATCGTGGCGCGTAAGCGTCACCCATAACACACTGGAATCGCGTCTGCAGGCCTCCCACCATCAGCTAGCATTCGAGTATCTAATAAGCAAGCAGACTCTGCGTTGGATATCTATCAATAGTGAGCAGGCCATGCTTATGTCCGTTTGCCTGCAAGCTATGGTGGACGAGTTGTTACAGAACAACAGCGGCGGTGGGAAGGCGGATCCAAGCAGTGACGACGAGCATGAGCAAACGGCAGTTACCTCGTCCACCTCAACGCCCAGTTCAACGTGTTCCACTTCGACGTGGGCATCTTCATCGTGTTCTACGTCAACAGCGCCCATTACGCCACCAGTAAGGTTTCTTTCTGAGGAAACAACGCCTAAATCCAAGCCTAGGCTGATAACCTCCCGCACTTTTGGAGCTGTGTTCTTCCGCAATGACGTTGCTGACAATGGAGGAAGGGTGGCGAACGAAGCGTTTGAGGGTATTGGAGATGACGATCTTTGAGTAATGCTCGCCATGAGTTGCCGAAATAAAAAAGCCGCCAAACTAGATTAAATCCTAATGAAAGTGTAGGTGCAAGCCAGACAAACTCATATGACTGGGGTTGCAGATTTTATATGTGTGTAATACAAAGTCTTTATTATCTCTGCTACTTGCAAATGTTAACTAAGGTTTGCAAAATATGTTTTATTGGACGAAAGCGCAAGAATGTGGTGTAAGAAAATGAATGCTCAAGATGAATGGCATGATTTACCATCATTATTTATATCTACATGTTGAATAATTGTAAATGAACTGTAAATGGAAATTTGACAACATGTATCTCCTTTAACATTTCTTATTTTGTAATATATGTACGTGAAACCTTCTTTATATTAGTGATAGATGAAAAATATGTTATGCATTTAACGTAAATTAATGTACTGACAACTATGGCAAATATAATAAATCCAACTGGGATTTTTCGTAGAAAAAATTAAAAATGTACATTCCCTTATCTGTTGACTCACTTCCAAATAAATGACAAGTGTTTTAATCGAAAGTTTTTTTTATTGGAGAATAAATAATTTTTTCTTCAAAAATTAAATTAAATCTTTTTATATATTTAACTTTAATAAAGTGATCATTTTTTATTGAAAATATTACTAATTATTAAGAATAAACGTTTTCTGAAATATATTAATTACATCAAAATTAAAATAGAAGACTTGCATAATGTAATGGGTTCTATTTGAAATTAAAATTCAAGAAACTAGACTACAAATTCTGTCCAATAAGTGCCCGGAGTTTTGAAATTTTTTTTAAATCATCCTCTTTAGAATAGGCCCCTTCTGTAGCAATACACTTCTTCCAACGAACAATCCAGTCATCGTTGTTCAGCTCTCGTTGTGAATTAGTTTTGATGCTCTCTAAAGATGTTCCACGAAGTGGTAATTTGACTTTTGGAAACCGAAAAAAGTCAAACGGGCCCATATCTGAAGAGTACGCTTTTGTGAGTTAGTGCACAATCATGCTGCAAAGCCCAACTGTTGTTCCGGCAGAAATATGATCTTTATTGACGGTTTTGCCCTCCGGTAAGAATTCCGAATGAACAACACCACAAATATCGAAGAAAATTTACGCGTTCAATCAGTCTTCAGACACTTTACTGCACGATTCACTTTATGAATATTTTTTAAAAAATTTTGAATTTAAATTTTTTTAATTATTTGATTCATTATTCATTGAAAATAGAAAGGGTATTCCTGCCGATAAGCAAAATATATTTTGTATATGTTTTGGTATTTTAAGAGAAGACGTGGCGGTCACACTGTAGCTTAAGAGAAAAGATTTTTAGGGAATATAAATAATTTTTCAACGATAAACAATACGAATAGGGGAGTTTCATTTCACACAAGGAGCCGGAAATATGGATCGCAATAATGGGTAATGTAACGGGATCGCAACGCTAGTTTGATACCTTCGGTACGGGACTTTCGCTCGAACTGAAACTGTGTGCGTCAAACGACAAAAGACTGTGTTTACACACACACACACACACACACTCGACTATATACATGGCACGTCTGTATGTCTGATCTAACTCTTAATACCTGTTACTATTATTTTACTTATAATCAAAAGGGCATTTTCAACTTTGTTAAGTTATACATAAATTATGAATAGCCATGTTTGTTTGTTCATTTGAAGGTTTAGATCTTTGAAAACCAAGTTATTGTACATATGTAGAGTAATCCTACAGAATCTTCTGATTCGCAGAATTTAAAATCTCTTAAGAATGCGTTCAAAGTATACTTATAGAAATGAACAATATCAATATTTCCTGACCAAAAATATTTTAAAGACATTTAAAATTTTTTTTCATCGTATCCTACTAAATTATCCCATTTATTTCCTTATAGACGCTACTCCTACAATATAAGACGCCAGAATAGCGGACACAATGCGCCGCACAGCTATCATCATCATCACAACAACAATTCGTCGGCGGGGGCGTCAAATTCTCCGGGATACAACAACCACAGTGCCGGAAACTCCCCGTCCGTCGGTGCGCACAACAACAGCAACGCGCTATATGCGACCACCGCCGGGCAACAACAACCACAGAGCCCGCCGATTTCGCAGCACGACGAGCTGATCCGATATATCCGGGAGGCTTGGAATAAGGTAGGGCCCGATATTCCGAACCAGAAGACCTCCCACTTGTCACCTTGCTTTGCTTTCTGCACGTGAAAAACAGGGACCGTAACCAATGTGTTATTCGACATTACTATTAGAAGTTTCCTACTTTCAATATAGAGCTAACTAAATAGGACAGAGTATAGAATAGAAACATGTGTTTCCATAAGATTTCTGGCAAATCGAGCATTCCTTACTCATTGTTCTGGTAACAAATATTTATACTTGAGTTTTGAAATCATCGAAGAAGATGCGAAACTATTGAAAAATTACGTGGAGTACGTTTCAGTGGTTATACTATATAGTGGTTATCAGCGGCTATATATTCACAAAAAGGAAAAAGAGTTCAATACAGTCGACGCATTAAAAAAAAAATAAAACCATTGATTATTGCGGTCCCTGGCTAAAATTTTCGGTCGCTCTTCATGCTTTGCTTTCTCTACAGGTCTATGAACAGAGCCCAGCTGTGTTCTACTGCAATGAATCTGATAATCAGCTGAAAAACTTCAAGCCATTCGATTTGGAGGAGTACTGGGGCCAGCGCCTGGTGCAGAACATTCATGTGACCACCACACAAGCTGGCGGACACCAGTAGAACGGGAATCTTACAGCGGACAACGGCATGTGCTTCATGTGGTAACAATTAATTAAATTATACATTTAAAAGGGTGCCAGTTCCCCCGATTATTGACTAATTTCCACGCAATTGGAATTTACATTTGTTTGTTTGCGACCTGCTTCGAACTATTATGTGTGTAAAAATTTATTAAAATCCACTGCCAGCTGAAAGGCAAAATCACGTAATCAATAAATCAACGATTGGCTAAAGATTTTATCCCATGGCACCCTGAATCTAGCATGCTATCTGCATTTAAGTGTTGTGTATTAAGCGCGCTTAAAATCTGACCAGAACAACAATAAACAATCTATAGCGTAGACGAATTAAAAACAATCTTGTCTATTGATTTTGGAAATAGGTGGTTTGAAAACTGGTAATGCGACTTTCAAATATTTTCTACAATTTAAATTTAGTCAATTGAAAATTGATAGACATCCAGAAGTTTGGGTCACTAGTAAAAAATAATAACACAATATATATGTGTAGATAGTTACAATTTAAAATCCTTTTCGCTAAAAATATAGTTCTACTTCGTTTTAAAAGTAACATTATTGAGGCAAAACTCAAATACAAAATGTCTTCTTTTAACTAAAAATTACTTTTTGTTTGGAAAAATCGTAATAAAAATAAATTGTTTTTACATCGTAAACAAAATAGCATTAAAGTTGAATATCCGTTTTATAAGTGAACCAGTTTAGAAGTATACAGGTTTAAGATAAAAAAATAACCGACTTTTTAATCCTGTAGTAAAAAAATGCAATCTATTTCAATATAACTAGGTAACAAGTTCTTCACGTCACAGCTACCATTAATTCATTAAAGCAAAAACACTGCGTTATTGTACTGAACGGCATTTCGTGGGTTTATAAAAGTAACTTTTATTTTCTCTCACTGCTTACATCGTACCGCGGCTGTTGTTGTTGTTATTTCAGCACATGGATCAAATGAATCCCTTAGACCATCTTGCGCAGCAGACGGTTGATCTGGTCCTCACGGTTGCCGAAGTCTCCGCCGTTGACATAGTGGTTAGCCTTCTTGCGCCATCCACCGGTGGGAGTGTTTAGCTTGAAGGGCCACAGGAAGTTGGAGGCGTACTTGAAGTTGGGACCAACGGTGAAGATCTCGTGAACGAGGTCCTCGACGCACTGAATTTTGTGGGCCTGGCGCAGCTTCCTCTCGATGACGAAGTTGTCGGTGATTGGCACGCGCTGACGGCTGTGCTTCACGAATCCACGCTTGTAGATCAACTCCCGCACAGACTTGAGGTTCGGGTAACCCCAGGTGATGTAGGGCTCGGCGATGCGGAGCATGTTGATGGTGGCCTTGTTCAGCTTGATGAACACACCGTTGTTGATCTGCCTCAAACGGAACAGCTGGAGGACCTTACGGACCTTGGGAGCCACCTTGTTGATACTGTAGAGTTGATTGGTTTTATAGCGATTGGAGTAGATGATAGGAGCATTCCTTTACTCACCCACGGATACGGACCACAAAGGCCAACTTCGCCTCAGCGGGGACGTAGAACTGGTTGCGCTTCTTGGCCAAGCGACGCAGCTTGATCTCACGCTGCTCCGCCTTGATGTACTCATTCTGGTACTTCTCGGCGCGAACCAAATTCTCCTTCTTGCGCAGGGCAATAACGGCAGCCTTCTTCAGGCGACGTTTGGAGTCGGCCACCCGCTTGGTGATTTGTTTCTTGCTGAACTTCAGCTTCGATTCCGGCACAGCTGGCAGCTTTTTCGCTGCTGGTTTCTTGGCGACCGGAGCAGGCATCTGTAGGTGGCAGAAAACAGTTCCATTTATGCGGTTTCTTCTCAAGTTCAAGTGTATTTTATTGAAAATATCGCACTAACCTTTTACTAGTCACTGCACACGCTGGTAAAAGAAAGGGAAAGAAAGACCGGAAACGTGCTATACACCAAGTATGAGCTGTCAAATCGGTGCAACCCTGCTTTTAGTGTTGAAAAGCACGACCAATCGTGACACGAAGGTTATCGGCAAAATGGTCACACTGGTAGGACTTTGTGTTATCAATAATTTATCATCTTTATCGAATCAACAGTTTGGGCGAAATTCCATGAATTAGGGAAGGTAATTTATTTATTCTGGTTTGCTAATAACAAATTAAGTAGTTCGAGTCAGGTTGCAGAGTGGTTAATTCTGGCCTAGAAGTACTAAGGCACTGCATCAGCTGATAACATTGAAAACATACTCATAATTAGTGCGCACTGCTCTACAATTACAATTAATTAAAATGTCCCCAGATACCGCTTAATGTATTCAAAATATGGACATTTGCAATTTGAAATGTACAATATTAATATAACTGTTTAATATAATGTTAGTCTTAATTTTTTTAATACTCCTTGTTTGGTTATATATATAGATTATTTATCCACATAAACATTGATACAAGAGCCGGCCGGATATCCAATTGACCATTACTTACTCAGTCTTACTGAAAACTACAATTTGCTGAAATGAACTCCACACAAAGCCCAGTTTATCACACCTCCGTTGAGCAAAAAAGGCATGCTCAGGATGTTGCCAGAAGACAACGAATGGGCAAGCAAATGCCAAAACTCCGTGAAGTGCTGCGAGAGGTAAAAACAAAGATTTCCCTTTAAAAATATTTACAATAATACATTGAAACTGTTACAGAAGTACCGCAAGCGCATTATAGAAACCCGCAACAAAAGCTCGGACGCCAATCGCGAAATACAACTGGTAGGTATAGTGTGATCTCCAATTTTACTCCTGCAAGTAATCATTAACTTTTGGCTTTTCCCAGTCGGAACTCAGAGACATTCTTCGCCTGGAGCTCAGTGAATTGGAACAGGATGTAGAGCTGGAGCAACTTATCCTAGACGAACTACTCTCTGACGTAAATGAGTGGTATGCCCTGGATGAAAAGAACCTGGAAACCCTATATGTAGAACCAAATGAGAAGATAAAGGATGTTTTGTGCCCAGTTTGTCAGATAAAGAGTCTCCGATACAACAAAGGTGGTTTCGTTTGCGAGTGTGGCATCCAGTTTGAGCACTCTGCAAATATGGAACAGCTGCAGATACTTCTACTACAACAAATTTCCAGTCATGAGCTCCAATGCACTCAGGCCCTGCGCTTTTTATCGAACCATCGTCGGGGCACCTATATAACATGTGCGGTAGCTGCGACTACTTCTCCTCCGTCTAGTTTATCTTTGGACATAGTTTTAGTCACTGGTTGCCTCTAGTATACGATCGTTTATGTTTATTGATTTTGTTAGTTAATTAAGAGCACATAGTCATTTTTGTTATTCTGATAGAAATTCAAAATTTGTACAGCCTTAGTGTCTAATATATATTCTTTTTCAATTAAATCTCAAGCTACAATATTGAGAAAGGATTAAGGCTGTTAGAACAGTGATATATTTTTATTTTTTAATAGGAATTTAATAATAAGCTAAAATTATCAAAATTATTTTATTGAGACATTCTTAATTTTCGTTGTTCATATAGACTAGCTTTTTAGCAGTTTATTCTAATTCATTTTCTGGTTATTACAGTCCGTTCAAATTCAAAAATGTTTAAGTTTTTTTTTCATTTAAAGGGAATTAATATTAATAATCTTAAATTCTATTGTGACCAAAAAACAAATGAAATTGATTTGAAATTATTATTGCTTGATTTTGTGAAAAAAATTAATTTTAAGATGTTAAATAAATGCATTATTAATTTAAAACTTGACTCTTAACAAATTTGGAATTTGTCAAGATTGATAAATAATTTCAAAAATATATAGGTCGCTGATATCAGAAGGTAGCATCCCACAGCTTGGTTGATGTTGGAAGAGCTTTCCCTCATCGCTCACGTGCACGATCCGCCAGATCAGTGCAATATCTTCTCAAGTTGGGGCGGCTGGTGGCTGGCTCTTCGTGATTTTTCCGGCGTGCGAGAGTCTGCTTAGTGTGCCGCCACGCTCGGTCGGAGTCGGTTGGCCTTTTCTTCTCTCGAAGTTTTCTTTATCGCGGCAAACGTGCGCCACACATATATCTCTTGCAGCTATTTTGTTTATACAAAAATTACTTAAAAGAATAATAATAATTGAATGGCAACTGGGGACGCGTCGGGCTCTCAGTTTGAAACGAAATTAATTTTGGATCCATACGCGCGCATAGCACATACATCTGTACGAGCATTGCGCCAGCAGTAATCGCAGTGCATATTCCCGATTGCGAAATAGTTTGTTTATATTGAGCAGATCTGTATTTGCTTGTTGTTCAACCTGTTGTACGTAAAAGTTTGAAAGTGAATGCCTATAGATTCCGATTTAATTGTGAGCAATAAAGATGTATCGCCTACAAAGAAGCGTTAAAGAATATGCGCAACGGGAAGGAAATATTTTGAAATGAAATCACAAAAGTGAAATCTTTTCCAGAGTTTAAAAACCTGGCGCTAACGTAAACCTTTGGGCAAACATCATTAAAAGTTGTTGTTTTTTTTTGGCAATAAGTTTCCGTTTTATTGGCCATTATGAAGCAGTTGTTCAATATAATACACTGTGTTCATTTGAATGGGCATGTACGCTCCATTTATGATAATTTAAATACCGATGTTTGTGGCATTGACCGTGTGAGGCGTGTTTTTACGTGTTTGAGCATTTTTCTGCTACTTTCCGGATGGATATTTGTTTGGAAACGATATAAAAAGTGAGTTTTCATTTGTTCATTTTGGGGATATATGTTAATTAATTTTAAAGGCTAGTGAACTCTTTAAATATACATATAAGTTTTTCGGTTGCCAATCATCTCGAACGAAATACAACATCTCTACCCTTTCGGCATACAAAAGCTGAATTGACTTATTTTCAACTAAAATTAAAGTGTCTTTGCTTTATTTTATTTGTTTTTCATTCAAGTATAAACATGTAGTTTTTTGTTTACAATCAGTTAACAATCAGCCAGCGCTCTTTGTCTTTAAATTGTGCAAAGGCATGAACTGAAATAAGGTCAGATGTAAAGTGCGTTTGTTTGGCTTGTTTGCAATTTGTTCTATGTGATGATCATCAAATGTTTGATATCCAGTTTACTCCCTGCTCCATTTTGGCCAAAATACGAATGTAAATAATTTCCCCAAATGTATATATGTATGTATATGCACGTTCGTACATTATAGAAGCAAATGAGCACATTTGTTTAAATTTAGCACATGCGTTTGTAGATTATACGAATTCTGGAGAAATGATGAGGGAGCTAGAGTTTTTACTTCTATGCAAAGCGGCTTGAAAAAGTGTCAGACAACATTTATTGCCTGAGATAACAAAACAAGTTTATTAAGTAGATAATTTTCACGCACTTTTTGTTAGTTTTATGTGTACATAAATTGACTTTACTGGTTGTACGCTTAAACACTATTTGTTGAATTTTTTAACTTTACTCCGAAAATATGGATTTTTAATAATGTTTCAACGATTTAAAGACATTTTGTAAAATTCCTTTTTTTGTTTGATTTTCAACTGATATACAATTTTAAGTATTTTCAATTTTCTCTTTTAATTAGTAACTTTATGATAAAACAAAACCTTGCCTCTGATTGATAAATCTTTTAATGGAAATAGGTGATCTGCGGTTTTTATTTTGAAAAAATCACTTAAAACCCAATAATTGATATCCGGAATCCGGAATCCGGAATTCAAGTGCATGCACACCATTGAGAATCATAGGCATCCCGCAGAGAAATTAAGATACGTATAATAAACATATCGCGTGCCAAAGTATTCTCAATGGGCAAAACTCAATTGCATCTGGAAAGCACTTTGCCTTGAGGGTGCATTCTTATAAATACTGCATGTGCTTAAGACTGATATACGAAATCAATATCATAGGGAACTGCAGTTAATTATAGAAATATGTCTATATGATTTTATGATTTATTATGCGTATTTTATGAAGTTGTGATAAAAGAAAACTGTGGAAGAATAGTTCTTTATTTGCCCATTAAAATATTTCTATTTATATAAAAAAAAATGTATTGAGGATTATTTTAAATTAATTAACTGGCATTTTAAGTGTGAAACAAAGTAAATATCTTAGGAAAAATTATAAAAAATGAAGTTCCTACTAATCAGGCATAAATATCGCTAACCCTTATACAAACTTTACCTACCACAATCCTCTTCTTATATTATTATCAATTTCCGCCTTTTAATGCAGATGCCATAAAACATTACTAATGTTTCATAATGGACGCGCGGCGATATCCCTGCTCCTTCTGGCTGTGAATAGTTTCGAACTGGCCAGGCTGTGTCTTCCACTGCAAAGCGTTCATCGACTTAACCATCTGTTCCAGTCCAGTCCAAGGGATCTTAACTATTTGGTTGTAATTGGTTCGGGAGAAGTATGGAATGCACTTTTCTCTACACTCTTGACTCTTAAGCTAATGCTCTATCATCGGATTGTGGAGGGGAAGAAGGCTACAGGTGAGGGTTTTGACGTTCTGTAAGGACCTTGGGAACCTTTCTTATTAACTATTCTTCCGTTTTTTAGTATTTTTATATGCCAGTACTGCGGTGGAGGTATTGTCCTTTGCCCTGCTCTCAAATGAGTTCTTTGAGTTGGGACGCTACGAGGATTTGGTGGAGTTGCAGACGTGCCTTGTGGGTATGTCTGCCATGTGCATGGTATCCTTGGCTTTAATGGACGGCTTTACTATATATAAGGAAGTAAGTCATTTGAAAATATATCAAGATTATGTGTATCTATCAGATATAATGAAGTTTTAAAGTTTTGCTTAAAGTTGTCTTTTAATTTCGAATCAATGTAGGTAGTTGTTTTTTGAGTTGATTTTTAAAATGTGAAATGGTTTGACTTCTTTATGATGCGTCTGAATTTGTCTGTGTAAAATTTTAAGAGATAAGAAACTGGGAAATGCCGATTTTATTGAAAGAAAACAAATATAAAATTTAAAATACGTGTGAGTACAAGTGTAAAGTTCAAATATGACCAGATAACCTTTGAGCAATTAGTTTTTTGGAATACTTACTTTTCAAAACGGCTGAATAAAAAGTGATAGTTTGCCATAATAACATAATAATAAAGTCAAAGAGTTTTGGTTTAATTATTCAGATAAAATAATACATTTTCTCGTGCGATGACAAAGGCGTATATTTACGTATATTTTATTCTACTACAAATAAATGCAAGTCTGCACAACAGAGGAAGCCAAAAATTGCAATGCGATTTGCATGTTTAAATTTTAATTGAGGTTAAGTGGAGATTTTAAGCTTAATTCCTTTCATAATGTTTTTTTTGTGCTATGTAGTTTTCGGCTTTGTAACAGGATGAGTCCCACGACAACAAGCAAAGTAGGAAACGAAGGCTCAACCAAAGAGCTGAATATTTAAATTCACAAAATTTTGGGTCAACTGTGGGTTTTTGGCCTTAACAATTGTCACTGGAAATTATATACATAAACCATATGCTAAAAATCTTTAAATTTGATTAAAAACAATTGTATCTGCAGTGCTATCACGATGACTATCTGGATGACTATGGAAAAATAGGATACAAGCACACCCTCGCCACATTCTATTCTAAGTCCTGTTTTTGGTGGCTAACACCTCTGCTGTGGCTGGGCTACAAGGAACCACTGGAGCTAGAGGATTTAGGTCAAATGAAACTGGAGGATAGTGCTCGATCCCATTATGACCACTTTCTGTATATTTATACCGAAAAGAAGGTAAGTAAAGTTAATAAATATGCAACCAAGAAATATCTCTTAACAAGTTTAATGTGCAGAAAAAATCAAATTCATCGCCATCCCTTTGGTATTGCTATATAAAAAATAGTTGGCAAATGTTTGCCCTCGGCGGCATTTTAAAACTTGCCGGTGATTTATTCGCTCTGATTGGTCCGCTAGCCATACAAAAAATAGTAGAATATATCGAAAAACTTTATACCCAGGCTTCAATGCCAAAAGAACCGGACGAGGAGTCCGTTCTACTGTCCACCTCCAGAGTCCTAAGCACCGAATACGATGAAGTCTATGGCACAAATATCGATAGAGTGAGAATTTACAGTAGCACCTGGTCGGATCTTCTGGGGAATGGTTGGTGCATCGCCTGGATTGTCCTGTTGGCCGCAATCACACAAGGCGCCTTCTCGCAGGCCTCCACGCACATTCTCAACATGACTGGCATCAGGATTAAAACGTCTCTGCAGGGTCTAATTTATAGAAAAAGTTTGCTTCTAAATGCGGGTGGTGGGTGTGAAGGCAACGATTCTCCGGGAGAAGTTCACTCAACTTTCATTTCCACGGCTGAAAAACCAAAAAACGATGATTCCAAGCCAAAATTAGAAAATGTGGACAATTTAAGCGGTGAGTAAATTGGGGAATTATAGTTATAAATTAGTTTTTTCTTTTGTTGTAGTCAAACTAAGTATGTAATCTCTCTCTGAAAAAGTATGGAAGGTATGTGAAGGTAGTTTCAAAAAAGTGAAGTAGCCATTAATATACGGACTTTGCTCATAAAAGTAAATCAAATCAAATAAATAATGGCCGAATTCGCCTTTTTAAAACTGTTTGATGCTCTCAATACCTTTTCATCAGTTTGATTCAACATAAATAGTTTATGTAGGGCCTTAATTAGTTACTGAAACACTTTAATTGATTTTTATAAAATATTTTACAGAACCAATCGTCACCAATGACATCGGCAGTATTACCAATCATATGACCGAGGACACCCTCAATATTATGGAATTCTTCTTGATCATCCACTATGCCTGGGCCATTCCATTTAAGGTTCGTATTCAGATTGAGATTCGCCATTTGGTAGGCTAATCGTTTTTACAATTTATGAGCAACTTGTGTGCCATTTGGGCTCCGTTTGATGTCTGCTAACACAAACCTAATTTATAGCATTGGCAGTCGACGAAATCCTTGACTTGAAAAGCGGATATAAATGTTTTTAATATGTCCAATAATCGTCGGGCTATAAATTTGATTTTATTAAAAAAAGCGACATTTTAGCATCTTTATCGAATTATTTGTGTATATTTATTTTCGTTTCTTACTAATAATTCTAAGATAAATGTCAAGATTGATATTTTATTAGTTTTTATATGCGTTTAGTTCGGAATAATATGCTTAATAAATTATTTTTTATTGGTGAACCGTTCTTCCCAAAAATGTGAGAATTCTTTCTTTTCTTGACATTTAGATTGTACTAATTAATTGTTTTTTAATTCATTTTAGATAGCTGTGGTTATATATCTATTATATGTTAATTTGGGTATCAGTGCAGTTATTGGATCCATTGTCTGTATAGTTATAATGACGCCCCTGCAGTTTATAATTGGAAACGCCATGTCCAAGAATGCAGAAGTTATAGCCGTAAGTAATTAATTCGTAAATTAGTAATAACAAAATCAAATTTATTTTTATTTTTATAGAGATATACAGATGAGCGATTGAAGAAAATACACGATACCCTAGTTGGGATCAAAATCATCAAACTAAATGCCTGGGATGAGGTATTTCTCAAAAAGATACAAGCGGCGCGAAAAAAGGAGCTTAAGTATCTCAATAAGGATGCCACATTTTGGACCCTGATGGGTAGGTTTAATCGGTAAAGAATTCTGTTTATTTTTAATAAATTTTATTTTTACTCCAAAAAAGCTTTACTTACACACATCGCCACCGTATTGATTACCTTTGTTACCCTAGGAGTGTATGTTTGGTTACATCAAGATCAAGACTTCGACTTGAATGCTAGTCGTCTGTTTTCCTCATTGGCACTTTTCCAGCAGCTTACAGTACCTTTGTTGATTTTTCCTATAACAGTACCCATCATAATAGCAGCCAGGGTATCAACTCGTCGTTTGGAGAGGTTCCTCAAGTCAAGCGAAATCCAAAAACAATTCGAGGGTATTCGGAATATGGCAAGGATTTTGAGCAAGAGCGATGCCTCTTTGGATATGTATGAAACGCAAGAAAAATCGAATATGACGATGAGGACGGCTCAAGCGGAAAATATGCTAAATGAAAAGCGGCTAGCGCAAAAGTCTCAAACTCCTGAATTGCCAACTAATTCCACTCCACTTCTGCAAAATGCCGAGGAATCTACGGGAGATATAACCTCAACCTCTGTCCAGGAAATGGGTCACAATAAACTAGTGCAACAGCGACGGGAATTGCTAAGGAATACTCCATATGTTGCCATTCGGCCTCCAAAATTACGTGGCAGTGTTGTGGAGAGACCTGTGGAATTTTCAGTGATTCGGGCCAGGAATACGGATAGTTGGCGACGGGATTCTCTTCTGTTGAAAATGCCCGATGACATTGCCGTCTCCATCAACGATGGACTCTTTACGTGGCAGCCACAAAGTCAAATGCCAATGGTGCAACTGCATGTACCGGGAATCACCGTTCCAAAGGGAAAACTTACCATCGTCGTGGGCAAGAATGGCAGTGGCAAGACATCCCTTCTATCGGCCCTTCTAATGGAGATGCCGCTCCTCGTGGGCAACATGTTTTGGCACAAGTGAGTAACTTAAATAACTAACTAATATTAATCGATATTTAAGTGATTTAAATTCAAGAGATTTTCGATCTTTAGGTATTTGATTTATAAAAAATTAAATTCATTTTCAAAATATTTAAGCTTAGTGAAAGAGTAATAGTGAGTTTTCAGTTTGCCAGAAACATCGAAAATATGGATTATTTTTGGATGTTGAGTGTAAATCTTTCCCCGCAGCAATACTTTTTATTATTCTTGGATATTCCTTTTGGAAAAGCTTATTTTCCTATTTAGGTTTCAAAATATTTTCCTATTTTAAGCTTTTTGAATACCTTTGGCAATCTCCCGGTGGCCAAGATTAAGCACGTTTTCTTGTCTATCAACACGGTACACCCACAATACACTGCTCATGTAAATTTGCCCAGCTATTTATGTGCTTATTTTCAGTTCTGCCAACAGCAGTAGCTTCGCCCCGTAGTGTATAAGTTTGTTTGCCCATTTATCAAAATTAATTGCATAATTTTCACCCACAGCCGTATGGATGATACTAAGGCCACAAAGCTAAATATAGCTTATTTTAAAACTAGGACTAGATGGTTTAATATCGATTTTTATAGCAGCTTGGGAACTTAAATGCACAAGATTTAAACCCTATCCCAGCTAAGAAAGGAAAACGTCTTCCTTTAAATAAACTATTAGTATTGATTTTTCTAAAATTTAACCCATTTTCTGGAGCGAAGTCTCGGCTGGCAGGTGGAATAGTTGAAACTTCCTTTGTGCCTGCAATCGAATCCGCCGCAGTCATTTAACATATTTTAACAGTCGTTTCGATGCATGCCACGTGATTTGGTAATTTATCACAAAACGCCTGTGTGTACGTTGTTAATTTTATTGCACATAAAATAAAAATGGCATCGCCATAGTCTGGCAAAAGGATAAAATAAAAACGTTGGGGGGTCATATACAAATGCATTTAAAAAATGGAAATCGCGGAGTGGAAACGAAGACGTTGGTGCACTTGCCTCTTGCAGCGGAACCCAATTTTATCCCGTGGCCTTTGCTTCTATGGCTTCCTTCAGGAGAAAGACTTCCATTCCCAGCTCTATCTTCAACTCCATCTCTCTGCCTTGGCAACCGGCAAATGTGCAATAATTTCAATTACTGTAATAAATGTCTATGTTAGTTCAAGAACGTTTTTTTTTTTTTCTGTGGCATTCTCAAGGCTTCGTTTCTCTCCTCTTTTGGCTTGCAAATTTATGTTTCTTTTATACGTACTGTCTGCGATTTATTGAAAAAGCTCTTAAAAATTGTTAGTGGTTTGTTGACTTATTTTAGGTATATGAGTAATATACTTAAAAGTATGTGGAAGTTTATATAATTTTTATTAATAAAAATGTCTATAAAACATGGCTTCTTACTTCGGTGTGAAACTTTAGAGTTAAACTAAAAGGGTTTATTTATTTATTTAAGGGATTAAAGTTTTAAGATGTTACCGTTAAGTTATAACAATCAATTTTTTAAATACCATTTGAATTTTAATTTTAAATATTTTTCCAGAACCTGCACCATTTCCTACGTTTCCCAACAGCCCTGGCTTTTGAATGACACCATCCGTGAGAATATTCTTTTCGGGGAAGCCTTTCGCCCGAAACGTTATGATTTTGTACTGGAGGCCTGTGCCCTCAAATCAGATATTGAGTTAATGCCCAGAGGAGATTTTACCATAATCGGAGAGCGTGGAATCAATATTTCTGGTGGCCAAAGGCAGCGAATTGCCATAGCACGAGCTATATATTCATCGGCTAATGTTGTTATAATGGTAAGTAAGCCTAAAAATGTGAAGGGGAAGCAGGAAATGTGAACATAAATCACCAAAATCGAGTAATCTTTCAGTATTCCGTATAGTATCTTTAGGTTTTTTCATTCGGTCCAAAATAATAGCTCGCAATTGTTATATTTTAAAATTTCATAAAATGTCTTTCGATCAAAAGGAGATTTTTAGTTTGATGTACAAGCTGGCCAGACTCATAGTACCGGATACTCGTGTTGAATATGATTCGATGGGCCCCATGCACGTTCCTCTTGATCGAAAGTACGGTCCACAGACCATGCGATCCTTGATGAAATTTCCAATTGGCGGAGTACAAGAAAGAATGCCTGTATGGAAATGAGTCAGCTTTAAACTATATAACCTTATATAACTTAAACCCACAGCGAAGCATAATAAAAGCCCTGGGAATCGTAAAGAAAGCCGCCGCGGAATCTAACAAAATCAATGGTCTAGAGGAGGATTTATGCGAAGCCATTTCCAAGGCATGCGATGAGGTTATATCAGGCAAGCTTTACGACGAAGAGCATTTTCCATTGGTTATCTGGCAGGATGGATCCGGAGAGCATACCAATATGAACGTAAACGAGGTGATCTGTAATCGAGCCATTGAGATCCTGGGCTATCAAATGGGAACCAAAGAGCCAGTGGACCCAAATAAGCATGTCAATCTTTCGCAAAGTTCCCATGATACCTTCTCCACAGCTGTTAGAATCGCTGTGGTCATGAAATTGAACGAGACTATGTATCCTAGTTTACGGATGTTTATTGATCTGCTGGGAAAGAAGTCGACTGAATGGATGGATGTGATTAAAATTGGAAGAACCCATCTAATGGATGCAGTGCCTCTTTCCCTGGGTCAGGAATTCAGTGGATACCATCAGCAGCTATTGAATGGAAGAGCTCGATTGGACTCGGCCATGAGCAGGCTGTATCAGTTGCCCATGGGAGGTTCTATGGTGGGCACAAAAGTGGACACCAAGAAGGGTTTCTCCGAGCAGTGCACCAAACGAATCGCCGAGTTAACATTCCTACCCTTTGTGGAGTCTCCAAACTTTTTTGAATCTCTATCCACCTGTGATGCGCTGGTTGAGCTTCATGGAGAACTTAATACCATTGCTGCAAGTGTCATGAAAATAGCCAACGATATTCGTTTTCTGGGATCTGGTCCTCGTTGCGGATTGGGAGAGTTAAACCTGCCGGAAAACGAACCTGGTAGTTCCATTATGCCTGGAAAAGTTAATCCCACGCAATGCGAGGCCATGACCATGATCTGCGCCCAGGTGATGGGCAATCATGTGGCCGTGTCAATGGGCGGATCCTGTGGACACTTTCAACTCAACACTTTTACGCCAATGATTTCATCGAATGTCTTGCGTTCGATAACCCTTTTGGGCGAGGGCATGAAGTCCTTTTGCGTGAATTGCCTTGAGGGTATTGAACCAAATAAGTCCAAGATCCAGAGCATTATGAAGGCCTCCTTGATGCTGGTCACCGCTTTGAGTCCTCACATTGGATATGAAAAGATCTGCTGCGATCGCCAAGGCTGCACACGCCAATGGTACTACTTTGATGGAGGAAGCCTTAAATGCGGGCGTCGAAAGGGAGGAGTTTGAGCAGTGGGTGCAGCCCGGCAAAATGTTGGGACCTGAGAATTGAATATTGTAAACAAACATTATAATCGTTTTACTTTTGGGGACACTGTTAAATTTGTTGCAAATGTTGTTTGAGCTGCATAAATTAAAAAGTTGAGTTTAATTAATTTTGTTTTTTTTTAAATATTTTTTTTGATTTTTATGTCTTTTAATTTTCTTTGTAAACTGGAAAGTTCTATAAAGACAATAGGTTTAAATTAATGAAAAGTTTTTTTTATATAATCATATATTTTTAAATACTTATTCTTAGGACGACCCATTGGCCTCTCTTGATAATGAGGTGGGCGAGCACATCTTTCAACACTGCATTCGTCAGATGTTGCAAAAGTCAAATCGAACTTTTATCCTTGTGACACAACAATTGCAACGCATAAAGGAAGCTGAATATGTAAGTAAAATACTGATTAATTAGTGTAAATATATAGGGTGGCCCACGAAAGATTTGCGTTTTAAAATCGCTATAAAAATATCAATATTTCAAATATCAATTTTCTTCTAGTGTAAACTTAACCATTTCGTAAAGCGTAAACCTTCTACTAAATATCTGACACATCGACATTCGATATGTCAAAGTCAAAATTATCGATAGTTCAAAAAGCAAACGCTACATGGGCCACCCTGTATATTAAAAAAATAAAACCATGATTTTGAGCCTCTTTAATTGACTGAAAGCTTTATTTCTGTATAATCACTATGGTTTTCAATTCGAATTCATAAAAATCTTTTAATGGTTTTCTTAATTTATTTAATTTTATATTTATAAATCTACTTTTAGTTAATTGCTATAAAAGATGGTCGTGTTGAAGCTTGTGGCAGCTATGCAGATATTGAGCTGATGCATCCGAAAATTACCGCCAAATGGAACTCGATTATAGCATTGGCCAAGGCCAAGAAGGATAATATTGCACAAAAGTATGTATTTTACTTATGACTCAAACAGTTTATGGTCCAGTTTAACAAATTTATTAAAAATATATTTTAATACCTAGTCCAGTAGAACGAACAGCTGGTGAGCGCTGGAAATTATTGAGAAATGTAAGTAAGCTAGGATTACAGCGCTCGATCTCGGTGACAATGGAATCGAATGCTGGCTGTCATGCAGATGCCACTGATGGCAGTGGCTGTATATCCGTGGCTAATATGCAGGCCAATGTGGTCGAAGAAGATGAGGAAGATGACCAAGTATCCGTGGTAAGAGTTTGGGTAATATAGGGTAATATGATACTTTAATTTTAATGTTATTATTATTTTCAAATCTCAGTCATACCCCATCAGCAGTGGATCCTTCAGTCTGCAGCGCAAACGTTCCAGTATTTACGGTTCCCGTCATTTGATGTACGATGTTCCCCTGCCCATCGACGAATGTCAGGGAGATGATGTCATCATGCGTCCACGCCGCCGACATACTCTAAGTCGTCGTGGCAGTCGGACAACCAATTCCTGGCATCGATTGAGTGGTCTGAGCACTCTGACCGCAACTTCTGCATCGAGTTCCACCAGCGGAGATCCATTGAACCGCAGTGTCTTGACCACCAGTTGCAGCAGCTATGCGGAAAGTAGTGTTGATGGCAACGATTTGGCCACCGCAGCACCAGAACCTCGAGTTCAATCCTGGCAGCCGCCACAGAATGTCAGAATATCCCATCAACCTCTGTCGCGAAATGCCTCCTCACCACCAGCTATTGATGTGGCAAGTCCTGAAACTAAAATGTCTGACGGTGCAATGAAGTCTAATAACAGCTTGGAGTGTCCTTTAGATGACCACCATGTTCGTGGCAGTTTTCAGCAGTTCCTGCGACGAATGTCCATGCGGCGTTCAAATAAGCCAAAGAATCATCATCACCCTTTGAGTGCTACAAACTCTATTCTGTGAGTAGAAAATTTTAGGATATAACAACTTGATTTACTTTTAAATGTATTTTAAATTAAGTTTAAAAAATATTAATTATTGATACTTTTTAACATTTTATAGGAGCATTTCCGAAGAATCTCCTCCCATTGTTCATTTTCCTGCCACACTTCTAGCTACAGATTCTTCTCAAAATGCAAAGTCCATTCAAAATGATTTGCTTCCAGAGGAAAAGCCCAAAAAGTGTAAGTTAACTATAAAACAATATCAAAGTATAAATCATAAGTTAAGTCAAAGTTGAGTTACAAATTTCTAAATATTGTCAGGAAAATATTTACTTTTACTTTACTTTAATGAATATATATTGTTGCATCTTGGAAATGCTGCAATTTTTTGATAATGAATATTGATTAGCCCAAATGTATTCAGCTGGGTGTAAAAACTGTGAACAAATTATTGACATAATATTCGAGATGGAAAATTCGTTGTCTTCTGCTTTTATCCCAATACACTGGGGTACCTCCTACTTATAGTTTACTCCTGGCTGCATGCGTGTAGCTTAAAACTTAAATCAACTTTGATTTTAAAAGTTTTGGGCTCCCAAGCGGTAAGTCAAAGAGACAGTGTTCGAGGGCGCGAGAAGTTTTGCAAGGCAGAAACTTTGGCCCAACTTGATGCATTGATCTATCAATATTTGGCTGATAAGTCAGCGGGTTCGTAGTGAAAACTTTCGATTTAATCAGTGCTGCAAGTGTCACTCCATTCGAGAGCCCAAAAAAGGAATCCTTCGCTAGGCAAATCCTCAGACGGGAAGTAAACTTTTCTTTCAATTAGTTTGTCTGTGGAACTTGTTAAATTAAACGGTAGCATGGCTTAATTGATGTGGGCCCATGTGCTAGTTCTGAAAAGTTTAAAACATGTTGATATTTTCCGACTTACTACCTTTTTCAATCAAAAGTCGTCGACTTTCAATCAAAAGTTAATAGCAAGCAGTTTCCGGAAATGTTCTTGCATATGAAATCGGAAATTGGTATTCAAATTGGTTTATTGCTAACTTTATTTACATTGCCTTAAAAATATAACCTTTCGAGTTAAAACCTTGGTAACTATAGTGGTTAAATAGGTTTTCTGGCATAAACTTAGCATAAATTTTTCTTAACACACAAACCTCTTCTGACCCTTTGTTTCGTCGTTTAAAAAACAGGTGTAAATATTGACTCGAAGGAAACTACAATAAATTGCGCTGACAATGGCGAATCAGCATCCGACAAAGAATCGAGGGCAGACGTGACAACTTCGGCCGCCCAGGAGCGTAGTGAAGGACACGTGCTACTTTCGGCAGGTGGTGAATCTGGGCGGGATTCGTTGCCTTTGGCCAGAACAGCAATTGATACGGAACGCAAATATGGAAAAATATCGGACGACATATATCTAATGTACATAAGAGCCGCCGGACTGCCCATAATCACCGTCTTTTTTATCACCGCACTAATTTGGCAGTGTTTGCGTGTCTACACGGACGTTTGGCTAAAGCAATGGAGCGATGTCCATGGGAGTACCAAGGGCCTGGATGAAAGCCGAGAGGATCGTTCAGAGGTAGAGGACCACGAAGTCACGTACTATTTTCGCATGTATGCTGCAATTTCGTGTGTTTGTATAATAATGGCCCTCGTATCAACACCGGCCGGACAATATGCCGGCATTAATGCTCGTCGTAATTTGCACGATAAGCTGCTGCAAACGATTTTGCATAAAACGTTGCATTTTTTCCAAGTGACGCCGCTCGGACGTATTGTGAATCGTTTCAGCAACGATATGGCCGTCATTGATAAGGTGAGATTTGTTATTTCTGTTATCCTGACGTTGTTTTAGCCATCTCTGACCACGTTGTTACCACATCGACACATCATTTTATACTGTGTTTTGTGTGTGGCATGAAAATAGAGAGGCTGCTATAGGTGGTTGCCACTTTGATTGAGATTGCATTACGATAAGCATGCATTTTTGTTTAACTATTTATAATAAGGAACCTTAAAGTAAATCATATGGGAAAAACCTTCAATAACTCAGAAAATATTCATTTCTTTCCGTAGAAAATTGCCGCTACTGGTCAACGGTTGCTGCAATTAACTTTGCTCTGCCTGTCGGCAATTGTTATAAATGTCACGATTACCCCCTGGATCTTGGTTGTCACCCTGCCGATCTGCGGTGCTTACTATATCATACAAAAGTTCTACAGGTGTTCAGCAAGGTAGGGAATATGCCCCCCTCTTAATAATCTTTGTAAAAATATCTTATTTCTTATTTTTAGAGAACTGCAACGCATTGAGAACGCCACTAGCTCTCCTGTAATATCTCATCTATCGGAGACCATTCAAGGAGTAACTACTATTCGAGCATTTAATCAGCAAACTAGATTCACAGAAATTCTATTCAAACGTCTGGAGGCCAACACCATTGCCTATGCATTGTTAAACACTAGTCATCGCTGGCTGGGAATTTCTTTGGTAAATATAGAAAAGTTATATTTAAAATTATATTATATATATGAAGTTTAACCTAAGTGGGTATGAGGAACTTAAACATATTTGATTACTTGGAAATTAAAATTAAAAAAATTACTTGGATTATCTTGGCTTAAAGCTCATTTCTTTTAGAGAGTCAGTTTTATTCCCTACTCTTAGTTACATCCTGCATACACTTTGCTCTCATTTAGTTTTTAATTTTATATAATAGCCTAATAACCGGCAGCTAAGTGAATTAGTTAGCTGTAGACCACTTTCAGTCCAGGACATGACCTCAACTTTCTACCCGTTTAGACTCAGACTCAGACTCAGACCACTCCCCTGTCTTCTTAATCACGGCGTACATCCGCTTGTTTTAATGTGTTTTTCTTCCTGCAGGACTATTTGGGTGGATGCATTGTTTTTGTGGCCACTGTGACGGCATTGGTAATGGCGAGCGTCAGTTGCAGGAACCACACGACGAGCCACCACGAGGCATCCGAAACTTATGCTGTCAATAAAAGCTCCTCGGAACTGAGACCCTCGCCATCCCTGGTGGGTCTGGCCATAAACTACACGTTGTTGGTGCCGATTTACCTTAATTGGGTTGTAAAACTTTTGGCTGATATGGAGATGTATGCGGGCTCTGTTGAACGCATCGCCCACTATGCCCAGGGACAGGATCCGGACTTGGTCTCGTCCGATGAAGATGTGAGCGGCGAAGTCGATAGGTCGTCCCAGTCCCAGTCGAATGCTGGTGACAAAGTTTACCCAGGCGCAACGACAGCTGCCGGTGATGTTGATGAAGATGGAGACCAAGACCAAGACCAAGACCGAAATGGTGAAGGAGATGAAGTTGGGACACAGGAAGGACATGAAAATGGGGCTGAAGCCGGAGCAAATGCTGATAAATTAAATGCAGCAGGCAATGCAACCGGCGACGGCAATCACTTAAACTTCCACTTCCTCACGGCGACAGCTGGCGACAAGGTGGGGCAGGCGAAGACAAAGATGTCGGTGATTAAAGATAAGCAACTGCCACCGCAGGACGAGAAGGTCGTCCTGTCAAATGAGCCGGCCAGGAAGCTTGAACGCTGTAAGTTTGGGTCAGTTGGTCGCTCTTTTGGCCACCAACTCGAGGCGTTTACTACACATCACAAAGCTTTTGTGTATAATTGCATTTTGAAAATATGTTTTTAACAAACTTTGAAGGTTGGTTTTGGGATATATGATATACTATTATACCTACTACACCTTAATAGAAACAAAGTTAATTAAACAAGTTGTATTAAATCTCTAAGAAGGTTTAGTATATATTAACTTGAATATTTTTTTACTTTCAGATCAAGGAGTTCCCATTTCTTGGCCGCAAAGAGGTGATATTTTTTTCGACAATGTCAGCCTGAGATACGAAGGTCAGACAGAAAACGTCATCAGCAATCTAACATTGAAAATTCCTGCCGGTCAAAGGGTAAGTAAAGCCAAAACTTTATAAACCTACCTTACGTTTCTAAAAAAGAAAGTTTGAGTCTGCTTATACTGCACTTTCTTTCACATGCCATAAACTCTAATACAGTTGTCAGCCATATTGATTGAAGTTTAAAATTAAATCATCGATGATCAACAGAAAGACTGACTAAGGGCAAACCCTTTTTTTCGAAGTCAATTTATTTTCGCCATAAATTATAAAATTGATAAGATAATAAATCAAAAAACTGGGACAAAGCAAAGCTGCAACGCGAATTGTTGGCTTTCATGAAATTTGCCATAGCGTTTAATAGGTTTTAATTGTTCTGGGCCAACGAGTATGCAGAAATGTTGATTGATGATGCAAAAAGGTCTCCTTTCATATGCAAGGACTAATTTTATAAAAATGAGCCCACCTGCTTCAAAAAGTTATATATGTACGAAGGGTAAAGTAGTGTTGGTTTTTACATAACTAAAGTTGATTTTGTTTAATTTTGGAAAATCCTATTGATTCCATAACATTCAAAACTCGTTAAAATTTAACTATTCAATCCGTTCGTAATCGGTTTATAGATTGGCATCTGTGGTCGCACCGGCAGTGGCAAATCATCCCTGGGGCTGTCCCTTTTCGGTGTTCTACAAACGACCAAAGGCCACATTTACATTGACGATGTGGACATCAAACGAATCCGACCAGACGAGCTGCGAACCAGATTGTCAATAATTCCGCAGGATGTGCATTTGTTCAATGCAACCATACGTGAAAATCTTGATCCACACGGCTACTTCCAGGACCTGCAATTGTGGAATTGCCTTGAGTTGGCTCAGCTGAGAGATTTTGTCAACGGGCATCTTCCTCTCGGTTTGGGTGAGTGCGATTTTTGGTTTGATTTTATTTTTTACTTAGAATGAAATTTATAACATATTCCATTTGTGCTCTAAAGTTTTGCTTTTACTAGATTTAGATTTAGATTTCTTTCAGGTTAATGCATATTAGATGATGTGATTTAGTCATTTTTTTATTCACCTCAGATTTGATTTCAAACCTACAATTTGGAAATAAGATAATTATTACGTTACGTAGCCAGCTAGTTGAATACAATTTCAAAATTGGTGATTATTTGATTTAATTTAATTCTTAAAAAATTCATTATAAATTAGTAAATTTACCCTAAAACCATAGTTAGTATATGCAGCATACAAAATAGCAATTGGCATATTTAGTTTTCACCATAAATTGGTAGACAATTAAAATGTAACATGCTATCAGTTTTTACAACTATTTTTAAATTTAATTTATTTCAGATGTTTCAGTTTGATTGGTAGGTTTCAAATTGTTATTTTTAGATATAATAAATTTAATTAAATTGTCTCTGGATTGAGTTCCGTAACTCTGCCGTATTAATTCAAACGTTATTAGCTAAAATTTTCACAATTAGTCCGAATTTTGAATGAAATTATTTTTGTTTTCTCCCACAGATACGGTGATATGTGACGGCGGGGTCAATCTGAGTGCTGGCCACCGGCAGTTGTTGTGCCTGGCACGTGCCATATTGCGGGGTTCCGTTTGCCTGGTCCTGGACGAGGCAACAAGTGCCCTGGACAGCAGCACGGAAAATGCACTGCTCAAGGCTGCGGATCTGGCTTTTCAGGGACGCACCATCATTACCATTGCCGTGAGTCCGCAGTTAATCCCCGGCCACTCCAGTGCAGCTGTGTGATATGACAATTATATTTCTCCGCAGCATCGCCTGACAACTATACTGGATTATGACCGCTTAATTGTGCTGGACCAAGGGCGAATCGTTGAAGATGGCAATCCCAGGGAGCTCCAACAGCTGCCGGGCTCTGTTTTTCGTGGCTTACTAGAAAAGGGGGCGAGCAAATGGTAGTTTTTTCCTTCCTACTTTTTCTACAACATCTGTGTCATATAGTGATTCCTAAATGTATATGTTCCGAAAAGCTTCTATTTTTATGTCTTAACATATCCATTTAGTATTTCGAAAACGATGGCAAACATTTTTGCTGATTTTTGTAATATGTTTAAAGGGTTTTTTATCTTTCTTAAATGTATTTCCAAGTATTTTTTTCTAGTCATGTTTAGTTTTTATAATAAGAGAGAAAGAGCTCTATATGTTTGACAATAAAAAAGCCAACCAAATTTGAAAGTTTTGTTTAATTTTGCAAGCATGTTGAACCTTTTTCCTCTTTTCGTATATTGTTAAAATAAGAGCTAGCAACAGGAATCCAAAAGAACGAAGTCATTATGACATTATGCACAGTTTTGTGGCTGCAACTATGCAACAGTAAACTCCGCAAAAGGAGGTCAAGCCAATTAGGGCTCGAATTGCAACGATATCAGACAGGCGATGCCTATACCTCAGCACTCGAAATTTGAATGAATATGCAACGGTTACGGAAGAATATTTCATTGGCGAAACTTTCCATCTAGATGGGGGAGCTGTGTGGGCAAAGGGATAAGGGATCGAATGGGGCATACAAAAACCGAAAATATTGCAAAATAAATTGATTGTTAAAATGGGGACGGCTAATGTTGTTGGGGCCAGCGGAAAAGTGAAGACCAGGCGCAGTGCATTTCAATGATGCCTTCTCGGCTCACTTTGTATGCACATTTCAAGTGGTTCGCTGGGGCAATTAAACTTAATTGACGATGAGGAGCGTGCATTGTTAAGTAGGATTCGGAGGGTGAAAACCATTTTTTTTTACATCGTTCAATAAGCGCCTTTGATTTGTGAGAGGAAGGGTCGACCGATCGATTGCTAATTGGAACATTTTATATAAGCAGTCATACGATATGCACTTAATACATGCATTTAACTTATTTTCAGAGCCCTTATCTATTAGTTTAACACTCTTTCTGCCCAAATCATTCAAGGTTAACTTTCTTGTAAATGAATTCATTGATTTCTTGGTTCTTGATTCGTGATTGCCTAAGTAAGCTAGTAAACTTTTCCTTTAATTACTATTTAATGTGTGCAAGGAAATGTTACCGAAATGATTTTGATATGAATCTCCAAACCTCTGGGTCTTGATACTTATTTGTCTGTCTAATTAATTTGTGAGTACATTCAGCCTAAGTGATTTGTCTTCCACTTAAGTAACGCACAAGTGTGAAAGAAGAAAGGCCCTGTCGTTTTATTGAGTGCATAACTAAATAGGGTCTACCCCACTTGGAAAGTTCCTTAATCTATTTATCTGCTCTTTGTATAGTATAAATGCGGTGAAGTGCATAACAGATTTTATGACGTCTTCATAGGGATTTTCAATTGCCTTTGGGCTCTCTCCCTCTCTGAAGTTGTTTGTTTTTATTAAATTCTACATGGAACCCCCAGCTTAAACATACTTATATATGGTATATGCTATATACCCAGCCATACTCGGATTTTGCACGCATGAGCGCTTTGCCAGTTCCTTTGACGCTGTCTGTCGTTCTAATAAAAGAAATCTGTCAAATTCAAACGCTCGTAAATGTCTTACACATCCAACCGGTCATACGAGCGGCAATGTCGGCGTGGCCATGATGTTTTCTAACTGTTTACCCCATCACTTTTTCTTCTTTTTTTATATATATATATATATAATACATATATATCTTAAAGCTACATAAAGCCCTTGTCTGCTAATCATATCGTATTTATTACTTTTATCCATTGAGATTTTACAATTGACTGCATTTCCAAGAATTTATCATCGAGTTGTGTTTTTGCCGACATGAGTGTCCCACTATTTATATGTATTCGCTATTTTCAAGGACTGTTTGTATCAGAAAACAGTTCAAATAAAAACGAAATGAACTAATTGAATTACCAGAACTGCAGATTTTTGTAGAGGGCTGAATGTGCTTACAGAAATATGTTTTTAAGTGAAGGTTAAGCACTAATATGTACATGAAATTGAACTTACGGTAGTGGAAAAAGGTTAACAATTGAATATAAAATATAAGAATAAAAAAGTCAAGCCAAATTTTGATTTAATATGCCCTTGAAAGAGATAATACTGAAGAAAACCAAGATTGTAAACTTTTTAGAATCCACAAAACTGGAAGAATTAAGTTTATTTATCCGCTAAAAATATTATTAAAAGTAAAGTATTAAAATTTCTAAATATTTTGTATATTCATAAATGATGACCATAAAAATTAACTTAAAAAAGAAATCGATAGTATTAATCCACCTATTAAATACAGATAAAATATCAAAATAGTTCGATATACAAAACAAACAGCACCTTGCCCAATATTCCGGACTAGACTGTATGTGGAACGCAGATGTGTTTCTGACCTACTGAACGAGTAAGCGGTAACCTTTCGGCTGGGAGTCGTGCTGAATCTGCAGGTTTGGGCCAGAGAGCGAGCAAACGAACAGCATCCAACCGAATGATGTTCGGGATGGGTCGTTCTTTGTCGTCCTTGCTCGTTAAGCAGGAACAACCCTGTCCCGCGGATTCCAGATGCTGTTGCGCTTTCGAATGCCAGGCGTTGCCGTCTTCCGGGCGCTGTGTTCAGTACATTCGCGTCTGGCTATATGTGCGGTTATCCTCGCGGTTCGTCGTTATTCTGGCCAATATTCAACTCGTTCGTGATTTAGCGCGTATTTCAATTAACAAAAAATAGTTTTGGTTTTTGTTTCGGAGAGAGAGTGATGCTCGGGTGTCAGCCTGAAATTAAATATGTAAATTAATTGTGGAGTGGCCTGTAATTGAACAAACTGTGAGTCTAGCTGTGGATATAACAGTATCTTTTAACACTGAAATTCAACGATTTCCGGTTCTGACCTAACTCAAGCGTTATGCATAAATGCCGCATTCAGGAATTATTTTTGTTTGCCACAAAAGCCTCATCCATCGGTTGTTTGGCAAAAATGGTTTTTATTATTTTATTTGCTGGCTGGTTCGTTAGTTAAATTAGTGGCCTGTGATTAGTGGCATTCACTAACAGATAAGCCTTCAATCAGCTAAAAAAAAAACATTTTTTGTTTTTTTAATAGTCAAATAAATGCTCTAAAAGCTGTATGTCAAACGATAAATCTCGTTTTAACGGACATTTGGCAAATTAATATTTTGTGGCAGTCACACATTATCTAATATAATAATTAATTAATTAATTTAAAAATAAGCAAGATATATGAATTTTGGATAGATTTTTATTTTATTTCCAAATAAAATTCTCAAAAGTTAGCACAATGTAGGGTAAAATATATAGCTATAGAGTTACTAAAATTGATTCCCCTAAGCCAAAGCTGCTGTTAAACTCCCTAATACGCTACTAATTAGTTTGGAGTCTCCTTCAATTAACGAACGTTAAAGATAATCACTAGTTCCGGAAATGAAAGCAATAAAACACCGAACAGAGTTAAAAGGAGAAGCCAAAAGGTGAAAGAGCAAGCAAACAAGGCGAACTTTTTGGTTACTATTACTCAAAGAAACTGTGTGTGTTTGTGTTTGGGTGTTTGCAGCCACCATTGCCATTCAGATGAATACACCTGCGTGCCACCGTGCCACCGGTGTGCATACACACGGGGTGTTGCTTACGCTTCGCATTAGCATAATTAAAATTCGGTAAATAGGCTGACGGCGAATGTGAACACTAGGCTCCATTAGCCCCCAAAGCAAACAGAGCCCGCCTCGACTTGACCCAAAAGTGGGCCTTGAGCCACCGCAGGGCACATGCAACATAGCAGCAACGTAGCAGCAAACCAACAAACCCTATTACTCATTTTTAAGTAGACGCGAGTGTGTGCCTGTTTGTAATACCCTTGAACTTTATTGTTTGAACATCAGCGGTTTGCCAGGGCTTTCGCTTTCTTTCCTATGGGAAGAAGAGCAAAAGGCGGAGAGTTTCCGTATCCGGATCCGAATCCGGATCCCATTGCTTCGCCATTTTTATATGCCGCTTATATGTATATGTATGTGTACGTGGCCGTGCTTTTTTATAGCAGCCTGTCAGGCGCAGCAATACATCGGTTTACCATTGAAATTATATGTGCGTACTTTTTAGACAGTTTTCCCCAAAAAAAAAAACCCCAGTAAAGATTTTTCGTTAGTTTATATTGCATTTTCTCAGTGTGCTCTTAACGCCATATGGAGTTTCGTTTTTTACCATTACATTACAAGTGCAGATTTTGATTTAGGTCTAAGTTTAGGTTTAAGTTCATTACTCCACTAAATGATTTCATCATCTGAATATGTCCCTCTTGGTAGCCAGCTCAATTGCTTTCGAGCTCTCCAGCTTTTCGTTACATTTCCAAACAATCTTGACTTTGATTGCACTCAATTGAATATAGTTCGATGCAAGCTAAATCAAATGAAAATTCAATTTCCCAATTGAATTCGAATCAGATTCACTTCAATTTCGAGTTCTTGTCCAGCAAATACATTTACATTATCCATGCGTATTATATACAACAACAGATGTACGTGCTTCTTATACATATATCTCAACTATATATGGATTAATTTCGTTTGGCGGAAAATGGGGCATTTCAAGTGATGAACAGCAGGATAGGTTTATGTTTGTGTTTGCACCTGATTAGCGGACAATTAATGTGAATCGGTAATTAAAGGCTCTCTTTAAATGTTAAATACACAAAATAAAAAAGTAATTAAATTAATTTCCGTGCTGGACAAAGAATAATAAGGAAGTGTCTGTACAAAGTTCAACAGAGAAATGAGATAAAATGAAATAAAATAATATGGAAACTGTGTGAGCAATTTACGTATGAAAAGCCAACAACAGAACGGCGGCGGGAAAAGCATCAGCTGCGGAAAAGTAAACATAAAGTTTTGGATTCTGTCTGTGGCTGTTAGCACAGTATCCGGGACTTCATAATTTCATCCGGTTGTATTTAAATTGTACTCAAGGTGCATTTTGGGTTCCAGTATACTGCTCCGCGTGACGGGATTTTCACATGCCAGAGATATATTCATAATGTAAGTATCATATTCTCGGTTTTTTTTTTGTTTTGAAATTTACTTAACCTTTTTATAAATACTCGTAAAAAATTCAGACAAAATAGACTGACTTTCTAGAAGAAGGTTTACAAAAAAGGTTCACAAAAATAAGTTTACCCGTTTACATATCATGTTTTCCGGTTCTCCCAACCGTTTTTGAAATACTTAAAGGTTTTTATTTCGCTTTTTTTTCTGTAAAACTTTCGTCCTGATGTAGTCGTGTTGCTATTGTTGACTCCGGTTTCAATGCGGGCTTTTCCTCAGCCATGTTATCTCTGAGCCATTGTCTTTTTGGCCGCACTCCGAAGACACTGCCACAAACTGTGTTAGTTCTGGCCACAAAAAAGTACAAATAAGTATGTGTGAGGCAGCAAGACAAACAGAAAGGCAAAAAAAAATACACGTAACTCGTATGAAATGTGAAAAAAAATCTACTAAGCTGTTGTGAACTTTGAAATTCACTTTTAAGAAGAATTTAAGTAAAGAAAACTTACCGATAAGTGAACAGAAAGTTCAATAAAACTTGTTTTAAGTACAATTTCTGTAAATGTAAATGGCAAAATGAGCAGTCTTTCATAAAATTCAAAAAGACCCTCTGGCAGAGTACACAAATAGAATCAACTTTAAGCAAAATGAGGCAATAAAGATTTATCTCGAAACGACGGACGCCAAAGCCAATGCAGCAGATTTGTCAAGGATTTGCGGCTCGAAATTTATTTTTGGCTGCTCGTCCCGCTTTCTGTTTTTTTTTTTCAGTCCCTTGAAAGAATAAACCAAACAGAGTATAGTTTCCCCATTGATTTTTGAGCAATATTCAAATATACATACATATATCTCGGTTTTGTGTGTGCTTCCGAAACAAGAGTAATCTATGATGTCGCATTCAACATGCATAAATTTTAATTAAACCGAAAATAAAACACAGCTAGTTTGTTTATCGTTCAAAGTGGAAATGTATTTTGTTTGTTTTTCAAGGAAATGTTTGTTTTTTTTATTGCCTACATTTGGGGGCCGCTGCCATGGCATTTATCAGCTCTTAACGCAGCTATGATTTTTAGCCCTCTAAACTGTAAATAAGAGTCTAAATTCATTTGAATATTGTTAGTTACATGAAAGTACAATCATTCAACGAAGTTGCTTGTTTTTTGTTCCACTCAAAATCAGACAAATTTCACAAGTTTTTAGCCAAACTTACACTAAACTAGACACAAATTTGACAGGACAGAGAAATCTGTTGGACTGTTTATGACATCAAATGGGAAAAACTTCAGAACTTTGGTTACATTACCAATTGCAGTTGGCAACATGAAGTATCTGAAATGCTTAGGGCCATTAAAATCAGCCACAATATGAAAGGTATTCCTCGTAAAGTGTTTGCCTAAGGGCACTTTCTTTATTATGCCCCAAATATTTTGCATCTCTCCTAGCAACTACGAAATCTTTTAGCCTGTCAATTATCGGTTTCCACAGCAAGATTCATTATATACTTTGATGGTAAACAAGTTTTTCCTTGGCGCGCCATGTGCCATCATTTTTTGTTGTTTTTTTCTTTATTTTTAAATAATCTCGACAGCCTCTCACGTTGTACCAAGAAAAAAAAAAGAAGTAAATTTGAACGGTCGTATACATGAGTTGTTTAGTAAAAGATAAAAACGTGATTACGAAACAAAACACTCGGGCTGAAGAGAAACGCGATGGGCGTAAATATTGGGGATATTTTGTTGTGGTGCCTGCCGCCAGTGGCACCATAAATCAAAAAACCGCAGGCCTCGCTTAGGTCATGGGAAAAGTTAAACGTAGAAAATTTTTGGGGATAAACTTTAGTTTTCCAATGGCCCAAGACGCATTTTTCCGCCAGCTTCGATCATTTGATGAAAACAAAGCGAATTCCTAACTGTTCCGACACCGAGAGTGCCGTAAACGCGTTAAGAATTATTGATGCCTCATTGCTGATTGCTCTGCGTTTTACGCCATTTGACACACATCCTGGAATCTCCAGGGGTGGGTGAATATAATCCCTGGGAAGGATCCCTACCCCTCAAAAGAAAACACACAGACAGACAGACTTGGGCATAAAAATAAGTAAAGTTATTTGGTATGTCTAGCGTGTACTTCGTATTTCCCTTTTTCTTCGAAGGTCCTTGTGTTATTACAGTTTTCCTTGGAAATGACAGAAAAAATCAACGCTCACATTGTCAGCATATCGAGGCTTATACCACGTCTGCACAAAATTATTGCCAACTTTGCCATTTCGGGGGGCTCGCATTCATTGCATTAAATTGTATTTTTGATGTTTGCGCAAAAATATGGTAAAACAATAAATACGGATTTGGCTGATTGTGAGGTTTCGTTCGGTGAGAAGTGCGATGAATTTTCCATAAAATAACCTTTGTTCTTCAGCAATTTATATTCTCTCTTTGATACTTTACTTGATTTTCGTATACTTTTCCTGGTTTTTCAAAACAAAACTTTCTGAAATATATTCGAGGATATTACGTGGATTTTGGCAGATAATTAATATGCCTGCGTTTCCCTCAAGCATTTTTACACGTTGACAATGCCAGACAGGATGGGATCTTTGGGAAAACAAACAAAACATTTAAATGATTTTTATGGGTACACATTTTCACTCCCAACATTAAACTTTAATGTTACGGTCCCAAAGACTTTTTACGTCTGTGAGTAATCTTGAAGATTCGTGTATGTTTTTCTTATAAGGTTGTTTGTGGTAAAAATTCATTTTGTTTATTTGCCTTTAGGTCTTAACTTGGTAAAAAATGTTTATTTTTTAAACTAAGTTTATATAATTTTTCAGGGTAGCAAAGTTGGGTAGCCAACTGCCCTGTAAGTCCGTTAATTCCATTAGTTCTGCAACATGTACAAATAGATGGGAGGACTGTAACGAATCCCCAACAAAGACTTTCATATTGCTTTTGTGGTCTGGGGAAGTTAAGTGATTCACGATTGTATTGCCCATTTCTTCTTGGCTATTGTTCGAAACTTATTTGCATTCATGTTTTTGTGCTTTTTTTTTCCGCTTTTTTGACCAGAGTAATATCTATCTCTGTCCTTCAGAAATGACTTTATGCCAGGAGAGGCATTTTTTGGTTCTAAGATGTTTGCCTAAGGAAAGTTGCAGACGAAAGTCAATGTTGGTTTGGCTATGAGTGGACGCAATCGAGCTGGTGAGTCCGATTATGTGGTTCTGACTCAATTTCGCTTGCATTCTTCTCTAACGTTTTCGCTTTTTGGTTTTTGGTCCCCAGATTATTCGTTCTAAGCTCCCTTTTTTACTGGCCATTGTTAGTTGGTCAATATTGAAATGCTCAAGTGGGTAAACGCTTTTGATTGCAAGTTACAGTTTGCCTTTCTGTTTTTAATATTTACTTTTTGAGGGAGTTTTGAAATTGTTATGATGGCAATTAGTTAGATTAATCATATAAATAACTTGTATTTACTTGGTTAGCTTAAGTTAAAACCCAAATAACAACCAATATCTCTCAAAGATAGAATCACAGATAACAATAAAAAACCATGAAATCAATTTCCATTAGGCCTTGGATTAGCTTTGAATCGTCAATATCCATTGAGATTTGGTCGTTAGACTGCATTAATTTATTTTTTCCTTGGGCTTTTTTTAGCACGTGCCCCAGCATGTGTCAATATCAAGGGAGTCGTTAAAGCGCAGTTTAGCTCAGGCATTGAACCTCCCAATAAGGAAGGAACCCCCCTTGGATTTCACATATCTACGAGTATATATACCATCTGTATAAATACATTATAATCTTATGATTGCGGCAAAAAGTCGTTTATCAATTGGACCTTTTTTGATTAAACAATCGGTTATATTGGGTGTAAATTCGGTATGGTAGTAAAATTATTTTCAATTGTGTAACCTTTTCGTATCAATGAACCAAAAAAAAAAATGTCATTTACAAAAGAGTAAAATCTGTGTAAAACCAATTTTTCGGCTTGCAATCAGAAATCGAAGCGGAGATTTATTGCCTTTAAGCTTACTTCAGGATTGTCAGGTGAATAAAAATACCTGCAGAACGAGCGAAAATCATGGGTATCAGGTGGATGCGATGGGTGGTTGTTGGGTGGGGTTGGACTCCACCCGGAAAACTGGTTGCTCGCAGCCTTGAGTTCTTTTCCATTTGCATAAGCGCTTCCGTTGAATATTCATATACGGGGATGAGAATTTAATAGCGGGAATTTCAGACTGAAACAAGAGGATGAGTTTGTATTGACACCACCTTATAAATGCTTAGCATAAAGTTACTTTTATTATATTTATTTTAGTATAATTATTTTAAAGTCAAATTATGTATGTGTTTCAGTTCTAGTTCTAACCGACACGTCTCTTTTCATTATGCTGCTTAACATCAGTTCATCGGTTATCGGAATCATATCGATACTTAAGGTGACCATTCAGGAAGCCTATTTGACACGTCTCTTTTAATTATGCTGTTTATGAACCCAATGGCTTCAACTTAGCTTAACATCGGTTCATCGGTTATCGGAATCATATCGATACTTAAGGTGACCATTCAGGAAGGTTATTTGTAGCTTTGCAGTATTTAAAAAAATGGTATTTTCATCCTAATGGATTAGTTATGTTTTGCATTTCGTGGTTTAGACATTAGAGGGTGTATTTCTTTCTAATTAAAATTACCCAAGAGTTTTAAGACATGATGTTATAATAATTTTCTTTTAATTAAGAGATCTGGGACTTCTTCGCAGTGATGGCAAATCTCTGAATGTAACCAGTACTCCAGGCAATCATCAACCAACGAATTTCCAGATCGGAAACCTTAAAGCCAATACAAGTTGGATATTGCTCACCTTCGGCGTCGCACTCGATAAATTCGATGGGAATGAGTCGCACTGAACCCAACTTCGAATCAACTAAATAGCATAGCAAGATAAAAGATTGCTTCTTAAAAATTATAGCCATGTAAACTCCGAGAGGATCCATGGCAAAGGCCTGGGGTTGACCGCAACACCTTTTGTGCCCAGAACAGGTGGTGACTTCTTCCAGATCAGCAACCAATTCAACGCTCCAAAGGGGCTTGGGGTGAAGGAAAACCCCGGCCTCCGCATCATCGGTACAGGAGTAAATTCGAGTGCTGCCTTCCTGCACAAATAGCAAAAATGTGCTGCAAGTTGTCCAGATAGCTGCTTGAATATGATTATGCATAAGGATCTGTTCGGACATCCATTTCGATCTATTCAACTGGCATAGACTAGCACCAGCCTCGCATGAGGCACAGAAAAGTATCTGGAAATTGGGACTGTAACGGAGTAGGGAAAAGGAGCTCAGACTGTCGGGTGCTGGGATCAAAGTAATCTTCTGCTGACAGTCTGGTTCCCAGAGGATAATGTGAGATGTGCCCAAGGCGGCGCTAATCAGTATGGTACCATCTTCATTCCACTGAATAGATGTCACATAATTGTGTCCTTCGTCCTGCAGGACTCTTAATTGATGACTACCTGTCATATTTCGTATATTATGCTTCATATTGGAGCGTTGATTTTCTCGCCATAGGCAAATCCCCGCGGCACATCCCACGGCCAATTCTCTGAAATCTGACCAAGGACGAAAAGCGGCACAGGTAACGTCCTTTTGCTGGATAGATTTCAATCTGGTCGGTGAATTTTTCTTTTCATCATGGAGCAAAACGATATCCCTGTTGGTCAAAAGAGCCATCAACGAGGTGGTTGGATGGAACTCCATACATCGGACGGCTGCCGTTCTCCATCCTCTAGTTTGGCTTATCCCCTCCAGACTTGACGCATCAGCGGTTAGTGTTAGCTTTATGTTGCTTATTGGCCGAAAGCAGTGGCTTTTCAGTTCTACCACTCTGTGCAATAGCCAGGTCCAGTAATCAGTGGCTAGGTTGAGTAAATAGTTAAAGATTTGAACTCTTTGATTGGGGTTACCCTGGTTATCCGTTGCAAAAACATTGCATTGGGTATTGATAATAGGGACATCAGTATTGGAAGGTTCCATACTATCTATTCAGGTTTTCAGGTTTTTTTTCAATCAATTATTATTATTTGAGTAATTGCCACAAAAATGTCTAAGCTTACTAAGAACATATGAAACCAATCCCGCTAATATACTCACTTATGAAGTGCTTAAAGTTGCTTCTCTTTCCGATAACTGCCTTAGTTTTTTCCGAAGCTAGTTTCTTATTCCTGGTTGCATGCCTCTTAATGGTTTTACTTTCGTCCTATCGTTTTCCACTTTTTCACTTCGTATCTAGACGGCTATTAGTTTTGATAAATGGCTTTGGCGATGCAGTTTTTGGTCAGCGCTGTCAGCAGTTTACCTCATCCCATAACGGCGATATAAAAATATGTTTTATTTTCTTTCACGGTGTTGGGCATTTTCTAAAAATACACCGATGAGATGAATGCTTTTATGCCTTCTTGTCTTTGCTGGGAAAAATTAGGGCATATATTTTTTCTCTTTTGCACATTTTTAAATTTTAAAAATCGCTTTAATATTTAGCTTTCTATAAAACTCATCTCTTTATAATAATTTTCAATTTATTTAGTATAAATGGAGTTTTCAGCTTATGCATTTTTAGCACAGAGTTTAATTTTGTGTTTTATAGATAGGCGGGCTTTTTTAAAATTTGATGGCCGCTTTTCAGCTCGCGAAATAAAAACATATTTAATGGCTTAAATTATTTTAACAAAGCCTTCATTTAAACAAAACAAAATTTACAACCTCTGAAACGAACCTTAACAAATACACGCTTTTCACATAATTCACTCATATGAACCAAACAAAATGAAGCAAAGAGAGAGAGAGAGAGGGCAGAAAAAATAGCACAGCGAAATAAAATGAAATTATGCGGGTGGAAAACCATAAATTGACTTTTGGACCAACAAACAGAAAACAAAATAAAAGTTTTTCCTTTTTGGGCGTTAGTATGCGCGGCAGAATAATTCGCAAGTTTTACGGTATGCCTCGCTTTGATCTACCGCATTAATATTTTATTTCTTGCGTATATGGTATGTGCCCTCGCCAACGTCTTATGTTACTTAAGATGACTGGTATGTATCTTGCAAATTGTCTTGTCAACATAAAAAGAGAAATAAATAAATAAGGGAAAGTTAAACCTTACCCTCAGAGAAACTTCGCACTCTGCAGGAACAGAATGAGAAGTCCTCAAATGATGCGTAAATATAAAATATAAATAAAATACGAACAAAAATAGTGGCTGCTGCTCATTCTTTACTCTTCGGATAATTTCCGTCGTTTTCCACATAGTTGATTTCCCAGTTATTAAGCTGTCCCTTCTGACTTTTTAACCGTTTCCGTTGGCCATAAAATGTTTGATATTCCTTACGCACATTTGGGTTCTTTTGGGCAGCACTCCTAGGTGTATTAACATAACGTGAGACTCCCGAAAAAAAATTGGAAGTCATGAATCTACAATTTGGGCCTAGTTTGGAATTGATTTTAAACAGCCGTCCATCTAGCCAACTCATGGACATATTATCTTTGGACAAAGAAAAATATTTTTTATTTAACTTTTGTTGTTGTTTTTTTTATGTATTTCATTTTAGAACAGCGCCCAGCATAACAGAAAAATAAAAGCTCAGCAGGGCTAACAAAAGCCAGGGTTTAAGGACAACCCGCATACAATTTTTTGGGCCTCGGACTCGGTGGGATATGCGGAATGCCTTTGTTTACAAATGAAATGGAAGCTCCTTTTTATGGGCCAGCATTTTATGTGTGTTTATGTTTTCGACTTATGCGCCAACTGCTTGACCGTTTTATTGATTTAGTAGCCAGCCAGTCATCCAGCCAGCCAGCTATCATCATCGGCTTTTGGCCTTATTTGAACTGTACGCTTTTATCGCACTTTGGCGAGTGGATTTTCAATATTACATGAATTTTTTAACTCGCAACTCCATTTGGCTGTGCCCTTTGCCATTCCATTCATCTGCCACTTGACACTTTGCAACTGAGCATTCAATTCTCATTGAATTATAGAATTCCGGGAATGTTGTGGCAAATTAATAGGCAATTAACGTCAAGGACAGCGCTGTAAGCCTGCTGGACTTAGCATACCCTTTGAATTATGGCAGCGCCCCTGAGATTTAATCAATAATATATGCGACTATAGTTAACACATTACTGCCGTTTAATATGTACCTTTTTTATTCGTCTGCCAGGTTTCAAATTAAATTAAATTTTTAATATAATCATTTTAACGAACGTCGCAATAAATGCATAATTAAAATTAATTTTGGTTTTCATTAACAGATTCAATTCTGACTGAATTTTTGATAGCAAGGTGTGTATATCGATTTTGATAACAAACTGGAGGTGCCTTCAGAACATTTTCACAATGAGCTACATAATCTGTTTTAACCAAATTAGTATGCATATATACTTGTCTCTCTGCCAAATCAAACCTACTTATTCAGTTGATTAGTAGCCAATATACACTAGCCAAACCTGGTCGAGAACCCAGAGAGCCATCCTATTTAATCCAATTGCAGTGCTAACATTAGCCATTAAGCTAAGCCATAAATTTAATACATATATTCAGAGAACCTATAAAGTACTCAACTTTGGTAAACCGGAGCCAAACGAGCCATAAATTTCAATAAACACATAATAAAGTAACTATGGGTTAGAATCCTTCGCAAGGAGCTATGTCTGCCATGCAAAAGGCAGGCTTTTAGCGGCAAATTAAGTCTTTTAATCATCGTTGCCGTCTATTTGTTGCTGAAATTCAATGGCTAATAGTGTGTGAACAAATTCTAATAATTGTAAATCATGTGCAGATTTTGGTGACATTATTGCTAAATTCAATGCCTTATGACTGCTCAGAAAACAGAGGAGTTTTATTAATATAATTGATGTGGTTTATTAATTATATTTTAGGAAAACAAGGTAGCTATTTTTATTTTGTTTATAAATGAGTAAATGATTTAAAAATCAGAAAAAAACTAGAAAATTGCATTAGGAAAGTTCATTTAAAGGAAAATTGTGGTTTAAAGTTAAAATATCTTTCCACAGAATCTAAATAGACTTGCAATTATTTTCAAGCAACTCCACTAGACATATAAATGAAATTCAAGGGTTGAATTCATGACATAAATTTATTCATTTAAGCAGACATGTCTGCTCTAATTATGCACGAAGTTGGCAAAAGCTAGACAGAAACCAAAGAAAGTAGAAATGCTTTTAACGATACCCCCTATGTAAGAGGCTTCAGAAATGAAGCCTTACTTAAGTAATATTTTAGTGGATAAAACCAGATAGTTCTACATAACTTTGAATGGCATGTGCCGCCACATTATTATCTGACTCAATAAAATCACCAATTATCTAAATGCATAATGAGAGAGCGAGAAAGATTTTGTGTTCTGTTTTCTGTATACGAAAGCTGTAGCAACCGCAGCTCAAGCATAAATTATGACTTGGACCACTTTTCGTGCATTGAGTATAAATCAGAAGGCCCAAACCAAACCAACATAAAGCATTTCCTACTGTGTTTTTTATGCGCCTAAAGTTTGACGGGCATACAATAATTTATTAGCAAAGTCAGCGAATTGTAAAAGTCTCGGCCAGAAAACAGGCACATCCAGATTGCCAAAAAATAATCAAAAATAAAACGAAGTAAAGGAAATGAAATGTTGCTTTCAAATTGAAAAAGGCAATCTTACTTTTGCTTCTCCGTTTGAAATTTTCACCGCGCTCCATGTCAGTGGTAACTCAATTAGAAAATTTAATTACGCCGCAAGGCGGGACGTTTTTATACACATTTTCCTACAATATGAAAAGCTTGTTGAAATTAACTTTATTATATGTTTTTGCGATATGTGTGGAAGGTGCCTGCAACAGAAGTTTCCCCAGTAAAATACCAGACAGATTGCTTTAAAAACCCGGAAAATTACAGAAACTCAAACAGGAAAAGCTAAAAGTTAACTTCCCGTCTTTTTTACGATAAATAAATACATACCCATCGCTGGGCTATAATATGACGGTGGGTTTAATTAAAAATCGCAGAGTTTATATAAGCTGAGATGCCTCACTCACATTTTGCATTGGTTAACAAAACTTTTTGGGCTGAAGAATGCATAAAACAATCCCAACACCAATTTACCTTATCAATCAGCAGTTCACAATGGGTTTTTGAGGGGGGTTTTTCTGGCCTAATCAAGCGCTAAGTCCACGAGAATCCCCGGGAACGACCCTTTTCTGAAGTTTTGTGAAAACCGTTTACCTTCGCTTTGGCCACTTTTAACCTTTCGCAGCGAGGTCGATGGCTATCTGGCAAGTTTTTCGCTTCTGTGGCGGTAATTTGTTGTTACACGTGGTCGACCTGCCGTTTCCTTTTTGGGTGCTTAAATGAGGCGCATCATTAGTTGCTAGACGTTGATTTTCCGTCTCCCTTTCTTGGTTGCCCGCGATTTATTATTAATTGGCCTGACTGAAGAAAGTTTTTCCGCCCTATTTGTTTTACAAGTTTTTCGTTGGAAAGTTTTGTGCCTCGGCGAGAATGTTTCAATTATTAACACTTGTGCGTCCCGCTGCGTTTCACTAAATAATTCAATATTCCGGTTTTACTGTTATTCTTTCCATAAATATTGAATAAATATTTTCTATTTAATTAAAACTTTATCCTTTTCAATTGTTCTGGACTACCTGGACTTAAATGTCTGGCTAGAAATCTTGGAATTTTAAAGTAGATTTAATATTAAATTTGATGGCACATTGTGGGCATTTTAAAAGGACTTTTTGAGCAGTTAAGCCAGAAGATTGAATGCCTTTGTCGTTCAAAAATGTCATTACAAAATAATAAAAAACTAAAATCCTTTTTCTGTGTAAAAAGTTTTTTGCATAAGTTAAAACTTGTGTAGATGTAAAAAAAAGAGTTTTATGGAAACGTGAACAATGGTTCTTTAATTAGAATTTTTATTGATAAATTAATCATAATCTGAGGCTAATAAAAACGAATACACGTTCAAATTGAAAAA